CGTGCGTGTTCGTGTGTGTGTGTGTGCCTGCGTGTGTGTGTGTGTGCCTGCGTGTGTGTGTGTGTGTGCCTGCGTGTGTGTGTGTGTGTGTGCGTGCCTGCGTGTGTGTGTGTGTGTGTGTGTGCGTGCCTGCGTGTGTGTGCATGTGCGTGCGTGTTCGTGTGTGTGTGTGTGTGCCTGCGTGTGTGTGTGTGTGCCTGCGTGTGTGTGTGCGTGCCTGCGTGTGTGTGTGTGCCTGCGTGTGTGTGTGTGCGTGCCTGCGTGTGTGTGTGTGTGTGTGTGTGCCTGCGTGTGTGTGTGTGTGTGTGCGTGCCTGCGTGTGTGTGTGTGTGCCTGCGTGTGTGTGCATGCGTGCGTGTTCGTGTGTGTGTGTGTGCCTGCGTGTGTGTGTGTGCCTGCGTGTGTGTGTGTGTGTGTGTGCGTGCCTGCGTGTGTGTGTGTGCCTGCGTGTGTGTGTGTGTGTGCGTGCCTGCGTGTGTGCGTGCCTGTGTGTGTGTGCCTGCGTGTGTGTGCATGCGTGCGTGTTCGTGTGTGTGTGTGTGTGTGTGCGTGTGTGTGCCTGCGTGTGTGTGTGTGTGCGTGCCTGCGTGTGTGTGCGTGCGTGTGTGTGTGTGCCTGCGTGTGTGTGTGTGCGTGTGTGTGTGTGTGCCTGCGTGTGTGTGCGTGCCTGCGTGTGTGTGTGTGTGTGTGTGTGTGTGTGCGTGCCTGCGTGTGTGTGTGTGTGTGTGTGTGCGTGCCTGCGTGTGTGTGTGTGTGCCTGTGTGTGTGTGTGTGTGTGCGTGCCTGCGTGTGTGTGTTTGTGCCTGCGTGTGTGTGTGTGTGCGTGCCTGCGTGTGTGTGTGTGTGTGTGCCTGCGTGTGTGTGTGTGTGTGTGTGCGTGTGTGTGCGCGTGTGTGTGAATGGTTCCTTGTTTTAAAATGCTTTGAGTGACTTGAAAGTGGAAAACCGCTGCATACAACTGTGACCAATATGAGATTCAACATGCCATTGTTTACCGTTTGCCGATAATTCTACATGTGAAAACATCTGATTATTTAGTGTGTATCTTCAAAATTTATGAAGTGTAAGTTAAATGATCTGTATGTAAAACAGAAGTTTATGAAATTTAAAATCTAACTGTGCCCAGATACAGGTACAAGGCAAACATGTTCAAATCAACTTTAACTGATAACTATCGTAATTCTGAGTTATTCTTAATCACAAAAACATAGAACTGAATTTTCAACTTATAATATGGTTGCCTGGAGATCCAGAAGGATATCTCTCTGTATTTATTATACAGATCCATATCATATCAGCCGCTGGTACAGCGATGAGTCTGGATTTGTCCAGGTAAATAATATGGTGTTTTGGTTCAAGACGGTTGTCCAGTCTGAAAGCAGAATGAGCCTCACATGACTCTCTCATTTGCATTGTCAGTTTCAGTGCTGAAATCCAGTTGATTTAAACCTAAAATGTCTCTCTTTGATCTGATCGGTCTTTACCCGAACACCTGCACCGGGTTCTTTTTTTGTTCAGACACTTGACTGCAAATTTCTTTTTTATTTGAAGTGTGTGTGCAGTTGCAGTGAAGTTGTTTTTAGATGGACAATAGAATAATTTGGCTGACACCTCTTCAGACATTGCACATTGGTTGAGTCTAGCAAAAAGACTTAAAAAGGCCACTAGGTAAGGTGAGTGGGAGGACTGGAGACGCGAGATCTGGGAAAAGCTTGCGACAGGGAGAACCCGGAAAGGGGGAACGTGAACGATCGATGAAGAAGAGCTGGCAGGAGCTGAGATGAGCTTGTACAATGCCTGCAGATAAATGAGTACAGTGCTGTGTCCCTAGAACCTGCATGCGTGTGACTGTAAATGAATTGTGAAGCTGCAGTGACATTAGTGGAGTGCTGTATTCTGTCTGCACCCCACAGCGCTCTGGGTGTTCGTGTGTGTGGCTTGTCTGAGTGGGGATGAGAGAACTGTTGACGGTAGTGCGGAGAGCGAAAGCGGGATGCCGAAGAGCTGCACCTGGATGCACGAGGGCAGCACAGGACGCCCCTTTTCCCCTTACAAAAAAAAATCTTTATAACTACCCCTGCCCCTCAGGACAAAGCATTTTTTATTCAGACAGCTTTTAACTAGTGACTCAAGTTTTCAGCTATTATATTTTTTTTTAACAAACTGTAATAAACTCCTGGAAACGTCTCTGGTTTTGCTCTTTACTCAGTCGTACATTTTGGTGAAATAAAGAACCCTCACTTTGTGACAGTTACACGGTGAAACTTTAAATGGCATTCATGTTTTCTAAAAATATGCACTCTATTCGGTGTCCTTGTGTTCTTTGCTCAAGGGCTCCTCCTCACAACAGTTTCCTATCCGTGACTTCCCTCCTTTATTTTCACAGAGTCAGGGCCAAAATACACAATAACACAATAGACATGTGTCCTTAGAATTAAAAAAAACACACACACAACAATACAGGTTGTAAAAATACTTCAAATCAATAGCAGTGTAATGAAATGTTATAATGTTATCAAACAGGGGGTGACAGGCCGACTGGGGGCAAAAAATTTGCTTGTGTATTGCTATTTTGCAGCTGATGTCATCCATATTCAGTGGGGGTCTGATGCTAGCTGGAGGCATGCTCTGTCTGAAGCTTTTTTAGATGTCAGTCTTTGTTAGAGGTTTTAGTTAGTCACTCTCACTGTTTTGTTGAAAATCAAACTCCTAAACAGGACCATGTGAATGTGACCGGTGTGCACTGAGTCACCACGGTAACTGCTGAACATTACACCATACACATACAGGAAGAATCCCCTCAACTTGATGCCACTGCAAAGTATCAATAGACACTGTTCATTGAAAACGTCATTTTTTTCACTCCTCCCTCTCTTCTAAACATTCTCTCTTTTTCTCTTTCCTCTTTTCTCCTTCATTCCTTCTTCTCTTCTGTTTCTTCACTCGTTACCTGTCTTTCTACCTCTCTCTCTCTCTCTGTCCTTCTTCAGCTCTATTTCTCCGTCACACTCAAGCTCCCTGTTTCTCTCTATCTCTTTCCTCTCATTCCCTCTTTCTTCTGTCCACCAGGCTCCAAGTTAGGATGACCAGATGTCTCTATTCACCCGAGACAGTCCCAGTTTTGAGCCCTGTGTCCCCTGTCCCAGTTCCAGGTGTCCCTATTTTTGACCAATTTGATCTAAACCAGGTCTAAACCAGGACAAAACAAAGACTAAAACAGGACTACATCAGATCTAAAACAGGACTCTCACAATTTTTTTGACTAATCTGATCCCTGCCAACAGTAAAGAGGAACATAAATTGTCATTTGTTTTGCCAAAATACAAAATTGCAAAAAAAAATAAAAAATTTAATGCAGCGACAGAAGCCCCTCAGATTATGACTGACATAAGAATGCACAATCCTACATGCTCTTTTCACAATTTTATTTACACTAACCATCCCAAACTGGGTGTGTCCAGTTTAGAATTTTGAAAATCTGGTCACCCCACTCCAAGTTCAAGTTGCAAATTCTTAAAGCACTGATTCAAGTCTGACTCCCAACTCCTGCCTGTGTGGGGCTAACAGACAACCTATTCTTCTAACATCTTGTGACCTCTTCCTTTTCCACTCCTTCTTTTGTTTACATTTCCATCCCTCGCTCTCTGGGATGCTGCATAAACCTAAGGAACATGCGCCTCCTTCCGATGCTGTTCTTTTAAATCAAATATTAGATGTTTTTTACGCAGCTGTCTCTTCTGTCTGGACCTCAAGTGAAAGTTAAAAGTGCTCTGTATTACGTGGGCATTAAAAGCACTTGTTGAGTAACTGCAACATAGGAATGTGTAATGTCATAATGTGGAAAATAGGCTCTATTCACGCCTACTGGAAGACAATTGGAAAAATGCAGAGGACGAATTCCGGTGTAGTTCCCGACACTGGGCATGTGATAAAACCATGGTTTCAGCAAAAGCATCTTCACAACCAAAAAACAAGCCAAAACAAGCCAAAACTTTCCATGGGAGACGGGACTCTAATCATAGCTTCCAGGTTACTTAGGCTACGTTCAGACTGCAGCCTCAAGTGACCCAAATCTGATTTTTTCGCCCCTATGCGACCTGTATCTGATCTTTTAATGACACAGATCTGATTTTTTCAAATGTGACCCAGGTCACTTGGATATGTGCTCCTAAAGCCCATACATATCTGATCTTTTAACATGTAACTTCAGTCTGAACGGCCAGGTCACATTCATCCCACCTACACGTCAGGCTCAGAGTCTAGTCAATGGAGGGAAAGCAAGGTTAGAGAGTTTATTAATATTTGGGGGGATAGCTGTATTCAGGCCTTCAGTTCTAATTTGTTTTGTGTGCTTTAAATTATTTTGCTGGATGTCCTGAATGCTGCTGTGTGAGTTCTGGTCCATGATTGGTGGAGCACAGGCCAATCCTGCCGCACCTCCAGCCTCCTCCCCCTATTTAAGGAGACTCCTGCACCTGTTCGGGGCTGTTGGCCTTGGTGGCCAGTCTGCCATTTTGCGTTTGTGTGTGTCTCTTTTGTGTGGGTTTACGTTGGGGCACTTGTGTTTTGGTTTTGTGCGTGTCCCTCTGTTTAACCACTTCTTTTTGTGTAAGCCTCTGTGACCCGTTTTGTGGCACAAAACTTGTTGTATGTTAATCCTGTTGTTTTCTTAGTTTAGGTTATTTTCTTTTAAAACTCCACACACCTTCACTAGAATCATTTGGATGATTTCAGGCCTGCAATTACCACTGCCAATGAAAAATACTGCTTCATGACATCACAAGATGGAAAACAGCATTTTGAGCTTTGGAGATGTAGACAGACTAATAATGAAGGATTACTCAAACGTGTGAATGAAACAAAACACTCCAGGTCTGTTTTTGATGAGGTAACATTATAACATGGTTTAAAGCTCACAAGAATCCATTTTGTGTAACATAAGACTTTTAAACATTGAAACTGACTGGTCTAAATCATAAAAAGTGTCCCAAGTCCAAATGTTCCAAAAAAGTGGTTTATTCAAAAATCATTCATACATCACTAAACTTCCTTTAAGAGCAACTCCAACCATTGACACTGACTTGAATACAAAAATAACCAAACTTTACTCCAAATGCTTGTCTTGGATTTTATTGTTGAAAATCCACTTTATGAGACGTGATGCTGGTCTGCTGTTTAGACATGTTCATGAAAATGCAAAAGTCCATTCGTTTGCATTCACCACAATGGTACAAGTCCACCTGCAGTTTTGAATTGAGATCACTGGAAAACTGAAATCATACATCCTGTTGAAAATGACTTGAATTCAAATGATTCATCTTAGAAGTAATAGTAATAGCAGTAGTAGTAGCAGTAGTAATAGTATAAGTAGTAGTAGTAGTAATAATAGTAGTAGTTTTGGTAGTAGTAATAGTAGCAGTTCTGGTAGTAGTAGTAGTAGTAGTAGTAGTAGTAGTAGTTCTGGTAGCAGTAGTAATAGTAGTTCTAGTAGCAGTAGTAATAGTAGTTCTGGTAGCAGTAATAACAGTAGTTCTGGTAGTAGTAGTAATAGTAGTTCTAGTAGCAGCAGTAATAGTAGTTCTGGTAGCAGCAGTAATAGTAGTTCTGGTAGCAGTAGTAATAGTAGTTCTGGTAGCAGTAGTAGTATTAATAGTAGTAGTTCTGGTAATAGTAGTAGCAGTAGTAGTTGTAGTTCTGGTAATAGTGGTAGTTCTAGTAGTTGTAGTAGTAGTAGTTCTAGTAGTAGTCGTAGTAGTAGTAGTTCTAGTAATAATAGTAGTAGTAGAAGTAATAGTAGTAGTAGTTCTAGTAGTGGTAGTAGTAATTCTAGTAATAATAGTAGTGGTAGTTCTAGTAGTGGTAGTAGTAATTCTAGTAGTAGTAGTTGTTGGTGTTGTTCTGGTAGTAGTAGTACTACTAGTACTAGTAATTCTGGTAGTAGTGGTAGTAGTAGTAGTAGTAGTAGTAGTAGTAGTAGTAGTAGTAGTAGTAGCAGTAGTAGTAGTAGTTCTGGTAGAGAGTCTGACACCTGCTTGTCTCTAAATGTATTCTCTAGAATGTTCCACAATATGGCATTAAACCAAACCATTGCGCATTTTCAGCCTTTTGCTAAATACATGAACATGCATTCTTAATCAGTGGGGTTGCCTCTCCATGGATCTGACATGTAAACACTTGGCACATGTTTGTCTCCATAGGGATAGATAGGTTTAGTGCCCTACTCTGGAATATTTTTGGCAAAGCAACATCATGAGCAGAAGATTACACACCGCTGAAAGTACTCACATGATGAACATTTTGAATCCAAGTCATTTAAACTGATGCAGATGTGTGTTTTTACAGTGTACAGTAGTGGTGGTGGTGGGGGGTCACTGGGTGCACGTGTGGGTGTGGGCGGAGTCACTGTGCGCGCGTGTCTGTGGGCATGTGAGGGCGGGGCTGGGGTCACTGTGGAGCGAGCGGGATTCCTCTGGCGTCCGTGACCTGTCCCTCCTGCAGGTTCTTGACAAGCTGGGCAAGCCATCTCTTTGTGGTGGTGTCATCTTTTAAAACCTGCGCGAACGTCGAGTCTTTGAGCTGGTCAGGCAGGCACTGGCGCAGGGCTTCTCTGGCTCTGCACGAGAGACACAGGATATACTCATTTCAAGGGCATTATTACACTAACACACACACACACAACATGTTAGAATGCTCCCTCCTCAAAAACAAACCTGGAGTTGTTTTGTTTCATTCACACATGTTTGAGTAATCCTTTATTATTAGTCTGTCTACATCTCCAAAGCTCAAAATGCTCTGTTCCACCTTGTGATGTCATGAAGCGATAGTTTTCAAGTTACTTTTTAGCTTTAGTTCAGTAGAAACGGACAATTCCTGGGCTGAAATCATCCAAGTGATTCTAGTGAAAATGTATGGAGTCAAAAAACACAATGAAACACATCCTGTATCGCCACATGGCATCACAAGGTGGAACAGGTTGAGAAAATCTTCAGTTTGAGAGAAGAACTCAGCCTAAATATGCAGAGTTTGTGTGTTAAATATGTGAATGAAACAAAACACAACTCCAAGTTTGTTTGTGATGAGGAAACTACATTATAACATAGATCCATAAATAGCGCAATATGGACCCTTTAAAAGAATTTTAAAGGGACAGTTTGGAATTTTGGACATAGGACCTCATTTCCTAGTGAGCCAGAGTGTTGGAGACGTGTGGAGACACTTTTTAAAATATTCCATCCCGTCCTTGTATTTGCAGAGGTCACTGGTGCTAGGCTAGTGCATGTCAATGGCCATAGTTAGCCTTCCGCTAAAAACAGTCTTACCCACTCTACAAAACACCCAAAGCAAAACAATTATTATGCCAGACTGTCGATGTGAATGTCTGTGTCGATAGAATACTTTTAGGAGTAAAACCAACCTTGCATTTGAAGGATTTATGTCTGAGCAGCAGCAGAGAGTTGTACTTCCTAATAGAAAGCTTGGCAGTGGCGGACTGATATATGAAAAAATAGTCCCTATACATGCGAAAATTCATGCAATGCAAGGTTAGTTTTAGTTCAACCATTATTCTATCAACACAGACATTTACATGGACAGTCTGGTGTAATAACAGATTTGCTCTGGGTGTTTTGTGGAGTGGGTAAGACTGTTTTTAGTGGCAAGCTAACTATGGCCATTGACATGCACTAGCCTAGCACCAGCCACCTCTGCAAATACAAGGACTGGGTGGAATATTTAAAAGTGTCTCCACACGTTTCCAACGCTCTGGCTCACTAGGAAATTAAGTCCTATGTCCAAAATTCTGAATTGTCCCTTTAAATAGATGACTCTGACATCATGATAAAAATATTTAGAGTTTTGAATATTGCAGAACACTGACATTTCCCAAACTGGGGTTCCTGAGTCATGGATATGAGGAGTTTAAAACATGGATGAATCACAACTTTTTTTTTAGGCTTTGATCAATACCACTACTCCAGTATAACAAATAAACACCATTAGAATTTGGTAATAAACATGGATTCAAAATCAGAATGCACTGCGATGTTCTGGTGTAGGATGGGATGTCCTTGGGATATTTTCTGTTGGACGACAGTTCTTCGGTCTCACAAAGTTTTATAAAATAGACGACCATTCCTCTAAAAAGTGACCAGCTTTATGAAATCACACTTTCTGAATCATAAAGACGAGACAATGTGACAGAAACAGTTTAAAGTCCAATATAATGAACTGATCACCCCAGTGTGTTTTCGGTCCAAAGACAAGTTTCAGGTTGATGTATTAAAAATGCACTGTGTAACTTTTCATGGGAAGGGTCCACCACCTGCTTGTCTCTGTGATAACGTTATTGGTTTGTCTGGAATATTCTACAGGACGCCATTAAAAGTATTTACGTCTACTGGAAGAAAACACACACTTCAGCTGCTACCGGCTTTTTTGTCATCTCAGTTTGTCGATACGCCACGGACACAAACATGTTACAAACTTTTCCCAGTCGTTCTGATGATAATTAAGGAGCAGCTAGAGAATTCTCTCATCACACTTTATGTCTGTCAGCTGAGGAGGAAAAGGGAAGAGTGTCGGACAAGGGAAGAAGAAGACAAACTGAGTCAACGACTGCTCTACCTCAGCCCACTCCTGCATCCTGCTTGCAAATCCAAAGAGACGTGGAGGAAAGTCCGAAGCCAGGACTGGTTGAGCCAGATCATCCGGATCGCGTCAGATCGGCTTTAAGAACGGAATAAACCACCCACTTCGGAATTAAGTTTAATTCCAAATAATCATTTTCAGTAGGAATTACCGGTAAGAGTTTACATGGGCTTTTAAAAACTGAAAGAATTTTTATTCAGAATTACATTATTTTTATTCAGAATTAAAACTCTCATGTGAACATGGCAAGTGTGACACATTCTAGGCAAAGAAATAACATCTCCATGGAGACACAGTGCACCTTTGAAGTGGAACAGCTTGAAGAACGTTCTACATGGCCGCCATGTTGGTTACTGACCTTGTGTTTATTACAAGGTCAATGTGAAACCAACATTTACCTCGGCGCCATAAAAACCGGCCTGAAGTCATGTTTAACCAATGGTTCACTTTGCTTGAATTTGCATAGCTTTGGAAATAAAACACAACAACATGACATAAAAACAAAACCCTTAGAATTACTATCCATATACGAACATTTGCCCCGTTCATTTAACCCATCAGTCAGAGTCTCTGGGATTAAACAAGCTCTGCGCAATTCTGTGTCATTTCTAATCGTCAGTGATCAACTTTTTTAGTCTATCAGTAAAAACAAATGTCAATTATTAAAAGTGTGTTGTTCACGTTCAGGAAGACATTTTTGTTAATATTAATTGAAAAAAATGGGCAAAAAAAGTTATTTTGTCATATCACCCTGTACATTCTTTAAAGAGGGACATTTAATAGGGTTCTGATACAGCCCAGGAGAGATCGCTAGATTACTCAAACATGCATGGATGCCATCTAAAACTTCTTCAGGCATTTTTCTGATGAGGGAACAATGTCATAACATGGTCAGTTTTGCAGAATACCCTCTCTTTAATACTGATCTTGTACTGTTACCAACATTCGAACCCAACCAAAACCAAAGCAGTGTTTTTTGTTTTTTTTTAAATCGTAATGACTTCCAGCTTGTTCTTACCACATAAATATTGCATTGCGCATCAACAGCTGAAGCACAATCAGATTCAGTCAATAAACTTATACAACTGTCTTCCTTTGTAATGTGATGACTGCTTATTATACATTATTAACACAGGCACTAATGGACTTAACACTGACCTTGTGCAGTTCTATTGAAATAAGACCGGTAAAGTCTACATTGGTAAGCATACATATATATTTTTGTAAACATAGCTTTTGAAATGGAAGTGTACTTATCTGATTTTCATTCAATGTGTTTGAGCAAAATTTGTCTTAAGGTAAAAAATAAGACTGCCAAGTTCTGTCCGTATCCGAGTACCGTTTTATTGTCTGAGAATCAGGAGGTAGTTGTTGTTCTGGTCTACGAGAGTTGTGAGAAGCGCTTTTAAACTCATCGCGGTGAATAATGAGGATACTCTGAATGCATAAGGTAAGTTATGTAACGTTTCATGGTTTTAAGGCAGTAAAAATCAGGTACAGCACCTTTAAGTCCAGGTTTACTCCTAATTCAGTCCTGGTTAAATTCTGGTTAAGTCCTGGTTACAAATGCATAATTACGAGCCATTTTTAACAACAACGGCATGAGCAATCTATAAGTTTCAGAATGATGAAAAATTAAGACCGTTGCCATCGTGATTACTAGCTTGAATCATTAGTGGAAACCGTCTGACCTTGCAGAATTAGGATTCGTTCGCTTGACGGTAGGTGGGTACTTTTTTTAATTTAACCATTCGCTGCTATTTGTTGATTTCATCATAGCTAACTAGAGCAGAGTAAAATTCCACTGCTGCTGAGAAAATAGTCCCTCAGCATGCGACAATTCATGCGATACAAGGTTAGTTTTACTTCTAAAATTATTCTATTGACACAGACATTCGCATGGACAGTCTGGCGTAATAATAGATTTGCCTCGGGTGTTTGGTGGAGTGGGTAAGACTTTTAGTGGCAGACCAACAGTGGCCATTGACATGCACTAGCCTAGCACCAGCGACCTCTCCAAATACAAGGACTGGATGAATTATTTCAAAAAGTGTCTCCACCCATCTACAGCACTGAGGCCCTATGTCCAAAATTCCGAACTGTCCCTTTAAGATTTTCCCAAATCCTGTAGGAAGAAGGGCAATAACATCTTTTCCCTTGATAAAATTCACCAAACATTCTTTTTGTTCCGGGGTTCTTGCAAACCGTCTAGTGTATTCAGATTCCTAACCTAGTTGCTGAGTGGAGACACTAGGTGGCACCAGCCTGGCTAAGTGATTACCATTTTAAGGCAAAAATATCTAGTTTAGTTTCTAGTAAATAGTTTTCTGAATGGTAAGAAATATGTGTGGCTTTTTTTTTTTTTATCGCATTCTGACTACTGTATGACTTTGAAATTATACGGCTTTAAGTATCTATAAATAATTCATGAACAAAAAGTCATTTTGTGAGCCTGTTTGGAGATGGCACCTTCTACTATCAAAACTAGATACTTAATTGAAGATTGTCTAAATAAAGGATTTTTTTTTTTTTTTCCATTATCATTGCAGTATTGAAATAAAAAAATCCAGTATCAAGTCTATTTCTCAGTATGGAAATAGAGTTTGAAATGTTTGTATTATGACAGCACTAGTGGTGACGTGGTGGTGTTTACCTGAGATTATCGGAGAGTCTGAGGTAACAGCGGACCACGTGCTTTAAGAGGCGAGCGGATGGTTCTTTGGACAGCTGCAGCACCATTTTACCCTGAAAGAATTCAATACATATGTGAGAAAAACACACAGACAATTAAAGTGTACATGACAGGTTTTCATGGTTTTCTAATTCTTCCACAATTGGTTTGATGGGATAGTGCCTGTAGTGAATATTTATCATAGTTTTACATCAGTGAAGTGACAGTTTCAAAAATACGGGAAGTAGCGCTGAGTTGTAAAACAGAATCTCTCTATCTATGCCATGAACATGAAACAAAATTTACACACAAGTAAGTAAAAACTGGGCACCATATTCAGTAAAATAATTATGGGGATCACAATAACAAAGACACTCTTTAGATTAAGTTAAATATAATAACCTCAAAATCAAATACAAACTTTTCTATTTAGTTATTTTGAGTAGATTCACCTAAACAAAACACATTTAGCACATTTTAGCACATTTCTCATGGATTGCCAAACTATCTTAGCTTTAATTGATTGACAGGATATAGGGTTGTCTGTTCAATAAGGGTGAATCGTTGTACAGTTGTAGGGAGTATCATTTGTCACATAAGGGTGAATCGTTGTACAGTTGTAGGGAGTATCATTTGTCACATAAGGGTGAGTTGTTGTACAGTTGTAGGGAGTATTATCTGTCACATAAGGGTGAGTTGTTGTACAGTTGTAGGGAGTATTATCTGTCACATAAGGGTGAGTTGTTGTACAGTTGTAGGGAGTATTATCTGTTAAATAAGGTTGAGTTGTTGTACAGTTGTAGGGAGTATTATCTATTACATTAAGGTGAGTTGTTGAAATTGAACATGGTCCCTGAAATAAACCAATAAACTAAACAATTTTTTTCTATACTGTTTTTGGGATACAAATAAATATGATTATTTTTTAATTGTCAATATACTTATTATATACTGCAATTATAATATTTCGCTTTTACATTGGGTTCATACCAGGATCATGGCGACGTGAGAGAAGCGTTCGTACGTCTGACAGATGTAAGCCAGTCCAGTGTCATCCAGCAAGATCTTCTGCAGGATGAAAGTGGCAACCTAAAAACAATGAAGACATTTTATTACTTTTTTAAAAAAAAATTTATTTAAAGTGGAACTAAACACCTAAACTCAGCCCACAATCACATTTCAAATTGAGCTGCTAAACTGGACAGTACCTGGAGGACTTGAGGGGAAGAGTGAGAGTGTGTGACAGCAAGTGTGAGAGAGAGGGAGACCAAGAGAGAGACAGAGAGACAAGAGTGAGAGAGACAGAGAGAAAGAGAGAGGGTGTGAGTAAGTGAATGAGAGTGAGAGAGTGAGACAAACAGAAAGACAGAGCAAGAGAGAGAGAGAGAGTGAATGAGAGCATGCGTGAGTGAGTGAGAGTGAAAGAGACAGAGAGAGAGAGAAAGTGAGTGGGAGAGACAGAGAATGAGACAGAGTGAGAGAGAGAGAGAGACAGAGTGAGAGAGAGAGCGAGCGAGAGAAAAGTGAGAGACAGAGAGAGAGTGAGTGAGACAGAGAAAGACAGAGAGAGTGAGTGAGTGAGAGTGCGAATGAGTAAAACAGAGTGTGAGACAGAGCGAGATAAAGAGTCTGTGAGTGAGTTAGAGTGAGAGATACAGAATGAGAGAGTGACAGATAGAGAGAGAGAGTGAGAAAGACAGAGAGAGACAGAGAGTGAGTGAGTGAGAAAAGAGAGAGAGAGAGACAGAGAGAGAGACAGACAGAGAGAGAGAGAGAGAAAGAGAGAGAGAGAAAGAAGGAGAGAGAGAGAGAGAGAGTGAGGTGGGTGGGGTTTGAGGGTATAAGGAACTGTTATGGAACTGTTACTATAAGGAAAGTAAAATCTAAAACAAAGTGCATTACCGTTTTGGAAAGCTCGCTGCCTGACTCCATAATGCGCAGACACAGAGGAATGATTTCAGTCGTGAGCAGAAAGTTGATCACTTCCTGTTCGTCTGTTTTGACCAAAGCTCCTGTTAAAGAAGACGCAAAAACACATTTATTACAGTACGTTTACAGCACACAGCATTATATCAACACTGAGTTATACAAAATAAACAGTAATAAATGTATAGAAAAGCAATGATTGGACCATTTTGGGAACTTGTGTTCAATCTGATTTACAATATTATTAGCAGCCAGATTATTGTGAGCAAAGTGACACTGACATCTTTCTTCTTTGTTAAGTAAACATAACAATTACCCCTTAGGTTACTGCACTGCTTTGAACTAAACTGTCACTGTCAAATGCAGGAAATCTTTACCAAGAAATTATTGAGGAAATTTCAATCCAAATGTTTTGACTACATACCGATATGTCAGAGAGCTATCAACAAGAGGCCCCTTAAAATTAAACTTGTAACATTCCCAATTATATTAACATTAGTAATATAATAGTGAAAAATAATAGTCATTATTAGTAGCGGCAATAGTAGAAACAGTGCTAGTAGTATTAGCAGCATTACTAGCAGTGGCAGTAATAGTAGTAATAGTAGTAGTATTAGTCTGTACCTATAACTCCGAGGCTTGTGAGGCGCAGATATTCAAAGGGTCGCGTTTTGCTCACAGTGTGAAGAAACGGGTACAAGAACAGAGGGATGTGGGCTGCCAGGAACGCCGACCTGAATCAAAGCATAAGATGCAGAGTTAATGAGAAGTTTTGTAGGCACAACCATTTTCAACTCTAAAACCATAGTCAGTATTATTTATTATTATCTTTTTTCAGATTTTCAACTCATTTTAACATAATTTTGCCTCGAATCCAAGACCAGCACAGGTTTTAAAATCCTTTGTTACTATTGAACAGTGCTGGATGACTTTGCTGACAAGCTAAACAAAATCAGAATTGTGTATTAATGATCACACAAGAAGTTGGTGGAATTTGTTTCAGTACAGCAAAAAATGCCCAACTCTTACAACTTTATTAGAGAACAAAAAAAGGCAGACAATATACATACATAACACACAACAGGTAAATAAACAAGTTCCATCAGGGACTGGTTGAGAGTCCAAATGGCTATGGGAAAGAAATGATTTTTGAATCTAACTGCCTTGGATGTAATGGACCTGTAGCGCCTCCTGGAGGACATAAGTAGGCCTGTCACAATAATTACTATATTGACTTATCTTTCAATACATGATGGATGGAACAATAATTTTTGGGGGGATGAATATTTATTGCGGGTCCTTTTTCCTTGGACTAGTCAGAAAATTATAGTTATTTTTCAATACTATGATGAGATTTGAGCTGTAGAAGGTTGAATTATGAGCTTCTATGACTCATTATAGATACAAACTTAACTGTTGCATTCTGATATTTACTTATTGCAGCTCATATTTTTAACAATATCGTACATTTAGAATATTAATTTCTGGATGATTCTGCTTTTTGGTTTGCTTTCAATATTGTCATTTATTGTCTATGTTTACATAAACATTTGTAATTGGTCATTTCTCACCTTGTTTCTGGATGTGAAGCGACACATTGTAGAAGAGCCAGAGCGTTGCAGACTCTGTTGGACTGATGAGCTGTGAGTGTGGGAGGGTTTATGGATGGGTAGATGTTCACTATTTCCTATCAAAAACATAAATGAGATAAAACATAAAAAATATGTTGATATAAAACTGTAAGCTAAGGTATGTCCTATATTGTGAGTATCATTTATGCTCAATTCTGCAGATGGTAGTGAAATAATTAAGTCTTGACAAACATAAACAAGAGGCAATTAAGCAAATGCTGGTAGCCAGTTTGGCTTGTACCACAGTAACAAAGAAGAGCTTAACTCTTCTTTGTTACTGTGGCTTGTTGGATTTTATGTATCAAGAGGGTATTCAAACTTCTGAATTTTAATAACATTAGTTTTAGGTGCCCTCATCTGTATTAAATATTATTGGCCTATAGAATGTTTTAATTTAATAAAGACAAACAAATAATCCCAGCCTTAGATTAAAAACTACTATCTATATTAAATTGGGCAGATTGACAAACTGATCCATAAAGCTGGTCACGTGATCGTCTGTGATATATTTGAGATACTTGTCACAGAGAGAGAGGAGGACACTGGACAAACTGCTCTCCCTCATGGACACTCCTGCTCACCCACTACACCAAACTATAGAGGGACAGATAATACTCCCTACAACTGTACAACTCACCCACTGCACCAGACTATAGAGGGATGCTCAAACAGTGAGAGATACAGGACTACAATCATACAATAATACTCCCTACAACTGTACAGCAACTCACCCTTATGTAACAGATAATACTCCCTACAACTGTACAACAATTCACCTTTATGTAACAGATAACCCCATGTCCTGTCAATCATCATATCTTCTTTGCACTGTTTCCTTATGACCTCTTGTATATTACTGAGATATTTTTATTACTTATTTTACTTTTATTTGTACAAATACATTTATATAATTATGCCTTAATTACACCAGTCTCTTGCTATTGTTGCCAATTATTTAGAATTTATTACTATCATTTATTTTTTTCTCTCTGTTATTATAATATAATGTGATGTGTGAGCTACTGTGTCCAAGTCATTTCCCTTCTGGATCATTAAAGTTTGTCTAAGTCTAAGTCCATTACCTGTAGGAGGGCAGCGATGGTGCCACAGGAGTGCCAGAGCATGGGGGCTAAATCAGGCACAGACTCGCGTTTCTTGCTCAGCTCTAGTAAAGCGTTCTCTCTGGTCTCTGGACTCGACAGCTCGTTGATCCACTGGTAAATCTTCTCCCTGTCCACCTGCGCCAGAGCTGTCACGTTACTCACAGCCTGTGAAAAGTAAATACAATAGGCAGCAGTGAAAGGTGGCTCAGAAGGTCTCAGAACTTAGCTTAGAACAGAGCTTAGATTAATTAAAAAGCAAATTTAGTTTGACTTGTTGTTGTACACTGTAATTAATGGGAAACACTGTAACTGACTGCATTACTTATAGTTTAGCTTAACAATAATAACTTTCACTCTAAATTATGAATACAGGAGACAAAACGCTGTTTATAATATAGTTTTATACAAATACCTTCCTGGGTATACATTAAAACAGACGAGAACTACAGTCTTAAATAAAATACATTGGATTTAGTGAGTAATACACCATAAAATTACTATATTAAGTTTTATGGCGCTATAAACAAAAGAGAGAGAATTAAGATCACGTTTATCTTGAGTTAAATACTTACAGCTCCCGTGGCCAGCATTATGTCCAGTGTTTATGCCTTTAAGTGCTTGTAAAATATATCCTTGTACGTTTAATAGTCAGAATAATGAACTTTAGACAGTTTTGGGGGGATGTTGGGGGTTTCGGTAGCTGCAGATGCTAACAGCTACCTCATGCTAAACCTCCAAACAAACCGATATCCGTTCGCGCCATAAAGAAAAACATAAGCGCAACATATTAGAAAATGTCAAAACGTGTATCTTTAAGTGAAAATAATCACCGTGGAGCATGAAAAAGAGGTGACTCATTCAATGTTTTGTCAACCCCAAAAATTCGAGCCATTCAGAATATAAATAATAGGAAGTCTCGCGAGATTTGGTTAAGATAATTTATTCTAGAAGCAATTTTTATTTGACTAAATGTTTGTGCTATTAATTTATTTGTAATATTATTTACATGTATGATCTCGTTAATAGTATAAATACGAAAAAATAATAACTGTGTGTAATTATATTTATGTATTTGTCCTCGTTCCTTCCACATCATAGACTATATGATCCACACAAGCCACTTTCATTGGATTATAATCATACATCGTTAAAAAAAAAAAAAAAAAAGTTGCTACACCGTGCTTTCAAACATCGAATTATATATACAAAACGTGCAGAACGTTGTAGAAAGTGCGAGATTTGGGAGAGGAAGTGTGTCGGTTCATCATTTCCGCTGCAAATGTTGGTTCCCGCCATCACCGCGCAGTGTTGTGAGGCGTCGTGCTCCACTGTCAACAAACTGGCAGCAGCCCGTGAATGCCGGTAAAACTCTCTTTCTGCCTTCGCATGACTTCGGAAAAAGACCCTTCGGCTTAAAACTGTCGAGACCCCTGTGTAGCATCGACAGGTAAGCGGCCGCGGCGGTGTGATTTGAGCGCGGTTGTGTTTTTGTCACTATATGAGTACGCTTAGCACAGTTAGCTCGTGTGCTAACATGCTAACGGACTCGCTAATGTCGGCCTCGTCCATCCATTCTGTGTACAGGAGCACGCACCATGTACTTGCAGCGATGTGCGGGCATTTAACTCGACCAAAGTGACGTTTCTGCGCGCAAACTTATCGACTTTTTAAACGAACGCGCACTTTAGGCTGGAATAAACCGCTCAATCGCAAAACTGTTGCCGTTGCGTATTAAAGTTGTGCATTTACTGCGATGTAAATTGGCTAAATGCTAATGTGATGCAAAGCTGCGTTGTCTCCTAACGGGACCAGGAAATTAAATTTATCCAAGATGCAAGGTGAACGACTTTGCATGTCTGTGGACCCGAGTCCCAATGGCGTTTAGTAGTTATTTTAGCCCAATGTTTTGGTTGTGTCTGTGTTCCTATGTGGCGTGGGATCACTTTCCCCGCGAGTTTGTTGTGAGTTTTGTGGATCCAACAGCAGTTCAGCTTTGCATTTCACCATGTATACCTATCTGTTATTGATAAATTTGACTGGATATCTGTAATAAACTTATTAACGTGTTGCATAAGCCATTCTGTTTGTGCAATAATGACGTTTTAAGACTATTAACCCATTAATTCCCACGCTTTCCTAAACAAAAACACCACTGGGAAGGTCATTTAACATGGTAAATAGTCTAAACTAATGTTATGCCTTATTTTATGTTTTATTATAATGTAACACATAAAGTTTAAGCATTTTCGGAGTCTATTTACAACTCAGATGCATTGTCTCAACTTCACATGCGTCTCATACATTGTAAAGAGAGACAAGGAGAGGGTGGCTATTGTTTAAATATTTTGGTGGGAATTTTTTAATCTGAAAGTCAATAAATAAACAAAAAACTTAACTTTTAAATTTAAATTTTAGCCATTTATGCTTTGCATGTAGTGATAATAATGCGTTATTTATTCATTGCGTTCTTTTGTATTGTCCAGCTACTTTCTAAATTTAACTTGCGGCAACACTAACGCATGCTTTTTAGCGGTTTATATTAGACTGGGTTTGTTCACACATTTGCTAAAATAGAAACCTTGACGTTTATTCCTGTCATTTGTTTTCAGATCAAGTTACTTATCAATATCAAAACAAATTCATTAAGCCAGTTTTTTAGCAACTCCAGATTTAATCATCTGTGCCAATGTTAATGAGGCTGTATTGATTGACCTGGTGAAATGAGTCAGAGTTGGCTCTTGTTTTATTTTGTGTTTGTTTTTGTTTTTGTGTTGTAGTCAATTATGAATGGCCAATCTAGTCTACAATTAGGGCTACAAGTTTAATCCAAGTTGAATAGACTTTGCAGTGTCAATGGGCTCAATTAATTTCCTCCACAAACAACAAAATCTCCTGTTTTATTATGCATAAAAGTCGCTAACCCTGTAGTTGAGATCTGTATAAGCATGTTCTGTGATTCTTGTATTAGTTTGCCAGTTCAGACTTTTTGTGAATTCTTCTGATGTGTTTAAAATGTGAACTTTGAACAGAATCCTATTATTAAAACACAAATTAAATCTAATCATAGTTGCAATGTTTTTTTTCCATTTTAGCGGGCCTCATCTGTATTCTAATTGGCCTGTATAATGTTGTGATATCACTTGAAACCCAGCACCAATAACTGAAATATGACCTGACTTTTTGTATTCCCTTTTGTTATAACAATGACTTAATTTCTTATTGTTTTTCCTCTTGTTTAGGTCTAAAATTTCCCACTGGATCATTTTGCTTCTCCATCTAAACTTGCTGAGATGACGTCTTTAGCCCCAAAACTGTCCAGTGGCTCGGTGGTGAAGATCCGCATCAACAGTTTGGACATGGGCACGACCAAGTGGAAGGAGGGCACGTTTGAGATCCAGGAGAAGGACAACAAGGCCAGCCTCTGTCTGCGGTTTAACTGTGGAGGAGCGGCCAAAACATTTCAGGTATGTACCACTCAATCCCAGCCCCTAATTCAATCTGTCTTTATTTATAATCGCTTAAAACAATACAGCTGTCCACCCTCTGAGCTGGGTAACAATAATGGTTATGAATTACTAAAGGGAGACTGGAAATACTCTGGCATGACTTAGATGTGCAGTAGTAAATAGATGGTTTGTCCTGCTTATCTTAAGTATGTCTCAGAATTGTATTCATTCACTCGGTCGAAGGTGCTTGTATATCCTCTGCAATTTACATTAGGGCGAAATAAAACAGACATTTTATAAACTACACAAAATTATGAATGAAATCTTGACTGTGGGTGAGTCACGCCTTTTAAGAAAGTCTTGGGTTTGATTCCATGTCTCTCTGGCCTCTGGCCTAATCCAAAACATGCATAATAGGTCAAATCCTCCAGCCACGTAGTCCTGACCAAGACTAGCTCAAGATCTGAAGATGGGTCCCACTGCTCCCACTGCACTGAAGTGCCCCAGCGACGCTGATGAGTCAAATGCAGATGACACCCTACGGGGACAATAGTGGACCCTTAACCTTATTCGCCATTGCCCATCCCCAAATGAACTATAAAAAAGTTTATCACCACAGTGGATTTGTAGGTGCTTTGTTTGGAATGTTCCTCAGTAAATAATTAAAAGTGTGTATTGTGCATTTATTCAATTAAAAGTGTTTTTAATGACCTAGCTAGCTTATAGACCTAGCTAAATAACAAACTGTAACAATGCAGTGTTTCTCATATGTAGCTTTCATTCTGTGGCGCAGTGCCACAAATTGATTCCTCACTTTTTCACCGTGATTCTGTCATTCTCGCTCACTCACACACAGAGAGAGCAAGATCAGCAACTGTGCATATATGTCAGTGGGGGTAAACTTATAAAACACTTGCACTTATTCCTGTGGGACGCGGAGCTCTGCGCCAATCCTTTCACCTGCAATAACCCGACGGTCTACGCGGGCACACATCTGTGCCCGTCACGGCACTCGGAACCGTAATGAAGCCCAGTGTTGTCCGGGGATATCCTGGCCCGAGCTTCCTCCCGCACAATAAATGGGCCAGAACCCATTAACCCTTAAATATCTTGATTCTTTTTTTGCATAAAAAACAACTGACCCTGTAGTTTAGAACTGTCTAACCTTGACTCTGTAGTTTAGAAGAATCTGAAATGTGATTTTTGTATTAGTTTGTCAGTTCAGGTTTAAATCTTTTTGTCAGTTCTTCCGGTTGTGTTTTAAATTGTGAATTTTGGACAGAATTCTGTTATTAAAAATAAATCTCAACTTTAATGCTGTTAAGAATTGCAATTGTGATTAAAGTGCAGTGTGTTTGATATTTAAATTCATCCCTTTTTTCTCTCTAGCTGAGTCAGAATGTGAAGAAAGTGGCTCCTCATGCGAATAAAATCACCCTCACTCTGAAGGACAACAGTGTCATTTTTCTGGATAAACTTCCTTTGACTCTGGCTCAGAAGACCAAAGATTACCTGGAGAGACTCAAACTCGGCAAACCTGGTGCGAAGGAGGTCCTATTACGCAAAACTGACTCTTGTGAGCTTTAGCATTTTATTGATGGAATATTTTTCTGTGTATTTGTAGTTTTAAAAACCTCTTATGGAAGCGCAAACTTCAGTGTCCTCAGCTGCCGACCCGTGAAGAATGACTCCAACCCTCCAGGAGAGAGACAGGTGAGAGACAAGATGTCCTCTGCATCCTCTGCTCTATCTGACTCTCTGCTCTTCATCTTATCCCCCATCTTACTCTCCTCTGCTCGGTCTGACCCTCTTTTCCTCTTCTTTCAGACGACTCCTCGTCGACAGAGCTCAGAGGGTAGAGAAGACTCAACTCCGCGTAAACCTCTGGGCAGCCCGAGCCGAGCTGCCTCCACCCCCACGCGTCCTCTGTCTGAGAACAGGTAACGATAACATAATGCTAAAAAAGAAATAGCCCAAGTAAATTTTCTCAGAACAATTACAAGACAGAAATACTGTTATTGATCTCCATGGTGACGTAAGAAAATAGAATTGGACAACTAAATACAGAGCAGTGGGTGTGTGCCAATGAAAACATCTTGAATGCGAGAGAATAAAGATTACTCAAACATACATGCAACACTGTAATATACTGTGATTTATTAATATAGAATTTCATAAAATACACAGAATTAATGATTGAAAAATGGACCACAATGTGTATTACTACATTATCTGTAATCTAAGCATGTGCATTGTTTCCAGGAGTGAGAAGAGAAAGAGACTCATGAACTCTGAAAGTGACCTGACAGAGGACTACCCCAAAGAGAACGATTCCTCCAGGTAAAAACTCCAAAAATACATCAAATTAAACATGAATAATTTGCACATAATGAGTTAACTAAAGTACTATCTGTCAGTGGGACAGATGACAAAACAACAAAACACATTTAAATTTAAATGATAAGATTCGACTTTTTTTTTTTTTTTTTTTTTTTTTTTTTACTTTTAGCAACAACAAGGCCACTTCAGACCCATCTAGGAAATTTCTTCAGAGCTGCAAAGACAAACTCAAGCAACAGGAAGAAAACAGAAACTCTGGTAAAATACTTATCTTTAAAGGTGTATGAAACTTTTCTGATGACTCAGTGCACCTTTTTAAATGTTAATTATCTCATGTTTTAATCTAAATATGCATTTTTCAGCTCCTCTGGGTTCGACTCCTCTTCAGCCCACCTCCTTCTATGGGAGCAGATCAGTGACCAAGGACTACAGCCAGAGCCACTCTTTCCTCGACAGGTGAATACAGTTAAACAATTGTTCAAAATGTTGACATATTTTAGGCATATTTATTTGTAGGGCACAATTTATACAAAGTATTTCAAAGTGCTTTACAGAACATGAAAATATGCATTAAATCATGATACAAGTAAAATTTCACTTTAGCGGTGTATGTGACTGTGAATCAGGACTGATTAGAGTGAAAATAGAAATACAGGGCTAATTAGGCTAAAAATGCCTGTATGTTTTAGTCAGGTAACAAAGTTTATATCCCAGATAAAATATCTTTTAATTTAAAAAGTCAATTTATGAACTTTACTTCAACATGACATATAGTTCTAGGCAAATATTGATTTTAATATAATTGGCAAATATTGTTGTCAAATGTTGTCGATGAATGTCGGATATCTGCATTTTCTCTGAAAACACCTCGGCTTGTTTCTAATTTAAATATTGTCAAACCTTGGAACAATATCACATTTGTTATAACATTTGTACCTTTTTGTTCATTTTTCCTCTGCACAGGCCTTCGTCCACAGCCCAGTCATCCTCTGCTAAAAGAAGTCTTCTGCTGCCGAACCATTCAACTCCATTCAAAAAGGTCCGACCGTCTCTGGACTACGGAGGCTGGAACAAGCAGAGGCCCACTGCTCTGGCCCAGCCACAGCCTCCTCTGCAGGGGTAAAGCTCAGCTAAATCTATTTACCAATGTAACTATTCCTCTGCTCATGTCGTCACCATGGGGAGCACAGCCTTCAGCCTCTCTGCTCCTCAGCTCCTGACCCCCGCAACACCCACTCACACTCTTCAGATGAGCCTGACCAGATGTACTGCACAGCATTTTCAACTCAAATCCCACTTCACACAAACACCTGTTTATTCCTTTAGTTATCCTGAAGCTTCGAAAATACGCTGCTTATATGACAATGTAAAAACTTCCTGTGACCCTGTCAAAATAAAAGCTCTGTTTACCCACTGCTGAACAAGCCATATTATGAAATCACTGACAATGTGTATGGTTCAAACTGCACAAACGGCACGCTGTCAGATCCAGTGTGCTTAGTATTTAGGAATTGGGAAGTTTTTATTATTGCTTTGTTTCCTGAATTTGAGCAAAATAATGACCAAAATGCAGCTAAATACAGGAATCAAGGCATCTTGTTAAAATGGGGAGTGGAGAACCACTGAAAAAAAATATATATGTTTTTTCCAACAAGATATTCCTTATTTTTAGTCCCATATTTGATTGATTTCTGTCTGGTCACCCTACTTCAAATCCAAACTCAAAATGTATCTGTTTAGACTGGCCTATTCACTCCACCACACCACACAACTGCATGCTTTTAACTGTATGTTTTTACTCTATTAACTTTGTTCTATAGTGATGCTTTTGGTTATAGTTTTAAGCTGACTTGAGTGTCTAGAAAGGTGACTAATAAATTAAATTATAATAGTTTCTAGTTTATAATAGCTCTCATTCAGTGCTGGATGAAATGAAACATGAAACTCATTTGTTTTACTTACTTTTACTTATCTAATCATCCATTCTTACCTTATTCTGTTTTCAGTTTCTCTAACTTGGGCAACACATGCTACATGAATGCGATTCTGCAGTCTCTGTTCAGCCTCCCGTCTTTCTCCAACGACATGTTAAAGCAGAGCATTCCCTGGAAGAAAGTGCCCATTAACGCACTGCTCAGGTAATATCTAAACATGTAAATGTAAAGGCAACATGTGACGCATGACAATAGAGTTTTTCCTTAAGTGAAGCTTTTGTCTTGATCATAGACCATAATCCGTGTATCATTCGTTCATTTGTTTTTCAATATAAAACCAAAAATAAGAAAACGAAAAAACAACAGTTTTCTTCGTTATTTGTCTCCAAAACCAAAATGAAAAAACGGATAACGATTCGTTTTTTCAGTTTTCGATTTTGTGTTTAAATGAAGAATGGAAAAAACGGATAACGGCCGTTTCCCGTTTACGAGACTTCCGTGACTGCGATGCCGAACTTTTGCACCTTGTACGGACTGAACTAGGACTGATCCAGGTCCGAGGCCAGACCGGGACCAGACCAGGACCAGAGCGGGACTGGGGCGGACTCCAAGCTTTGACTCTGAGCCTCCGTGGGACGATGACACGGAACCGCTCGGACCGCTGGTCTCGGTCTCAGTCCCGCTCTGGTCCCGGTCTGGTCTCGGACCTGGATCAGTCCTGGTTCAGTCCATATGTGGTGCAGTCACGGAAGTCACATAAACGGGAAACGGCCGTTATCCGTTTTTTCCATTCTTCATTTAAACACAAAATCGAAAACTGAAAAAACGAATCGTTATCCGTTTTTTCATTTTGGTTTTGGAGACAAATAACGAAGAAAACTGTTGTTTTTTCATTTTCTTATTTTTGGTTTTATATTGAAAAACGAATGAACAAATGATACACGGATTGACCATGATCATAAGTTTAGGTCTTTCTTGTTTTTTCTTAAAACCTGAATTTACAGAGCACAGGTTTTCCTCACATTATGCAGCCCTAAGTTGTGTAGACATTTGAAGTTATAATTTTTCCCTTCATGTTGTCCTTTCCAGGCGTTTTGCTCACCTCATGGCCAAGAAGGACGTTGGCTGCCCTGAGACAAAGAAAGATTTACTGAGAAAAGTGAAGAGTGCAATTTCTTCAACGGCTGAAAGGTTTTCTGGAAACATGCAAAACGTAAGAGTTTAATCAACGTATGTCACACTGAACTAAAGTCCTTTTTTGTTAACACTTCTATATTATGCAAAATTGGCAGTTGTGAGCTTTAAGCCATTTTATACTGCTACTGCTGTTACCTCCTCATAAACATATCTTGAATTGTTTTGTTTCATTCACACATGTTTGAGTAACCCTTTATTATTTGTCTATGTCTCTAAAGCTCAAAATGCTCTGTTCACAGGTGACATGATCCAAATGGAGTTGAGTGCTACCTGTATTACTATATGACATTAGAGTGTTGGACTAAATATGTGTAATTTGTGTGTTAAATGTGTGAATGAAACAAAACACAGTTCCACGTATGTTTGTGATGTGGAAACATTACATAATAGATCAGAAAATGGCATAATATGGGCCCTTTTAATGTTGATAATATTTCCTTAGGATGCTCATGAGTTCCTGAGCCAGTGTCTGGACCAGCTGAAGGATGACGTTGAAAAGATGAATAAGAGCTGGTCGAGTGAAGCCTCTTCTTCCTCTGCCTCCTCTGCCTCTGCTGAAAGCAGCGTCTCTGCTCCAGTGAGAGTAGAACCTGGAGAGGAGGCTGATACTTCACGTATCTACACCTGCCCTGTGGCTGTCAACATGGAGTTTGAGGTCCAGCACACCATCACATGCAAATGGTAAGACTTGTGTTTACATTCAGTCAGGCTTAAAGTGCATATGACAGGTTAATGTTATTGTTTCGGTTGGTGGGATAGTACAGTCAGTCAGGTGGACATTTGTGAAAAGGATAAAATTGCATGAATTCCTCCATCTATGTCAAAAATACACAAAATTTCAAACAAAATGCAGTTCCACAAGGAACGATCTAAAATACCTTTACAGAATAAAGGTGTTTTTATGCATTTACAATAACGATAACCTTTATGAAATTTAGACAACTATTGGCTCTAGTTAACATTGTGGTTACCTTATCAATCAATCAAACTTTATTTATAAAGCACTTTTCATACAAAAATGTAACACAAAGTGCTTATGGTAACCATTATTGAAGTCCCCCTACATATGTTCATATGTTATAGCTGCTGCCTGAGACCAACCAGGAAGTAAAATTATAAACGTCACAAATTGTAAGACTAAGAAAAACTGAGCAAGATTTAAAAATTCTTAAAATGTATTTATGATATCTACGTTTTAGTGACTATCTTCTTCTGAATTGCGCATTTAAAATGATTTGCTTGCAAGAAAATATCTATTGTTATTTGTATCATATATGAATAGCTTTGATTGTTTTAGTGCTTTTCAAAACCCGTGTCTTGACGGTGTTTAGTTTTCATTATGATAAATTATTATGTTAACATGTCTTTGTGTTTTTGCTGCAGTTGTGGTGAAGTGGTGACCAAACGTGAGGTGTTCAATGACCTGTCCATAGATCTGCCTCGAAGGAAGAAGACTTTGCCCCTGCGCTCCATACAAGACTCTCTGGACCTGTTCTTCAGAGTCAGTTTCAGCATTTAAATGTTTTATCCATCATTCACAGGTTTAAGTCTAACATAATCATTTTTTTCAGATGGAGGAGATTGAGTACTCATGTGAAAAGTGCAACGGTAAAGCAGCGACTGTGACTCACAAGTTCAGCAAGCTACCGAGGTATCTGCAAGAGACATTTTAAAGCAGACTTATTCTACAAAATCAACTTTTTAGAGCTTTTCACTATGTTGGAGTAATTTCTCCTGGAACTGTGTTTTCTTTCATTTATACATGTTTAACACACAAACCCTAAGGTTTAAACTTGGTTCTTCCTTCAAACTGAAAACACTGTTCCACTTCCTGTATTACCACCTAACTCCATACACCTTCACTAGAATTATGTGGAAAATTTCAGTCCTAGAATCTCAGCCAATCTCTACTAAACAAAACATAAAAGGTAGCTGTTAACTACCACTACATGACATCACAAGGTGGAACAGAGCATTTTGAACTTTGTAGAGAGACTAATAAGAAAGGGTTACTCAAACATCTAAATTAAACAAAACATTACTCCAGGTGTGTTTTTGATAAGGCAGCATTATGACATGGTTTAAAGCTCACAAGAGTCCATTTTGACTTGAAACTTGTTTTCATTGCAGAGTCTTGATCCTGCATCTGAAGAGGTACAGCTTTAATGCACAGCTCTCCCTAAACTCTAAACTGGGGCAGCAGGTGGTCATCCCTCGCTTCCTCACGCTCTCGTCTCACTGCACAGAGGCCACACGGGCCCCTGTCAGCCTTAACTGGACCACAGCGTAAGAAATACTAATTATGCTACAGTTGATGGCTTGAGTATAATATGGGCCCTTTAATTTGTAATGTTAATGTTTTGCTTTTTAAATGTTTTTAACTTAAATCTTATTTCTCTTAAAGGGCCAGAACGCTCAAGGCCTCACAGGCACCTGTTTCTTTAATCCCAAGGTAAATGTTAGTTTATTAGTTAAACATAAAAGTGATAAATGGGGATGAGACGAGATCTCATCAACGTGCATCATCATGCATAACTTAGTTTAAAGTGAGAAAGGAGGAGAGAGAGAAGTGTTCCTTTTCCTCCGTGTCCCACTGTGGCCCAGATTTAATCTAATCATTTAAATAATAAAAATATTGTATATTGAGTATATGGTATTAATCAGTAGTGATGCGTGTGGGGCAATGTTCGCTCTAGCGCACCGTAGAGGGAACATTAATGTGGGGATTTCACTGCAGAATTGGTGTTTAAACCATAAAGGGTGTGTAATGCATTTAGGCGATAAAAACACATGACTTACTTTAGTCAAGTAGTCAGACATATGACTTAATTTAGTAGTTTCTTTAACTATGTACTATGCATAACTATTCTTTAACTATAACAAAATTTAACCAATTTAAAAACGTGTGACCAAAATTGGGAATTGATCTGATTATTGTAAATGATCTCAATCTCGTCTTGATCTTGTGGACCCTCTCGTCTTGTCTTGCCCACGCCTTGTGTTTAAATAATTGTTTTGTATAAATCTTCAAACTGGTGTGTTTTCCAGGCGGGTAGGAGGGAAAGCTGTCGCATCATCTCTGCTCTTGGACTCAGATGGAGAGGAAGAGTCAAACAGAAAAGTGACTCTGAGCCGAAAGAGGCGTCTGAGCAGCTGTTTAGCCGAAGAGAGCGAGGAGAGAGCGGAGGAGGTGAGGACAGGAACCAGAGAGAAGAACATCTTGCTGCTACCGCAGTGTTTAACTACATAAACCAAGACACATTACAGTCATTTAAAAAGCCTAAAACAATAAAGGTTTGTTTCTTACAACAAATTTAAACAATGCTTATGATCTGCTTACGAACTCATGGAAGACCAGGGAGCCTGTAGTTGAGGCACACTATATACTTTGTGGGCTTTGTGAGCCCTATATCACCTTTTTCTAAAAGAAGAGAAATTGTTGCATTATGGACTAGGGGATATGTGAAAAATTAACTTCAAAGCATTATGAAATGCTGTATCTAAAAATCCAACTCTTGAGTTAGTTAATAATGACAACATTATAACTTGTTAAAAACTCTTAACAGCTCTTTTGCTTAATGTCTCCTTTAACATTCCTGTCTCTCAGCCCACAGCGGTGATGGAGTCTTCAGACTTCAATCTAAATGATGAAGAGATGCTCGCTGCAGTGCTGGAAATGAGCAGGCAGGAGGCAGGGCTACAGGGGGCAGGGTCCGATGAGGGGGCGGGGCTATGTGAAGAGCCCAGTAGCAGCCCTGACACTGGGTTTGGAGACACGGAGCCTGGACCAGAGCTGGTTTATCACACTGAGCTGGAGACAGAGAGACCGCCTGCAGGTGAGGAACATGTGTGTTTATACAGGACTAAGGTTAGAATTATGACAACATGCTGATAATCATGCAGGATCCTAATACTCTACATAATTCAACTGAAAACCAAACTTTGAACTTGCACACAACTATAGCCTCTTTTCTGGTTCTGGGTGTGGCAAAAGTCCAAGTGGATAGCACGCTGATGAAGGGAGAGGGTGTGTGTTGGTCAGGTTTTGCCAGGCGACTTTTGCCAGACAAGTTTTAAAATAAAACTATCCATACTATAGGTTTCTTTGTCATCTTACACATAAGACATAAATCCATTCAAACTGTAAATTGTCTTTCTTTTCTTAGACGTGTTGGACTCTCTGGACCTAACAATGGATGAGAACAAAGAAAACCAGACCCCAGAGGCTCAGGAGCTCGACTGGGTTCAACAGTACAGTCTGGAGCAGGAGAGAGAGGAGCAGGAGCTACAGCAGGCCCTAGCACAGAGTCTACAAGAACATGTGAGAAACTATCCTAAAACTTCAAATATATATATACAACACTACAGTCATATCATTCGTGTTGTCACAATACTACAATTTCAAACTCTATTTCAATACTCTTTACTGATTCTGAAACCACGATGATTATTAAAACAAAAACAAAAAAAACAATAGACACTGGTTTATTTTCAGCATTAAATGGTAGAACTTTCTTTTCTATCCCCATGTGGCCTTTTATGTGTGGTCCAACTAGGTTCTATAGCAATCTACTAGTACTTGTTCTGATACAGTTTAAGATAAAGCTATTCAGGAATATGAATATGACTTTTTAGGATTGATATTTGCTCAAATTAGTATCTGTTTTCAATATTAGTTTTAGTATCATTTTGTTTGAGTTTCAATACTTTAGATAACCCTGCCATAGAGTAAATGTACATTCTGGAGCAGGAGCTAGAGCAGGCCCTACAGAGAGAATGTGAGAAAGTCTAGCATAGAGCAGACATATACACACACATTGCAACACTAGAGTTAGACCATAAAACAGTACATAAATACTGTGCCGTTTGGAGCAGGAGACACACTGAAATGTGTGTTTAAAATGTCTGAATGTAGAAAGTGGCTCTTATTTGAATTAATTTTCAGACCAGTGAATAATCTCTTCCTTTCACTGTGAATCTATAGGAGGCTCAGGAGATGAGAGAGGATGATGACCTGAAGAGGGCGACAGAGCTCAGTTTACAAGGTGAGCACAGGACAATGCACGCAGAATTTTTAACTTCCAACTGTTTATATTAAAGGTGCTGTCACTGATTTAAAAAAAATAAAAAACAGAGCTGGGTTATTTTTTTTTCAGTTTTGCAGTGGTCCAAAGTTCTTCCTCACTTACCTTTCAGTTACATTCAAAGCATAATTATTCACAGCGATGAGATTATAAGCACTTTTTACAACTTTTAGACACCAGGGTGGAGTTTTGCCATGACAATAATGCTAACAACTAGCACACTAACTCAAACATAGACCCACACAAAATTTATTAGTACTGGGGTGAGGCAAATTGTGCTCAAATACATGTAAAAAATATATATATTAAAAAAATAGGTACAGCTCTTCCTTGAAACTATGTTAATTCTAATCTGAATCTGTCTGTGTACATTTCTCCTCAGAGTTCAATAACTCTCTGCCAGAGCTGCTGTGTTCAGACGACTCTGGAAACGAGGACGTCCTGGACATGGAGTATACTGAGGCTGAGGCCGAGAACCTGAGGAGGAACGCAGAGGTACTGACTGGAGGGATGAAATACATACACTACACTAATACATGTGATAATGACCTGATAATAATACACTCCTAATGGGACCACTTTCTGAAGCTATTGTGAAAATCATTTAACTTTTGTTTCTTTATATTAACAGAAGATGTTGAACTTGAACCTGTTCTTATTTCAGATGGATAGGCTCAGTAATTGCTGTATGCCAGCTTGCATAGCTCAGTGGAAGGATGATGTTTAACTAATCTTTTTTTTTTGTCCAGAGTGGATTTTTACCAAACTCCTTCCGACTCATCAGTGTGGTTAGTCACATCGGCAGCAGCTCCTCCTCTGGTGAGCTCTGTCTCTGATTGAACCAAATAACTCCTGCTTTCACTGGCTCATTTTGTCGTATTTTTATTTGCATTTCTCCTTCAGGCCACTACATCAGCGACGTGTACGACATGAAGAAACAGTCTTGGCTCACCTACAATGACCTGGACGTGTCTCGGACTCAAGAGGTTGCTGTTCAGAGGGACAGAGACCGCAGCGGCTACATCTTCTTCTACATGCACAAGTGAGTAGACACTGCTCAGACGTCAGACTGAAACCAGTTACCATATTTTTTTGGACTAAGTGGCTCTGCAGTATAAATCACACCAGCCAAAAAATGTGTAATGAAGAAAAAAACATAAATCACACTAGACTATAAGTCACACGTTTGGGGGTAATTTATTTTATAAAATCGGGGACGAGGAACCGACATTTTATCTTGAAAGGCAACTTATAGTAACAACAATAAAATAAAGAACAAAAGGCAGAATAGTTAATATGTTAACGTAACATATGAACTGTTCTTCAGATAACTACAGCTTAAACAACATAATATAAATTTACCAAACTCTCTATCTCACTCCAAATCACTAAATCCTTAGAATCTGTTGAATTCTTCATCCTCGGTGTCACTTCGGAGTAACTCTGCGCAACTTCGGTTGTCACTGAAGTCCATGATTTGTCCAATATTCAATGACTTCCAGGAAAGTTGTATGGTGCCCCCTCCCAGTTGCTATAAAGCTATGTTCTCCATTCCCACTTTCTGCAAGTCGCAGGAAACACCCAAACCATGAAAAAAGTGTGACTTATAGTCCAAAAAATATGGTAATCTGCCTAAAGGCCCATATTATGTATTTTTCTGATCTGTGTTATAGGTTCCCTCATCACAAACAGACCTGGAGTTGTTTTGTTTCATTTACACACTTCATTTAAGACAAACCCTGTATATTTAGGCTCCGTTTTTTTCTCAAATAGAAAACAAATGAAGGAATACAGGAAGTGCTTCACTGTGTTTTTAATCTCCATACACCTTCACAAGAATCATTGGGATGATTTTAGCTCTGGAATTGCCAACCTCTACTGAACTAAAGGTAAATGGAGCTGTTAACTTAAACTACCGCTTCATGACATCACAAGGTGGAACTCCAGATATGTTTTTGATGAGGGAACAACATTTTAACACGGCTTAAAGCTCACAAGAGTCAAACTGGCATAATATAGGTACTTTTTGGATAAATAATAGCCAACTGACTTATCCTCAGACTCAAAAACAAAGGGATAAGACAGTATGCCAACAAAGTGGTTAGTTTTATTTAAAATGAACCGGTAGTCCCATGTTAGACTTAGTGTTGTACAAAGAAAGCTTCTACATGCGAGGGCAGATTTTGTGTGAAACGTAATTGTAATTTGTGTTTCAGGGACGTCTTCGAGCAGCTGTCCGAGATGGAGAGGACCGGTCCCAGCAGTTCGTCCGACGCAGCCAGAAATGTTTTACAGCCACTTTAAAAAAAACAAAAACAAAAAAAAACTTCACTTTCAAAATAACTTTACAAAAACACCTCAAACTGCTCTAGATCTCCCATATATCCTGTCCACCGTCCTGCAACTTTTAGACCAAAACTCCGGATACTGCCAACAATAGACCCAGAAATAACTGTTAATATTTAGTGAATCCATTATAAGCTTTCGGGGGGATTTTGGGACTTTTCTTTGCTATGAATTTACAATGTTTTGTAAATGTTCAAATGTTCTCTGTTCAGATGTATTGCTGTTCTCTTCAAAGCGACTATTGGACTGTATGGATTGTATGTTTTCAAAGTATAAATAAAGTTTTATTCTATGTTGATCTAAGTTACTATTGAAATGAGACTCTGTGGTCCAGTTATTACATTTCCAGACTGATTTTTAATGTTATCTTATTTATTTGCAAAGGGACGGCACATATTAAAGGTGCACTATGTAACTTTTCAGGCATGGAGTCCGTTCTTGTCTCAATGGAAATGTGTTTTGTTTGAGATATTCCAGTGTGTCATTAAACTGATCCATCTTATATTCAATTACAGGTGTTTTTATTGCTTAAAATAAACAAAATGAGAAGCAGAATTCTAGACTGGAACATTTTGGGTAAAACAGTAACATCTCCATGGAGACGAGCAAGTGACAGACCTTTCACCAGAAAAGTTACTCCCAAGTTTAGTGGTAGTAGTAGTAGTAGCAGCAGTCACAGAAGTAGTAGTAGTAGTAGTAGCAGAAGTAGTAGTAAGGAGTTGTAGATATAAGTTAAAAAAAAAAGCTGGTTTTGTTTTATTACTCATCAACGGCACAGAAAAAATATATTTTATTGTCGATATTACAGATTTCTCAGGAGACGCAGACATCAAAATCGTACATTGTGCACTTAAAGTAATACAACTGTTCCCCAAATAGTACTTTTGTTTTGTTGAAATGCAGCAATCATGTGTCAGATAAAGTGAAATTACGCAACATTATCATCGTGAGGTATTTTCATTCTCTACAGCTGATTTAAGGTCCCATATTGTGCATTTTACAGCCTTTTTGGCCACATCTTGATAGTATTAAAGCATTGGTATTTTAAAGTGCATATGAGAGGCTTTCATATTTTTCTAATAATTACTTTTTTTTTTAGTGGGACAGTACCTGTGGTCAAAATTTCTCATAGTTTTAATTCAAGTGTAATTTTGTGGGGGAAAAGTACAATACAAGAAGTAAAAAAAAGCAGTTCTGTGGCAGTTTAAACATTCAATTAACAAAATAAAGATGTTTTTTTATTATTATTATTATTCATTAAATATTGTGTAATTTACACTAGTTGTAGCCCTTGGTGACATTACGGTTGCTAGGTAACAGTTATAGAATTACCTCTACATATGCTATGCGTGCTGTAAAATTATAAACTTCAAACAAAATTAAAAGAAAAACAGATTTCATGTTAAATTTTAAATATGTTTTTTGTGAAATTAGAAGAAGTGTAACCTTTCATATGCACTTTAAATTTTGTTATGAATATGTATGGCCTAGATTAACACCTAGTGACGTCATAAAGTCTAAGTGTTTCACATTTGAAGAGGGATATGGAATATACAGGATTACCGAAACATTTGTGAGTGACTTAAAATCAAAACGTCATAACATGGTTTAAAAAAAAACAAAAAAAAAGCTTAACGGCAAAACATAGGACCTTGAACAAGTGCAAACATTGTGGTGGATTAAAGGCAGTTCATCTGGATTATCACAGTAGTTTACATTTAGTCAAGCACCATCAGGAAACGTAAACAATGTAACCTGTGTGAAACTGGCACCCATAGCTTGTACTGTTTTTAACATAGTACTGGTCAGCGTAGTTGTTGTAGTAGTAGTAGTACTGGTAGTAGTATGATGGTTTTAGCAGTGACTCTAGTAATACAGGTAGACGCGATAGTTTGTTTTGCTTACATAAATTGGAGATTGAGGGTACCGCCATTAAAAAATACAAAAAAAAAAAAAACTAAACTAAAAACAGTTGTCTTTTGGTAACCAGTTCAGAAGTAGTCGCAGTCATTATTAAGTCTGTGCAATTAATTGAATTTTGATCGCAATTTCGATTTGTGTGTCAAACGATCTCCAAACTCATATATTCGAGTTGAAACGATAAAGCTTAACAAAGTTTATTTTGGAATATTTTTTATATAAATAAGTTCTTTTTTTTTTTAATATAGAGATTGTAGAATAGCTGGATATATATAGTTTATTTTGGATACATTTATGTTTTACTATACCTTATTTCATGTTCAAAATATATTTTATTCATTTTATGTTCTATACATCGCAAAACTGCAATCAAAGGCACATATTTGTAGCCTATATTTATTTTCAATTTGAAAGTTTTGCATAAATGATCAATAATGAAATGTTTTGGGGTTTTTTTGAGAGAAATGCTGAATAAATAAATACATAATCATTTGAATAATCGTGATTTCAGTGTTGACCAAAATAATCGTGAAAATTATTTTTTCCATAATCAAGCAGCCCTAGTCATTAAGTCCTGGTTCAATCCTGGTTTGGTCCTGGTTAAGTCCTTGGTTCAGTCCTGGTTTAGTCCTGGTTTAGTCCTACTTTAGTCCTGGTTTAGTCCTGGTTAAGTCCTTGGTTCAGTCCTGGTTTAGGCCTGGTTTAGTCCTACTTTAGTCCTGGTTTAGTCCTGGTTTAGTCCTTGGTTCAGTCCTGGTTTAGGCCTGGTTTAGTCCTACTTTAGTCCTGGTTTAGTCCTGGTTTAGTCCTTGGGTTAGTCCTGGTTTAGTCTTGGTTTGGTGCTTTTAGTCCTGGTGTAGTCCTGGTTTGGTCCTGATTTAGTCCTTGGTTTAGTCCTGGTTTAGTCCTTGGTCAGTCTTTGATCAGTTCTGGTTTCTTTTTAAAAACATTTTAAAAACAACAAACTTCGTACATTTTTGAAAAACTACTTCTCTAGAAAGAAGCCCAAGTAGATTTTGTTTACTTAATATAAAATAACTGTAAATATCTTTGTTAAAAAAAAAAAATCTACTGGACCATGTTTGTTGTAGTGGTGGATTGGATTTGAACAGGGGTGCATTTTCACACAAGCTAACAATTAGGCTTATGATGCGTTCTCAGAATTTCGAAAACCTGAAGTCTGAATTCCGAGAGGCCTTGAGAGCAGCGTTAGTTGTAGTCTGTGTTCTTCATCTCGAGTCCTGGCTGCACTTCTTCATCATGGGCTCTAGGCGGCGCCCTGTAAGCCTGTTAAACTCACTCAAAATGTACTGCTCCCTTTGAGACATCTGAGGAGACAAAAGATTAAGATAGATATAAAACTTACTCTGGCAATGTTTTTTTGTTTTGTTTTTTTCAACTAAATATGTTGTATGGTTTAGATTCAAGTTCTTCAGAGTATCTACAAGACAACTTTTTAATTATTTTAGAGTTTTTTTTTTTTTTTTTGCTTCAACAATGAAAATACCAATGGAAATTAAAAAGTGTGTTATATCGTTATATCATTATTTTAGGATTTGTTCATCTTGAAATGTAATTTTGATGTAAAATTACTTCATAAAAACTAAACCACTGACTTCCTGTTCAAAATAGAAGTAATTCTCTAACCCCCACCCACCTCTTCAAAGCAGCAGGTGTTTTTATTGCGGACAAAATGACTATGCAACATTTTTGTATGACCTGGACTGTAAATCATTTGAATAATCACAGTAAGTACAAAGCAGTGGGCGGGGATAGGGGGAAGGTGAAAACAGAACATTTCTCAGCACTCAAGGCTCAAATGCAGGCCTCTCCACAGATCTGAACTTGGCCTGGTGGCACGTCGTGGAACATAACAGGCAAAGAAATAGAATTTCCATAGAGACAAGTAGGTGTTGAAAAAAAATTCATAGTGAAGCTTTAAATTTGCCAGATTTACTTTTAAAGGTTCCATATCACACTAAATTGACTCCTGTGAGCTTTAAGCCATGTTAAAATGTTGTTACCTCATCAAAAACAAATCAACAGCATATCTGGAGTTGTGTTTTTGATTTATGTTTGAGTAATCCTTTATTATTAGCCTGTCTACATTTTCAAAGTTCAAAATGCTCTGTTCCACCTTTTGATGTTATAAACCGTGTGTTTTCAAGTTAACAGCTCCTTTTACCGTTTGTTTAGTAGAGATGGGCAATTCCAGGGATGAAATCATCTAAATGATTCTAAAAAAGGTGTATGGAGTTTAAAAATAGTGGAGCACATGACGTCACAAGGTGGAAGTGAATGTTTTCCGTTTGAGTGAAAAACTCAGCCTAAATATGCAGGATTTGTGTGTTAAATAGGGCTGGTTATTATTAAGAAGTTGTCGATACAATACATACCTCAATACATAGACCACGATATAATACATATCTCGATACAGTGCACTTTCAATTCGATATATTTAAAAAAGATTTGATACGGTTCAATCAAAAATAATGTCTAAATCATGGCTGTGATACTAAAAGTCTATGTTAAACCACTTCTTGTGCAAAGTTCATATGAAACACAAACATTTTACTCATCAAAACAGTGAAAATGTCAAATGTGTTACATAAACAAGTTTCCTTTGTCTAATTAAGCAGCGAAACTGTAGCGCTCTAACAAAATAATTAAGTAAAATATACCAAAAAACTACTATATACTAAAAATGCTATGCTGTATCAATATATCGATACAGCAGCCCACGATATGATACTGTATCATCACATTAAACGATACAATATATCAATATTTCGATATTTCTGCACACCCCTAGTGTTCAACAAGTGTGAATGAAACAAAACACAACTCCAGGTTTGTTTATGATGAGGAAACTACATTATAACATAGATCAGAAGTGTAATTTGAACCCTTTAATGGTGCAATCAAATGCATTAAATGAGGTAAAGTTCAGTAACAGTGTAATTAATAGGTGTCATAACATATTTTTATTTTTCTAAAGCCGATTTTTACCTCCGCCCACTCTTCATCAGTTTCATGTCGATAACCCAACAGGTGACAGATGCCATGAGCCGTGACTGCCTGCAAACAAATGCCAACAAAAAATAAATAAATTCTCCTCGTATATGAAAAGTTGTATCCAAAATCAAATATAAGCAGCTCTGTTTTTCCTCTCAGGTGTTGTCAAAGCAAATTAGTGAATTGGCACAGTGAGTTTACTGATGTTACGCCAGATGCCCTTCCATCTCTACCAGTCATATTACAGAGAGTTGATAATGTCGAAATTTGGTCAAATGCTGAACACTTTACTGAGCTATCTAACGTACACTTTTGTGAACGAATGGTCAAAAAGAGTCCAATTTAATACCATCATAACTTCGGATTAACACATTTTTGCTGTACTTACGGTAAGAGCGCCATGGAAATCTAAGGACTCTTCTTGACATTGTTTCATCACAAACTCGACTCCAAGAAAAATATCTCCCAAATTCAGCTCGTCTCTGTGTAGGGGGCAGGGGAGTTTACCCGGTCGGATATCCTGGAATAGAAAATTCTTCATTAATTATTTTAAGGGTAAATTACTCCATTGTTCTGTCTGACCCTCTCCTCTGTATCCCCCATTCCATCTGACCCATAGACTATATAAAGCAGTGAACTGAAGGAGTGTGATGTCACCCATAGCGCTCGGCTCCAGTCAAATGAAGCTCACTGAGGCTTGCAGTTATGACGCAAAGTTGATTTAAAGACAAAACAGCAAAAGAAAACACCAGGTTTATGTAGAGAGCATTAATACGAACATTTGAAGACCAAAATGAGGAGCCTGACAGCAGCAGTTAGAGAGGGGGGGACGTTCTTTCAATACAAAGTGAAATGCAGAGTGCTCCCATGTTCACTTCCTATGTAGAATGTGGTGGCTGGTGAGTTAGCTATGCTCCATCTGACCCTCTCCTCTGCATCGTTTGCTCCATCTGACCTTCTCCTCTGCTCTATCTGACCTTCCCTCTGCGTTTACTGCTCCTCTGACCCTCTACACTACTCCTCTGACCTTCTTCTCTGCATCTTCTGCACCATCTGCATTTATATATCACCTCTTTGGTCTTTTTTAGGCCTCCTGTTTCCTGGCAGTTCGAACTTCAGCATCCTTTTAACCATATATTTACTATCCCTCCTCTTTATAGAACTAAATTAATCTAATGAGCAACCCAAATTATGAACTCATGAATAATTTTTAGGGATAACTTAAAGATGCATTGCACAACTTTTCTGCTGTAGGGTCTGTCATCTGCTTGTCTATCTCAAGGGAACTATAGGCTACATTACAGGTCAGATCTATGGAGAGGCAACCCTATTCACCGAGAGAATTATTGTATTTTGGGAAATAGAAACACCTTTAATGAATAAATGCTAGATAAAGGTCTTTAATGTAACATTCCAGGCAAACCTATAACATCTCCATGGAGACAAAGCAGGTGACAGACCCTCCACCAGAATATGCACAGAATGACAATCAAATTTACACTTTAATAGAAAAATATACCTTGAAACTCAAAATACCTCGTAAAAGGGAAACGATAGGACATCAGTAGGCACATTTTTCTTCCTGTATAGGCTGTTGATTTGCTGTATTCGCTGGTTGTCCACACAAATGATGCCAAGATCAAATTTTTGGATCCCAAGTATGTGGCGGAGCATGTCCACGTCTTTACGCAGCCTGGCACGACGAATTGGCACCACCTTTTGGAGATTACGCAGCACTACACCCATTCTAACTCTGCTACTATTTTATTACGATACCTTTCAAACTGCTATAATCCTATAATACAAGTACAAGCCTATATAATTCATAAATAACCAACATTTGTGGTTTACAATACATGGAAAAATAGGCTTTTAGCTCCTTTACGCGCGATAATGTTGACAATTCGGAGTATGAACATTCAAGGTGACACGTAGTTCAATGCGCTGCTTTTTGGCTACAGTAATTACCTAAATACGCGTAGTAAATAGCATGTAATACGGTAATAATAATGAATACTTATTTGAGAAGATTAGCGAATAAAACATCCATGCTTTGAAAGTCCATTGGGTTTGTAATTTGTCTTCCTCTGTTGAATGTTGGTTGATAACTGAGGTAAAGATGAGTATCACCGCCACCTACTGCAAGGCTGTCGTGGTTTAATATATTTAAAAAAAAAAAAAAAAAAAAAAAACAGACTTCATTAAAACTTTCAGATACAAAAATGGCACATAAAATAATGAATGAAAAATAAAGAAAACTGTATATTATTAAAACGTGTATACTGTAAAAAGTAGCCTATATTGGAATAAAAGAATAAATGCATGTATATTTAAAGTAGTAATAATTATAGTAGAACTTTTTTTTTTAATTTAGTGTTTAATATTACTTGATCAGAATTAATAAAATGTATTTTAGGAAATTTGGCAAAGAGCGGAACCAACAATCAGAACGTTGGTGACGAGCGGAAAGGGGACAAAAATATGCAAAGGACAGGAAGATATCAAGGATTGGGCGCCTCGGAGCTGTAAAGTTAAAAAGCCTTGTTTTTTTCAATGATTAATTCCTGAGTAAATACTACAAGTACAATTGGCATTATTTCAAAACATAATAAACAAGATATGCCTCTGTTAATTGCTTTTAAACTCAAATTTAAGACGTGATTCACACATATTTGGTTGTTTACTCGCTGCTCGTAAGCGCTGTGCTGCTTCTGCGATCATGCGGTTAGTGTAAATAACATTTCAGTCTTATTTTTTTAATTCTCCTGCGGATTTGCAAAGGAGTGTCATTTTATTTACACCAAAAATGAATCCATCTAACCCGTTTGGAAGTACCCAAAGCGGTGCGTTTCAAGCCCCGAGCAACGCCGTCAAACCGGGTCTGTTCCAGCCAATTTTCGGGCAACATGGTTCCACCAGCCAGACTCAGCAGCAAACGATGGGCTTCTTCGGGTCTGGATTCGGACAAGCTTCGTCTTCAAGCCCCTTTGGACAGGCTTCTGCGTTCGGGCAAGCGGCTACAACTCCTCAAGCAGTTCCAGCTTTTGGGCAAACCTCCTCTACGCCGCAGCAAGGATCTGTTTTCGGTCAATCCTCTACTACTACCCCGCAGCAAGCACCTGTTTTCGGGCAAGCTTCAACTACCACCCAGCAACCTCCAGCGTTCGGGCAAGCAAATCCTACCCCGCAGCAAGCTTCAGTTTTCGGACAAACTTCCACCACTACCCCGCAGCAAGCTCCACCGGCATTCGGTCAGCAAAGTGGTTCTATGTTTGGAGGCAATAGCGCACCAGCTTTCGGGCAAAATACGACATCATCAAATCAGCGTTCTGTTTTTGGACAAGCGCCGTCTTTTGGTCCTACTTTTGGACAATCTAGCGCGTTTGGGCAAGGGTTTGGTGGGCAGACTAGCGCTTTCGGGGCGCAACAAGCTCCACAATTTGGGCAAACTTCCACATCAAGTTCGGGACTCGGGTTTAGTCAGCCTGTTTTCGGACAACCAACCACCACTACGCCAACTACGAGTGTTTTGGGGATGGCTTCATCAAATGCCAGTCAAAACAGAGGGTTTGGTACTGCTGAGTTTAGTTTTAAACCAAATGAGGCGCTGTTCAAACCTATTATTAGCGCAAGCCCAGAACCGACTACTACAACAATGTCCAATTCACCTTTTGGAGGAGCGCAGTCAGCTTCGACAACATCCTCGTCTACAAGTCTCTTTTCAAGTGCCAAACCTGGAATTGGTGGGTTTAGTTTTTCCCAACCTGCTGTCTTACCCGCTGCCCAACAGCCTACAGCATCTACTTCAAGCGTCGTGCCTAGTGCAAATAGTTATCAATTCACATTTTCGCAACCTGCTACTCCTAACAAGGCAACTTCAGCTGTCGCCCAGCCTACAACCCCGTCTTCGTTCAGTTTTACCACGAAAACTCTTACAAACGCAGTCCAAACCGCTATTTGGGGCTAGCAAATTTGGGCAAACTTTTGGAAACGCGAAAGATATAGAGGCAGATGGTAAGCAAAGCAGCGTGGAACCAACAACGGAGACAAACGTATTCGCGAGACTCGGCAAAGCGCCGAAACGCAAAGAGGACGCGCCGGGTTTGAATGTGGAAAAGGAGATAACGGAGGAGGAGGCCGCGGGAGAGACGGAGATGCCGCGACAGCCTCCGAAGCGGCCTTTGGTGCGGAGCCGTGGCCCTCCTCCCGGGTTATTCGGACGGGCTCTGAGCGGACTGCGGAGAGACACGTCAGGAGCGCCCAAGCGTGAGGCGAAGGAGCAGGTTTGGAAAGTGCCCGAGGGAGAAGAGACAGAGCGGCAGAGGGCAGCGACTCCTCCGACAATCTCAGCACCACCAGTGACCAGAGAGACTGCGGAGAAGCCAGTGGAGACAGGTGAGATGTGTCATTTGCATTACTCTAAAAGGTGTGCTACAGCTTTTTCCCATTGGTTCACTCTGGAGCCCGCAACTATCTTCACTATCTAAAGTTATCTAAAGTCAGCCCTGTTTGAGGGGTTTGAAGCGACCGAGGAGTAGTTTTCTGGTGGAGGGTGATGAATGTGCTCTTTGTGATCAGTGTGCTCAATGTGCCCTGATATGCACCAAATGAAAGAACTGACCAAGAAGGTAATCCGGGCTTTTGCAAATAACAGCCTATTGTACAATAAAGTATGTAGGCTGTAGATGATACAATGAGGAGGTGAAGGGCTGTGAAAATGATTACAGTAGTACAATGCTTTCGGTAGATGTTCAGTGAGCTCTTGTTGGGACTGGTTAAAATGGTCCCACATAGAAGTTTAGGCCTATCTTCTTTTTCTCTGTATGGAGATGTATCAGTCACAAGACTTTTCTTAAAGTGATACAGACAGTTGTCACTTTCTGACCTCAGCATGTGTTGATTTGTTACAGGTTTTTAAATGATTTTTTTTAAATAACTTGTTGAGCAGGGTTGCCTCTCCACAAAATGAAAATGCAATTTGGTGGCTCCTCCTGCTTGTCTCCATGAAGATAAGTTTAATGCCACTGTGGACTATTCCAAACAGCGCTTGTCCACTAACCTGAAGTGTGTCTGTTTGATCTGCATTAAGCAGTCACTGATTCACCATAAAACCATCTAAATTACATTGTGTATTATGTAGCTGTATCATAACCTCTATGTTTGTTTCTCTCCACAGAGCCATCCCCCTCTTCCTCCTCTGCTCCACTCCTCTCCTCTCCATCCTCACGTCTTGGACCTCGCAGAGAAAGCACAGACTCTCTCAGTGGCCTGTCCCCAAATGAGTGCACTGTGCTCCACTGCAGAGATGTCCCCCCAGACCTCAATAGGAAAGATGTCCTGGTAAAACACTTTGGACGCTTTGGCAAAGTTCTGCGCATCTACTGCAGAATACAACGGAACTCTGCCATCGTACACTTTGACAACCATGTAAGTACTAGAATAAGGAATGAGTTTTGCCATATGCACAACTGTTCTAAATGTGTTGCAATTGATACCCAGGTGTATGAAAATCACATGGGATATTTTTATGGCTGAAATCAACTTTAATAATGCCTTACCCTCTTTGTATGTTAAAAGAAAATGGTTTGATTACAGTTTTGCATGATTACATGTTTTATTTATGTCATAGGCCTCAGCTGCAAATGCGAAGAAGAAAGGACAGATTCTCCACAAACATACACTGACTCTTCACTGGCAAAGGAAGAAACAGAGTAAATACATTTTTATTATCTTTATAATTAAATATTCCACTAAGCTGTCTGATTAATAGCAGTCAAACAACAAAATCTTCTGTAATTCTGCATAAATGCTGCAAACCTTGTAGCTTAGATCTGTACAAAAATGTTCTGAAATGTGATTATTGTATTAGTTTGTCAGTTCAAACTTTCGAAAGTGTTTAAAATGTGAATTTTGAACTGAGTCCTATTAAACATAAATCTCAGATTTAATCACTTTGTTTGTCTGTGTTAACCAAAATCATTCAGGACAATCATTCCACTCTGCGGTGTTTCATAAGTTTTTAATGTCATGCTCATTTTGATGGACAGGTCTTGGAGACTCAAGGCCCAGAGGACAGACTGGACAGCAGCAGCAGCATCAGCAGGAGGAGAGGGGAGGGGAGGGAAGGAGGGAGGAGGAGCAGGGACTGATCAAAGCCTCGTCTCCCTTGAAGAGAGCTGCCCTCAGACCCCCCCACAGCACCTCTGTGACCGTCAGGTAAAACTATTCAAATGAGATTAAATATCAAGATACAAATGTAACTGAAGATAGTTTACAGTGCAAATTACAAATTGAAAAGTACAAATAATAGGATAGGATAAATAAAGATCTTCCCCTGCTTGAAACATGATCAATCCCTGTAGTCACTGCTCTAACTATTGAAATCACCATCAAGCCTCCAAGGTGTGCAAGAAATCAACATTTGACTTTTTCAGGGCCCAGCCCTAGCGTATAATGTATTTAATCAAAGCTTTTTCAAAACTGTATTTATTTATATGTGTTTATGTGTGTAGAGAGAAAAGATACAGTTTTAAAGATTTGATTCTAAATAAATTGTCGCATCCAGAAAACACTCCAATACTTTCTGAAGATGTGAGTTTGGTCACCTGTGAGTCAACACAAAGTTCAGGCAGATGTAATTGACAGGTAGATTAACCAATCAGGGACTCACATGGTCCATCCGTATCAAAAGAAATATGGCTGCTCTGAAGGAAAAAAGATGAAAAAATATAACAGGACTGGAAAACATGGTGGATTGAAAAATCAATAAGCGTTAACGTGAGGAGAGAGAAATGGGATTTTGTTTGTAAATGATGGATGTGTTCGCATGTGTCTATGAAATAAACAAATCTGATTGGATGTCATGTTTGTTTCTTCTGACAGATTGTGAACCAGACTGATCCCTCTGTTTAAACATTCTGAATTTGCCAGGCAAAACATACAGCCACACTTTTATTTTTACTCATCAGCCTTTAACCTGATGCATTGAGGACAAACAGCACAAAAATAACCAATCCCTCTACGTGAAGAATGATTGGGTGCCTTAAAATAAATTCTTACTAATGATAAATTTAAATATCAGTTCAAAATAGTTCCAATTGTGTAATTAAACCAGAGCTGTTATGACCTAATTTAGTTAGTTACAAAAAAAGACTTAAAGGCATAAAGTTGGTCAGTTTTTAAATGTTATCTCCTCTCCTCAGCTCTCCTGTGAAGAAGCCCCCCATGGCGCGCTCACTCCAGTTTGAAGATAGCCAGAGAGAGACTGGTTCAGATCCCCAGTCCTCAGATCAGAATGTGGACAGGGCTCCCGACCGCCCAGTGCCCTCCTCCCTGCTCCACCTGATTGGACAGATAGCTGAGACCACAGAAGAGAAATACAGACTGCTGGAGCAACGCGACAAGATACTGCGACAAGGTGAGCTAGTGCTGGACCTATCACTATAATTACCATATCCCCTTATTCAATATGTGAACACTGAAATTATATATTGTGCTCTCAGATGGCTCCATCCTTTATGTCTGAATAATAATAATGTGATTGATTTGTTTCCAGGGCGACCGAAGAGGGCAGACCTGAACCTGTCAAAGGCTTTTGCTGGGACCTGCCCTGACATGTGCCCAGAGAAAGAGAGGTACATGAGAGAAACCAGGAACCAGCTGAGCATCTACGAAGTCCTCCCAAACACAGAGATGGTGAGGGTCAATGATGCTTAATAATAGTTGACTATTTTGATAGGCAGGTATATCTTGACATTTATGAGATTTTAAAGGAGACATCATATGCAATAAATTAAATTTTGGAGGTGGTACATCACCTGCATGATACCATGGAATTAGAAAGTTTACAGCATTTTCAGGAGGCTGTGATCAATACAAACATTCAAGCCCACTCACAGTAAGAACTCCTGTTGGTTTTTACAGTTAATCAAAGGTCTAAACTGCAGGTTTAACTGATGTTATACAGAATAAGATGAGAATATTTAGATTTTTTACACAATGAAATGATGTTACTTGGAATAATTGCAGTTTTGGGATTTGTTTTTTTTGCCCCCATTCAAATAGAGTGTTAGATTAGTTTGTGATAAACCTTGTGATACTAATTTCGTCCATATATACTTTCAGGTGGACCACTGCACGGCCATAAAGGAGTACAGCCGCTCGTCCGCAGACCAGGAGGAGCCTCTGCCCCATGAGCTCCGGCCGCTCCCGGTTCTGACCTTGACCATGGACTACATTGTGACCCAGATCCTGGACCAGGGTCAGGACAACTACAGGGACTGGTACGACTTTGTGTGGAACCGCACCAGAGCCATCCGCAAGGTGAGGGTGATAAGTAAGTGATGAATACGAGCGTTCACAGTCCTGTTTAGGAGTTTGATGTTCAACAAAAAGGTGAGAGTAACTATCTTGTGACTGTAATGTTATTTGAGAGGGGCTTATTTAACTGCACAAATTAGATCAGACAACCCCAACACGTACTGCATTGCGTTTGTATCCTTATATTGTCTCAAATTGTATAGCTTTCTATTTCTCAATACCTCTGTCCCTCTCTCCTGTAGGACATTATTCAGCAGGACTTGCGTTGTCCTGATACAGTTGCTCTGATTGAGAAGTGCACTCGGTTCCACATTCACTGCGCTCACCAGCTCTGCGAGGAACACCTCTCCTCCTTTGACCCAAAGATCAACAAAGAAAACATGACCAAGTGTCTCCAGAGCCTGAAGGAAATGTACCAGGACCTATCCAACAGAGGAGTCTACTGCCCCCGAGAGGCCGAGTTCAGGCAGTACAAGATCCTGCTCAATCTCAACGAGGGCGACATCCTACGGTAAACCACAAGGAGACTAAACACAGAAAGTCCCTCTGCGATTTAAAGTGCATATGACTGGTTAAACTAGGGATGTCAAAAATATCAAAAAACAGATACTAATTGATACTAAAACTAGCACTGAAACTGGATACTCATTTGAGCAGATGTCGATACAAAAAAAAAGTCACATTGAACCTTTCCAATACACGTATAAGGCCACAGACTAGTATGCGCTCATGGACCACTATGGAACTTACCCAGAGCACTGAGTAATGCTGAAAATCACATTCTATTGCCTAAAGAAAGTTTGTTTTTAATGATCATTGTGATAATTGAATCACTGAGCCCTAATCTGGAGTCCAGAAAATCCCCTTGTGATTTAAGTCTTGTTTTTTTTGATAATTGTCTTGTATATTTCAGGGAGGTGCAGCAGTTTCGTGATGATGTCCGTAACTCTGTGGAGGTGAAGTTTGCCGTTCACGCATTTAGTGCCGTCAACAGCAACAACTTTGTCCGGTTCTTCAAACTCGTTCAGTCCGCCTCGTACCTGTCCAGCTGCCTGCTCCACGGATACTTCAACCAGGTATTTACACTTTAACATGAAAGCTACAATGATTCATCAGAATTAGCCAGCTATCAACACACGATTAAGATTAATTTAATAGTTGTTACTAGTTAGCTGGAGTATACATGCCAAAAGACCTTTTATATCAAAGACAACAGCAGAATTTTATTTTTTATTCTTTTGATTGGGACAGTGCATATAGGTACCTTGATACAACATGAATGTAACGTCACAATAACTTTATTCATAAATATTCTCTATCTTTAAGCACTCAGTCAGTATATTTTTTTTACTTTATCTGGTTAAAAAATATTTGAAGGTTTGGTTAAATAGTATCTAAAGGAACTGTATGTGACTTGTGCTTTTACTAATTTAATACATTTACTACAGTTACAACTGAACCTGGGTTGCCAGAGCAGATAGCATATAGAGCACATAAAGAACCTCCAGAATTCCCTCCCTGAGCTGCAGACGCTGCACTAGCACTGATTCATGACTGGCTGTAGGTGCTGGGGTTTAAGTAGTGACCATTCAGATCAGAGAGAGGACTTTTATGTGTAAATCAACTGGATTTCACCATTGAAACTGGAAACCGAATAGAAACTCACATGAGGCTCATTCTGCTTTCTGATTGTTTTGGTTCTGAAGACTATTATCCAAACTATAACACGAACAACTTGGATACCATGTCTAATGTTTTTGTAATTAAGAATAAATCAGCACTACAATGGTTATCAGTAAAAGCTCTTATGTTTACTTTGTATCTGGGGACACAGATAGGTCAACTAGTGATTAGCTGAAAATACAAAAAATTGAGAAATGTGGGCTTCCACATATAAAATAGTGCTCCAGCTAACAGCGTGTTTGTCCTGCCCCTGTGTTCTGTGAAGGTGCGCTCTCTGGCTCTGAAAACGCTGAACATAGCGCACACAGTTGGGCCGCGCTCCACCACCTTTCCTCTCGACGACATCGTCCGAATGTTGATGTTTCGAGACGGAGACGAAGCTTCTGCGTTTATTCAACAATACGGACTCAACGTCAGCGATGGGTGAGAGAGGAAAGCTGAGCAACGCTTTCGACATCAAACCTGTCACCCATTTACAACTCCATCCACAGACTCAAAACAGACAATACATTAGGATGTACTTCACTAACAGATACTATTGTGATTAACGAGGGTGTGTTATTTTCAGTGTAGATAGATCCTCCCTTCAGACAGATGTGAGGCAGTGGCTCACCCACAGACTGTATAAAGAAGTGGATTAAGGGAGTGTGGTGTCACCCATAGTCTTTGGCTCCAGTCCAATGATGCTCACGAGGATAGCAGTTATAGGAAGTGAATTTGAATAGTAGGAATAGGAATTTATTCATGGAAAAAACAGAAATACAAACACCCTCTTCTCATGCAGAGTTGGTTAATACAAACAATTTAAGACTAAAATGTCAAGGCTCACTACAGTAGTTACAGAGAGAGGGATGACAAATTTTCAATGTAAAATCAGTTGGAAAGTCAGTGGAGCCAGAAGCTCCCCCTTGCTCACTTCCTATTTGGAACACAGCGGCTGGAGAGTTGGGTATGTCCATTTATACAGTGTATGAGCTCCAAGATATTATCCAGTATTGTGATTTAGAGCCACCATGTCCATCCAACCAACGGTCAATGGCTGCGAACTCTGCCCATAGTCACAAGTTGGAGTGCTCGCAGCTATGCCATTCGTTTCAGTCATTCCAGGCAGCACAGTGGGGCTTTGAACAGCTGCCTCAGCAATTCGAATTTTCCAAAAAATCAGGACCATGCTTAATTTAGTCAGCTAAAGTCCTGCTATTATGGTTCCACACAGGTAAACGTCTTCTATGTCCTCCATGGACTGGGGCAAACAGGTTCCCCCTGAACCTTTGTTCCTCGTTGAAAAAAAGATGTCAAATGCCTTGAGAGACCAACTTATCAAATCCATAGTTAATTTAGGTTTAGAAGAGCAAAGTAGTGAGAGTCTCTCAAAAGTATACGACACTAGACCCTAGACTAGATGAGACAAAAAAGCAAAGCAGGGAAGATAAGGGGCAGGAGAGGAGGGAAAAAGTGTCTGCAAGCATTGGTCTAGAATAAAATTTTGTGTTTATACATCATTTTCACATGTACACTGTTCCATGTGTTTTGTTTTTTGTTTATTTTATTTATTTATGATAAAAATGTAGTTCTTGGTATTTTTGAGGATTATTCCAATTACAGTATTCTGTTTAGAGCTGCGGCTAACGGTTATTTTAGTAGTCAACTAGTCTGTGATTAATTTTTGTAATAGTTTTTTATGTTTTTCTTAATTACATCATTGCTTTTAATTAGTCACTAATTACCACTCTTTTTGAATCATGTTCATTTCTCTCTCATATTTCCAGCGTGGTGGAGCTGAGCCGGATCAGTTTCCAGGACCCGGAGCTTCCCGTTTCGTCACGCAGGTCAGAGGTCATCCTGTCCAAACGCAACGTTCTGATTGGTGAAGTGGTGAATGGGGGTCCGCTCCCAAACCCTCCTCAACACACCCCAGTCTGCAGCTTCGACGTCCAGAACAAGTACAGAGATGTCACCGAGGCAAAGCAGTTTAAAGGTACTGAGGTTAAAAGTGCACTGTGTAACTTTACTTGGAAAAGGACTGCAAGATTGAAAGCAGTCTAATCAAAATCACAGTTTGAATGAACGTAATTAGCAAATCACATAGGCTACCATTTTTAAGTGCCTCCACAGACAACCTTCTGCATGAAAACCACTATCCTTTGTCATGGTGCATTTTCAAAAGTGACAAAAAACTAAAACATGTTCCTGAGTCACAGTTTAAAATCCAGTATAGACCCTTTAAATATTATATGACTAAAGTGTAATCTGAAAATCATCAATTTCATATCATTTACTTTTTACTTGTTCACATACAATTGCACCCACTTTTTATATATTATACTATTTATATATTTTTTTATATTTTCTTGCATAGTAATTTTGAGTGTGTCCAAGTCATTTCTCTTGTAGATCAGTAGTTTGTAATGCATGCTTAGTAGGCCTGTCACGTTAACAAATTTTGAAGTGCGATATATTGTTAAAGTAAATATAGATGATAAACAGTAATACTGAATCCAAACCCTTAAAGAGAATTATATTCCCAAACCTATCTCTAGATATAAACAAAATAAAATAAATAACAGAATGAAACACTTTAGTAGTTAGTTTGTATCTATAATAAGTCATAGAAGTTTATAATTCACCTTCTGCAGTTCAAATCTTATCATATTGCAAGGAAATTACCCATAATCTCACTACTAAAAAGAAAATATACCCACGATAAATATTGACTCCCAAAAATGATTGTTCCATTTATCATTTCTTGAAAAGTAATTATCATGACTTACTACTTTGTCCTCTTTTGACTTTATGAATGAATTATGTCTATCTCTCTTGTAGCCACTCCCTTCACCTCCAGACCTCCAGCTCCAGAGACAGTGCTGTCAACTGAGCGTACTGTGAGGTCCTCTGACTCCAAGGCAGTGCCAGTGCAGTCGGCCCCTCCTCTGTCTAGAGCGGAGGAGACCGGGGCTTTAGAGGCAATGCTGTCATTGGAGCGTACTGCGGGGTTCTCTGACTTTGAGGCAGTCCCAGTCAGGTCGGCCCCTCCTCTGTCTAGAGTGGAGGAGACCAGGGATCTAGAGGCAATGCTGTCATTGGAGCGTACTGCGGCGTTCTCTGACTTCAAGGAAGTGCCAGTCAGGTCGGCCCCTCCTGTGTCTAGAGCGGAGGAGACCGGGGAGTCCACTCTGTTTGTCCCAGCACCGGAGAGGCAGTTCCAGCCGATCTCACAGCCCTCTCCTCCTCCTCCTGCTCCGGCTCCAGTCAAAGTCCCCACTCCTCCACCTCCCAAACCCGTCTACAGCAATGAGGTATGGTTTTATATAGTGCTGTTAGGTGATTATGTCACAACTAGAAACTCTACAACTGTTGTTTTTTTTTTTGTTTTGTTTTTGACACATTTCTGCCTGTCTTGGCCCCAGAAGAAACATCACACTTAACAACTCTATATAGGGGTGGGGCAATATGAAAATGTCACATAAATGTCACACGATGTACATCACAATTTACAGTTTTCCTCATTGATTTGATACATTTTTTGAGACAACTTAAAATTAGTGCAAAAGCATGTGGCTTGGAGTAGAAACATTGCTACATAATTCCATATATCTTGCGTCATCTATTTGATGTCTTCTATATATATCTAAAATGTAGAAAGTAGTAAAAATAAAAAAAAAAACATCTTTGTATGAGAGGATGTGTCCAAACTTTTGACTGGTAGTGAATGAATATTATTATTTTTTTACAGGATATCGAGGCGGAGTTGAACAACATGGTGGAGGAGGTTGTTGATGCTGCAGTGAAGGAGACTGCTGAAGCTGCTGTTTGCTACACCACAGCTGCACTAGAGTCAGTACAAAGTCATGTGAATTTAGTCAAATCATTTAAAGGGTCTGTACCTGAATTTTTTCCACATGTATTTGAGCAGAATTTGCCTCAGTACAGATATACTGTATAAGCTGCTCTTATCTATAACTTAAAAAGCGTTCTATTGTCTTAGAGTTGAAGTTCATGGTTAGTGTGCTAGTTATTGTTCACTTCACCATGATGACAAATCTCCGTTCTGGTCATTGTGATGAATAATTTGGACGCTCTGAATATATAATGTAAGGAAGGGATAACTTTGGACTACTGCAAACTGTTTAAAATGAACAGTTTTTTGTTTTTTTCCAAGGCAGTAAAAATCAGGTACAGCACCTTTAAATAATGAATGAGGAGTATTTATTGGTTTTGTTCAATAAAGGTGCACTATGTAACTTTTCTGCTAGATGTTTGACCATGTTGCTTGCCTTGTATCTAGCCAGTGTTTATTCACTTATGGCTGTTTTTATCTATTTTATTTTATATGTGCTTAATTGAAATCTTGAGTTGAAACAATAACATATCATAGAGGCAAGCAGGTGATGGACTCTCCATTGTTTATTTTGAACAGCCCAGTCTAAATGAAAAACGAACATATCTATAATGACACATTCTGAAGTTGATTAAAAAGGGCAGAAGTCTTATCAGTTTGTGATGTATTCTTATCTTCATTCCCAGGGTGAGCTCGGAGCAGTTGGAGTCTTTGGTCGCTGAAGTGACTGAAAATCTTCTGAAGGAGATTTCTGTGAGTGAAATCAAACTAGAGCAAGATCGAATCGCAGAAGAGAAACGTCTCAAGGAGGAGGCCAGGTAAAACACAAATATCCCTCTAGACTCAGCTTAATATTTATGCAAAATTAACTTATTGCTTTCTATGTTATAACATTGTTCCCTCATCAAAAACATGTCTGAAGAGGTTTTAGATGTCATCGATGCTTGTTTGAGTAATTTAATGATCTCTCTCGGGCCCTATTCAAACTCTCCTTACACTTAGCTGTAAGATTCTGTACAAATTCTATGCAAAACCTACGTCACCCATGCTTCCAAATGACAAATGTCCATAAATATACGGGGGGCGTGACGTAGCCAAAGGGAGGGGGGACTCAAAGCATGAAAAACATTTTAATATATTGTTTTCAGTGAATATAGTATTTTACAAACAATACAAGGCACCTGTTATGTGTTGTCAGCTTTTCTGGAGGCGGCCTAAAAAAGAGTCCTAAAAAGAGTCCAGGAGAGATGGTACAGTCCACAATAGGTCCCTTTATTGGTTCAAGCAGGTACCGGTATTGATTCAGTTGATTCAAAAAACATCTCAAAACATCTCAAATAAGCACAGCAAAGTAAGCAGCTATACTTGAACATCCTGTCAAATACTAACTTATTGATTAGCTTGTTCAGCAGAAGAATGCACAGCTCATGGAATGCTTGCTCATGTTATTGAGTTCAAATATGCCCTTGCTGTCTCATTGGCTTTCCAAAGTCCAAACATTAACCTCTCTTATCTAACCATAGGTGAACAACATATCTCAACATGTCAAGGAACATTGAGTGAACAACTTCTATATTTGCATGGTGAATTAACATGATTAAAATGAAACGTTAACAAAGAGAATAATTCTTACAGGGTTACCAGTTACTACCTCATAGAAGTAAAATACTCCTTTTTAATATTTAAATTGAGTATTGTGTATATGGGTTTGCATTACATCAAAAATAACTCTTGTTTTTGTAAAGTTACTATCAGTGTTAAAGTCTTGTCTGTAATTGAAAAAAAATAAAAAATAAAAAAAAGATCTTTGCTGTAAAATGTCCTATTTTCCATTTTTCTTTCAGGAGGAAGCAGGAGCACGAGGCTTTCCTGGTCGACTACAGCTTCTCTCTCTGCTCGGAGCTCATTTATGAAGTTCTGGACGAGACCATTGAGAAAACCGCAGCATCTGAAATACAGTAATACAGACATTTACAGCTCATTTAACAACTTTTAGTACACAACGAACTTGAGAATCCCAGCAAACCTAAAAACTTTTGGTAATAACAATATTCCCGCAAACATGAAACAATAATTCATGGACAGTCAAAATCTGAAAATGTAGTAATAAAATGAAAACAAATACCCAACATTTGTAGTATATGTAGTTGGGCTGCACAGTGAATCATTACTGAATCGAAATCGCATACTCGTTGGTGCAATTATCAAATCTCAAAGGCTGTAGCTACTTAGATAAAAGAATGTCTCCTGCAAAGGACAAAATCTTTTAGACTTTTATAGAAAAATCCTGTATCTGTAGTTTAGATCTGTACAAACATGTTCTGAAATACATGGGATTCTTGTGTTAGTTTATCAGTTCATATTTCATCTTGTCTCAAATGTTAACTCCTGGAGTTGTTACATAAACAAAATCCTACTTTTTTTTTTTTAGGTTTTTGCAATTAGATAATAATAATAATACTGTTAGTAATGTTTAGATATATCCGCTGTTACACACAAGTTAGATGCCATTTAACAGTGTTCCCTCATAATAATGAAAACTGCTGATTCATAATGTTCCATGCCTGTTATGGTGTCATACCTTAAAAAAGCTGATTTCTTTTCTTGTTCTCTGGTTAAATTTGCATGTCTAATCGTATCTCTTTGTTTTTTCAGGGAGGCGTTGGATGAAAAAGCTGCACGTGTGTCCCGCTGCACTGAGGAGGTCTGTTCTGTTTTACTGGAGGAGACTGTGGACGCAGACATCGCTATCTTAGTCCAACAAATTCTGGATGTGGAGCTGCAGCGAATACATAAATACATCAAGAGGTTATTACATTTAAAATGAACTGTTCTGAATTTTTGTCTGCTAAAAGAAAAATTAAAAGTCCAGTCTTTCCTTAACCATATTAAAAATATTATTCATAGAGAAATGCTTTCTACATGAGATCACTGCTGCCTGAAATTATGTCCACCCTACTGTTGGGTGTCATATTGTTTAGACCTGGTTTAGTCTTGGTTTAGACCTGAGTTTAGTCCTGGTGTAGTCCTAGTTTAGACTTGGTTTAGTCTTGGACTGGTTTAGTCCTGGTTCAGACCTGGTTTTAGTTGTAGTTTAGCCCTGGTTTAGTCCTGGACTGGTTTAGTCCTGGTTTAGTCCTAGTTTAGTCCTGGATTAGTCCTGGACTGGTTTAGTCCTGGTTTAGACCTGGTTTTAGTCGTAGTTTAGTCCTGGTTTAGTCCTGGACTGGTTTAGTCCTGGTTTAGACCTGGTTTTAGTCCTAGTTTAGTGTTGGTTTAGTCCTGGTGTTAATTCTGGTTTAGAGCTGCACAGGAGGAAGCACGGTCCCTCTCTTCTGTAAATACAAAGTGATGTCTGAATTTCGCAGACACAAATGCATTTTTGCCCGTGCTGGTTCTGTTCTACTGGCCCCTCGACCTCGTCCATTGTGTGACGCCACCATCGTTAACAAGACATTTACACAGCTTTTATTGCGCGCGTTCTGTTTGGGTTTGGCAACACTGTCTGCTAGGTATTTAATGGAAAAAAGTGTAGTAACAATTTTATCATTTGATTTAGTAGATCAACCTTTTTAACAGTTTTTACATGTTTACGTATTAATACTTATTGAGGTGTATGTATCTTAACGATTATACCACCATCCCCTGTTGCTTCTGGCCTTATTGCTGTGGCTTCAGTTTGTCCTTTATTTAAGTCTGCATCTTTGTAGGTGGCGTGATGTGGTGTTATAAATTGTAATACTCTTGGTCCTGTGTAGGTGGCGTGATGTGGTGTTCCTGCGGCGTCAGTTGAAGAGGCAGATGAGGGCGTTCCCGGCTGCTCCGTGTTTCGTTGATCCTCGGTTCAGACTCCGAGCTCTGGCTCCCAGCGCTCCAGATCACACCTCCATCGAGCTGCTCTCCAAAGGTCTGGTGAACCTGGGCCACTCCGGGAACCTCACTGTGTCCTCCAACAGGTAAACGGTCCATCATAGTTATAGGTACACACCTTTGCATTCACTTATCTTCAATCATTTGCTGTTTTACACAATTTATTGCCTTCAAGTTGTTAAGTTGTCAAGTTAATTTCATTTGAGTTCCTTGTGTGGTAGTATGTAACTTTGAGGAGGTGGAAAGCCATCTGCAAGATTACATGGCAATGTAAAGATACTTTGTCAGTAATTGGAAGGAGAAAAAAATCAATTATAAAGGATGGACACAAAAATAAGACATTAAATCTTATCTGAAAAGAAAGGTTCAAGAAACACAAATGTTCAAAAAATAATTTCATATTGTCAACATAAAGCTTTTGTCACTTGTAGACTTACACATAATGGGAAGAGTAACCAAAACTTCTTCTCAAGAATACTGTCACTTCAATGAAAATATTATTCAAGTAGGAGTAAATGTATGCAGAACAGTACAATTTCTTTAGGAAATGTCGCTACCAGGGTAGCCGCGGGGTCTTTAAAAGTCTTAAAAAGGTCTTAAATTTCACATTCCTAAATTAAGGCTTTAAAAATTCCTAAATTATGCTGTCCAAGTCTTATTTTTTTCACAAAGGTCTTAAATTTCATTAACCTATTTTTCTGTATACTCATCCGGTCTGCAGTGCAATGTGAAATGGTGGGAGATAAAAAAAAACAATGTGAAATCACATGAATGAACGTCTAATTTAGAGTATGTGCAAACAGTACTTTGGTTTGTGGCGCCGGTGGCAATGAGTAAATAACCAGTACAGCGGAGGAAGGATGGATCATGGGGAAGTGTAGGTTTAATCCACAGTGGCTCTTAGATTCTTGATGTAGTACCATAGTTGGTTGGTCATTATTAGAATTGGATCTGGAGGTTTTCGCCCGCATAATGGGTGCAATGTTGGTCTTAATTTTCACTTAAGTGGTCTTAAAAAGGTCTTTAAAAAGTCTTAAATTTGGGGTAGTCAAACCTGGGGATACCCTGACTACACTCTTCTGACTACAAGATTTATTATTATGTTTATTTTATTTTTTATTATTATGTTTATTTCTTTTTGTCTTATTTGTCTTACTCTTATTTTTTTTAATCTTTTTTTTTTTCTATTCTAAGGTTGCTGAAAATTAGAGACGAGGTGGTCCATCAGATGAGAGTCCAGTACTTCTACAAACTTCTGCTCGAGTAAGAAATAATGGTTTATAATATCTTAAAAAATCAAGTAAAAAGTTATTAGGGCTGACCGCTAAAACCTATGTTTCATAATCAGCAGAAGATTTATAGTGAAGTTCTACATCACTAAATATGTCTGCTATAGTCTTCCCCAAAGCCCCTTATATCAGTATCGGAACGGCCCCCGATATGGTCAGGCCCTATAAATTCTAAATAAAAAATAATGCTGATATTCACATGTTTTTTAGTGAGGCTTTGTGGGCTCCATTGGACCTTACCGCTTTAGTGATGCAGCACCTCCCGAATCCTCCTCCAAAAATCTTCTGGAAAACTCTTCTCCTTTTACCGAGCGAACACGAGACCGGAGAGAGCGTGGCCGACAGGTGAGAGGATTTATCAGGAATATGTTTAAAGGCCCTGTACCTGGTTTTCATCCATCTATTTCAGCGAAAGTGTCTTACCCCAGTACAGATATATTGTTTAAGAGTCTCTTGAGGTCAAAATGAATCCACTGTGTACTGTCTACATCTAATTATAAAACAATTTAGAGTTAGATGATCAGGAAGTGCACCGTCGGCTTGCTAGTTGTTGCCAGTCTTTCTCTGAGAGTTGTAAAAAGAGCTTATAAATTCAGATCTTATAACTTGCGGTGAATTATTAGAATGCTCTGAATACATTTCTGCCACTGCAAACCGTTACAAATGATTTTCACATTTTTAAAGAAGAAATATTGTGTTTGTGTCTGTTATAAAGTTATAATTTATGACACCTGTGGAATATTGTTATAAACTGCGCATTTTAAATTGCAATATTTATCTAAAACGACTTAATAAAAGAAACAAGAGGTTGCTATAACTTCATCACAACAAGGATTTGGCTATCCATACCCGCACATTAACATTTTTTTGAATCAATATGCAACACTGCTGAATCCTACATGTATCACAGATTAAGGAAATAAAATTGGAGAATGAAGTAAGTACAGAGAAGTGTGTACTGAGGACGGTGAAAACGGGAGTTGACAGCTGCCAGCCTCGGTGAGCTGACTGGAGCCAAACGCCATGAGTGATGTCACACGCTCTTAGTCCACTTCTTTATACAGTCTAAGCTCCAAATACAACTTCGAGAGGGTAAATAATGAGCAAAAACAACTATAACATGGTCAAAATGTCTAAAAAGTTGATCTTGCAGAATAGTTCTGCTTTAAGACCATAAAAATCAGCTCCAGCGAATAAAGACGTTTGGGTGATATAGCCAAAAACACTACCGTCTGTTGATTGGACGTTTGTTTATATAATCATTTGTGTATATTTTGTGCAGGATCCTCTGTGATTGGTTAGAGGTGAAGCTGGGGGCTGGTTCAGAGGCCTGTTGTCGTGATGGGACTCTTCACAGCCTCTGTGTCTCCAGCTCAGTTCAGGAAAAGGGACTGGACACACACACCCTGCACATCGGAGTCAAGGTAGGCTCATATCATGTGGTTCCATTTACTGTAGTAATGCAATGTATCACGGGCCTAAATATTTATTTTTACTTTATTTGATCACCATTTAACTTTTTGTGTTAGTGTCAAAACGTAAATAGAAAAACAAGATTAGATTTTAGACTAAATTGATTCATTTTTGGCCATTCAAAGGGTCTATATTACACAATTTTCTGATCTATGATAGAAAGTTGTTGCTTCATCTAAAGCATATTTGGAGTTGTGTTTTGTTTCATTCACACCTTTGAGTCACCCTGCATTAATGTCTGTGTACATCTCCAAAGCTCAAAATGCTCTGTTTTTGATGAGGAAACAACATTATAACAGAGATCAAAGAATGGCATAATATAATAATAATTTAAATAATAGCTATATTGTACAGGTGGAGTGACTCTAAATCATATGAACCTTTCCTCTCAGGTTTCCTATGGGCCTTTGTCTGAGGACGGCCTGTGTAAGATGGAGGAGGGCTCGGAGCTCCAGGGCACCGGGGGTCTGCTGATGCTGCTCCCAGCCTCGGCGCTCCTCGACCCCCATCGGAGCGACCAGGACGTGCCCCTCCTGTCCGCCCTGCTCCAGCTCAAACAGCTCCAGCAGGCCTGCACGTGGCACTGCCCTCTGCCCCTCGTGATACTGGTGCCCGGGCAGGAAAGGGACGAAGGGCACACGGCAAGACTGGCAGAAGGTAGAGGGTCACATCTGAAAGTCTTAAAAAAAAACAAAAAAAACAATGGTTAAAACAAGGCTTGACAAGGATTAACTTATTAAGTTGGTTTTATTGACTTTTAAAGACTACACACTAGACATTACACAAAACACAACAAAACAGCAGCCACTTTCAAATTGAAAAAGGCAAAGAATATAAAATAACATGAAAAATAATTAGGCTAGAATTGGACATACTGATCGGTCGATGAGAAAACAATTTTACAACAGTGTAAAATGAATACAGTTGGATGAATATAGTAGACACAAATTAGCAGAAAACATCATTATAATAAACATTTAATACAGTAAAAATGTTTAAATTATATAAATATATTTGTAGGAGCCATTCTTCTTTCGTTTAGGCTAGGGTCAATTTGGGTCACTGTTTATGTCTGGGCACAGGGTGACCTATATTTGGCGTGTCCACAAGGGGGCAGGATGGAGTCAAGCTCTATATGAACGCACAGTGAACTGTGTGTATGGGTGACAGGAGGTCACATGATTTTTACCTCTCTCTGACTTGTGGTCTAACTTTCGCTATTCAACTCGTTAATATTATTGAATATCTATCCACCCACTCCAGTTCTTTCTGCTGTATAATGTAAAGTACCACAACCTGGATTCTGAAGCGCGTTAGTCCTGGGTCCCCTGCACCCAGAAATGACAAAAGGTTAGGACTAAAATTGTTGTTACAATATTTAAAAATTAGAATAATGAAAAACAGAATACAAAATTAAATTTTAAATTTTAAAATAAAATTAAAAACTGTACTGCATCCGCCTGATGAGGGGTCAGTGACAAATCTGGAGGCACAACTCCAAACAAAGCTATAGTGCAGTTTGCTACAATATTCTTTTGTGACAAGGACTAACTTATGAACATATGAGTAGGCGACTTAAAGGTGCAGTGGCTATCAACTCAAACAGATCTTTGCACTCACTGCAATATTATTGCTGCTATTTTCATCATAAGTAAGTAAAGTTAAACGAATGTCTACAGAGCTTTAAACACAGTGCTCCATTGGCACCAGAGGCACACGAACTCGCTCCACTTCTGTACAAACAGCCACCGGCACTAGGACCATATACATGTTTGTAGTAAAGTTCTTATGTTTAAATTGGTTTAAACAGACTGAAATAAAACTGAACTTAGCCTCCCTCGTCAGTTATGTCATGTTACAGTTAAAAACATTTACGCATCAAGTTCAGCATCATAAGAAATGGAAGGCACATTTAAATTCTAATAAAATGTCTTAATAGGCCTTTGTTGAATAAAAATATCTTTAAGCCTTTTTGAAGACCTCCACACTTTGTGCCCATTTCCACAGACTTGAACAACAGCCTGAAAGGCCCTGTCACTCACTGCTGTCCCAGTAAGCTGCATCTAGTTTCAGTTTGTATAATTTATTTATTTTCTTTCAGCTCTGATGTTGTCAAAACTGGTGGAAGACGGACTAATCTCAGAGTATACATTTTTCTTTCTACCGGAGACCACTAGTGATCTACAAGGCACCAAAAAGGTATTTAAGTTACTAATGTTTTAATCATCTTTATCAAGAGGCAGGACACAGGACAAACATGCACACTTCACTCCGAGAGATCAGGAATTTAACCCATAACCTCTTTACTGAAAGGAAGAGACAGAATAATCACTCACATATTGTATAGTAATTGTACAGTATTTTTAATTAGTTTTATTTTAAACTGTCTCTTGCTTTTTTTTCTTGTAGCTAACAGATTCGTTGCAGTGGCTTCTCTTGCGCGCTCCTCCTGCCTTCCCTCTCTCCTGCCAAACTTTGGTCGGACTCGTCGAAACCAGATTGGGTCGGGATTTCAGTTCCAGAGTCTACTCCCACAGACAGGAGCGTGCCTCTGCTGGCCTGCCCCCGCTGGGCCCCCTACCTGTGATCACCCTGTACAACGCCGTCCTGAAGCACATCGCTGACGCCATCTCCTCTCCAGAGCTGTGCAGACTGTCGTGGCCGCCGGTGGAGTTTTCTGTTCCGGAGATGAGGGAGTTTGTGCCTCATGTCGGGTGGAACTGTTCTGAGCACCTGAAGTGGATCAGAGAGGCCATCTTGAGTCTGCAGCTGCCAGAGTGGGACAGTGAGTCTCCTACAGGTCAGTCAGCACTCTGTTTAAAAACTGTCACAAATCTACTAATTGATACTAAAATTAGTATCAAAACTAGACAGCCATTTGAGCAAGTATCGATAATAAAAATAAAAAAAAAAGTCCCATTCACAGGTCAAAAATTAACCTTTCCTGAATGTCTTTAGAATGATCTTGAGCTGTATCAGAACAAGTATAAGAACACATAGACTAGTACACATCCATGGACCACTATGAACCTACCTGCACCACTGAGGGATTACACACATATACTTATTATGTGTTGTTATTATTATGTTTCATTTAAAATGTTCATGGTATGATTTTAGTTGTTCTCTTTCTTGCCTTAACTTTCTTTTCATTCATTGTGTAACTTGCAAAAAGAGATTATTTCAACAAAACTAATTTCATTGTTGGTCTTTTTCTAGACTCTTGGTCCGAACTGTGCTCCTCCATCTTCTTGTACGCGGCACAGATCCCAGTGTCACCACGCTCTCAGCCTCTGCTTGTGTCCCGCCTCGAAAACCTGCTGGAACGAGTCCGATCCAGGGTCCAGACCAGAGACCGGACCAGAGACCAGACCAGAAGGACCCCCGGAGCCAAGGTACAGAGTGGATTTTATATGGCCAACTTATGAATAGGGTTGGAAGATATAAGCAGTAGAGAAGGATGGGTTGGATAATACTGGTGTATAACAGTAACACAAGGTGTGAGGAGACAGAAAGGGCACAGAGCTTGTGGAGGAGGTTCAGTCTTTGTTGAGAATGTTTATGGATGTCACTGACATATTTGAAGTGATTGCCACATTCTACTGTTTTGTTGTGAATCATGGCAGTTGTCAGGTCTGGGATGTGTGAGTGGGTGTAGGTGAGTAGTTTGTTAATTTAACAGTGCATCAACGTGAACTTCTTGGCTGAGGTTTGCACAAAACATGAATGAACCACAGAATTAATCACAAAATGAGAGATATGTCACGTTATACCCTTGTTTGGGAGATTACACTAGATGTTTCCGTTTTTGAGGCCAAACCAAGAATTGCAATATTGTCAATTTTTTGATAAATTTTTTGTGTAATTCCCTGAGGTCCCATGGAGCTTGTGGGCCCACACAGAGGAGGAGGTCTGCCCAGACGCCGAGTTTGTTCCTTGGGATGATGTTCTGGTAATCTGCATCGACCACAAACTCAAAGACTGGACACTGCCCGGACCCCCAGTCTGCGAAGGTAAGAGAGAAGAGGGGGCGAGAGAGGCAGAATCTAATAAAGAACATTTTGAGCACCTCTAATCCAGAGACTGATGTTTTTTTCAAAGACGCTATGACAGAAGATGGAGAGATCCTAGTGTATTTCCCCTCTGAAGCTCTGAGCTCCTTTACGCCTCCAGACGAATGGACTGAGGCTATGAAAGAAACGCACAGAGAAAAACATCAACAACAAGAACGGTACGTCATATGAGAGTTAGGACATATTCACACCTACGGGTTTTGTCTGCTTAAAATGGACTAGAGTTCGGAGGGTCAGGACTTTATTTCAGTTGTGACAAGCAAACTCTGATGCTTACCAAACAAGCCCAGAGATTGGCCAATGCAGTCTGTCTCTGGGAGGAGACAGCTCCTACAGGAGACGGCTCTGACTTTGTTTGTAATAAATACTCCAGCTGCGATAGTGCCAAATGGTATCCTTCAGTGCTTTAAGCAGTGCACTCTGGTGGTTTGTAGGGATGAAGTAAAACCTTTGTATACGTATGAATATGCATTTAAATTGTCCTCTTCACTGTGTTTTAGGGCAAATGAAGCTGTCAGGGTCCCTCTCCCTTCTCTGTCCCTGCAGAAGAGACTGTTTTTCAGCCTGAAGGATCCAGAGCAGCCCCCTGAGTCCAGCCTGGACTTCAGCTACACTCCCACACCAGAGGAGGCGCTAGCACACAGAGTCCTGCAGCAGCTTGAGGAGGAGAAGCAGGAGAGTAAGAGGTAAGACTGCAAATGTGGCAGAGTCATTAGCACTTTCTTTTCACAGCAAAAGACCTGAAAAGTCTTTTTCTGTGGAGTTTGGATGTTTTTTCCATGTCTGGCTGGGGGTCCCGCATAAAACATTCACAAATGCCTAATCCTGCCGTTAAATGTTGCTGCTGATAGCTTACTTTTGTAGAAAGGTTATGGAATCCTTATAGTTTAAACTGAGCTGGAGGACAGGGCAGAATTCTCAGGCAGAATTTGCTGTTTACCTCCTACATTGCAGATTTGTTGACCTTGTTTATGGTTCATACCTCTAATTTCTGGGCCTATCCACATGAATCAAAAACTGGCACTGACAGTCCATTGTCTTCTCTGTCAGTATAAATAAACAAGAGTGAAATATGTTTTCACAGTGGCTTCAAAAATGGCCCCAAATGCATTATTGTCAGTTTAAAGGACTTTAAGACATGATTTGTTTGGGACTGGCTCCAAAAACTTGCCATATTAATCTCATGATATATGATAATAATATGATTCAACATTCTTAGACGTGAAGATTTAACTGAAGGGACGATAAAATAATCCTAAAAAAAACAAATTAATCTAATGAACCATAATATAGATTAGGGAATGGGCAAATGATGTCTCACCAAATAATCCATATCATTAAAATTTCCATTTGAATTGTTCCTGTGTCCAGGATGATGGAGCAGTTCCAGCGCTGGTCTGAAGGTGGTGCTCGGGAGCCGCTGTGCACGCCTCTGTTTATGCCCTCCTCCACTCTGCTGACCCTGCCCACACTAGTGCCGCCCCCTACAGGCAGGACCAGAGAAGCGACTTCTATTGCTCAGGTATTTTGAGTGATTTTGATTCATACACTTTTATCCTGCGTGCTTTTTCTGTGGGCGTGGATAGGGGATAGGTGAAAACTGACATTTTTGTACATTTAAGCCTCAAATGCAGACATGCACACTTTAAATGGTAATCCAGAGTTACTCCTCTGTGTGCATTCACCCTCACCATACTCTCATCTGATCTTTTCACCACAGTTGTTTTAAAGAAAAATGATGTGACATGCTCTCCTACTATTTTACCTGTGGTGGGTCTGTTTATCTACCTCGAATGTTCCACAATACATTTCATTTATCTTTGTGGATCATATCTATGGAGAGGTGAGTCCGCTCACAATAATAACTGATAAAATTGAGTATCTAAGTTGGAAAGGCCACGCAAACACACCTCCATCTCTGATTAGAAAAGTTACATAGTGAAACTTTAATCTACCTTTTGTACAGGTTTTCGAGACGGAAGCTGGGTCAGATTTGCCTAAAACTCCTCGTCCGTCTCTGTCCTGGAGAATGGAGGAACTGGAGCGTCAGATTTTAGCGAGTCAAGAGGAGGAGCTAGCAACAAAACTGCACCTGAGTGAACTGCTAAACATCGTACAAGACTGACTTTAAATAATGTCTGTTTCTCAAGGACAGAAACATCTTATATTTTTATTACTTCACTGGCTTATTTTAAAACTGTTTTTCATAAAACGGTGAATCCTGTTTAATGCCTTTTTATCAATTAACTGTATTTGAAGTGTGAATAAATGTTAATGTTTAGTTTTGTAAAGGGACAAAAGTGGAATAAAAGTGATATTTTTCATGTAATTTCTTCGAGTCAGCTCAGTCATGAATGCATTATTGGTCCAGAGAGGATAGGACTTTTTGGACAGACATGCTTGAAGTGAAAGCCATGAAGAGTTTTATGCCATACTGTGGAATATTAGAAGAAATAGCATTACCGTGGAAACAAGCAGGTAGATTTGTTATTTATCTATAGTTTATTTTTATATTTTATTTTAGTATATTTATCAGTTATTTTTTAAAATACAAAGTGACAACAATAACTGTTGGGAGAAAGTTTATACATGTGCATAAAAATAACTAAAAGACACATAAAATGATCAGCATAGTACTGTTTTTAAAGCCTAGGATTTTAGGCCGAATACTTTTAAAATATATTTCCATTTATTTGTAAAAAAAAAAACATTAAATGCAGGTTTCTAAAAAAAAAAGCATCTTATTTATTCGGTGTTTTGTATGGAATAAATTTTAAAGTTGTTAGATTGCATTTATTTTTCCGGAAGTGACAGACATTGGACCGGAAGCTCTGTGAGAGCCCTATCAGCTGTGTTTATTGTTACCTAAAGCTTAAAACACAAATGTAAAAGAAATAAAAACATGTCGAAAGGCCAAACGCTGAGAGCTTTGGTGAACGCGCGTCTGTGTGCGGCTGCGGAAGAGATTTTTGCGCTGTTTGACAGAACGATAGCGGAGTATGAGCAAGAACTGTGCCGCTCCAAAGACGAGAACCAGAAGAGCCGGGAGCTCCTCCACACTGTGCTCAGCCCGAGGGTCGTGCTGCTGCGGGCGGCTGTGGAGGAGCAGAGCGCCCCGGGGAGTCCTTGGCCTGGGCTGGACCAGGAAATCACCGAGACTCGGATTAAAGAGGAGCCAGAGGAACCGAAGGTCAAACAAGAGGAAGAGAAGCAAGAGTAAGATGGAGAGATCTACACTAAACATTATTCTTTTTCAGGAAAATGAGCTTTGAAAATGTACATGTGTGAATGAAATAAAACACAACTCGAGTTATGTTTTTGATAAAGTTAAAACAATTTAACACGGCTTTAAGATCACAAGAGTCACGTTTGTGTAATAATAATAATAATAATAATAATAATAATAATAATAATGTAATATAGGAATATAGGACTTTTAAAATATTTTAAAATTTTTCAGGTCTGTCCCAGAGTCCAGCGCTGAGTGTGTAAAGACAGAAGAATCCTCTTTACTTCAACAAACTGAGACGCAGAGAGACGAGACGCAGAGAGACGAGACGCAGAGAGACGAGACGCAGAGAGACGAGACGCAGAGAGACGAGACGCAGAGAGACGAGACGCAGAGAGACGAGACGCAGAGAGACGAGACGCAGAGAGACGAGACGCAGAGAGACGAGACGCAGAGAGAGAACCTCAGCGCAGAGTCACTTTTCCACCCAGACACCGCCAAAGAGTCCTCCAACACCGACAATGATGACGACTGGAGTGCATCTTTCAGCTGTTCAGATCCACATGTGGAGACCGACGGAGACCAGTACAACCTTGACCCTGCACTGTACACAAACCTCTTCCTCAATCACAGTCCCGCTCCAGAGACAAGCGCAAAGAATGTGCAGGTGTCAGGAACAGCCGAAAGGCCTGAAAAGAACAAATTCCAGTGCTGCGTTTGCTACAGGACATTTGGTGCAAAATATACTTTGCAGGTTCATTTTAGAGTTCACACAGGAGAAAAGCCTTTCAGCTGTACAGTCTGTGGAAAAACCTTTGCAGACCAGTCCAATCACAGAAAACACGTGGAATCTCATAGCCAGGCATCATTCAGACGGAGAAAATTTGCCTGCGACGATTTGCAAGATGTTCATATGAAAAATAACCATATTGATAAAAAGCCATTTGGGTGTTCAACTTGTAAGAAAAGTTTTGAATCTCACGTCGAGCTTCTGGAGCAAATGAAAACTCATTTAGGAACTAGACCTTACAGCTGTGCCCTCTGCGAAAAATCATTTTTTCAGAAGTGCAATCTCGAAATGCATCTCAAAGCGCACGCTGCTGAAAAACCATTCAGCTGTTCAGTTTGCGGGAAAACCTTTGTCGATGAAAATGCACTGGAGGCACACACAAAGAAATGCCATAACGCTAAAAAGAAACACAGTTGCGCACTCTGCGAAAAAAGTTTCACCAACAAATATTCGCTCGACATTCATACGAAAAATAACCACACGGGCGAAAATCCGTTCAGTTGTAAAGTTTGCAAGATAACTTTTGCGTCGTACTATGCCCTGACGAAGCACAGGGCCACGCACACGGGAGCGAAACCCTACAGCTGTTCACTGTGTGTGAAAACATTTATTCAAAAAGGGGATCTCAAAGTGCACATGAGGACGCACACGGGGGAGAGGCCCTACAGCTGTCCAGTCTGTAAGAAAAACTTTGCTTACAGAAGAAGTTTGAACATGCACAGAGCCACACACACAGCGGACAAACCATTCGGCTGTTCTGTCTGTGGCAGAGTGTTCAGGCTAAAGAGGCATCTCCGCAACCACGGCTGTTCAGAAACAAATGATTTATTGTAAGTTAGTGTTGTGACAATACTAAAATTTCAATACTAAGGAATAGACTCTTTCTTTAGACGATAGAATGTGAGTTTCAACATTAAATCGTGGCACTTTCTTTCTATTCCCATGTGATTTTATATCTGTGTAATCCCACAGTGATCCAGGTAGGTTCCATAGTAGTCCATGGGTGTATACTAGGCTCTGCTCTTATACTTGTTCCGATACAGCTCAAGATCATTCTAAAACTGTTCAGGAAAGCTTCATGTCTGTCCTGTCACTGTGACTTTTTTGTATGGATACTTGTTCAAATGAGTTTCTAGTTTCGATACTAGTTTTAGTATCGAGTAATATCTGATTTTCAATATGTTTTTATAATAATAATAAAAACAAACAATCCCTTTTTTAAATGATACGATAACATTTTCAAAACTCAATCATTGTAGTTTCTTAATATTACTATCTGGTCTTATAATAGTTTTGTTATAAATATAAACAGGGCTGCAGCTATTTATTACATTTAAAAATACTCCAAATCATGTTTTGATCATCGTAAATCATTATCTGGACCACACAGACCTGTTATAATCACTAACCCAGTTTATCTGTAAATATTCTTTATTTAGAAGCCTTCAGCCACCGTATTTCAACCTTTAATTCAAAGATTTATTTAAAAAGTCTCAATGTAAAACAGAAGTTTGACTGATCAAAAAATGAATCACTGACTAGTCAACTATTACAATAATCGTTTAGGTGCATCCAATATGAAAGAGGGGGTTACACTTCCACCACCATCACCGTGTTACCTTTTATTGTTAAGAAAATACTGTAATGTAATGTATTCACTTTGGTCAGTCACCCCTCATTCAGAGCTCTATCGCAACTCTCATCATGTCAGGTTTGTGAAGTTGTAGCGCATTTGTTTTGTGCCATGTTTTTGTATATTTATGGAGAATCGTTGACAGAGCAGTGCCTTCAGTTAGCATCACACTCCAAGGGAATGTTGATGACATCAGCTGTAAAATGTGAAATTGAATGGAATTTTAAATATATCATGTATATTTTTTTATATAATAATTTCCTGACTTTTGAAAGACTTGTTGAAGCCTACTGTACAAGTTTAACCAAAACTCTATTAAAATTCTATGAAACATGAACAAGAAGTTATTTATTAGTTAAGTCCAGCAGTAGATAGTACTCGGTACTATCTACTGCTGTATTTATACAAGCTAGTACTTGTATTTACTCAGATACATTTACTTGAGTAACTTTTTAAAGAAATTGTACTTTTCAGAGTACTTTTCTAGCAGCATACTCTTATTCCTACTTGAGTAACATTTTATTGAAGTAACAGTACTCTTACTTGAGTAAAAGGTTTGGTTCCTGTTCTCACTGTGAGTGAGTCTAAAGTGACAAAAACTTTATGACAGCACAAAATGATTTGAACATTTGTGGTTCTTCAGATATGATTGAGTTAGTATTTTTGTGTTTGTCCTTTAAAAACACCAGATTTGTTGCATTATATAATGTTTTATTACATTAGCTCAAATCATAAATCAGATCTTATACTTAATATATAAGTAAGTTTTTATTTATATAGCAGTTTTCACAGACATATGTCACAAAGACACACTGACTGACGTGAGGCTGCCAATCTGAACCATCAGCCCCTATGACCAGCACCATCACTCACGCACACACCATGAGTCATTTCTTGCACCACTACTTTGTACTTCTGCTTGAGCAGTATTATTTTGAAGTAACGTTACTCTTACTTGAATGCTATACTAGGGTGACCAGACGTCCCAGTCTTGAGTCCTGTGTCCCCTGTCCCAGCAAATTTATCCAAAACCAGTGATTTGTCCCAGTTTTATACAAGAAATGTCCTGGGTGCTTGGCAACTCTACCCACCTGTGTTTAATTAATTATTAATAAATTGATTTGAGAAATCTTCTTCACAATACAAATTTCCATCACACTATTTAAATGTTTTACTTTTTATTATATTATATTGTGGTGTGTGAGCTACTGTGTTCAAATCATTTCCCTTGTAGTTCAATAAAGTTTGTCTAAGTCTAAGTCTAGTGTGGTAAAGTTGATGCAGAATTTTCAAGCGTCACTTGATCTGAACACATGTGTAGTGATGTCGTAGCTGCTCTCTGATTGGTCGATTGCGCGTAAGGCCCTCCCCTTTCCCCTCCTCTCTCTTTCCTGATTGGTCACTGGACTCTCTGCTCATGTCTTTCCATTGCAGAATAACTCCAGCGGATCTCTACAGTTTTCAAGTCCAAAACTCCGCATAAATTCGTCTTTAGTGCTTCAAATTTGACCCAAAACACGATACTTTGCGGAGAATACACATTTTACCATCTGTTTATCAACCTGCTGTCATGACTGAGGGCACGTGAGTATTGTATTTTTTTATTTTACTTCGGCGATCTCTGATTTAATTAGTAGAAATATAGAATACATTCATTTAGAAGTTCTAATCTAAATGATGCCATGTTAATTTCAGAACCATTTCAATATAGGTTATTTACAGTTATATACCGCTATACTATGCAATTGCAGGTGTAATACTTAGGGATGTAACGATATTCGCATCTCGGTACGATATTTTTACGATATGCATCTCACGGTATGATATTTTTTGCAATATTTTGTGGAGATTAACAAAACTGTGAATATTCTACTTTTTCCTCTTAAAATGCTTTGACAAGACTTAACCTAAAGAAGTAAGATTTCAAAGTGCTTCTAACTTCTTGAAACAGAGCAAAGGATCATGGTCTATGTAGTTCCCTCTGTTTTTTAGCTATTGCTGCACTATAACTGTTCATTTAAGCAAACAGATTTGTAATTTGATATATTGTGATGGTCCATGATATTATTGCGAAACCTTTGACGATACGAAATCACGATATTTTGGTTACTGTTACATCACTAGTCATGCTACAGTATATTTGGCATGTATTTGGGTGGAGGGTGACAGAGGACTAAGTCACTGGGAAAACATGGACTCTCCACTCATAGATCAGGAGTCTAACCCACAACCTCTTACTGAGAGCAGGAAACAGGGTAAACACAGCACAGGGTTCCCATACGTCCTGGAAAACCTGGAAAATAACTGTCCTGTTTTCTAGAAATGCAAAACACATGGAAAATTAAGGGATATAAAGAGCCAGATGTTCTGGAAAATACATTTGTTGTCTTTGAAATTTCTCCCCGTTTTGCTTTGCAGTGTTATGGTTAAGTAAGAGACTGTTATTGCCATCACAGTTAAGAAAAAAACAAAAAAGTTGGGAACTCTTCTAAAACCCTAGCCTGATTCATCAGCCAGTTTCACTTTGTAGAAACCGTCTGACACCGCAGTGATAGAATTCGTTCACGCTATTGTAGACGGGTACTTTTTATCATTTGACCAATCCCTGTTATTTGGTCGTGATGTATGTAATGCACCGCTAACAGGGCTAATTGGTATATTAAGCTTTTCCCAAATCCCATAGGAAGAAGGACAATAACGTCTTTTCCCTTGATAAAATTCACCAAACATCCTCGTTGTTCCGGCTTTAAATCTTCGATCTCGAGAATCGTTGCCAACACAGAATATATGTCTCTTCGATGATTGGCGGGTGCCCGGATTTTCACTTCCGGGGTTTTTGCAAACTGTCTAGTGCAGGGGTGCTCACACTTTTTCAGCATGCGAGCTACTTACAAAATGACCAAGTCATAAAGATCTACCTAATACAAAGCCAAGCAAACTGCATTGAAACACTCTGTGCCCCTTTTTTGGACCCTCACCCACAGTTTGTGAACCCCTTCTTTAGAGAACTTCCTCTGGCACTTTACACAAAACTGTGAAAAAAGTGAAGGAAGATTTTTAAACCTGTTTATTAAAGTTCCAAACTGGAGTTGCATTTTTTTCTGGTTTTGCAGTGATATTTACCAGCCTCTGCACATTTACCAAACCAAATGCACATCGTGACAAACACAGATGCATTTGTGCACTTTTGTTAGGCAAACTTCAGCCAAATGTGGCAGCAGGTCTGTTCTGTAGATCTGCTCTATGCTGTAGACCTGCTTTGTGCCAACAATGGAACACAAATTTAGACTTGTTTTTGCTTCACGTTTGGTCTTACTCTTCTAATCAGTGCGCACTGTGGGAGGGGCTTGTGTTCGCTGTACGCAGGAAGGAGCGAGAGCGTGAAAAGGCGAGGGGCGGCGTGCTGACGTGAGGCAGATGGACAGGTAGGATGTTTAGGAAGTTGAACCTGCCCTGTGATGCACGCTGGTACACGAGGGCACACGCTGTTGCAGACGAGCCGTGCATAGGGAGCGTGTGTGTTTGTGTTGTGCCGTAGAGTCTCCGCGGGTTTCAAATGAGCGCACAGGCTGCACTGAGACGCCCCACACGCTCCTGCACCCCGCTACAAGTTTATTACCAACAGCAGCGGCCGTAATGAAATATGATCGCACTTGTTGAGTGTCAGACCTTGAGTGAGAGACAAGACCGAGTCCAAAACCAGACACGGCGATCTACCCACACGACCTTGGCAATCAACTGGTAGATGCGATCGACGTATTGAGCACCCCTGGTCTAGTGTATTTTGTTTCCTGACCTAGTCGCTGAAGAGAAATGAAATTGAGCGGAGGCACTAGGTGGCACCAGCCCGGCTACTAAACCCCACCAAAATGCAGGAAATTTTGCACAAATTTTCTTGTCTATAATTTTCTGTTTTATAAGGGCAACCATAAGGTCACAGTACTATTCAATAAGAATAATTTGTAGCCAACAGATATGTTCATAGATGTTCTCCGTCTAATTCGAGTTCAACACTATAACCTTTTGAAAATCTGTTTAAATATAAGTTTAAATATATAACACTATCCCGCCACAATACAAAGCGAATATATGAAACTACATGATCATAGTGTGTTTGCTGTGGAGTGGAATTCATTTGCATCTCTGTGGACTTTGACTCTAGTTAGACTGCCTCTTTAGTAGAAAAATAGGAGTCATGTATTTGTAGATGCCATGATTATTTTAATAAAAAACATCCTTGAAAAGTCTTGGTAAAAGATTTCAAGCAATGTGTGGGAACCCTGACAGAGACAGAGAGAGGACATCAGGTTCAGGTAGCTTTATTTATATCAGAATGTAGAATTTCTTTGATTTTACACGCTGATATAAGATTTAGAATTTAATTGATAAATAATCAAAATAACCCATAACTAAAAATGTGGTAAATGGTCATATTTCTATAGCACTTTTCTACCTTCACTGTTTTTATCAATGAAACAGTCCTCCATTCACACGCACATTCATACACCAGTGTACGCAGACACTGGGGGCAAGGTGGGTTAAGTGTCTTGCCCAAGGACAAAACAACAGCATTCACCTGTGGGAGCTGGAATCGCACCGCCAACCTGTGTGTCAGTGATGTTTATGTCAAGAGTTAAGGTGCAGTGTTCATCTTATTTGGCAAACAAACCGCTGCTAGATTACAGTTGTTTTGAAAATACTTTTGCGTCTTGGGACCAGGTACGAGAACTGAAGCTGTGTGGAGTACAGTCATTACTTTACAGGACCATTTGAACATCTGGGAAAGCGATTTTTTTTTTTTTTGCCAAACCATGAGATCAGACAAATCAAAAAAACATATTCAATAAATTGAAGGCGCACTCTCTTCCCCAGGTGTCTGCGTCGGCGTGGGGGTCCGTACAAGACTGAAGCGGTCACAGATTTAAACAGGTGGAGGTTGAAAAATGAGGAGGGCCGACAGACGTGGAGGTTTTCAAGGGATGAGGAGGAGGAGGAGGAGAGGGAGCAGACGATGTTGGAGGCACATTCACTTGGACTGGACACGGTGAGCAAAGACACCACTCTCTGACCATTCAAATATGAACTTTGAACAAATTGTATTATTAAAACATGGTTGCATTATTGCTTTGGCATTAAACTTGTCTATCTTCCATTTATGTCATTATAGATGTTTTTGTTGCCCTATATTAAGTACCTTAACAAAACATGCATTCATACTGTGAGGGGGTCCTCTCTCCACAGATCTGGCCTGTAATTTGACCATCTTGCTTGTATCCATGGAGATTAATTAGTGTTTAATCTACTTTCAGCCAATGTAATGACTTCATAGAAACTAGACAGTGACTGACCCTCTACCATAAAGGTTTTTTTATATAATAATATCCTAACTTCCTGAAAACTCTTAAAACTTTGTGAAACATGAACAAGAAGTTATTTATCAGGTAAGTCCAGCAGTAGGTAGCACTCAGTTGTATTTACTCAGATACATTTACTTGACTAACTTTTTAAAGAAATTTTTACTTTTCTAGCAGCATGCTCTTATTATTACTTGAGTAATATTTATTTTATTTTATTTTATTTATTTATTATTTAACTTAATTGAGTAAAAGGTTTGATTCCTCTTCTGGCTGTGCATAAGTGACAAAAGCTTTATGTGACAATACGAAATGATTTAAACATTTGTGTTTGTTGCAGTGCTCCTTCAGATATGATTGAGTTTGTCTTATTTTTGTGTCTGTCCTTTAAAAACACCTGATTTTTTGCATTATATAATGTTTTATTACATTAGCTCAAATCACAAGCCAGTGACAGACCCTCTACTGTGAAAGCTGCATAAGTCACGTTGCACCAAAATTAAACACAGAAGAGACATGTTTACACAATCATGTGACTTTTATTATTATTAGAGATTATTTTTAAGAAAGTGAAAAAAGTTTATTTTTGGTTGTTACTACAACTTTTTATTATTAGGACCCCCTTAGCTGAGCTTAAAGCTATGTTAGAATGTTGTTACCTCATCAAAAAGATACCTGTTTGTGTTTTGTTTCATTCACACATTCACACAAAATTTCAACAAGCGTCACTTTTCAAGTTAACAGCTACCTTTTCACCTTCTGTTCAGTTGTTTTTCAGAAAATAGTGTAATATAGGCCCTTTCTGATAGATTTGTGGGCTTTTCTTTGGATTTGAAAAGCTAAATATCAGTTATTGGTAACAGCCACCACCCCTGCTAACTTGCCAGTATGATTTTTTTTTTATCCAGAGTAAGTTCGTGCCTGCCTCTGCTCCGGCTCTCACAGCTGTGGACTCTGCTCTCAAAGGAATGAACTTCTACAAACAGCTCCAGGCTGAAGACGGACATTGGGCCGGAGACTACGGGGGACCACTGTTTCTGCTGCCAGGTACAAAATATACTCCACACTGAGAGATCAGGAGTCTAACCCACAACCTCCTTACTGAGAGGAGGAGACAGGATAACCACTCTGCCACAGTATCACACTGCACTTATCAGTATGGTCTCATGAGGCACTTGTCCTTGATTGATTGGCTAAAGTGCCTGTGACAGATTAAACCACTAATTTTGCTAAAGCACAGTTAAGATTATTATATTTTAAATTTCACAATTTTATAATTTTTTTCCCAGTTTGGCCATTTTTTGACTTCCTGGTAGGAAATCATGACATTAGGCTTGGGAATTCGTTAACCGCTACAGAGCAACCATATTGTACACTGAGCCAAAACACCTCTAATGTACACAGAAATAAAAATTATAAGAAAGTTTTAATGAAACATCTTACTTTTGTTTAAATCATGTTTAAAATATCAGAAAAAATATTTCCTGTGTGTAACTTATGCCAAACTTTTGGATAGAATTCTCCCTAGTGTGAATATGGAACTCTAAAATAGAACTCTGAGCTTCCTGTAATTTTCTAGTAATTTTCTTTGCAAATTGCTTATTGGTTTGTGTAAAACTATAATTCATATTTACAACAGGTATTATCCCACCCACTTAAGTAGAAATTAGAGAATCTTCTTCAGGCACTTGTATGCTGAAGATGCTGTTGATACAGAATGGCAGCCATGTGCGCGTCAGACAGCCCCAGGGCAGCTGTGGTTACAGGTGACACTGTCTGTTGAATATCTTTGTTGTGTTGTTTTAGGTTTGCTGATCACTTGTCACGTGGCTAAGATCCAGTTACCTGAGGAGTGGAGGAAAGAGATGGTGCGATACCTGCGATCGGTTCAGCTGGAGGACGGAGGCTGGGGGCTGTATGTTTTATCTGACCATTGTAACTTTAAAAAATAATCACACATATTTTAATAAGTGTAACTGTTATATGGACTAAACAGACTTTGAAATGCTTACAAAAATACATTTTTATTATAGACAGAAGCGTTATTAAAGCCATTATTACAGTAACATTACGTATATTTTGCAGAGGTAACATTTTACTTCATTAGGAATGGTACTTCAAAATAAAATGATAAATTACTTCATAATAAAATTATAAGTAAGAGCAAAAAAGAGAGAAAAGTAAGAGTAACTTAAAGAGTAACTCAGGACATAACATCTGATATATAATTGGAAGAGCAAAATACTAAATAAGGCACAAAATTTGGTATTTTCAAAGGACAGACACAAAAATGAGACAAATTAAATCATATCTGAAGGAGCTGCAAGAAACACAAATGTACAAATTATTTCATATTATTATAAAAAGCTTTTGTCACATGTAGATTCACTTGTAGACGTGTAGATGTGTAGGAGTGGCCACAACTTTAACTGTAAGAGTATTATGATTTAATTGAAAATATTACTCAAGTAAGAGCTGTACAACATATTAAACAAGTAGGAGTAGAAGTATGGGGTTTGAAAACTACTCTGAGATATACAGTTATATTATAAACTCTGACTTTGACTAATACATATTCCAGATTTGACAATATCATCTTTTGCTGTATTGTCCTAAAAAGAACCAAAATTGTTCATGTTAAAAGAAGACAAAATGCACATTTTTGGATTTGACTAATGCATTTCTCTTCTCTCAGACATATAGAGGATAAATCTACAGTCTTTGGCACTGCCCTGAGCTACACGTCGCTGAGGATTTTAGGAGTTGACCCTGATGATCCAGATATGGTCCGGGCCAGAAACAACCTTCACAGCAAAGGTTTGGGAATACTGTCACACTGAAAAGAAGACCCATATGTGTCACCAAACATAGATCACGCAATATTGATTATTTGCAGTAACTCAATTTGAGTTGAGCTTCATGTATGTCTACACGTTTGCAATCACCACCTGATGTCTGAAAGCTCAAGCAAAAAATCTAAAATGGATTTAAACAATACATTTTCAGGTTTCTCTGATCAATATGAGTGTTCATGGTCCTGTTTGGAAGTTTGATTTTCAACCCAAAATGTGAGAATGAATTGAAAAAGGATAGGCTAATGCAAGCTAACTTGTGACTTGTCATGTTTACATGAGAGCTTTAATTTCAAATAAAAATAAATTAATTCTGAATTAAAAAAAATTCTGCTTTAAAAAGACCATGTAAACACTTTATTCCTGATGAAAATGATTATGAGGAATTAAACTTAATTCTGTAGTAAGTGGGTGGCTTATTCCGATTTTAAAACCAAATTAATTTTTCGATCATGTAAACTTGCTCGTTGTGTCGCCCTTCTGACCTGAACAGTCCTGGCTTCGGACTTTCATCCACTGCTCCTTGGATTTGCGAGCGGGATGTGGGAGTGGGCTGAGGTAGAGCAGCCGTTGACTTTTTCCGACACTCTTCCCTTCTCCTCCTCAGCTCACAGACATAAAGTGTGATGACAAAATTCTCCAGCTGCTCCACAATTATCATCGGTACAACTGCGAAAACAGTTTATATCTTGTTTGTGTCCGTGGCGTAAAGACAAACCAAGATGACAAAAAAGCCGGTAGCAGCTGAAGTGTGTGTTTTCTTCCTGTAGATGTAAATACGTTCATGTCCCTGGCCAATCAGAACCCTTCCCCACCCCCACACGCTGAGCGGAAATAAATAAACCAATTTAACGTATTTTTTATGTAAACCTCAATTTGGAATTATTATTTCCATGTAAACAATTTAATTCAGAACAATTAATTCGGAATTGAAAAACATCATGTAAATGTGCCCACTGTAATGTTATTTGAGATGGACTTGTTTAACAGCCCAAATCACTTCACCTGTTTTAGTTCTACCTAAGACAGCTCTTTCTGGTCAGATTGTGTTAAAACAAAGCTCAGACTAAAGTCTAACTTGAGTAATATAGCTTCAGACAGAGCTATACTAGAATTAGAATTAGAAGTCAGAATTTTAAAAAGGTATCTGTCTGCTTTTCTGATCACCTCTCCAGGCAGAAGGCCTAACAAAAATATCTTTGGGTCCTTGGGGACAACATAAGTCAAGATCGTATCTGTTTTTTCAAACACATTGTCCAAGAATGATTTTAATTTTGTACATGTCCAAAAAATATGAGAGTGATTGGCATTTGAGTGGCCACACTGTCTCCAACAATGAGATTCTAACCCTTGTAGTCTGGCAGTAATGCAGCTGAGTTTTACATCAAATAAGAGCTGTCATATATGTTGCTGCAGGAGGAGCTGTGGGGATCCCGTCGTGGGGGAAGTTCTGGTTGGCCGTTTTAAATGTTTACAGTTGGGATGGACTCAACACTCTGCTGCCTGAGATGTGGTGAGGCTCATTTTTGTGCAGTGATTTAGTACACTTAGACCTCGAGCTGTTGAGCTGGATAGAGCTGGCTCTTGTTTGTCCCCAGGCTGTTCCCGTCCTGGATGCCCGCTCACCCCTCCACGCTCTGGTGCCACTGCCGACAGGTCTATCTGCCCATGAGCTACTGCTACGCTGTACGACTACGAGCGGACGAGGATGAGTTAGTACTCAGCCTCAGACAGGTACTGCTACTACTACTATTACTGCTATTACTACTGCTGTTGCCACTACTACTTACTACTATAGATATTACTACACTGTACAGCTATGAGCAGAGGAGGACGAGCTAGTACTCAGCCTCAGACAGGTACTACTACTACTACTGCTACTACTACTACTACTACTACTACTACTACTAATACTAGTATGATTACTACTACTGCTATCACTACTACTAATACAACGACTACTACTACTACTACTAATACTAGTACTAATACTAATATTAATACTTTTACTGCTGTTGCTACTGCTACTGTTACTACTACAGATACTAAAGCTGCTGCTGCTGCTGCTACTACTTCTTACTACTATAAAAATGACTACACTGTACAGCTTTGAGCAGACAAGGACCAGGTAGTACTCAACCTTAGACAGGTACTACTACTGCTACTACTATTACTACTACTAATAGTATTGCTGCTGCTGCTACCACTACTACTTACTACAATAGATTCTACTGCACTGCAGTAGTTATAGCTGCTGCTACTACTATTTCTACTACCATAAGATCAAAGCCACTTTACACTTATGCATTATTAGTTTAATTAACCACTGAGAGATGCACAATCTTACACGACACCACACATACACAGGCAAGGTGGGAGAAGTGCTTTGCCTAAGGACACAACAGCAGTATGCTTAAGAGTAGAGCCACTGCTGCCTCACCGTGGCACCAGGTCTCCCATTAAGTACTAACAAGCCCCAACCCTGCTTCGCTTCAGGGATGAAACCAGATCAGGTATTCTCATTGTGTTATGGGATTACTAGAGCAAATCAGCCACGGAGCAAACCACCGGGGGGCGCTACAGGATCATATTTTATCTGTCAGATCTCTCTGGGATTATCTTGATATTTTTTGTCACAGTTTTTGTTAATGTAATATTTTGCTGATTAGATCTAGACTGAAGCTGTATATTGTTACTCTGTCTAAGATGAATGGAACAACAATATGAAACGTTCATTCTATTATGTTCCCAGGAGCTGTACACTCAGGACTACAATGCCATCCACTGGCCGTCTCAGAGAAACAACGTGGCCCAATGCGACCTGTACACACCTCACAGTACTCTGCTCAACATCGCATACAGTCAGTATTTACTACTACTACTAGTACTTGTTGTGTTTTCTTCACTAACAGATCTGGAGTTGTGTTTTGTTTCATTCACATATGTTTAACACGCAAACTCTGCATATTTAGAGTTCAGACTTAAACACTTTGTTTCACCTTGTGATGTCATGTGGTAATACAGGAAGCACTCCACTGTCATCTGGATAATTCCAGCCCAACTCTATTGCCGGTCTCAACTGAACAAAAGGTTAAAGGCAAGGCAAGTTTATTTGTATAGCACCATTTGTACACAAAGTAATTGAAAGTGCTTTACAGAATAAGAAATATATTAAAAGGTAGCTTTTAACTTGAAAATTATTGCTTCATGACATCACAAGGTAGAAGAGAGCATTTTGAGCTTTGGAGATGTAGACAGTCTAATAATAAAGGGTTACTCAAACATGTGTGAATGAAACAAAACACAACTCCAGGTCTATTTTTATGAGATAACAACATTATAATATGGCTTAAAGCTCACAAGAGTTAATTTTGTGTAATATAAGACCTTTAATCTTCTTGCTGCTTGTTCTTTGTTTCAGTGATGTTAAACGTGTATGAGTCCCACCACAGCTCTGCTCTGAGACAGAGGGCTGTAGAGGAACTGTATGACCACATCCAGGCCGACGACCGCTTCACCAAGTGCATCAGCATCGGACCGGTTAGTGCAGGCTGAAGCTCTGCTACTTGAGTTAGATTTTAATCGGAACTGTTAGTATAAAGTATACTGTGCTTTGACTTCACGCTGCTCGCGAGCTTGTGACTGTAATGTTATTTTAGAGGGATTTGTTTAACAGCATGAGTCATCTCACCTGTTGTAGTTTGAACTGAGGCAGCTCTTTCTGGCCAGATTGTGTTAAACTTAAACTCAGATTAAAGTCTGTCCTGGCTCGATTCACACCCACAGGGAATGCTGATGACATCAGCTGCAAAGTATCAATAGTTATTTTGTTAACTAATTGGTTGTTAGTGTCTATCAATTTGTGAATCACAAGTTTAATCTGTCCTTTTTTAAATACAGTCCTTGTTTCATGGTACTTCTTCTGCATAAATAGTAGTTTTTGCGTGAACTCCCCCATGCAGGTGTAGTCTTGTGAGTGCAGGTTGGATCAGATACACAGAGATACATAATAGTTTTGAGAGTTTTTGCCACGGCCCATTTTTACTCGACTAATCGACCGGCAGCCGACTACAGCTCTAGTCTGGTGAACAGAGCTGGCGAACTGTCTGCAGTAATACATCAGTATCATTTATTTGACCAACACTGTGACTGCCATCGATTAGATTTGCAAAGTATTAAAATAATAGCTTTGTTTGCCGTCTAATTTAAAGCCATAATATGTAACTTTTTAGCTATAAAATAGAATAAAAGCATATTTTGTCATTGTGGATCTTTTATAGAAAAACAGAAGAACATGTGTTCTTTCTGTGAGCTGGCACCCATCTCCACAAACCTGACTCTTATTTGACTTCCTTCTGCTTGTTTCTGTGGAATTGCTGTACTTCTGGATGTAATCTACTTAACCAAGCTCACACCAGATTTATATCTGTTCACTAACTAGTCTGTATTATAAAGGTCCTATATTATACAAAACAGATTCTGAGGTATACGCCAAGTTCTAATGCTGTTACCTCCTCAAAATTATTAGTCTGTCTACATCTCATGTAGTGGCAGTTTTCAAGTTAACAGCTCCTTTTACTTTTTGTTTAGTAGAAATTGGGCAATTCCAGGCTGAAATCATCCTGTATTACCACATGACATCACAAGGTGGAACAGAGTGTTTTCAGTTTGAGAGGAGAACTCAACCTAAATATACAGGGTTTTGTGTTAATATGTGAATGAAACAACAATTATGTTTGTTTGTGCGCTTCACCTTTGGCTCCGCCCAAACCAAATGCTGCTCTGTGATTGGTGGTTATTGCTGTGTGAATTTGAACTCTGCCTTTCTTCTGCCCCTTGTGTGTGTTTTCAGATCTCTAAGACGATAAACATGCTGGTGCGCTGGTACGCAGAGGGTCCAGCATCTGCAGCTTTCAAAGAGCATGTGTCCAGGATCCCCGACTACCTCTGGTCTGGCTCATTTTATGAAGAAAAGTTTATCATAATAACTCTGCTCTTTAGTTATGCTGTGTTTGTGTTACAGGTTGGGCTTAGATGGGATGAAAATGCAGGTGAGAAAGGAATTGTATATAATTTAGATTTTAAATTTCATAAACATGACCTAACTATGTCCTCAGACATGAGCTGAACATGTTCAAATCAAATATAGCTTTTCCAGAAAACAACTGTAATGCTGATTTATTCTTAGTTACAAATTCTAAAGACAATTGTCCAAACAGAAAGCAGAATGATCCTCACAAGATTCTCTTATTTGGGTTGCCAGTTTTAATACTGATATTTGGTTTATTTAAACCTAAAATTCCTCTCTGATATGAATGGTCAATCATGAATCAGTGCTAGTGCAGACTCTGCAGCTCAGGGTGGGAATTCTGAAGTTCTGAACTTTCACATGAACCATGGCCTGTCCAGATACGGAGAATGAGACAAACTTGGATATATCTCTTTCTGCAGGCTAAGACTGTGGTGACAAAGGTTCTGTTGAGATTATAAAACATAGATTTATAGAACAGTAAGTAGAGTTGTAGAGTAGAGTAGAGTTTTAACTTTGTCTATACCAAAAAGTCTGAAGTCAACATTATAACTGCAGTTTATTTATTCATTCATTCTTTTTGCAGGGCACCAATGGCTCTCAGCTCTGGGACACATGTTTTGCAGTTCAGGCTTTTCTTGAGGTAATTAAGTGTCAGCATCTTTTATTTAGACATTATTCTAATTGTATTATAAACATATTTATCTTTCTTGGTGTAATTTTCCAGGCTGGGGCTCAGGATGAACCTTCCTTAACAGAATGTCTAAAGCATGCTCACCACTTCCTCAACATCACTCAGGTAAAAGTGAAATTGAAGTTAAAAGTGACTTTAAGTGCATATGACACGCTTTCATGTTTTTTAATTCTGATTTGGTTTGCTGGGATAGTACTCATGGTCAGTAGTTCTCATAGTTTTACATAAATTCAGTGGCAGTTTGTGGGGAAAAAAAACATGAAAAGTACAAAAAAAAACTGTAGGTAATGGTGAATTCTAAAACAAAATAAAAAAAAATTCTGACAGTTTAAACCTTCATTTAACAAAATAAAGGTGATATTATGTATTTTTATTAGTCTCTATTAGTATTAGTATTAGTATCAGTATTAGTATTATTAAAGTCATATCTGATGCCCGTGTCCACCCAGGAAGGAAAATTATACACTTCAACACCATAATTTAAAATCTGGGCAAATCCGGTCAAACCTTACATAAAGTCACGTGAACTTTACTGAAATGAGTAATCCAACCTGTCATATGCACTTTTAAGTTCATGTTTTAGTGCTTTAAAATGGGTTCTATTCATGCTTACGTCACAAAACCGGCAGAGGTTTGGAAACATGCGGATCAAATCACATCAAATTTATTTGTCAAGCACATTTAAAACAGCCAAAGTTTACCAAAGTGCTGAACAACATTTACAGTGAAATAAAACATACAATAAAAATGAAGCAGAATAATAATCATAAAATAATAATAACAGTGAGGTGCCAAGTTGTCTCTTCCTAACTGTGGGCAAATGCCAAGGAGTAAAGGTGCATTTTGAGCAAGAATTTTAAGTGCTCTAGTGACTGTGCAGTTCAAATGTGCAAAGGCAAAGTGTTCCAAAGTCGTGAACCGACCACACAGAAGGCCCTGTCTCCTGTGGTTCTCAGCCTGGACCTGGGAATAACTAGGAGGTGCTCGTCTGCAGAGCGCAGACCTCTGGATGGGACATGGGGCTGGAGGAGTTCAAATAAGTAGGAAGGTGCCATGCCATTAAGACTCTTAAAAACGATTATTACAATTTTAAAATGGATTCTAAAATGTACAGCGAGCCATTGCAGGGATTTAAGAACAGGGGTGATATGGTCCCTCTGCTTCTTTCCAGTTAAAAGGTGAGCTGCTGCAGTCTAGACCCTGTAGGCAACTGAGCTGGGCTTGGCCAATGCAGCAGACAAAGAGTTACAGTTATCAAGTCATGACGTCACAAATGCATGATGAATGACCTTTTAAAAGTGCAGATGCGGAATGTACGATTTGATTTACCTCAAAAACCTTTTCAAATTTAAAATTGCAATCAAAAATGACACCAAGATTTCTAGAAAATGCTTTTTCATAGAAGTTCAGAGGAGTAATGGCACTGTCACAGTTTATCAACAGATCAGAATGACCACAAACAATTATTTCTGTCTTCTACTTATTTAAACTGAGAAAGTTTGACTGCATCCATTCCTGAACCTGCTTTAAGCAATTCACTAGTGCTTGTACAGAGCAGTTGGTCTGAAGTGGCAGGTAAATTTGCACATCAGCATAGCAGTGATAAGTAACATTGTGCCTTTCAAATACTGATCCCAAAAGAAGCATATAAGGCCAAATAAAGCAGGGCCCAATATACTTCCTTGGGGCACACCACACTTTAACACGGACACCACAGAGATGAACTGCCCTAACTGAACAGAGAAGGTCCTGTCTGTCTGATAGGACTGAAACCATTTCAGTGTGGTGCCCCTGATGCCCACTTGTTCCAGACGAGCTAAGAGGACGGCATGGTCCACTGTATCAAAAGCTGCAGTTAAATCTAAAAGCACTAGTGCAGAAGGTTGGCCAGAATCAGAGGATAACGACTCCCTTTGGGCTCTCTTGGCAACAGTATGGTTTTCTTCATCTAGATTTCATTGTATTTTTGTTTTTTTACTTTCATAAATTGCCTTTGGTAATTTGTGTATTATAATTTTTGTAACTAAATTTTTAAAAAAAGATGTCATTGTAGCATTCTCTTATGTTCGTCATATCAACAGTTACAACCAGCTACCTGTAAGTGACATTGAAGACTTGATTAGGGTCACGTCCCCCATGAAAAACTTTGGCAGGTTATGTTTGGCAGGTTGCAAGGTTGTATCACCTGCCCAGTGTTGGTGACTACACCCAAAGTCGTCATCCGCGTGTTTCCAAACATCTTCCAGTAAGTGTGAATAGAACCTGTTTAATCGTCCCAGATGGAGGGAAGAGACTATGGGAGATTTACTATTTTCCATTCTTACATTTCACGAATGTTGAACTTTGCCTTTGTTTGTTTGGGACTGACTCCAAAAACTTGTCACATTAATCTTATGTCTTAAAGTCCTGCCACAAGACAACAATTACAAGGTGTACAGTTGAATAATGGCACCACTGTCTAAATCTTTTGTGAACAAATAATGACGAGTAATGAATAATTTTTTGTTTGCTTTTTTTTTACTGGCAGAGAAAACGTTGACCTTTGAGCCATTTTTTATTTCATGAGGACAGGCCCAGTAATTTTCCGAGAAATGAACCATAAACCAGGTCAACAAATCTGCAATCTGATAGTTAAACAGAAAATTTGTGACACCACACTGGGGGTGTTCTACATGTACATTTATGGCAGAATGTTTATCAATTACAATGGTGACCCAATGCACACATTATCAAACTCTGTCCAGTAAGTTTTAAGAGTCTGTAAACCCAAGAAAAAATACTAAATGGATTTAAACAGGGAATGTTGATGACAGCAGCTGCAAAGTATCTGTTAAGGATTTGCTTGTGATGTGGCAGTCACGTGATTTAATGTTTTGGCGGCCATACTGGAGGTCAAGACTAGGATTATTCAGTTTATTTCAGTATAATCATGGTGACTTTAAACAGCGCAAATGACATAAAATTGTCCAAAATCACCAGCTCGTTAGATCAGCCGTCAAAGGTATAAAGCTGAAGTCGTCCTCCTGGGTTGTGGAATAGATCCCGATCTAATTCCGATGGAGCGTTTTGTCAGTTTAATCAACGCTCACTCTGTGCCCAGCCTTTAGTATCCAGATATTTCTAACTACTTCATTCATTTGATATTGTCCTACACTAACCAAGAACTGAAAAGCTGCACATCGTTAGAAGCTTATAAATATTTTGTAGCAGGATGCATGAGATCTTTGTTGATCACCAAGCCCTTACATCTGTTCCTGAACAGCCAGGGAAAGTAGAATGGGGGTCAAAATCAGAGCTGGAGCGATCAGGGACAGTGGAAATAGAGGCTGGGGTGGGGGGGATTCCTTGCCGGCGAAAGTGAGGGTGGGGGGGGATTCTGTGCTGGTACACCGGCGAGAAAAATACTTTTGGTATATATCATTTCATTTAGTGTAAATCCCTTCTTCGTTTGTGTGGAGATGGTCCCTCACCAGAAATAAAATGTTGACTGTACAGACAACTGTACTCAGTGGGCTCCATCCCTCGTTTTATGTCCTCTATCCACCTCTATCTGCGATCTTTATCAACCGGGATCCGATAGAAAGATAGTTTGGCCTCCTTCATTAGCAGATTTACTCCAGCCAGAACATCCAGTAGCAACACAGGTCAAAACTACTGTTATTCAATTCAAATTTTATCACACAAAAATACTACATGTTTGTCCAGATGGATAGTTTGACCTCCAATATGGTGGCATAAACACGAGGTCAGCCTTAATAGAGATTCTACAATGTGCTGATGTCATATTGTAATATTTTTATGTTCCACAGATCCCAGAGAACCCTCCTGAATACAAGAAGTACTACAGACAAATGAACAAGGTACTAATAACCTCATAACTATGCTTTGTTTTTGTGGGCCCATATTACTCTTTTCTATTTTCTGAGCTGTATTATAATGTTGTTAAAATGTTATAACTTTTCCTCATCACAAACAGACCTGGAGTTGTGTTTTGTTTCATTCACACATGTTTAACACACAAACTTGCAGATTTAGGCTGTGTTTTCATCTCTCAAACTAAAAACACTTTACTACATGACATCACAAGAAACAGAGCATTTTGAGCTTTGGAGATGTAGACAGGCTGATAATCAAGGGTTACTCAAAAATGTGAATGAAACAGAAGTTCACGTTTTAAACATGTGCAGAAGAATTGACAAAAACACTGAAATATGAACTGACAAACTAATAAAAGAGTCACATTTCAGAACATGTCTGCAATTTCCATTCGATACCCATTCATCTTGCAGACCTAATTTCAGCTATAGATTTTCCCAAACCTTGTGGATGTAAATGACCTGAGTATACATTTGATAAAATTGCTGTGGTAAAGTGCGTGTGACGGGTGTGGATGATTTTCAAATTTCTACTTAAATTGGTGGGATAATATCAAATGTATGTTTTATTATCTAGCACTAATCAACTAGCTAGTCTGGTGCCACCTAGTGCCTCCTCTCAATTTCATTTCTCTTCAGTGACTAGGGCAGGAATCGTATTACACTAGACAGTTTGCAAGAACCCTGGAAGTGTGAATTCAAGCACCAGCCAATCAGCGAAGAGCCATATATTCTGAGTTGGCAACGATTCCCGAGATCGAGGATTTAAAGCCGGAACAAAGAGAATGTTTGGTGATTTTTATTGAGGGGAAAGACGTTATTGTCTTTCTTCCTATGGGATTTGGGAAAAGCTTAATATACCAGTTAGCCCCGTTAGTGGTGCATTACATACGTCACAACCAAATAGCAGTGATTGGTTAAATAAAAATAAAAAACCTGTCCTACCGTCGAGCGAACGTATCCTATTGCTGCGAGGTCAGACAGTTTCTACAAAGTGAAACGGGCTGATGAATCAGGTTACTAATCAACTGCCAAACTAGCACTTGTTTTGTAAATGTTTTCGTCAAATCTGAAATATATGATCATAACAGTGTTTTAGTAAAATGTGTAGTCCACTTGGTCATAGACGCTGTAACTTCTATGCAGGGCGGATTCCCCTTCAGCACCAGAGACTGTGGCTGGATCGTGGCCGACTGCACTGCCGAGGGCCTGAAGTCTGTGATGCTGCTGCAAGAAAAATGTGCTTTTATTTCGGATCTTGTGAGTCCTGAGAGGCTCTACGACGCCGTCAACGTGGTAAGTGTGAGATAAGGAAAGATATACAACGTGTGTGTGTTTGAAATGCTCTACTTGATTTTAACTCTCTTATAAACATCAAAAACAGAACTTCATTTGAAACACTTTTAGTTATTCCTCACTTACCTTATACAGTCCCGCTCGCAACATAAACATTGAATGGCGGTGAGATCCACTGATCTGCAAGTTGGCGGTGCGATCCCAGCTCTCAATACTGTCGTAACGTGTCCTTGGGCAAGACAACTGCCTCACCTCCAGTGTCTATGCAAACGGATGGAAAGCGCTTTGAGTGCCTTGACAGCGGAGTCATTATATTGTCCTGTGCTTTTATACAGAAACGTTATATAAATATGACCAGTTACCATTGTTGGCAAGTTAATACACACTTCTTGATTCCTGGACAATATGCTTTATAATTTGATTAGGGTGACCAGACGTTTACCCAGGACAGTCCCAGTTTTGAGGCCTGTGTCCTCTGTCCCAGCAGATTTATCCAAAACCAGTGATTTGTACCAGTTTTATACAAGAAATGTCCCAGGTGTCTCTATTTTTGACCAATCTGATCCCTGTCAACAGTAAAAAGAGGCATACATTGTTGTTCGTTTAGGTAAAATACAGAAAAGCTACTTAAGAATGATCAAAACATAAAGAAAATGTGACTATACTGACTCACATTAGTGTCGCGTGCATTGCAATTTTCCTTAATTACGTACTTTTTTCACAATTTTATTATTACCAATCAACCCAAACTGTGGCTGTCCCAGATTTTTATTTTGAAAATCTGGTCTCCCTAAATTAGACGTAGACAGTAGACAGCAGACTTATTTTGACCTCAAGAGATACAGTATATCTGTACTCGGGCAAGACACATTTTGTTCATATACATGGTAAAATTAGGGTATTTAATCAGAAACCACAGTTGGTTATCTTTGAAGGACGTATTATGTCTGACAGAACAAGAAGTGTATAGATAGATAAAAAATGTGAAAAAATTGTATAGAAATGCGCAGTTTGCATTGGAAGTGCCAAAGAGTTTTTACTTTTTTAAAAATCAGCCCAAATCTTTTTTTTTTTTAATCTATCTATCTATCTATTATTATTTTCTATAATCTCATGAAAAGTCTGTGGGACAAACACATTTGGAATCACAAAAGTACAAACATTTACCCTTATGAAAAGAAATACCCCATGTTTTGTATTGTTTTGCTGGTGCCTGCAGCTGCTGAGCATGAGAAACTCAGACGGAGGATTTGCGACATACGAAACCAAACGAGGGGGAAAACTTCTGGAGCTGCTCAACCCTTCAGAGGTCTTTGGTCAGTCTCCTGGAATCTCAGCTATATTTAAGCTGCATTATTTAGTTTTGTTTCTATTTCTGAACACAATTTCTTTGGTTTTAACTAAATTTATATATATCAAAAATTAATGATTGAGGGTGCATGCATGTTAAGCTGTTTAGATAAGACTTAAAGGTGTATTGTGTAAGTTTTCTGATGGAGGGTCTGTCAAATGCTTTTCGTCATGCAGATGTTATTTCTTTGTCTGAAATGTTTCACAGTATGGTATTAAACCTTTCTGTCTTCATGGAGACTAAACCAGACCAAGTTACAGGTCAGATCTGTGGAGAGGCGACCCTGCTCACCGTCAGAATGCCTGTTTTTCTAGGTATTTTAGAGCTATAAAACCACCTGTAATTGAATACATGTAAAGTAGAGATGTTTAATGTCATACTGTCGAACATTCCAGGCAGAGCAATGACATGTATAGAAACAAGCATGCGATTAACCCCCAACCCAAAACCTTTAAAGTAGCTTAGTTAGACTTGATTGCGGTGAACAGTTAAGCTCAGAAGTGGAAATTACTCCAATTACTCCAGTATGGCATTATGATACATTTATTCAAGTACAGGTAGTTTTATAGCTCAAAAATACCTAGAAAAACAGACATTCTGACTGTGAGCGACATTCTCCACAGATCTGACCTGTAACTTGGTCTAGTTTGGTCTCCATGAATATAGAACGGTTTAATGCCATACTGTGAAACATTCTAGACAAAACAATAACATGTCCATGGCAGGTGAAAAGTTACACAATGCACCTTTAAGGAAACAGACTGAATATGTTTCTGCCTCTAAAACTACTTCTAAAATGGTCCTTTATGTGTTTGTACAGGAGACATAATGATCGACTACACGTATGTGGAGTGCACCTCAGCAGTGATACAGGCCCTGAAACACTTCCACCACAAACACCCTGAGCACAGAACGCAAGAGATCAGGTACACATTCCTGCAGTAGTGGAAGAAGTACTGCATTTTGTTACTTACCTAAAAGTGCAGATCCCAGAGCAAAAAAAATACTCAAGTAAAAGTATCACATTAAATAATTTACTTAAGTAGAAGTAATAAAGTACCTCTTTTAAGATGTACTTAAAGAGTAAAAAGTAAAAGTTTGTCATGCAGATTTTGACATCTAATAATACTTCAAATGTACAAATGTAGAGGCGTTAATAAAGATTTGTATTTGAATTTTGTTCAGCAGAAACAATAGAATGAATCTTTTTTTTTAGCTGTTTTACTTGTGTATTGTTGTTTGTTCAAACTACAAATGTGTTAAAAATAAACTCTCAGCCTTTTCATTTTGCCTCAGAGAAGAATAAAAAATACTTTTACTTTTCAGTGCTGTTCAAAAATGTAGTGCAGTAGAAAGTTCAGATATCTGCTCTCAGATGTAGTAAAGCAAAAGTAAAAAGTATCACTTTAAAATATACTTCACTAGCTAGGACCACATCAACATCGACAAAGTGCGAAGAAGTTTATTGATAATGTATAAAGCGGGGCAGAGATGACTGGGTTGAGACTATGGGTGGGGGCTCCGTCTCAATCTGCAATTGGCCCAGCCAGAACGGGACCCCCCTTGTAGGGGTCTTATGACTGAAAGACGAACAAAATAGGGGATGGGAGGGTTTGGTTGAGTTAGCCGAGACAAACTGGGATGAAGGGAAAGCCTGCTATATATAGGCTTCTGGGAAATTAGAGGCGTGGTTGAGGTGAGTTGTGGTTCGCTGGTGAGAGGAGAGAGCGGCTGAGGTGTTGTCCTGCTCCTGAATCTCAGTTAATCATATTAACTACATTTAAGTATAGTACAAATACCTAAAATTTGTATTTAAGTAGAGTACTTAACTACTTTTACTGTTACCGTCCACCACTGGATCTCTCACACCAAAGACAGAAAGATATTAAAGGGGATATATCATGAAAATTTGACTTTTTAGAGCTTTTAACCATGTTATAGTAGTTTCCTTCTCATTGACCCCCTCGAACTATGTGTATTTGTTGTGGAAATTATCTATAATAAAATAATACCAAAACATACAAGAAGACTGTCTAGGTTGGTTTATAACGTTTGCTCCGGTAACAGACGGTCTCACTACTGACTGACAGTGTCTGCTGCAGTGAGTCCAGAGCAGTGGGGTAACAACACTTAAATACTACCCAAGCCCATCCAACAGTTTGCATTTAAGTTAGTCTGGCCATTTGGCTTTTTTAGCTCTGAAATATAACACCTTTACATGAGCATCTGTGTACAGGTTAGAATAATCAAACACTTAACATGTGACATAAACAGCAGACATGTAAATGGAAAACGCAAAAGTACCTATAGCCTTCCTGAGAAAGACAGGATTAGACAAAGAATAGTATGGCTTTTAACACTTATTACTCGGACAACGGAAAGAACAACACCCAGTTTTTAAATTTCCACCACATAGTGCATGTTTGAGTCATCTTTATTCTCCTGTACACATTTCGTCATTGCTGCGATCTGCCCGCGTTTTCACCGCCACCAGTACACACCCACTGTTCTGTACGTTTTTCATTTTTAGTTTAGTTTTTTTTTTGTAATTGGTGATACACAGAGGATTTGGTAGCATTGCATAGCCAATTTGGTGTAGTTATCCTCAACTATTCATAAGGTCCAACAGAGAGCGGAACTTTGTTGTGATGACATCTACGTTGACTGACTTTTTTTCTTTTTTCAAGTTGTTTTAGATCAATATCGAGATTCAAAGCCGCTGTACCAGATTTTTTTTCATTTTAAAAACATAAAAACCAGAGCTGGTTCAATTTAAACAGTTTGCAGTGGTTCAAAGTTATCCGTCTCTTACCGTATGCATTCAGAGACCAGATTATTGGACAACAAAACCCTTTATAATTAGATGCGGACAGTACACAGCAGACTTATTGTGACCTGAATAATAAATCAGTACCGGAGTACAAATACATTGGAAAATTTGGTACATTGCCCTTAAAATATAGCAAACAAATGCATAGTAGAGTGGCGGTACAAATATTCGAATGAAATAAAAATAAAGGTTGTATTTTGTGCAGGTCGACTCTCAAAGCAGGTCTGGACTACTGCAGGAGAGTGCAGAGGCCCGATGGATCCTGGGAAGGGTCAGTGTGTCTATATTGTAATTTATATCAAACCAATGATTTTAAATTTCTCTCGCTCTTCCTCTTCTTCTATCCTTCTCCCCCCCTTTCTCTTCCTCTCCCTCTCTCCCCTTCCTCTCCTCATTCCCACTCTTCTCTTCCTTATTTGTTTTTGTTATCTATTTCTTAATTTATTTATTATTCCTCTTCCTCTCCTCTCTCTCCTTCTTTCCCTTTCCTCTCCACTCTCTCCCCATCCTCTCTTTCTCTCCCTCTCTTCTCCTCCTTCCTCCCTTCTCTTCTTTATCTGTCTGTCTGTCTGTTTCCCCTCCACTCTTTCCGTCTCTCCCTCTCCTCTCTCTCGCTCTCCCTCTCCTCTGTCTCCCTCTCTCCTCCTCTGTCCCAATCTCCCCTCTCTCCCTCTTCTCCTCCTTCACCCTCTTCCCTTCTTCATCTGTTTCTGTTTGTTCATTTATTTGTGTCTCTCTCACAATTTCACTCTCCTTTTCCATTTCTCTCTCTGTCAGTGCCCCCCTCTCTCCTCTATCGCTATCTCTCCTTGTGCCGTCTCTATCTTTCTCTCCCTCTTCCCCCTTCTCCTTTTCTCCTTCCCTCCTCCTCCCCTTTGTTCTCTTTATCTGTGTCTGTAGGTTCCAAACGGATGATTTTAAACCTAAAAGTGTGTGTGTTTGTTTGTGTGCCTGTGTGTTTGTGTGCCTGTGTGTTTGTGTGCCTGTGTGTGTTTGTGTGCGTGTGTGTGTGTGTAGGTCTTGGGGCGTGTGCTTCACTTACGGGACATGGTTCGGTCTGGAAGCCTTCGCCTGCATGGGTCATGTCTATCAGGACGGGTGAGTACTCGGAGCCACACAGTGTACAACATTTAGTTAAGGTTTTTTATTAGCATATAGTTTAAAATCTAGCAAAATAACTATATGATATTAAACTATTCAGTTTCTTATTAAATCCAACTAAACTCAGTCAACTATTATTAAATAAATAGACAAGATTTCTACAGACAAACTACACTTCATTTGGTTAAAGATGCACAAGATGTAACTTTTTAGATGGAGGGTCAGACACTTGCTTGTCTCCATGGAGATGTTATTGATTTGCCTGAAATGTTCCACAGTATGACATCTCCACACAGACAAGTAGATGATGGATCCTCCACCAGAAAAGTGACATAGCATCTTTAGTAGGGCCCGACCAATATGGATTTTTCTGGATCTGATATGATACTGATATAACAGGTTTTGGAGGTGCTGATAGCCAATATAACAGACGATATATTTACTGATGTTAAAATTCATTGTAAATCTTCAACTTGTTATAAAACTTAGGTTTAGCTCTATTAGATTTTTAGGGTTTATTTAGGCTACATTTCCTGTTATTTTGCCTCTTTGTGGTCATATTTAAAGACAGTAAGTAGGCCTAAGTAAATTACTCCTTAGCCTTTAGCGGTTATCATAAATGTGATAATTAATTACGGTATATGCATAAATGCAAACCATTCACATCTCTATTCATGGCTCATTTACATATCAAGGCAGGTTCAGTAACATGTGTACAGACACTATAGTCACTTTACACTAGGCCAATGGAAGAGAAAACAGGTTGTTTATGTGTGGGAGCTACAGCAGCAAAGTGTTAACCAATGAGAAAGAACCAAAAGTAACTTCAAAATGACACATTAGCAACACTCACTACTCAGGCACCTCTCAGATCACAAGTCTTCACAAATAAGTGTCCTTTTAATCCTGACTCAAAATGATCATCCTTAAAAAGAACATAATCCAGCATGTTTACAACAGCTGTGTGTGTGTCCTCTGTCTGCGGGACAGTCCTCTGTCTGCGGGACAGTCCTCTGTCTGCGGGACAGTCCTCTGTCTGCGGGACAGTCCCCTGTCTGCGGGACAGTCCTCTGTCTGCGGGACAGTCCCCTGTCTGAGGGACAGTCCTCTGTCTGCGGGACAGTCCTCTGCTCCGCACTCGCACTTTGATAAAAACAGCTGTAGTTTTGTTGCTGGCCCAAACTGCGCTCAAGTTCACTTTTATTTATAGTCAGTGTCATGGATCAGACACAAGAGCATTTAAAGCCAGAGCCTCAGTACTGGTGTAAACAAGAGTACATGTGTCATGTGACGTGACTCTGGGGGGTTCATTCAGTATGACGTTACACACAGACAAATTATTCCTCTGATAAACACTGATGCTGCACCACATATCAGGACATTTATCTGTTTGTAAATTGTGAATTACATGGATGCAATATTATATATATTATTATATATAATAATAAGATTTATAATGTGTATAACATGTCCACATGGACTATCGGCCCATATCGTGAAGATTTAGGCCGATAGCTGATATCGGCCAATAATATTGGTCAACCGATTTATTGGTTGGGCCCTAATCTCATTAACAAATAAGAACCTATGACAACGTGAATTACTAAAGATTGTTTAATATTAGCCTTTAGGATCAAGAAATATGACTTCTTTGCATTGTCAATCCTCTCTCTCCCCCGCTGTCTCTTTCCATGCCGTTCTTTTCCTCCTCCTCCTCCTCCTCCTCTTCTCTCCACTCTGCCCCCTCTTCTCACTCTCTTTCCCCCTCTCTTCTTTCTCACCTCCCCCCTCTCTTACCTTTTCCTATCGTCCTCTCTCCTCCCCTCCCTCTATTCTTCTCTTCTTCGCCCTCTCCCCGTCGCTCTCTTCTCTCCTTCTAACTCTCCCTCCCTTCTGTTACCCTCTCCTCTATCTCTCCCCTTTCTCCCCCTTCTTCTCTCTCCCCCTCTAGTCTTGCGTGTGCAGAGGTGGAGGGGGCGTGCCGATTCCTCCTGTCCCAGCAGATGGAGGGGGGAGGCTGGGGAGAGGACTTCGAGTCATGTGAGGAGAGGAGATACGTCCAGAGCTCTGAGCCTCAGATCCACAACACCTGCTGGGCTCTGCTGGGCCTCATGGCGGTCAGGTACAAAGCATGCTGTATCTATTGATACTTTGCTGTGATGCTGGGGTAGTCTCCATGCATGTCTATGGAATAATGCCAAAAAACTTTTAAGATCTTAAGTCTGAAAAAAAAAAAAAAAAAAAAAGAATAGAATAGATGTAAACAACACATCAGGACATGTCAGGAGCCCGTGATGAATATGAGCGTTCATTGTCCCGTTTAGGCGTTTTGGATTTATTTTGTTTAAACTGTCATTCCCTGTACATTAATTCTTGTTTTAGAACTCGCTAGAAAGTGCTACTGGTACTTTTATACTTTTCTTCACTCTTTTGTCCATAAACTGACACTTAAATGATGTAAAACTACAATAAATATTTACCACAGGTGAACCTAAACCGCAGCTTCTGCAGCCAATCATGAGTTTGTGCTAGTGCAGCCTCTGCAGCTCAGGGAGGGAATTCTGGAGGTTCTGAGCTTTACATGAAGCCTGTCCATATACTGAGAATGAGACAAACTTACCACACAACCTTCCACTTTCTAACACTGACAAAATCTACCAGCACATACACACATACACACACACACACACACACACGCACACACGCACACACGCACACAAATGCACACACACACATGCACACATATACACACGTCAAACCCATAATTACAACATAGTATTGATGTTAAACTGTTTTATCTGGTATAATCCTCTACTAATTACAGGCTATAAATAAAATACAATGTTTGTTTAAGTCGAACAAAACACCTAAACTCCACCAGCAACCATATGTTACATAAGCTAATAAACTGGACGGTAATTAGGGCTTTCCTGTGTGATGTCATGTAGAACTTGAAATCGCAGTGGCCTCTGGAGACAGGAGTTTTGAACATAAAACTACAAAATACACTCAGTTTGCACTAAAGTTGCCAAAAAGCACTATGGAACAGTAGGCAACCCTATTAAAACACCATATACACAGTTTAGTAGCAGAAAAACGTGATTTAGTGTTTATTTCCACTTTAATATTTGTCTCTCCTTTTTCAGACATCCAGACACAGAGGCCATAGAGAGAGGAGTCCAACTGCTCATCAGCAAACAGCTGCCCAACGGAGACTGGCCCCAGGTACAAAAGATCACAGCAAAATATCCTACAGCTCTAGAGAAAGAAAGTCTGGTTCTTTCTTAGATACATGATCCATAGCAAAGGAGAAATTCAAGTTTGACAACAAAAAACTTTTGTTCAGTTGACAGAATAGAAATTTTCATTTGTTATAGAGAGATACTTTATTGATCCTGAGACAAAGTTTAGCTGCAGCAACATACTGCACTTCTCAAAGGTCTCAGTGCAGTTGAACAGGAGGATTGGTCAGAGAGGGTCAGTAGGTCTGAGTCAGGGCAGTTTTGAGAAAAGGAACAAAAGTGTAAAAACTGTACAAAAGTGTCCCTCCTCTGTCCTGCAGCATCATTCTTGGGGAGCCAGTTGAACACAATTGGAAATGCCTCACTCTTCTCTGTTGTTTCTTTGGTGATGAAGTGGGCCATTCCTTCTAAGTATTTCCTCTGGAAGGTCTTCTTTAAATAAAATGATAGATCTTATTGTCATTAGTTACCAAGAGCCCATTAGTCTTGAGCTTTTAAGTTTTTGGCAAGTCTGTGGGAAAAATGATTAGGAAATTTTATTCCGGAACTGGAGGGTGGGTGGTCACTGATGAGTCCCATTTACACCTTAATTTACACTGTTCCCTTTCCTTTGTTTTTCAGGAGAACATCGCAGGAGTTTTCAACAAATCCTGTGCCATTAGCTACACCTCATACAGAAACGTGTTCCCCATCTGGACTTTAGGTCGCTTCTCTTCTCTGTACCCCTCCTCTCCTCTTGCCAGGAAAACCAAAATATGAACAAAACTTAAAGTGCATATGAGAGGTTAGACACCACAGTTTACTAAAATGTTTTTAACATAATTAGACAGAAGGTTACACTAATTTTCCCTAATTTCCCTAAATTTTTGTGACATACGTAGAGGTAAACTGTATATAGCAATCATTCTGTGAGCACGGACCAAAACTTGTCTATATTGCGTAATAGTTATGTTAATACCTTTTGTTAAAGAGGAGGTATTATGCAAAATAGATTTTTTTTTTAGCTTTCTACCTTGTTTTAACATTATTCCCTCAGCAAAAACTCACCTGAAGATTTTTTAAATGTCACCCATGCATGTTTGAGTAATCTAGTGATCTCTCCCAGGTTAGCTGTAAGATTCTGTCCAAGGCTCCGTCAACAAGCCTAACGCCACCCAATATACAGAAACATGATGCAAAATTGTATACTACAACTTCACAAACCTGAAGTGATTTACAGTAGTTTCATTAGCAGGATGCACGCTGATTGTGTTGTAATAGAACTCGTACGGGGGAGTGACTTAGTGTGGAGAGCAAATGGAGGGGAGACTTAGCGTAGAAAAATGAAAGTGAAACATTTTCAGCAAATATAGCATTTTTAAAACAATAAAATGTCACATGGTGATCTAAATATGTTCTGTGCTGTTAATACTCCATAGAAGTAAAACACCCCCTCTTTAAAGGACGGTTTAACCTGTAAATTGTCTCTGCATTTTGGATGGAAATGTATGTGGCGGTTCAATTTTAGAACTACCACTTAACTGATGTAAAACTGATAAATACTGACCACACTACTATCTCCCCAAACCAAGCCAGAATTAGAAAAACTTGAAGACGTGTCATATGCACTTTAAACAATCAAACGTATTCTATCACAGGATTCCTCAAAGCAAAACACTGTGTACCAGGATCTGACCAGACTACTTTCATTTCAAGATTTCTGCATGTAATGCAGTGAAAATTAGGAATGTTTTTGTAATATGCTGCTATCAGATAATTTAAGAATAAATAATTTTATAATGAAGTTATTCTTCCTGTGTTACTGTGGTTTATCCTGTCTCTTCCTCGCAGTAAGGAGGTTCTGTGGGTAGAGGAGGTTAAACTTGTTCTTATCTATTATTTTTAGTCACTTTTTTTCATCTGAACAGAAAGCTTGAACAAGACACAGGTCAGACCAGTTCTATCACGAGCTAGTCTGTTTAGAGTTGAGCAGTAAATAATCACGTATACTCAGTGTTGGGGAGTAACGGATTACATGTACCGCCGTTACGTAATCAGAGTACAAATTATGAGTAACTGTATTCCGTTACAGTTACTGTTTCAATGAGTGGTAATTACAAGGCGGTATTTTCCTGTTTTCACATTTTGTGCTATCTCGCATTTATTTATTTTTTTATTTTGGTAATTCCACTCATTGCCGGAAACCCAAACAGAACGCGTGCAGTAAGAGCGATGTAAACGTCATGTTAAAGTTGGCGGTGTCAGTCACACAGTGGAAGCAGCAGTGCATTGGTAAAAACGCATTTGTGTCTTGGAAATTCTCTCCCGATGTGAGATATATATATAAAAAACAAATTAAAATCGCCTACAACTTAAATGTGAAACAGGAGCTACTGGCACTGGTGAAAACAACCTGCATAGACTCATAATATCTGCACTACTGTCCTATAATGACCTGCCACATGAGTGGACGCACACACAAACACACACAAACACAAACACACACAAACACACACCTTCATCATCGTCATCAACCTGAGAACCCGCGGACCACGTCTCCTTCCGTAGTTACAGCGCGGACACCGCCGTCTCGTGCGCCGCGTGTGGACCGTGTTTTCTCGCGTAAACGCGCTTCCTCCTGTGCGCCTCTAACCAGAACTAACACCAGAACTAAACCAGGACTAAACCAGGACTAAACCAGGACTAATCCAGGACTAAAGCAGGACTAAAGCAGGACTGAACAAGGTTTAAACTAGGACTAAACCACGACTAAACCAGAACTAAAGACCTGGTCTTCTAGACCAGGTCTAAAATCAGGAGTAAACCAGGTCTAAAAATCAGGACTAAACCAGGACTAAACCAGGTCTAAACAACATGACACCTAATAGTAGGTTGACATAATTTAAGGTGATCTCATATAAAAAATAATTTCTCTATCAATAATATTTTTTAATATTAAGGAAAAGCTGATCTTGTTACTTTCTTTTAACAGACAAAACCTCTTATATTAAGATCTCGTGGTCTTTGTTTCTCTACAGTAAACAGTTGCTTATTCATGGAGACTTGGGCTCAGACAATTTGAAGACAACAAACAAGAATTCTCAGGATGTGGTTGCTACATTCATGTCGTTTAAAAAAAACATGACAATATCAAGTAATCCAAAGTAATCAGATTACGTTACTCACTTTAAGTAATTTAATGGATTACGTTACAAACTACATTTTGGGGTGTGTAATCTGTAATCTGTAGGGGGATTACATTTTAAAAGTAACCTTCCCAACACTGCGTATACTTTTATTTCATTCAAATGGAAACAATTGAGTAGTTGTCCCTCCCAGCACATTGAATTTAAAGCAGATCTGTTCTGCAAATTGACTTTTCAGCTTTAAACCATGCAGGTATATTGATCTGCAATGAGAAATGTGTCCTTTGCATTTGACCCATCCTTCAGTGTATCTGGGTTAAAGACTACCTTAGCTGAAGGACTGTGTGACATCAACAACAACAACAAACTGTATTTATAGAGCACTTTTCATACAAAAATGCAACACAAAGCTTTATAACGCTCATCACGCTGGGGGTGTTCTGCATGTACGCCTATGGGGGAATGTTCTGCAGTTAACATGGTGACATAATTCACAAACACAGCCAAAAATGTTTTAATATTGTCTGAAAACTCATCCAAATTTTCAAAAAGCATTTAAACAGCACATTTACAGGATATCAATATGAGCGTTCATGGTCCAGTTTAGATGTTTTGTTTTTCAACTCAAAGGTGAGAGTGATTAACTGAAAAACTGTAGGCTAATGCTAGCTAGCTCGTGACTGTAATGCTATTGTTTGTTTAAAAGCACAAATTAGATCACATGTTGTAGCTATAACTAAATCAGGTCTTTCTGCTTATATTGCGTTAAAGGGACAGTCCAGAATTTTGGACATAGGACCTCATTTCCTAGTGAACCAGAGTGTTGGAGACGTGTGGAGACACTTTTAAAATATTCCATCCAGTCCTTGTATTTGCAGAGGTCGCTGGTGCTAGGCTAGTGCATGTCAGTGGCCATAGTTATCCTGCCACTAAAAACAGTCTTACCCACTCCACAAAACACCCAAAGCAAATCTATTATTACACCAGACTGTCCATGTAAATGTGTGTGTTGACAGAATAATGTTTGAAATAAAAGTAACCTTGCATCACATGAATCGTCACATGTTGAGGGACTATTTTGTCAGCAGCAGCGGAATATTATTTTGTTGGTAAGATAGGTGCTAGGTGATATCAGTCCGCTGCTGCCAAGCTTTCTGTCAGGAAGTACAACTTACTGTTGCTGCTCAGACATAAATCCTTCAAATGCAAGGTTGGTTTTACTTCTGAAATTATTCTATCGACACAGACATTTACATCAATAGTCTGGCATTATAATTGTTTTGTGAAGTGGGTAAGACTGTTGTTAGTGCAGGATAACTATGGCCATTGACATGCACTAGCCTAGCACCCGCGACCTCTGCAAATACAAGGACTGGATGGAATATATTAAAAAGTGTCTCCACACGTCTCTAACACACTGACTAACTGGAAAATGAGGTCCTATGTCCAAAATTCCAGACTGTCCCTTTAAAACAAAGTTCAGATTAAAGTCTAACCTTTATATTAGTGTTAATTATATTGGCCAAGTTAACCAAATCTAAAGCTTCATGTGGAAATGTGTGAATACGGTTGTTGAGTCTTTGGGCAAGGCACTTGGTTAATCAGTTACATTTATTTGAGTAACTTTGTAATGAAATTGTACTCGTCATTGTTCAGTATTTTTGTAGCTTTTGTAATATTTTATTGAAGTATCAGTTCTCCTACTTCAGTAAAAGCCGTGCTTCTTCTTCCCCCTGTGAGTCTTAAGTGACAAAAGTTTTATGTGACAACAAAAAAATCATTTGAACATTTATGTTCCTTGCAGCTGTCTTTCTCGTGTGATTTAGTTCTTCTCATTTTTGTGTCTGTCTGTTGAAAATACCCTTTTTTGTGTCTTTCACTTTACATTAACTTAAATTATTAGTTACTCTTTAAAGGTGCATTGTGTAACTTTTCTGGTGGAGGGTCCATCAAATGCTTTTCTCCATGGAGATGTTATTGCTTATTGTTATTGTCTGGAATGTTTCACACTATGGTATTAAACCTTTCTATCTTCATGGAGACTAAACCAGACCAAATTACAGGTCAGATCTGTGGAGAGGTGACCCCGCTCACAGTCAGAATGCCTGTTTTTTTAGGTGTTTTTGAGCTATAAAACCATCAGTAATTGAATAAATGTAAAGTAGAGCTGTTTAATGCCATACTGTGGAACATTCCAGGCAGAGCAATGACATCGCCATAGAAATAAGCAGATGACGAACCCCCAAACAAAAAGTTACACAGTGCACCTTTAAATTGCTCTTATTTCAGTCATTTCTTGGACCACTACTTTGTACTATTGTCTGGTGCAGATTATGGTCACATCTGACTCCTCTTCACAGACCAAGCCCTCGCTCTCTCCTCCAGCACACCTCACAGGGTGGGAAACAAAAGCACAGAGAGCGTTTTAGCCAATGAACAGGTAAGTGCAATCATTTAAGAGGAACATTTGTCATTTAACAGGAACATTTGACATTTAACTTGATCATTTGACATTTAACTGGAACATTTATCATTTAACAAAATAACTAACTAAATATTTCATCATTTAACAGGCAAGTTTCAACAAATTGTACCTCAGAATTTGTATTTACTCTCTGATCTTAGGTCGGTACTGCCCAAGAGAATTTAATAAAATGATAATTTTTAGTCACAGCTCAAGACAGGACTAAAAAATCCAGCTTGAAGCTTGAAAATTATTTTTGCCATTTCTCTCTGTGGGGCCAAGGGTCCTAAGAGCAAATGCAACTTTCAGCAGGTAAATTTAATCATTTAACAGATACGTTTCAGCAGGTAAGTTTCATCATTTAACGGCTTAGTCAGGTACGTTTAGTCATTTCAAATAGTTTTTTCTAGCAAGTATCCAAAGTGGTAGGATGGAAACAAGATCACAGAGACAGAGCGGACCCCCAGCCAAAAAAATACACAGTGCACCATTAAATTGCTCTTAATTCAGTAATTTCTTGGACCACTGCTTTGTATTATTATTATTTAGAAGCAGTTTGGGCTACTACTAGTTGGCTCTGCTTAACTCTCTTCATGAATTTACAAATGATTCACATATTATTATAATTAATTATAATTATAGTATCAGTTGCAGTAAAAATGTGGCTGTGTGACCTCAGTACTACCTATTCCTCAAACATTCTTTATACGACTGTATTGAGGTGTGTCCTGTGTGTTTAAATAGCAGGTGTGTATTGTTGTCTTAACATTCCTCAGTAGAAACATCAGTGTTATCTTTGCCTTGTTCAATACAAATGACTTGGAGCATTACACTATTGTTTTGAATGGAGAAAGTGAAGGCGGATCTGAAGTAGAGCTGTAACTTTCTGTGTATCTCTGTGTGCACATGGTAAAGCATCATGTGAGGAGACCTTTTTAAAAGTTCATTATCATCAGTTTAAATTAAAAAGTATTTATGCTATCCATGAATTTCCTCCCACTGTGAGGAAGCTCCAGTAAGACCCAGGACATACTGGTGGGACTATGCACTGGTGTCAGATGCCCTCCCTGTGTGTGTCAGATGCCCTCTTTGTGTGTCAGATGCCCTCCCTGTGTGTGTCAGATGCCCTCTTTGTGTGTCAGATACCCTCTCTGTGTGTGTTAGATGCGCTCTGTGTGTGTCAGACGTCCTCTCTGTGTGTCAGATGCCCTCTTTGTGTGTGTCAGATGCCCTCTCTGTGTGTCAGATGCCCTCTTTGTGTGTGTCAGATGCCCTCTCTGTATGTCAGATGCCCCTCTGTGTGTCAGATGTCCTCTCTGTGTGTCAGATGCCCTCTCTGTGTGTCAGATGTCCTCTCAGTGTGTCAGATGCCCTCTCTGTGTGTGTTAGATGCGCTCTGTGTGTGTCAGATGCCCTCTTTGTGTGTGTTAGATGCCTCTGTGTGTGTCAGATGCCTCTCTGTGTGTCAGATGCCCTTCTGTGTGTCAGATGTCCTCTCTGTGTGTCAGATGTCCTCTCAGTGTGTCAGATGCCCTTCTGTGTGTCAGATGCCCCTCTGTGTGTCAGGTGCCCTCTGTGTGTGGACAAATGAGTACAGACAATAATAGCTTTATAGAAAATTATAAATTATTAATTTAAAATGTAACAATCCAGTTAAAAAGGGACGTAGCTCCTCTGAAGTGCCGGTGTGCTGGTTTTGGGGCTGTAGGACGTCTAGGACAGAGGTAGGGGGTCTGAGGATCGGGGCGTGTGCTCAGACCAGGGGGGTGTTTGTGCAGTGACCAGCCTGATGCAGATCATTATCACATGTGGCGCCTCTTCACGGACCAAGACCTTGTGCAATAATTTAACAGGAACATTTGTCATTTAACAGGCAAGTTTCAACAAATTGTTCCTCTGAATTTAGTCATTTCGAATTGTTTTTTCTAGCGAGTATCCAAAATTGATAGGAATCTGTCCATGAAGGTCCATCAAGGTAAGAAAGACGAAAACGCAAAGGCTAACAACAACTAGCATTAGTGAACTAATGAACAAAACTAACATTATGGTCATGAATAAAACATAAGTAATAAGTAATTAGATAACAAGTAACTTGTTAACTAGGACTGAATCTAGAATTAAAATTAAAAATCGATTTTATGATGTAGATATTAGCATTAGTTCAAATGTTCACAGATTACATGTGTAACATTTAAACTGCACAAATCTCTGTCTATGCTAATATCGACATCATGAAATCGATTTTTAATTTTAATTGTTGAATTTGTCTGAGTTAACAAGTTACTTATATTTTAGTCATGACCGTAATGTTAGTTTTGCTCAGGAGTAGTTCACTAATACCTTTATGTTACCTTGATAGTTCTGGATAAATTCTTCATGGAGACAAAATGTCTTGTGGACCTTGTTGGTTGAACATTTTGTGATGGTTGCCAGGGGGGAATTCATGAAAATGGTGCAGTTCTGGAAAAGATTTAGATTTTTGGCAGGGTGTTAGGTATGGGCCTAAGGTTTTCAAAAATCCACAGATACAAATTGGAGTGCGCCCCCTAGTGGCCAGTGTACGTAAAATCTAAAATGGCCCCCGCTGAAAAGAGAAAAGGTTATATCTCCTATCTTCCTTTAGTCTTAAATTGTTGTATAATGTAATTTTTCTACTTTGTTTGATACAAGGAATTAAATTCTGATATAATATTATTTTTAGTATTTTTTTATGTTAAATCTATTATCATAGTCATATTTAACTAAAATAAACTGTCAATATCTCTGAAAAAGTCACATTTATTACTCAGGGTTAGGAGACCCATAGTTTTACCCCCAGTTCGCTTTGGGTAAAAATGTCTGCTAAATACCTGTGTTTAACCTTTAACTAGTGTCAAAGATCACATGTGGTGAGGAAAAGGACCATTTTATTTATTGATGTATTTAATGAGGCAGGGACAGCACACAATTTTTACATTAACCTTAACAGGAAAGATGCATTGTACAGGTTGTAGCACCAGTGGTAATTTCCACCTGTAGTCCCTGGGCAGGCTCATTGATTGTATTTAACTGACCTTAACTATCAACTGTTCTTCCTGGAGACCTGTATAGTATGTTTTGTCTTGGTCCATGGTGCTAGAGTACTCCATGTGTCACAACCAGAGACATGTGCGCCTTCCCTGGGTCAGACTAGTCAGGCTGGGCCCCTGGAGCCTCTCTGGTATGCTGGCTCCAGCAGGTTAACCCTAACCTTCTGGCAGCGGGAGAGTCCCAGTTCTCTACCCAGGGACAGAGAGCTTTCCCTAAGTTAGACGAGGATTTAAAAAAACCTAAGCCCCTTACCTAACACCTTGCTAAAAATCTAAAAATTTTCCAGAAGTGCACAATCCTTATGATATTTCACAAATTTCCTCCCAACTATGGGACAAATGTATGAAGCTGGTGGAAAATACGTGAGACATTTCCATAGATATTTTGCCATAGAAAAGAATTAACTGAAAGTGACGTTTACCCTACATCGCAACACTTCTGGGCATTGTGAAAAAGGGAGAGGAGTGTTTGATACCAGCCGGTCTGTGTCAGATGCCCTCCCAGTGTGTCAGATACCCTCTGTGTCAGGTCACACCACCCAAGGAGCTGGAGGAAGTGACTGGGGTGAGGGAAGTCTTTACCTCGCTGCTGAGCCTGCTGCCTCCGCGAGTTGGCCCCGGATAAGCAGAAGAAGATGGATTCATTTAAAACAAAATCATCTATGTTCTGAATAGTCAGCTGTCCTAAAAATGTCACCATGCATAGTTTTGCATTAAAGATTTACTCTATAACTGGGATCTCCAACCTTTTGCTCAGGAGCTACCAGTAGCTCTCCATCCCCATCCAAATAGCTCGCCAAAGGATTTCTGAATTATATGTATCGCGCTCAATAACTAAAATCTGATTAATTACCATTGTAAAAGTGTCATTTGATGCCTAATTTGTGCACTAATAAATGGATAATGGTTTATGTTTAATGGACATCTAACTGTACTAGGGGTGTGCAAAAATATCAAAATATCGATATATCGTATTGTTTAATGTGATGATACAGTATCAATATATCAGCAAGCTTGTATTTTTTTTTGTTGCTTGTTCAGAGGAAGAAAACTCATTTATGCAGCACATTCGACATTTTCACTGTTTTGATGATTAAAATGTTTGTGTTTCATATTCACTTTGTACAAGAAGCGGTTTAACAAAGACTTTTAGTACCACAGTCATGATTTAGCCATTATTTTTTTATTGAACCATATCGAATCGGTTTGAAATATATTGTATCGGCAACCTCTGAATGATTCCCAGCCCTATCCAAGACTTGCCATAGCTCTTCTACTTTCTTAATTTCTGGTGACCGCTAAATGAGTAGTTCTCTGCCATTTTCGTTTTATAAAGGTTGCTCACCAGAGGAATAAGGTTGGAGATCCCTGCTCTATAACTTGCCACCTGCCACCTCCTTGGCTCCATGCAGATAAGAATGTTTCACAGTATGGCATTAACTATCTTGCATGAATTCAATTACATGTGTTTTTATTGCTCAAAAGTTCATTGAAAAGGTTTGTGCAGGGAGTCACCTCTCCACATCTAACCTGCAGATAAGTTTAATGTCTTACTGTGGGACATTCCTGTCAAAGCAACATCTCCATAGAGAAAAACGGGCAGGCAACCTTCCAATAGAAAAGTTGCCATTATAGTTAGACCTGGTTTACATATGGTTTATAGTTATATTTAATCCTGTTTTAGTCCTGTTTAAACCTACTGTAATCTAACAAAGGTTTTGGTTTGGTTCTTATAGTACATGCTCTACTGACAAAAACAATTCAGCAGATATGTTTAAAAGTAGGTCAAAGAAACTGAAGTAGAAGAACTAAAACAGGTTTAAGACAAAAGCAAAGTTCTATCTGTGTAGCTGTGTCTTGCTTTAGAACAGTGTGGGTGGACAAATATGCATGTCCCAATTCCTTTCGTTAGTAATATGCAATCAGCCAGAACATTATGACAGGTTAGTAACTATCTCATCATCAACAGCAACAACAGTATCAGCAACAGCAGCAACACCGCATAGGAGCAAGTCAATGTTTAGTTCTCAGCGTTTAGGAGTTAAAACAAGGGAAATGGTCTTTGAGTGACTTTGACTAATTGTGATCTCCAAAACTTATTGGGTGTTCCCAGTCTGTTTTAGTCCTGGTTTAGTCCTGGTTTAGTCCTGGTTTAGATCTACTTTAGTCCTGGTTTAGAGCTACTTTAGTCCTTTTTTAGACCTAGTATAGTCCTGGTTTAGACCTAGTTTAGTCCTGGTTTAGGCCAAACTTAGTCTTGGTTTAATCCTGGTTTAGTCCTGGTTTAGACTTGGTTTAGACCTAGTTTAGTCCTGGTTTAGTCCTGGTTTACACCTAATTTAGTTCTGGTTTAGTCCTGGTTTAGACCTAGTTTAGTCCTGGTTTAGTCCTGGTTTAGACCTAGTTTTAGTCCTGGTTTAGACCTACTTTAATCCTGGTTTAGTCCTGGTTTAGACCTAGTTTAGACCTAGTTTAGTCCTGGTTTAGTTCTGGTTTAGTCCTGGTTTAGACCTAGTTTAGTCCTGGTTTAGACCTAGTTTAATCCTGGTTTAGTCCTGGTTTAGACCTAATTTAGTCCTTGTTTAGACCTACTTTAGTCCTGGTTTAGACCTAATTTAGTCCTGGTTTAGACTAGTTTAGTCCTGGTGTAGACCTAGTTTAGTCCTGGTTTAGACCTAGTTTAATCTGTTTTAGTCCTGGTTTAGTCCTGATTTAGTCCTGGTGTAGACCTAGTTTAGTCCTGGTTTAGTCCTGGTTTAGACCTAGTTTAGTCCTGGTTTAGTCCTGGTTTAGATCTAGTTTGGTCCTGGTTTAGTCCTGGTTTAGACCTAGTTTAATCTGTTTTAGTCCTGGTTTAGTGCAGTTCAAAGGGCACAAGTAACCTACTGTTGAAATGTGTTGAAAAGATTGTGTGAGATGAACTGAATTGATTTTCCCATACCCTTGGAGACCGTGTAAGAGGCTAACTCAGCTAAAGAGCAACGTATGGGCATTTGTGATGCTACAGGCTGCAATATGTGGCAACAAATGTGACCGAAGACCTTCCAGATGAAATACTTTGAGGGAATTAATCATTTCATCACCAACCGAAACACCAATGAATGAGGCCTTTCCTGTTGTGTTCACCTGGCTCCCCCTGGACACTGCTGTGATGCTGCAGGACACAGAGGAGGGACACTTTTGGCTCTTCTCTCCTCAAACTGCCCTGACACGGGATCTGCACAGTGTAAATGTTGATGTAGCAAAATTTGAGTTTCCCATGGGATCAATAAAGTATCTCTCTCTCTCTCTCTCTCTCTCTCTCTCTCTCTCTCTCTCTCTCTCTCTCTCTCTCTCTCTCTCTCTCTCTCTCTCTCTCTCTCTCTCTCTCTCTCTCTCTCTCTCTCTCTCTCTCTCTCTCTCTCTCTCTCTCTCTTTCTGGTTTAGACCTGTTTTAGTCATGGTGTATTCCGGGTTTAGTCTTGGTTTAGGCCTGGTTTAGTCTTTTTTAGTCCTGGTTTAGTCCTGTTCACTGTTGCTTTCATTTTGAGAGGGTTTCTTGTCTGTAGTAGTCAGGATCTATCAAAGTTGTTTTAGACCTAATATTATATTTGAGAGAGAGAGAGATACTTTATTGGTCTTGAGAACAAATTTAAGTTTAGCTGCAGAAACATAGTGGAGGTTTGGTCAGGTAGGATCAGCAGATTTTTTGTCAGGGTAGTTTGAGGTGCATAACAGCCCTCTGGACAAAAGTCTGTGTCCTGCAGCCCTCAGCCTCTCTCTCACACTGCCTTGTTGTTTCGATCAGTGATGAAATGATCCATTACTTTGAAATATTTCTTCTGGAAGGTCTTCTGCCACATTTGGTGGGAAAGTCTGTAACATCTCAGAGGTCTATAGCTGGCTCCTTAGCTCGCCTCATGCACAGTCTCCATGGATACAGAAAAAACAAACATCTTATTTGACAATTCAACAGTCCCTTACTTGTGTCCTCTGAATTGCCCATTTGTCTTATATTACTGGTATGTAAAAAAAAGCCATAGGTAAATATGAGACAGACCATAGATTTGTTTTGCCACATTCCCTCTGGAGCCTCTGTGTTGTCTCTGCTCACTCAGTGTTGTTGTAAGTGATCCCGCCATACTGAACACTATTGTTACTGAACCTTGAATGTAAATACTGTTGAGTAAAATAAAATGATAATAATAATAATAATCATAAAGGATCAAGTAAGAAAACACAACATGGCAACCACGTTCTAGATAAAGGGATGATTAATTGTCTTGAATTGTGCCTGGATTAGACCTGGTTTATATTTGGTGTGGTTCTGTTTTTTTCTGGTTTAGTCCCGGTTAGTCCAGTGTTGTAGATGCAAATGACTGAAAGGTACTATTGTTGCTATTGTTGTTGATCACCTGCTCTAACTCCACGTCTTCAAGATACACGGATGTTTTGAATATTTGAGTGACAGATGAGAATAAAGAGGGGGGGTGAGGGGAAGAGGGAGGAAGGGATAGAGTGGGAGGAGGTGTGTCCTGAGACTATAAAAAATGAGCAGGTGAGACACAACACAGTCCTGCAGGCTCCAACTGATCGTGAGTACTTTATCAGATATATTACATACAACTATTTCAGTCCTGGGTTAGTCCTGGGTTAGTTCTGGTAAACTCTTGGTGTAGTTCTAGTTTAGTCCTGGCTTAGTCCTGGTTTTGCCCTGATTAGGCTGAACATTTATGGATTATAGATTTTGACTTTCATAATAAAGTTTTCTCGTTTCTAATTTTGAATTCTTAAAGGTGCACTAAGTAACTTTTTGGTGGGGGTCTGCTTGTCTCCATGGAAATATTATATATATATTGCTTTGCTTAGAATATTCCACAGAGGTATTAAACTTATCTAAATTGCATTTTTAAAACCAGACATGTTTTATCTATAAAGAAATACCTTCAAACATGCATTGTCACTGTGAGCGGGGCCACCTTTCTGATCTGTAACTTGGCCTTGCCATGTAGAGAGATATGTTTAATGTCATACTATGGAACATTACAGGCAAGAAAAACTCCATAGAGACAAGCAGGTGGGCGGATTCCAAAAAAATTTATTGCATTTTTTTTTTTTTTCTGATATTATAATTTTTGCTAAATATATTTTAAAAATCCCATTGTCACTGCACAGATTTAAAATATCTTTGAATTTGTTCATTTTTAGAGTGCGGAGTTGCAGAGATGCACCGGCGAGGTAAGACATCCTTCATGGTGGTGACATTTAAATTAGGGATGCACCCATCCATTTTTTTCAGTTCCAGTACCTTTATTGATACTTCTGTCGATTCAAAGTATAACTGTCAATATCGTGGATATCCAAGATGGCACTTAATGGCACTTATTTCCTTAAAACACAGTTAACTTAATGCACTAGAAATGTAAACATGTTATGTAACTGTTATTTATCCTTCAAATCACTCCTGAACAGTTTTGTATGAATACAAGTTCAAACATTGTGACATTCTAGGCCAAAATCAGCCAAAATAGTATGTTTACATCCAGTTAAAGGCCCAACCAGGATATTGACTGAACCGATACCATGGAACTGATAAACAATCCAACAAATTTTTCAGGTAGAAGTTGCATCCATAATTTAAAGGTCCAATATTATGCACAGTTTAGTCCTTTGAACTTTTAACCATTTTGAAAAGTTTTCAAACACTTGGAGTTGTGTTTTGTTTCATTCACATACATTTGAGTAATCCTGCATTATTACTGTTACTATTATTATTGTGATGTCATTTAGTAGTAGTTTTAAAGTTAGCAGCTATTTTTAACCTAATTTGAAATTGCTTTCCTCTGCAATACACTTGAATAACCTGAAGTTGTTTTAAGTGTTTTCGTTGTGCTTTTTGTTCAGTTGAGATTGACCCCGAAAGTTAAAAAAGTAATATCTGTATTTTCTGTTTGAGAGAAGAATTCGGCCTAAATCTGCAGGGTTTGTGTGTTAAACATGTGTGAATGAAACAAAACACAACTCCAGGTCTGTTTGTGATGAGGAAACAGCATTAGAACATAGTCAGAGAGTAGCATAGTGTACGCCCTTTAATGTGTACCTGTCTCTCCTTATAGACCACAGTCCAAAAGGAGGCCACGGCCACGGCCACGGCCACGGACATGGGCATGGGCATGGAGGCGGAGGGCATGGAGACTGTGGAGGAGGAGGAGGAGGGCATGGCCATGGAGGCGGCTGTGGAGGAGGGCACGACCATGGAGGCGGCTGTGGAGGAGGGCACGACCATGGAGGCGGCTGTGGAGGAGGGCACGACCATGGAGGCGGCTGTGGAGGAGGGCACGACCATGGAGGCAGCTGTGGAGGAGGAGGGCACGGCCATGGAGGCAGCTGTGGAGGAGGAGGAGGAGGTCACGGCCATGGCGGCTGTGGAGGTGGCTACGAATCTGGGCATGGAGAGTGTGGAGGAGGGAAGGGCAAACACGGTGGTGGCAAGAGGGAGAAGAGACGAAGGCGCAAGAAGGGGCACAAGCATCGCAAGTGCCACAAGAAAGGCAAAGAATGTCATGGGGTAAGATATCATTTATATGTCATCATACTGATAGATTGACAGAGATAAACAGATTGACAGCATTGACATTATTATTACACATAATTTTACAGCTTTGATTTTGAAAATTAAGGATGATTAAAATAAACAATAGTCAATGGAAGAAGTACATTGTCGTTTTATGATATTGTTGTCACTGCTGTGGTTCACCACTAAACAAACCGGATTAACTAGTATAATGAATACTTTCTCCTGTTCAGCGTAATACTACTTAGAGAGGTTTTGCACCATTATTTGATTTGAAAAAGTGACTGAGAAACCCTGAGGGACAAATATGGGCTCCACCACAGACTAAATATGTTTCTTTGCTTTTTTTTTTTTTTTTTGCCCTCATTTTTTTTTTTTAGTTCAAGTTAGCTTTTTACAGAACAAAATCGAAAGTAAAAGTAGTTTCTCTGTTGTTTGTCATTAAAGTGTAGCAGCTCTTTCACATTTTAGATTTAGCTTTTGCAGAAGAAAATGTTATACCTTTTGGCCATTTAAAAATTGCATTCATTTATTTAAACACATTTGAACACATTTGTTTAAACAGTATTTAAACAAATGTTCAGTATTTTGTCCTAAATCTCTCCCTGTCTCTCTCCACAGTCTTCCAGCAGCTCATGCAGCAGCAGTGACTCAGATTAAGAAGAAGAGGATCCTGTTCTTTATGTCCTTTAACATTAGGCCTACATCATAAAATTATATTTTTTGGGACTAAAATGACAATAAAAGTTTTCAACAACTGTCAAGCATCTTATTTCATTTTTTAAAATGTCTCTATTATATATATATATATATATATATATATATATATATATATATATATATATATATATATATATATATATATATATATATATATATATATATATATATATATATATATATATATATAATTGGATAAACAAAATGCAAGTGTTGTAAGCCAAACTTTTCAACTGTTGTCCACAGGCCTATCTACTGTTTTGTAGCATTTAAATTATTTACTTACTATTATTTTCAATTCAGAGGAGTCTATTTGGGATTAAACAGCGCTATTTAATAATCCTTTATTTAGCAGCGTCTGTCTTGGAATAATAACAATGTATGCCCAATCCCTTGTCTGTCATTAGAACAGACGGTGCCTAAACTGTCAGTGCGTTCCTTGCAGTCCAAACTCAGGGCCATACGTCTCAAATTTCTCCCAAAAGTTTTCCCCGAGTTTTCCACGTCCTCTAGCGGCGTCAGACGGAAGGAGCTGCCACGAATGCACTCTATCAGTGACTAGCGCCATAACACGATGCGCAAATCAATGAGCGCTGTTCTGTGCCTGTTTGCGCTGCTCACTTTGCGGACTTTTTGCGCTAGTGCAGATGAAGCCGAGGTGAAAATAGAAGTTGTGTTTAAACCACTGGAGTGCGCACAAAAGAGTAAGAAAGGAGACCTGATGAACGTGCACTACGACGGGTTTTTGCTGGATGGGACACAATTCTACTGCAGGTAAAATGAATAAATGAAGTTATGCAAATTTGCCCCTTTTAAACATCTTTTGCGCCTTTAAACAACTAAAGTTTTTGTTAATTTGAATCCTAGAGAGTGCTGTGATACAAACAGTTTCACAGACTACTATAACAGTAATGCATAAATCTGAAATCACGCCTTCATAGCACTCAGTTACAACTTGAGTCCTTTTACCAGCATACTGGAGTCAAATTTTACTGAAGTAACAGTACTCTTACTTGAGTAAAAGCTGTGGTTACTATTCCCACTGTAAGTAAGTCTACAAGTGACGAAAGCTTTATGCAATAGCTTTATGTAATAAGAAATGATTTGAACATTTGTGTTTCTTGCAGTAGTCCTTCAGATATGATTTAGGTTGTCATTTGTGTGTCTATTCTTTGAAAATACCAGATTTTGTGCATTATTTAATGCATTGTTCTTCCAATTACATTAAGTTACTCTTACATGACTTGAGTAGTAGGTTTCCCAAATACTTTTTTAAAATTCCTACTTAAGTAATTTCTTGGACCACTGCTTTGTACTTCCACTTGAGTAATATTATTTTGAAGTTATGTTATTCTTACATTAGTAAAATTTGTGGCGATTCTACCTCTGTGTGTCTTCACATTTGATGCTGGTATACACCTACGATAAGCACCAATCACTCACACACCACTTCACATCTAGGCAAGGTGGTTACAGTGTCTTGATTGATTGATTGATAGCATTTATATAGCGCCTTTCAAGATGCCCAAAGCGCTTTACAGTTCATTATTCAGTCACTCCACACTCAGTGGTGGTAAGCTACTACTGTAGCCACAGCTGCCCTGGGGCAGGCTGACGGAAGTGAGGCTGCCAATCTGCACCATCGGCCCTTCCGACCACCACCATCACTCACTCTCACAGCACTTTCATACTTGCTCAAGGACACAACAGTGCACACTTTGCAGAAATGTAAACTTTTTGGTTTGGTTGTGGGCAAAGGTTCTCCCACTTAAAGTTGCAATATGTAACTGCCTGTCCCCATGGAGGTTTTATTGCTCAGCCTAGAATGTTCCACAGTACAGCATTAAAATTGTCTATCTTGCATTTATTGTATTACAGGTGTTTCTGTTGCTCCATAATACACTGAAAAGCAGTGTTTTTCTTTGAGAGTACTTGCCTCTCCACAGATCTGGCATGTAATTTGCCCTGTTGGCATCACTGGTTTGTCTCCATGGAGATCTGTGAGTTTAACGCCATATAGTGAAACGATCCAGGCGAAACAAGCCTGACCATCCACCAGAAAAGTTACACAGTGTGAGAGAAGGAGTGTGAGAAATATCACCAAATAATGATTCAATAATGCAATTTAAACTAGCAACTTTGAGTGTCCAAAAAGTATTTTACTATACATTATACCTACAGTACATATTATACATACATCGGTATTATTATTACATCAGTCTATTTATCCAAAGATTGTACAAGAATAACAATGCCTACTTAGTTCAAAACAATATGTAACATTTCCTCTGAAATGTGAACAATACAACTCATAATGTCTATGGGCTTTATACTAAATATACTAGTAGTAAATGTATTTTTATTATTTCATTTTTCTTTGATGCTTGTTGTGTGGACAACATTTGGAGACCCCCGCAGTGCCTCTGAAGCCCCCCAGGGGGCTCCGATTCCACTTGGGGAATCACTGGATTACAGAATTAAAAATACAAATATATGATGGCAAAACTGCCTTCAGATACAATGTTTTGTGAAGTCTAGGGGTGTCATCATATAAAATTTTAGTGTTACAAGTTATTATGAATAATAAATAAACAAAACCAAAACACAAACAGTCAAATCCTTAAAGACGAGGTATTATGCAAAATCTTTTTCTTTGTTTAAAAAAGCTTTCTATCATGTTATAACATTTCCTCATCAATAATATGCCTGGTTTTAGATTTTAGGTTTTAGATATCCATTCATGTTTGAGTAATCTAGAGATCTCTCACGGATCCTATTCAAACCCTCTGTACAGTTGGCTGTGAGATTCTGTGCAATGCTCTGCTCACCAGCCTACGTCACCCATGCTCCCACACGACAAATCTCCATAAATATACAAACACATGATACAAAAGTGTATACAGCAGCTTGACAAACTGATGTGGTGTGCAGTAGGTTCATTAGCAGGAGAGCAAAGGGAAGTAGTTTTATAAGTAAACCTTATAAAACATGTTAATACGTTGTTTTCAGCTGTATATATTTCAGAATATAGTATTTTCAAAACAATAAAAGAAAACATGGTGATCTATATATGTGACGTGTTAGCAGTAATCAAATTAAATCTTTGCACAGAAAAATTCCTTATAGTTTGGTCCTTATTGTTTTGCAGCCGCTCGGACAAAGCAGGGCACCCTCAGTGGATGGTGGTGGGAGTGGGTCAGGTGATCCGTGGTTTGGATGCTGGAATGTTGGACATGTGTGCTGGAGAGAAACGCAAAATCACTGTCCCCCCCGAGCTCGCGTTTGGAACTCAGGGAAAAGGTACAGTTTAAAGCTTCCATCTGTACTTTTTAACAATACTTTAGCACTACCATAACCTCTAACTGTATGAATGCTAAACAGATTAAGGCCACACTGCACATTTAGCATCACACCCCAGACAACGTTTATGACATCAGCGGCAAAGTATCAGTTAGAATTTTGCTCTTCCTCAACTCACAAGACTGCCGCCTCATTTGCCAACACAACCCACGATCTCTCTAGCCCTTAATAATGCCTCTTTGTTTTGTTTCTGTGTCTGTAGCCCCGGTGCCTCCAAATGCCACTGTTATCTTCGAGGTTGAAGCTTTGGCTGTGTCCAGAGGCCCTCGCAGCATGGAGGCCTTCAGTAACATGGATCAAAATAAGGACAGAAAACTCACCAAAGACGAGGTAACTATTACTGCCCTACAAAGGCAGAACGCCGTGTTTGAATGCCGAATGTTTGGTCAAAAATGAGTTCATATCATTTTGGTAGTATTTGAGACCTCCTTTATCATGTGAATAAATATCGTGTAAAATATTGAGCTCAAATTTGACCTTTGCAGCTACTGAACTCTGCTTTTGTGTCATGTGCCAAAAATGAGTAGTCGTGCAAAGGCAAAAGGCAGTAACAGTGTATGTTTTGTTTGTGATTTAGTTCATAAATATATTTTATTTTAAAATCTAACCTCTTGCCTCCTTCTTTTTGTTGCGGCCTTGGCACAGGGTCTTAACACATTCAATAAATATACCTTTGTTTTCAGTTATACTTAAATGTGAAAATATTTGGTGTATTTATTCATACTGTACATACTATACTGCAAAGTCACTTGTCTATCAAACTGTTTAACTGTGTAAGTGATCAGCACTATACTGATCAACACTAAATAGGAAATCCAAAGCTCTTCTATCTGATTTCAAACAAACTCGAACAAACATGATGACTCAACCTTGGTGAGGTGTTCTTATAATAGATGGAAGTCTGGTGAAAATCAAACAAATAATAAAATCAAGCAAATAATGATCATGTCAGTTTCTTCCTTTTGCCTTTGCACAACTCCTTATTTTTGGCTCATGATATAAAGGCAGAGTACAAGAACTGCCAAATAAGGGTCAAAGGTCAGTTTTGACCTCAACATTTTTTGCATACAAATATTTCTTCATTATAGCAACTAGCTGTCAAATTTTGGGAGCCTTACCTATTATACTTTTGTCTGGACAAAACAGAAACTTTGAAGTCATTTTTCTCAGTATCACAATCTGGCGAGTTAAGGTCTTTTGCCTTTGTAGGGCAGTATAGCTTCACAAGGAGTACCACAATTACTTTTGCAAATGCAATTTTAGATTCACCAGTTAACAGTTTGCATAACAAGAAGTGGAGATATACAAAAATTTTACCCAAGAAAGAGTACCTTTTACTTAAAAATATTATTAGTCAAGTACAGCATTGTTATATAAGGTAAACTACTAAAACCTGTAAGAGTAACTGTCTGAAAAGTAACATTTAATCATAGTCTATATCTAAAGAAGTGGACTAAGCGAGTCGATTGGGCTCCAGTCAAATCAAGCTCACAATGCCAGCGGCTACGGAGCAAATCTAGAGCTAGGTCCATATTAGGAATAGGATTTTTTTAACAAACAAAATAGACTGATATCAGACATCAGAGTCACCAGCCACTCTGTCACATCTGAAGCCTGGCCAAACAGATGGTGCAGTCAGATTTGTTTTTATTTTAAGTGATGCAATGTGAAACGATGGAGCTCATTGGTCATCTATCTTTTACAAATAAAATCACATTGATCTCACCTCAGATGAACTGAGTTTATTGCGTGGCTCATTGATTCTGCAGAAATCTGCAATGTCTTTCAACCTCCTCTAATATTTTTTCCTTTATTTTTTCCAATATGAACCCTGATTGGCTAATCCACCTATCAGTCATGCCCATTTGAAAACAGAGATTCACTGGTGACCAGAATGGAATTCTGGGATTTTGGATGCCAGGCAAATATTAGAAAGCATCTAAAAACACGCACAAACAAGGAGGGAAATGAAAAAGAGTAAAATGCACGCAACATCTGGTAATACAGTATCACAGTATTGTGTCATGTTTTAAACTCTCCCTCTTATTTGATCAAGTTTATAAAAAATTTACAAACTTCAGTTACTAAAATTTAAACACAAAAATAATAGTTATGTTTGTTTTTGAGTTTTTGATACTTTTTTCTCAAATTAGTCAAATAAAAAAGGCACTGATTTTATCCCAAGTTTCTATTTGAGTTTGGGGAAATGTGCAGTGGCTCCAGTAGCACTAATCCACCCCCCACCAAACCAGAACCCAGCGTAGAGAGGCTGAGTGAAGCTGGTCTGGACTCTGTGGAGGAGGCTCATGGTACTTCCAGAGACGCTGTAAAATGCCAAAACCCCTGCACTGTGGTCCAGGTAAACCCCGATTCTGGACCAGACCGTACCTGAGACCGGACCTGAGACCTGGGACTCAGCTGAGTTAAACCAAAATGAATAACTGTTAGATTCACACTCTAAGGCCCAGGATTTATCATTGTTTCCAAATCTACATTCAATAGAGCCTTTCCTCTGAATATCTCTGTATGAAACTGCTATACGAGCCCATTCCCCGCTCCACTCCACCTCCCAGTAACAGCGACCCGTCAGACTCTCTCTGCTCAGGACCTGACACCAGCGACTGAATCTGTCTGGATGATCTGGATAACTCTGTTCTTCAATCATAGCTGTTACTCTTCTGTTTTCATCAGATAGAGACAGCCATGTGTTAAGTGAGTTTGGGTCCAGAGTGATTTCTGTAGAATATTGTAAGAAGTCCTCTCTGGAGCTGGGTTCAGCTGGTGGCAGTAAAACCTGGACTGGACTCAGAGTGAGCTGGAGTGTGTCTCTGAGCTTGGACACAGCTCTGGTCACGTCCTCAAAGTAGCTCCAGTCCCCTGTGTGAATGGTGTGTGGCTCTGTGCTCTGTGTGTGGAGGGACAGTGAAGCGTAGACCTGTATAAACTGGTTATGATCCTGGGTGAGGGCCAGTGTGTCCAGCTCAGAGAGGCTCCTCTTCAGCCCCCTCACGTCCTGCTGCAGTTGGTCCTGGAGCTCTTGGACTCGGCTCAGTTGGGTCTGCTCCTGGGAGCGGATCTGCTGCTCCACTTCAGAGCGTCTTTTGTCCAGGAGAAGGGCCATCTGTGTGAAACTGTCCCCGCTGCGCTGCACTGCTGTCTGGGCAGAGCGTCTGATGTCCTGGGCCTCCTGTTGGAGCCTCTTCAGGTCTGTCTCTTTGTGCTGGAGGCTCTGGAGCAGCAGGGCCCTCCTGGCCGGCAGCTCTGCCTGCCTCTGAGCCCTCTCTGAGGCAGAGGTCACTATGTCATGACCCTTATGTTGGTCCACAGTGCAGAAGGAGCAGAGCAACTGCTGGTCTCTGCAGCAGAATAGTTCCATCACTTTGTCATGCTGAGAGCAGATGTTTACCTGGAGTGTGTGAGACGGCGCCACCAGCTGGTGTTTCTGTAACCCTGCAGCTTCATGATGAGGCTGTAATGGCGCTCACAGTAAGAGGCCACACACTGCAGACAGGACTGGACAGCTCTCAGCTTCCTCCCAGTGCACACATCACAGGACACATCCTGAGGTCCGGCATAGCAGCGAGCAGCAGGGGGCGCTGTCTTCTTCATCTGCTCTACTAAACCTGCTAACATGATGTTTTTACCCAGGACAGGCCTGGGGCTGAAGCTGAGGCGACATTCAGGACAGCTGTAGAGCTGCTTGTCGTCCTCTTGGTCCCAGTGCTGTTGGACACAGTTCCTGCAGTAGCTGTGTCCACAGGGAATAGTCACAGGATCCTTCAGTAGATCCAAACACACGGAGCAGGAAAAGGCTTCTTGGTCGAGTGTTTTCTGCGCCATCTCTCCTGGATCACAAACACTTGGACTTTGACACAAATGAAGCTTCTGTGTAGAGTGAGAGCTGTGGGAGGAGCCACACCCACAGCTATGTGTAGATGTGAGGAGGAAGTGGCAGCTCTTAAACACACACACATGTTTTATCAGAGTTGAAATGAGAGTGTGTCACAGTTTACAGTCACAGACACAGGGTCATTGGGCACAAGTCAAACTCTCCAAAAGAGAATCAAAGAGGAACACAGTGTAAAAATCAGAAGTTATGTTTTTTGGCCCTAGCTCTTCTTCTATTCCTGTGGATCTGGGTTCATTAAATCATTTAGTGAAGCCAGTTGTTACAAACTTAGGAGTCAAAATGGACCCAGAGCTAAAACTTGATCAGCAAATTAGTGCTGTTGTAAAATCTAGTTTTTTCCAGCTAAGACAAATGGCCAAAATTAAGCCTATTTTGTCAACACAACACTTCGAAATGGTCATACATGCATTTGTGACAAATAGATTGGAATATTGTAATGCAGTTTATGTTGGTGTCAGCCAAAATGCACTTTGCCAGTTGGAATGTGTCCAAAACTCAGCGGCTCGACTTTTAACTAGAACCCGGAAACACGAGAGCATCTCACCTATTTTAACTTCTCTTCAGTGGCTCCCAGAGTCCATTTTAAAATTCTTTTATTTACTTTCAAGTGTTTGCACGGCCTAGTGTCCTCCTACCTCACTGACTTGATCCACCCTTATGTCCCCTCTTGCACACTCAGGTCTGCAGACCAATTCCAGCTCGCCGTCCCAAAAACTAAACGTAAGCTTCATGCGTTTTCTATTGCTGCCCCATGGATGTGTAACCAGTTGCCATTAGAGATTAGACAGGCCGAGTCTGTACCTGTTTTTAAATCACTCCTAAAAATTCACTTTTTTTCACTGGCTTTTAATAAGTGACATATATATTTCTTGTTGAGTATTTTACTGTTTTCTATGTTTTTTAGTAGCTGTATTGTGTTTGTACCATATATTTTCTGCTACTGCGGTGTCATTGTCTGTCCTGTGTTTGTGTACAGCACTTTGGCCAACTGTAAAGGTTATAAAATGCTTTATAAATAAAGTTGGTGTGGTATGGTATGGTAAAGAATCAGTATAGTAATCAGTGCCACAGTGCTTTGGTGTGAGGAGGCAGGATTTCTAAACATATCAACAAACATCATCTTCATCAGGATTTTTTCTAGAAGGACATGTGTGTTTATTGGTTAAGTCCTGGTTTAATCTAAGTCTAGACCAATTAGGATTTGTACTGGTTAATACCTCAATAACTGCAGCATTTTATGTGTCTAGTTACTAGTATAGTTTAGTGTGGTACAATGACCTTCCCAAATGAAATCAACAGCCCAAATAAATGAGTTATACATGTGCTGTATTTGCAGGTGAAAGAGTACCTAAAACAGGACTACACCAAAGTGGGGAACCCTCGAGATGACGCCTTTTACAACAAAATCATGGAGGACATTTTTATGAAGAACGACCACAACCACGACGGACAGATCAGCGCCAAAGAGTACAACATTTATGAACACGATGAACTGTAGCAGCAACATTAAACACCACTTTAAAGTGCATATGACAGGTTAGAAGACTACACTGTCCTTAAAACAGGATTTTATGCAAGATTTTACTAATAGTCTTGCCTAGTTTTCTCCATTTTAACCATATTGCTGAAGTTTATCATTTGACTTCCTTGTTCGACACAGACAGCAGATAATGCACATACATAGAGGTAATTCTGTAACTGTAACCTAGCAACTATAATGTCAACAAAGGACAAAACTAAATGGATGTATTGAAATTAATTTAAACTACCAGAAAATTTTTGTGCGTAAATTGTGCCTGCATTTTGGATGGAAGTTTGTGTGTTGATCGCGTAGGTAGATTATTACAATTTACATCTCCAGTATTACTATTACTATTACATTACTTTCATTTTTCCCACTTTTCTTCACAAACTCTCACTGAACTGATGTAAAACTATGATAAATATTCACCACAGGTACTATCCCACCAAACCACCTGAAAACCTGTCATATGCACTTAAAGATGTACTGACACTCTTATAACACTGAGGTTCAGTTATTACAGGCAGGAGGCTCTGGCTGGACACACTGATTCTAATGGTGCTGAGTGAATGTGGTGAATTTTTATTATTATTAAGACAAACACAAGGGCCAATCCATTCAATGTGTAACAGGTTTGTAATAATCCTATATATGTGGAAATGATTGGCCTCACTGCATGATGTCATCAGGTAGTAATTTTGTAATTTAGTCTCTTCTAAAAATGTCTTCAATAGTTCATAATGTGCAACCAGTTCTAGCGCTTTTGAACAACTGTGCTAGAAGACGTATTAAAGGTGCACTATGTAACTTTTCTGGTAGGGGTCCATTACCTGTTTGTCACTATGGAGATGTTTCACCGTTTGGCATTAAACTTGTCAAGCTTCTGTTTAATCAGTTACAGGTATTTTATTTCTTAAAATCAAATACCTTGACAAACTTCACTCTTACTGTAAGATGGGTCTGCTCTCCACAGATCTGACCCGTAACTTGGCCTGGCTGGCGGTGCTTGTTTCCATGGAGATAGATAGGTTTAATGTCATACTGTGGAACATTCTTAGCATTCTTAGTGTTACACAGTGCACCTTTAACTTTAGGTATGAATATGGATCATTTCTTTATTTGACAGACTGGCAGAATTTTTGGTCACTGTGCCGATCAGTTCATGAATAATGTGTGTGGTATTATAAAAGAAAAGAAAAAAAGAGAGTGATTTGTTTGTTTCTGAATCTAAAATGAGAAATGAGAAATGCTGTTACATTGATAGTGGCTCCTGTTCCTGTGGATTTGTGTGTTTAAAAATCTGTGACTGCATTTTTACTGAATGTTTCAATAAAGAACTTTGGTTTAATGTTTTAATTTGTGTTGTTCCCAAACACCTCACCACATGCGCCAGTAGAGGGTAGTGTTCAACATAAAAACAGTCAAGGAGTATTTGTTATTTTCAAGTAACAGTACTCTTACTTAAGTTTTGACTCATTCACTTAAATGAATACATTAAAACAAAACTCATAAAAACACGAAAAACTAAATAAAAACCAGGCTGGTAAACACATTTGAACAATCACAGAAAATAACTAAATGACAGGGATAGTATGTTTAGCAATAGTGAAGACAGTAATAGTGTGAACAGTAAGAGTGACCAGCAATAGTGTGAACATCAATGATGAACAGTGAGAGTGAATAGTAATAGAACAGTAATAGTGAACAGTGACTGAGCAGTAATGCTGAATCGTAACAGTGTGAAGAGTAACAGCGTGAACAGTAACATTGTGAGAATTAATAATGAACAGTTAATATTGTGAACAGTAACAGTGAGCAGTGATAGTGAACAGTAATAGTGTGAACAGTAACAGTGAGCAGCAATAGTGTGAACAGTAATTATGTGACAGTGGACAGTAATAGTGAACAGTAACAGTGAGCAGTAAAAGTAATAGTGTGAACAATAGCGACTGGTCAATAGAGGGTGCAAGTGCGCTGCATTCCCTAACTTGACCTAGATTAAAAAAAAAAAAAAGTATAAACTCATTATTTTCCTCTGAAGAAGATAAGAGGCTCGCTGGGTGTAAGCTGTGGATCAGGTTGTGCTGCTGCGTAAACTTTGTGCTTGTGTTGCGCTCTGATGGATATAGTTCAGCCAATACAGCCTATGTATAATACATATATTTATAATATATATTTATAATTTTGGCCTATGCGCACCCCCAAAAATTATACCACCTGCCACTGAGTGTGAACAGTAACAGTGTGAATCTTAATAGTGAACAGTGATCATTCTTAATACTGTAATAGTGTGAATAGAAACAGTGAGCAGCAATAGTGAACAGTAATAGTGTGAACAGCAATGACGAACAGTGATAGTGAACAGTAAAAGAGTGACAGTAACAGTAATAGTGAACTGTAATAGTCTGAATAAAAACAGTGAGCAGTAATAGTGTCCTGTAAGAGTGTGAACAGTAATAGTGTGACAGTAACAGTGTGAACAGTAACAGTGTGGGAAGTAATAATGAACAGTAATATTGTGAAGAATAATAGTGACCAGTGGTACTGTGACCAGTATACGTGAGCAGTAATAGTGAAAAGTCAGACAATTCCATACAAAGCTGACAATATCGTATGATGCTCAAATGGAGTAAGTAGAAGTAAAAGCACTTACGAGAGCTTTCCACATTCATGCTTTACAGCTCTTAAGCACAGACAGAAGCATTACACAGTACATTAAGCAAAACATTCATAAACAAACACAGCTGATGCTACCAAATGTGACTGTTTATTGCATGTATAATTATAATTACATAAACAGGTGTTTATGTGTTTGAAATAGTGTGAACAGTTATAGTGATCAGTAGAAAACAAACAAAAGTCGGTCTAAGCCACATTCTAAATGAGTATTTGTCAGTGTTTGCTAATGTGTGCATTGTGTCTCCATGGTAACTGCCATAGAGACAGCTGTAGAACACCCCTATAATCATGTTGCTGCAAAGTATGAATAAAAGAAGGCTGTTTGTGCAAATTAAGTTTAGCAGTTTGTTACAGTACACTGCCCCCTGGTGGAAGCATGTGAGGTTTTGGTTAACACTGTAGGTGTGGATTGATCAAAGTGCTTTAGGGCTGCAGAGTTATTCAGGATTCTATGCCAATGTTCTATGTATTTTGTCAAAGTTGAGAAGTCTATACTTTTGTAGGACATGGCAGTGTTCTTGTTGTCATGCTTTCCAGTCTGTTACATTTTTTAAGTACAGTTAGTTACTGTAACTGAGTACTAGGAGGCCCACTTCTGCTGCCCATAGTTATTTACTGTACAGTGTAGTTTAGTGTATTTTACTGTATTTATTATATTCAAGTATATTTCAGTATTTCATCATGTTTTTCAATTCCACTTGTGCATCTAACTGGCCTTTTTAAATACTTATTTATCTAGAACATTTTTTTATTTGACTTTTGGCTGTTACAATACTGTATTTCTGATGAATGTTTTCTTATTTTCTATTCAGGATGTTAAAATGTAAAAATGTATACTCAGAAGTAAACAGTTACATAAGGCATAAAACAGATACAAGGCACATTTCAGACATAACGTGAGCACTTCTGGCCTGACTTCAACCACAGTTCGAGTCATGTTGACCATGCTGGGGTCACAGTGGCCTGCACTGACAGAGGCTCTGATGTGAGGTCCGTGAGCTTGATGGTGGACAGTCAGACCAGAGAACAGCAGTGACAAAAAATTATAAAAATGACTATAATGACAATAAAGAACATAATATTGTGTCAAATGTGGTATGTTTTAAAAGATCAGGTTTTTGTCATAATCTAAACTCTCTACATATAGTTTATCAACACAGTTTTCAGAACAAAGCTGCTATTTGAGTTTAGGGAAATGTACAGTGTCTCCAGTATTATAAATCCAGACCCCAGCGTAGAGAGGCTGAGTGAACTTGGTCTGGACTCTGTGGAGGAGGCTCATGGTATTTTCAGAGACGCTGTAAAACACCAAAACCCCTGCACTGTGGTCCAGGTAAACCCCGATTCTGGGCCGGACCAGGCTGAAGACTAGACGTGAGACCAAACTTGAGAATAGACCTGAGACTGGACTTGAAACCAGTCCTGAGACCTGGGACTCAGACTTAAACCAAAATGAATAACTGGTTTTGTCACACTGTAAAGCCCACGATTTATCATTGTGTCCAAAGAAACATTCATTAGAGTTTCCTCTCCTCTGAATATCTTTGTATGAAACTGCTATACGAGCACATTCCCCGCTCCACTCCACCTCCCAGTAACAGCGACCCGTCAGACTCTCTGCTCAGGACCTGACACGTGTGACAGAATCTGTCTGGATGATCTGGATAACTCTGTTCTTCAATCATAACTGTTGCTCTTCTGTTTCCATCAGACAGAGACAGTTCGGTGTGAACTGTGTTCGGGTCCAGAGTGATTTCTGTAGAATATTGTAAGAAGTCGTCTCTGGAGCTGGGTTCAGCTGGTGGCAGTAAAACCTGGACTGGACTCAGAGTGAGCTGGAGTGTGTCTCTGAGCTTGGACACAGCTCTGGTCACTTCCTCAAAGTAGCTCCAGTTCCCTGTGTGAATGGTGTGTGTCTCTGTGCTCTGTGTGTGTGGGGACAGTGAAGTGTAGACCTGTATAAACTGGTTATGATCCTGGGTGAGGGCCAGTGTGTCCAGCTCAGAGAGGCTCCTCTTCAGCCCCCTCACGTCCTGCTGCAGTTGGTCCTGGAGCTCTTGGACTCGGCTCAGTTGGGTCTGCTCCTGGGAGCGGATCTGCTGCTCCACTTCAGAGCGTCTTTTGTCCAGGAGAAGGGCCATCTGTGTGAAGCTGTCCCCGCTGCGCTGCACTGCTGTCTGGGCAGAGCGTCTGATGTCCTGGGCCTCCTGTTGGAGCCTCTTCAGGTCTGTCTCTTTGTGCTGGAGGTTCTGGAGCAGCAGGGCCCTCCTGGCCGGCAGCTCTGCCTGCCTCTGAGCCCTCTCTGAGGCAGAGGTCACTATGTCATGACTCTCATGTTGGTCCACACACAGGGCGCAGAGCAGCTGCTGGTCACTGCGGCAGAATAGTTCCATCATTTTGTCATGTTGAGAGCAGCTGTTTTCCTGGAGCGTGTGAGACGGCTCCACCAGCTGGTGTTTCTTAAAGGCTGCAGCTTCATGATGAGGCTGTAGGTGGCGCTCACAGTAAGAGGCCACACACTGCAGACAGGACTGGACAGCTCTCCGCTTCCTCCTAGGGCACACATCACAGGACACATCCTGAGGTCCGGCATAGCAGCGGGCAGCAGGGGGCGCTGTTTTCTTCATCTGCTCTACTAAACCTGCTAACATGATGTTTTTAACCAGGACAGGCCTGGATCTGAAGCTGAGGCGACATTCAGGACAGCTGTAGAGCTGCTTGTCGTCCTCTTGGTCCCAGTGCTGTTGGACACAGTTCCTGCAGTAGCTGTGTCCACAGGGAATAGTCACAGGATCCTTCAGTAGATCCAAACACACGGAGCAGGAAAAGACTTCTTGATCGAGTGTTTTCTGCGCCATCTCTCCTGGATCACAAACACTTGGACTTTGACAGAAACGAAACCTTTGAGTGGAGTGAGAGCTGTGGGAGGAGCTACACCCACAGCTCTGTGTAGATGTGGGGAGAAAGTGGCAGCTCTTAAAGACACACACACGTTTTATCAGAGTTGAAATGAAAGTGCGTCACAGTTTACAGTCACAGACACAGAGTCATTAGGCACAAGTCAAACTCTCCAAAAGAGAATCAAAGAGGAAGACAGTGTAAAGGATCAGTGTAGTGCCACAGTGCTTTGGTGTGAGGAGGCAAACATCATCTTCGTCTCAGTTAAGACCAATTAGGCTTTGTACTGGATAATATCTTAATAAATTTTACCATTTTATGTGTCTAGTTACTATTATAGTTTTTGCATGGTACAATGATTTCCAAAATAAAATCAGCAGCCCAAATAATGAGTTATGCATTTGCTGTATTTGCAGGTGAAAGAAAACAGGACTACACCAAAGTGGTGAATCCTCGAGACAAAGCTTTTTACCGCAAAATGATGGCGGACATTTTTATGTAGAATGACCACAACCGCGACGGACAGATCAGCACCAAAGAGTAGGCAAGGCAAGGCAAGGCAAGGCAAGTTTATTTGTATAGCACAATTCGTACACAAAGTAATTCAAAGTGCTTTACAGAATAAGAAATATATTAAAATCATAATAAAAACAAATCAAAACATAAATAATCATGAAGATTAAAATTTTTAAAAAGAGAGACTTAAATTGGAGAGAAGAGTGCGGAATGAAAACCTTTCAGTTATTTGCACAGTTAAACAGAAATGTTTTGAGTCTGGATTTAAACAGCGTCACAGAAGAGTCTGTCTCACATGTTCAGGAAGACTGTTCCAGGTTTTAGCTGCATGAACCTGAAACTCTGACTCCCCTTGTTTAGTTCTGACTCTGGGCACCAGCAGGAGGCCGGTCCCTGAGGTCCTCAGAGTGCGAGATGGTTCATATGACACTAACATGTCACAGATGGACTTTGGTGCTCGGCCATGGAGAGACTTGTACACAAGTAGAGCTGCTTTAAAGTCTATTCTCTGAGGCACAGGAAGCCAGTGCAGAGACCTGAGCACAGGACTTATGTGCTTGTACTTCCTAGTTCGAGTAAGGACCCGAGCTGCAGCGTTCTGGATGTTCTGCAGCGTCTCACAGCTCGTTTGGAGAGACCAGTGAGCAGAACATTACAGTAGTCTAACCTACTGGAGACAAACGCGTGGATAAGTTTCTCCAAGTCTGCTTTAGACAGTAAACCTTTGATTTTCGCTATGTTTTTTAGGTGGTAAAAGGCAGTGTGTACAACATTTATGAACACGATGAACTATAGCTGCAACATTGAACACTACTTTAAAGTGCATATGCGGTGCAGGTTAATTAACGTCTTTATTTTGTTAAATGAATGTATTGAAATGAAATTAAAATTTGCTTTCTTGTGTGTAAATTGTGCCTGCATTTTGGATGGAAGTCTGTGTGTTGATGACATAAGTATATTTTTTATGATTTACATCTGAGCACTACTTCCTGTGTTACAACTTAAATTTTTCCACTTTTTTTTCCCAAAAACTCCCACTTAACTGATGTAAAACTATGATAAATATAAACCACACACTATCCCACCATACCAACTGTGGCGCTTAGACAGGGCCTTCATCGTATTGTGCTCCCCCTGGTGTACACCTGGTGACTTCCAGTCCAAGTTGTCTTTGTCCATTCTCCTCATGGTACGCTAAAGGCATTGAAGAAGTTTCTTTTCCTGTCCTCTCTTGTTCCTAGTAATATATTGAAATATTTTAGTACATTTCATGAACATGTCTTGAAAGTCAATGAAATCACCAAAACAACTCAACAACTCAACTAAAAATGAAAAAATTTAAAAATGAAACATCACTTTGACTTTTGACAAAAACCTGTAAAACATGACATTTGCGCAGGTGACAAAGTGCTTATCCTCCTTCCAATCCAATGCCATGTGCTTGCTGCTAAATTTTCTGGACCTTATGAGATCAAACAAAAATGTACTGACACTAATTATGTAATTAGTACTCCAGACTGGAAATGCAAGATGTCATTTGCCACATAAACTTGCTAAAGTTGTATCATTCCCGCAATGATAAACCAGACCCCGCAAAAAAAAGTAATAGTAGGCAATAATAGTGAGCAGCAATAGTGAGCAGTAATAGTAGACAGCAATAGTAAGTAGGGATGGGCATTCGATGAAATTTTCTTATTCGATCGTCGGAAGAATTAATGATCGATTATCGATTAATCATTAACGTTTTTATATTTAAATGATCATCATTATTATTAGTATCTGCACTAGTAATCTGCATAAATAAATTCAACTTTACGACATATAAACCATAACCACTCTAGAGCCACATCAGCCCGTTTTAGATTATAATGTGTTTAATTCAGTTTTGCGCAACTCTCACAGAAACAAAACTTAAAACCATATGGCTACTTTGCATAAACTAAGTGAAGATAAAAATACAGCTCTTGTACGCTGATGCGGTCAATTTCTGTCGGATTCAGGTGAATACAGGTTAGTGTGACCATATTTGCGTTTGTCAAACCAGGACACTGTACGGGGGGAGGGAGGTGGGGCCTCGTTATCGATATTGAGCGACTCTCACCTGGCAAAGCTTTTTCCCACTGGACACCAAAACATATGTGCTGCTTTATACACTGTGCACACTTGTCTCAACCGGAACGGAAAGCGTGGAATTCCTTGTACAAGTCATTGTTAAATACGTATTTGCGATTTGGTACATTGGCAGACTGACCGACTGTTTGTGTTTGCTCGCTCCTTCTGAGTGCAGAGAGCTACATGTACGAACCCCTGTTTGGTCACGCTACGCACAGCAACCTACATTCAGTTTGTCAATTAAATTAACGTAATGATGAAAATTGATGAATTGATGAAATTGTTAATGATCAATTATCGATTAATCGACCAATCATGCCCATCCCTAATAGTAAGCAACAATAGTGTGCACTAATAGTGGGCAGCAATAGTGAAAAGTAATAGTGAGTGGTAATAGTAGACAGCACCACTACATGTGCAGCTACACAGAAGGCTTGGCTCTTTAATATTCATGAGGGAACTTGTCCGTGATTGGGGTGGCAGTGTTTCAGGCAGTGCTTTATAGTTAGGGTGATCGCCTTGACAACAATTGCGCCCTGTCTTGACTATGTCCCTTCGAACCACATGGATCCTCGCAAAACTACAGTTGTTAATGGAATTTCTAGCCTGGCACCTCTGTGATGTCGACATATGCATCTTGTTAAGATATGTGTCTCTATGCTCTATGCATACTTTGTCATAAAAAGACAATTGGACATGTGTCAATTCTCCCCATTTCTCATTCTGAGGAATCTTTTATCATGAGTATTGTCTCTTCGTAGCACAGATCAATGCATGTTTTTTGTTATTTAATATGTACACAAATCCATTTTCACGAGCTAGGACCACATCAACAATGACATAGTGCGAAGAAGTTTATTGATATATGAAGCGAGGCAGAGATGGTTGGGTTGAGACTCTAGGTGGGGGTTCCGTCTCAATCTTCAATTGGCCCAGCCGGAACGGGACCCCCCCTGTAGGGGTCTTATGACTGAAAGACAAAATAGGGGATGGGAGGGTGGGGTCAAGTTAGCTGAGACAAACTGGGATGATGGGAAAGGCTGCTACAAATAGGCTTCTGGGAAATTAGAGGCGTGGTCGAGGTGAGTTGTGGTTAGCTGGTGAGTGGAGAGGGCAGCTGAGGCGTGGTCCTGCTCCTGAATCTCAGTTAATCATATTAACTACATTTATGATGAGGTAACATATATTGCGTCTTGCTAATTGTTGTGAAGTTTGTCGGAAGTCCATGGACCATCATGTAGTTAGATGATGAACGTAATAAGTGTTAGTTTATAGCATTATATATTTTATAGAAGCAAAACTTACAGAGTTTGCACATAAGACATGCTAAAACTGATGGGTACAAATAGCTTCAGTGCTTTACGCTTGAGCAGTAATGAGGAGCCGCATATTTCAACAAAATATACTACATGTCGACACCATGCTGGTTCATATACTGTGTACCTAGTGAAATTTATACCTAGTTCTACCATGGATCCGGTTCATGGCAATTGTAGGCCTACCGTAGCCCCCAAAACGTGCGCAGTCAGGATGTCCAAAGCTGTCTCAAAATCCAGAAGAAAATGTTTCAAAACAAGTTCAGTAGTGCCAACCCGTAGTCCTATATCAAAATCATAGCAGCTCCATGTAAACAAAATGAGTTTAAAGTCTTGAAGAACACCACTTGCAACAGTTAAATTCATACTGGTAATGATAAAAACAGTTTAAACTTGAGTAATATGAAGCTTCGAGTCAGTGCTGTAATTACTACAGGGGAAAATGTGTGACGTAAAATCTGTGCAGATCTCTAAATGGAGAGAACAGACAGAATTGGAGTGGGAGTGAGTCTGTAGCCTGATCCTATACTCACCAGAAGGATCCCCAGCAGAGAGATCCTCCTGAGGGTCAGGTACACTAAGGGTCAGACTAGCGGGAACCAGAGGGGTGTCTGGGAAGGACACCTAAATTACAAGGGTTTAGCATGACAAAATGAACAACCAGCTTGGGCCCATTATCAACTAGGGGACCACAAATTCTGTATGTCAGCCCTGTGGCACCTACAGAGCCTACAGCACTAATGACCTTAAGGGACCCCTTCAGTAGGCAGCCAGTTTCATCCTATCCTCTCTGGGGTTATGCAGCCAAACCAAGTCCCTTGCAGAGTACAGCTTGTGACAGGTGTTAGAGTCGTGATACAGGTTCTGGTTCTCATGAGCAACAGCAGCACTCTGCCTAGTGTTAGCAAAGGCCATTTCCAGATTCCTCACAGACAAACAGACACTAAGCAACTGTCTGAATAGGTAATGCATACAGATTGACAAACTTAAATAATCCTCCAGAACAAACACATATCTGTTGCACCAGCACTTGACAATGAGCTCCGCCAAACAGGAGAAGAGTAGACTGTCTGGCAGAGAGTCTACAACCAACAATAACTTTTGAAGTCTCCGAGAGTAGCCATGTAACGACTCCCTAGGTGACGAGAGCCCCAAGCCCTGATCCAGTCCAACACAATACTTTTATCTGAACTATCCTGCTGTTGTATTAAAAGGAAATCACTGTCATCGATAAGTGCCTGCAAGTGCTGCCCCCTAGGGTCAGGAGACACAGGCTGAGGAACTGCACTGTGGGGAATGTCACCAGAAGGGATGTGGGGTCCTGTGGTGGAAGAATCCACCACAATAACCAGTGTGGTAGCACCCTCTGTAGTCATATCAAGGTGCTGGGAGAGGGCATCCGCATTAGTGTGAAGATGGCCTTCTTTGTGGTGCATAGTCCAGTTGTAAGGGTCCACTTCCAATATCCACCTGGCTCTTTTTCCAGATGAATCCAAGTGAATGGACATGTCCCCTCACCCTAAAAGAGGCTTATGGTAACCACAGGAGCAGATGAGAGTGCAGATTTGAAATGGAAAAAAGCAGCATCACAGTCACTGATCCCTACAAAAGGGACATCTTTACATGTGAGATTATGAAGCAAGGCAGCATAGCGGGCGAAGTCTAACAGAACGCCAATAGGAAGAGCACAGGCCCAGGAAAGCTTTCACCTCTGTTGGCAACTGTGGTGTGGGCCATGACCTTGACCTTGTCCATGTTCCTGGGATCTGGAGGGCAAGGCCAGAAACCACATGGCCCAGGAAACCCACATGATCCCGGACCAGATAACTTCTCACTCACTTCTTTGAGTGAGTGACTTCTTTGAGACGAGCAGCTTGGATATGAAAAACACCTCACCACACGTCACTGCAATTTCAATTAAGGTTTTTTAAATTTTATTTTCTATTCATACTATAAATGAATAATAATATATTTTGAGTCAGAAGAACCCACATAAAACAGACTGATTTCAGAATGTATTTGTGATTGAAAAGTTCCAGTGTAAAGATGGTGCTGTTTGTCTCCATCATTATATAACCAGTGTTCCTCATTCTGTGACCCTGAGCAACTTTTAAAATTCTGATTCAAGTCGACACAAAACACAGTTCCATGTGCACACAGAAACACAGAGCACACACACCATCACTGCTCTAGTTTGATATGATATAACAGAATCACAGGGCAAATTCTTACATACAGTTACATTACATAAGGAATAACATTGGAAGTGAAAGTTTAAATGAAGTTAGTTAAAAACACTTTGATGTAAAATATGTAGAGATTGAGTTTAGCTTTTCCAGTAATAGTATGAACAATGTTAGTATGTATAACTCACAGGAAACAATGAGTAGGTTTACATGCCCCCTAGTATCCTGGTTATGATTGGGTTTTTTGATGATCCTGGTTTTGTAATGTCCATGTAAACACAGTATTCACAGTATCCATTCAGTATTGTGGATAAGGCAGTCTCCTATGATTTTTTTGAAACATATTATCCTATATCCATAGACAATGCATACAATAATTTATTTTAAAAGTAGTCATACTGAACATGAGTGACCCTTACCTGACACGGATGTTATTTTAAAGAGAATAGATTGAGTAGATTTTGCCTTAATTCTACTGTATCTGGACATCTGGTTTACTTTTCACCTTCTTCTATCATCAGAAAGGTCCTTGGGGATGTTTGTGAAAAATACTGACGCTGACAGTTTAAATGATGTGAAATTGGTGAAATTGCGAAAATACCGCTCTGACTGATGTGCCAATGTGGTAGCTACATAGCAGCTAAATAAAGAAACACAAAAATCATTGATTTAACTTTTTTTGAGATTTTATTTTCTACAATCCACATTTCGAAGCTATCAGTTAACGCTAACCACAGTGTTCAGCAAAAGGCATTTGGGATCGTTTCTCTACAATCTGACCCTGAAAACCCATCTCTTTAACACCACACCTTTCATTAACTTTTCTTATTTCTTTTGTTTGCCTTTGTTTGTCTCTTCACGTAAGGCGTTTTTGAGTATCTTGAAAAGCGCCATGCAAGTGTTATGTATTATGATTATAAATATTATTATTAATCTACTGTCTCTCTGCCTCATTAATAGACTATTTAACGCTAATTGACAATACACAAACTTTTTTGAACTGAATTTCAAATGAAACAAAATACAGAGAAAAAATGTAAAAATACATTTATAGTTTAATTAATGTATGGTTTAATTAACAAGCTCATAAAGCTGTTTCATTACAGTCCATGCCATTAATTTCTATGGAAACATTTTTGCAAATAAGTCAAATATGAAGACACAAATTTGATACAAGACTGTAGAGAGCAAAGCTGCTATTTGAGTTTAGGGAAATGTGCAGTGGCTCCAGCATTATACTTGGCAAACTTACCCCCTCCAACCCAGATCCCAGTGTAGAGAGGCTGAGTGAACTTGGTCTGGACTCTGTGGAGGAGGCTCATGGTACTTTCAGAGATGCTGTAAAATGCCAAAACCCCTGCACTGTGGTCCAGGTAAACCCCGATTCTGGACCCGACCGGACCTGAAACCTGGGACTCGACTGAGTTAAACCAAAGCAAATAACTGTTAGATTTACACTGTAAAGCCCAGGATTTATCATTGTTTCCAAATCTACATTCAGTAGAGTTTCCTTTCCTCTGAATATCTCTGTATGAAACTCCTATATGGGCCCACCCCCCACTCCACTCCACCTCCCAGTAACAGCGACCCGTCAGACTCTCTCTGCTCAGGACCTGACACCAGAAATTGAATCTGTCTGGATGATCTGGATAACTCTGTTCTTTACTCATAAGTGTTACTCTTCTGTTTCCATCAGACAGAGACAGCCATGTGTTAACTGTGTTTGGGTCCAGAGTGATTTCTGTAGAATATTTTAAGAAGTCGTCTCTGGAGCTGGGTTCAGCTGGTGCCAGTAAAACCTGGACTGAACTCAGAGTGAGCTGGAGTGTGTCTCTGAGCTTGGACACAGCTCTGGTCACTTCCTCAAAGTAGCTCCGGTCCCCTGTGTGAATGGTGTGTGTCTCTGTGCTCTGTGTGTGTGCGGACAGTGAAGCGTAGACCTGTATAAACTGGTTATGATCCTGGGTGAGGGCCAGTGTGTCCAGCTCAGAGAGGCTCCTCTTCAGCCCCCTCACGTCCTGCTGCAGTTGGTCCTGGAGCTCTTGGACTCGGCTCAGTTGGGTCTGCTCCTGGGAGCGGTCTGCTGCTCCACTTCAGAGCGTCTTTTGTCCAGGAGAAGGGCCATCTGTGTGAAGCTGTCCCCGCTGCACTGCACTGCTGTCTGGGCAGAGCGTCTGATGTTCTGGGCCTCCTGTTGGAGCCTCTTCAGGTCTGTCTCTTTGTGCTGGAGGAGCAGGGCCCTCCTGGCCGGCAGCTCTGCCTGTCTTTGAGCCCTCTCTGATTCAGAGGTTACTATGTCATGACCCTTATGTTGGTCCACAGAGCAGAAGGAGCAGAGCAGCTGCTGGTCACTGCGGCAGAATAGTTCCATCAGTCTGTGGTGTTGAGAGCAGATGTTTTCCTGGAGCGTGTGAGACGGCTCCACCAGCTGGTGTTTCTTTAACACTGCAGCTTCATGATGAGGCTGTAGGTGGCGCTCACAGTAAGAGGCCACACACTGCAGACAGGACTGGACAGCTCTCAGCTTCCTCCCAGTGCACACATCACAGGACACATCCTGAGGTCCGGCATAGCAGCGGGCAGCAGGGGGCGCTGTCTTCTTCATCTGCTCTACTAAACCTGCTAACATGATGTTTTTACCCAGGACAGGCCTGGGGCTGAAGCTGAAGCGACATTCAGGACAGCTGTAGAGGTGCTTGTAGTCCTCATGGTCCCAGTGCTGTTGGACACAGTTCCTGCAGTAGCTGTGTCCACAGGGAATAGTCACAGGATCCTTCAGTAGCTCCAAACACACAGAGCAGGAAAAGGCTTCTTGGTCGAGTGTTTTCTGCGCCATCTCTCCTGGATCACAAACACTTACAGTTTGACACAAACAAAACTTAAGAGTGGAGTGAGAGCTGTGAGAGGAGCCACACCCACAGCTCTGTGTAGATCTGATTATTAAGTGGCAGCTCTTAAAGGCACACACGTTTTATCAGAGTTGAAATGAGTCTGTGACAGTTTACAGTCACAGACACAGAATGTGTGACTGCCTTTTCCTGAGCATTTCAATAAAGAATTTTGTGTGTGTGTGTGTGAAATTTAATAATGCCACTTTCTATGCAAACTACATTGTAAATAAGTACATTTATTTTAGGGGAAGACTTCTGGCTGCTTTGCAAAGTCTGGGACCTGGGAGCAGAACTGGGAACTGAAGGTGTGTCAGTTTTACCAGGAGTTTAACCTGGCTTCTCTGTGTCCGAGGCATTTTCTGTTGGACAGAGAGCCAGGAGTTGGTTTTGGTGGCAAAGGCTGGAACATCATCTTCTGTCAACAGTTAGTACACAATCTAAAAACGGTACTAACAAAGGCCTTTTTTAGCTAGAGGTAGACAGATCTATAAAAATAATAATAATAATAATAATAATAAATCTAAATTTGGCAAACAAGGACCTATCCCACTACTCAAGTGGCCAAATGTTTCTTTTTTTAATGCACCACACAGTTTTTAATGAACATTGGGAAAAATAAATAAATAAATAAACATTTTCTTACACTGTCATTTAAGGTAAAGTTTTTTGGACACATGAAAAAGTGGGAGGCTTAAACACTGGCATATGTACTGTTATTGTTTCCATAGTTGTCATTATTCTCAACATGGAGCTTATCCCTCCAATACACCGTTAAGAGTCTCTACATAACTATACACAATTAGTAATTTATATTTACTAATGCTGAAACCTCACACTCTTACTCATACATACACACTCTTACACACTTACACACACACACACACACACACACACAAACACACTTTACACCTTGTCTGTGCTCTGGCGCTGTATGCATTTGTATTGTGTTATTTTGTAATGTAGTAATTGTACTATCCTGTCTAATATCTGTGTGCATGTTGTATGCTGCAAAAAAAAAAACAACTTTATTTAAAAATACTATACTACAAATGTATTCAATGACTTGTGATCTTTAGGGCTGCAGGTCATCCAGTCAATTAATCAGTCAATCAAAATGTGTATCGATTTATATGATGATTTAATGAGATTATAATGATTTCTATGGGACAACAGCTGAAAGATGAAGTGAGTGAGTTAGGTGAAGATTTTGTATTTTTGGTATTTATATTTATAAAGCAGATTAAGTGCATTTAATGTGTTAAATAAATACAGTTTCTTAGTACTTTTCTGCATAAATAGTTGTTATTGTATAAACTCCTGTGCAGTTGTAGGGTGAATACAGCAGGGCATGTCTTCAGTCCACAAAAATATTTGACAGCAGCTAGAGCTAGTGATCGCCTCTCAAATCATACCGCCGTCGAGGTATGTTTTTCATGAGGAAACTACATTATAACAAAGATCAGAAAACAGTGTCATATATAAATCTATAAGGGCTCTGGAGTTGGTCATGTGATCTTCATCTTCACTGGTGGAACTTTAATGGCCGCCGCTCTCACCTGAGCCGTGAAGTCCACACCCAGAGGAGCCCTGAAAGACAAACCATGTATGTCAGATGACCTCCCATCCTCCCACAGCCATGTGTGTCAGATGTCCTAAGATCTTCCTACAACCCCGTGTGTCAGATGCCCTCCCATTCTCCTACAGCCCTGTGTGTCAGATGACCTCCCATCCTCCTACAGCCCTGTGTGTCAGATGCCCTCCCATCCTCGAGTACTTTTTTAAAATCATCCGTGTGGTTGGTGCTCTATCCAGTATTGAGACTTATAATTGGAACTACTATAATTGGGACTACTACTGTATGTCCTGTCCTCACAGCCTTAATCCCCATATTTAACAGAAATTGAGTAGTATTCAAAAACACTTCAAGTTTAATTAAAATAAAATCAATAAAAAAGACGAACTTTGGTTCATAGCGGATGTCCACATCAGGAGACAGGATTCCCTTCTTTTCTCTGAATCTCTCCACACCATTCCTGGATGAAAATATAAAAAAGCAACTAAATTATTACAATTATAATTTTACGTTAAGGAACTGTATGTGGCCTGCACTGGTGTATGTACCTGTACTAAATGGTGCTAAAATGTGATTAAAATCTAGAGCCTTAACCTGCAGACACATCCAACATTGTCTCATTCACAGTTTATGTTCAGGTCTCAAGTGAAAGTTCAAACCTCCAGAATTCCCTCACTAGGCATTTTAGGTTTAAACCAACTGGATTTCAGTATTGAGACTGGCAACCCAAATGAGACTCATGTGAGAATCATTCTGCTTTCTGATTTATAATCGTATTGAACCAAAACATAACATAACATATCATAAACAACAATGTTGCCATATTTGATTTGAACATGAAATAAAAAGGTTGAATATGTTTCCTTTAAATATGGAATAAAATGAACTAGTTTTGAATTGTCTCATTGAGGAACCTCACCAGGCGATCATGACCCCATTGTCAGTGCAGAGTTTTGGGGGAGGACAGAGCAGCCTCAGACCCTCTCTCTCTGTGATCACACTCAGGGCTTTTCTTATGTACTGGTTACTTGCCACTCCTCCAGACAAAACCTGAGACAGAACAGAGTAAAACTTTTTCTAAAATGAAATAAATAAATAAATTGCACTGGACACAGAAGCGTTTACAAGAATGTTTGCAGATCACTTTGATCTCAATAATAGAAATGAAGTACAATGTAAACAAAAGGAAAAAGTTTGTCTTGCCCCTATCTGGGACTATGACATCCAGATGATATCTTCAAATTGTCTTACTGAATATGTTAGTACACTGCCAAATTCCAATAGACAAGTTTGTTGAGATCACAAAAAAATTTATAGAGCTATGTAACTTTCTGGAGGTGGTATGTCAGCTGCCTGATTCAGTGGAAACACAAAGTTAAAACCATACACACATACATTAAAACTACGGGTGTCAATTGCGATTAATTAATTACAGTCATATTTAGCGCGTTATGTTTTTTAATCGCGTTAATCTCATTTTTAATCTCTAACTTTACTGTTTCTGTATGCGAGTTGCTTTATTATAAAACCTGTTTTTATGTGTTCTTGGGACAACAACACACACACACACACACACAAAACACATTTATACATTTTTTTATTTCGGTAATTCCACTCATTGCCGGAAACCCGCACAAAACGTGCGCAGCAACAGCGATGTAAACGTCATGTTAACGTTGGCGGCGTCAGTCGCACAATGGACGAGGTCGAAGAGCCAGTAGAACAGAGTCAGCAGTGCACAGCTAAAAACGCATTCGTGTCTTGGAAATTATTCTCCCGACGTGAAATATAAAAGAAAATAACAAATATAAAATCGCCTACAACTTAAATGTCACTGGTGAAAACAACCTGCATAGGCTCATGATGTCTGCACTACTGTCCTATAGTGACCTGCGACACGAGGGGACACGCACACAAACACACACACACAAACACACACAACACACACAAACACACAAAACACACACCTTCATCATCGTCATTAACCTGAGAACGCGCGGACCACGTTTCCTTCCGTAGTTACTGCGTGGACACCGACGTGCTCCCGTGAGCCGCGTGTGGATCGCCTCTAAACCAGAACTAACACCAAGACTAAAACCAGGACTAATCCAGTCCAGGACTAAACCAGGACTAAACCAGTCCAGGACTAAACCAGGACTAAACCAGAACTAAAACCAGAACTAAAACCAGAACTAAACCAGGAATAAACCAGGACTAAACCAGGACTAAACCAGGACTAAACCAGAACTAAAACCAGAACTAAAACCAGAACTAAAACCAGGTCTAAACCAGGTCTAAACCAGGTCTAAACCAGGACTAAACCAGAACTAACACCAGGACTAAAACAGGATTAATCCATTCCAGGACTAAACTAGGACTAAAGCAGGTCTAAACCAGGACTAAAACAAGGACTAAAACCAGTGATCTCATATATAAAGCATTTCTCTATCAATAATATTTTTAATATGGTTAAGGAAAGACTGGACTTTTTATTGTCTTTAAGTAGACAAAAGTTATTATGTTCAGATTTCCTCGTCTTTGCTGCTTTACAGCAAACAGTTTCTTATTCATGGAGACTTGGGCTCAACAGACAATTTGGAGAGATTTGTTAAACAATAAATGACTTTATAAAGTCACTTTTTCTATATCAGTCTTTTGATCTGCCACAATAATGTAATAATGAATTTAAATGAAAATACCTCAAATTGAAGGCTTTTCTCAGCAATTTTTAGGTGAGATTAAAATGAGATTAATGAGATTAATTAATTACAGATCATAATTAATTAATCTCTCAATTTTTTTAATCGCATGACAGCACTAATTAAAACCATAAAACCATAGTCAAAGGATCAAGCAAACCCACTCACAATAAAGACACATGTTTTTCTTGGAGCGGTAAACACAAGCTATTATTTTAGTCAATTTTTTTGCTAAAAAAGTTGAGTACTGTGGCTTTAAGTAATAAATCAATTTTAATCAAGGTTATAACACTGTTTTTCAGGAAAATTTATAGTTAAAAGGTGCAATCTTACAGATCTAACCTGTAACTTTGCCTGGTTGTTCCTGTTTTCATGGAGATAGATACTTTGGAACATTCTAAGTAAAGCAAAAAACTTCAAGAAATTCTACATATTGAACCTACAGAAATGGATATGGACCACCTTCTTTACTTGTCAGCAGCGACACCGTTCAAATGACTGCTTCTATTTTTTAGAGAATTTCAAGAGTTCATTGCTTGTTTCTCTCTGAAAATCTGACAACACTGATAGTTGTTAGTGTTTAAAGAGGAGAGTATTTTGCAAAATCGACTTTTTGAGCTTTCTACTATGTCTGAAAAAGCATGCCTGAGGAGGTTTTGAATGTCATCCATGCATGTTTGAAAATCAGTATTTTATCAATGTTTCCCTATTCAAACCCTCTTTATGGTTAGCTGTAAAATACTATGCAAGGGTCCACCCACAAGGACAAGGGTGGACAAGGGCCACACCCATGGTTCCAATTCTTCATTATTCATGATTCACAATTCTTCACAAATATACAAAAACATGATACAAAACAGGGGGGGACTCAGAGCATCAAAAATGAAAGTGAAACATATTAATATGTTGTATTTGGCAAATCTAACATTATCAAAACTATAAAAGGTAACAGCTAAATATGTGATGCGTTAGATGTTTTACCCTCTTTAAAGGACAGTGTAAAAAGTGTCATCTTCTCACCAAAGTAGGGTTCTGTTCGGGCAGTAGATGGTGTTTTTTGCAGAAAAGAATGGAGCGATGAGTCCGTTTGGTCAGATGGGCGCCGACAGTGTGCTGAGCCGAGGCAGCGAGATCATTCACACAAGACAACAGGGTCCCGGGCTCTACACCTGCAAGACGAGTTAGTGGGTTTCAGATGACATCACAACATTCTATAGGCCTATAACATTTAATACAGATACGTTTTAATGGCAAAGTGCAATGTAAACGTTGTAAAAGTTGTGTTCAAGTTTCTGAATTTAATGACTGTCACAAATGTACATTACTCTTATGGCTTAAAGTCCTTTCTTCTGAAAATAATCACATATTTCTTGTTAAATAATGACATCACTTTCTAAAGCTAAGAAAAAATAATGTAACTTTTGTTTATTTATCCCGATAACACCACATTCATATTAGACAATGTGGGTGAAGTGTCTTGGCTAAGGACACAATGACAGTTTTTTAACAACAGAAGTTTTTTAACACAAGAATCCATTTTGTGTGATGGAGGACATTCCAACCATCTGTAACTCTCACCCTCCTCCTCCTCTTGCTTCTTGATGGCCATAGACACCTGGTTTCTGAGTCCAGCGAAGGAGAAGTTACAGTCCAGAGTCTGTCCCATGGGAGTCGTGAACTTAAACCTGGTTGGGTCTCCGGTCTGAGCCAGGACTTCCACAGCCTGCCCCCCACTCAGAGAGGAGCAGAGGGGGTGCTTCAACAAGGAGAGGCGTCGGGCGATCTGCAGATAAACAAAAGGAATAATTGTACTAACTAAAAATAATGAAAGGATCAGGGCTGAACGATTTGGGAAAAAATAATGAATTGTGATTTTTCTGACAAGTATTAAGACTGAGATTCGATTTGTGATTTATACTTTAACAATAAGATTCTGTTTAAGGTTCACATTCTAAACGCGTCCAGAAGAACTGACACAAAGAAATCTGAACTGACAAACTATTAGAGAACATGTTTATACAAATCTAAACTACTGGGTTACAATTTTTACGTAGAATAAGACAGGAGATTTTTTTTATCTGTGGAGGAAATTAGCCTATCAAAAAAACTAAAGATGCACTAGTCCAGCTTTTTTCAGGTTCAGTATTCAGTTTTAAAGATGCACAATGTCACTTTTCCTGTGGAGGATATTCTATCTGCTTGTATCCATGGAGATGTTATTGTCTGGAATGTTCCACAGTATGACATTAAACTACGTATTACTTATTATTTAGTACTTATTTCTATTTTTTTTTATTCTGTACTTATAATAATGCTTATTGTCAATGGATTTACAGATTTTTACTTAAAAGAATATCTTCGCTTTGCTGTCCACACCTGTGTCTTTAAAAAAGACTGAATACATAAAAATAAATAAATAATATGGAGGCAAGCAGGTTAATAGAAGGTTACAGTTACAGGTTATAGGTTAATAATGTGGTACCAATCAAGGTTACTTGCTTAAGGTTAAGGTCAAATCTGTGGAGAGGCAACCCCACTCACAGTACGAATGCAGGTTTTTCCAAGCTTTTTGTTTTTTCTAACAATAAAAACACCTGTAATTGAAATGCAAAATAGATAGGTTTAATGGTTAAGGTTTGATTTACTGAGGACCATTCCAGACAAAGCATTAACATCTCTGTGAAGCAGGTGACAGACCCTCCACCAGAAACTTGCTACATTTTAGAATGGAAGACATCAAATATATGTTGGGAGACATACACGATTATGTAGCAAAGAAAAAAGTGAAAAATACAGTTAAATATGTTTTTATATTTTATTTTCAAGTCCTCAAAGTATCCACCCTTTGCTTTGTGGATGGCTGCAAACTCTTGGTCTTCTCTTAGCGAGCTTCTTGATGAAGTCTCTTGAAATGGTTTTCACTTCACAGCTGTTCCGCGGGTCAAGAAACGCCAAAAGTACAAAGCAATAATCAAAGCAAAGGGGGGACATTTAAGTTATCTGCAGAGTATTTTTTGTTCACAACATTCCACATGTGTCCCTTCATAGTTTTGAGGCCTTCAGTGAGAATCTACAATGTAAATAATCATGGAAATAAAAACAAAATGAAAATTTGTCCAAACTTTGACTGGTAGTGACATAATGCATCTCACCTTATCCAGTGTGTCTCCTGGCGCTTCATCCAATGAGTGTCCAAGCAGCAGAAAATCGTCCACGCCTCTAGCCACGGCGATGAGAGCGTGACCTCCCGAAATCAACAAAACCAGGAACGGAAACTCCACCTATTCAAAACACACACTGTAATTGATATTGTTTGACAATTTTTTATCTGTTTTTACAGTAAATTTGTGTGTAGTTGCGATGCTGTGAATGATTTTAACAGGCACTTTGAGATTTGTTTTTCAAATTTAAAGTGCATTACAAATAAAATATATATTTTTAGTAGTAGTTTTACCTGCTAGCGTTGTGACAATACTAAAATTTCAAACTCGATTTCAGTAATGAGGAACAGACTAGATCCTCAATGCTTAATCTGGTACCATGATTAAATACTCTTTCTTTAAACAACAGGATGCGATTTTCAGCATTTAATGGTAGTACTTTCTTTTCTATTCCCATGTGGTCTTACATCTGTGTAATCCCTCAGTGGTCCAGGTAGGTTCCATAGTGTTCATGGGCGTATAGTATAGTCTATGTGCTCTTATACTTGTTCTGACACAGCTCAAGATTCATTCTAAAGACATTCAGTCCTGTATGTAGTATCGATATTACTATTTACTTTTAAGTTTAGTTTTAGTATCGATTAGTATCTGAATATCGATCATTTTAACAACCTTATTACCTGCTCCTCCATCCTCACGGTCAGTGCGTGAGCTTCCATGTGATGAATGGGGATGAACGGTTTCCTGTGCAGCTTCACAAACTTAAGACTAAACTCCAGTCCGATCCCCAGACTCAGGGCCAGTCCGGGTTTTACTGTTGTGGCCACGGCTGATAGCTGGTGAGGAGAGACGCCGCTGAGAGCCAAAGCTTCATTCACAACACGCTCAATGTGCTCCCGGTGCAACTGCTGAGCAACTGTGGGGATGATGCCTCCAGTTCTGAAAATATACAAGAAAATACGCTGTGGCAGAGTGGTTATCCTGTCTTCCCCTTCCAGTAAGGAGGTTGTGGGTTAGACTCCTGATCTCTCTAAATGGAGTGTGCATGTTCTCCCTATGTCACTGTTACATCCAGTCTACTCTGCAGTGTTTTCCATGAGTAGAACAATGGCATAACAAAATCTCACTTTATTGTTCCTTGTATTGTCATTAGCATAGAAGTAACTACATTTAAATATAAAATACAGTCATTAAAGGGCCTATATTATGCTGTTTTCTGATCTGTTATAATGTTATTTCCTCATCAAAAACATACCCAGAGTTTTGTTTTGTTTCATTCACACAGGTTTAAAATACAAATTCAGCATATTTGGGCTGCGTTTTTCTTTCAGATAGATAACACTCTGTTCCATCTTGTGATGTCATGTGTTAATACAGGAAGTGCTCCACTGTGTTTTTAAACTCCGTGCACTTTCATTAGAATCATTTGAATATAACAGAATCATTCCTATATAACAATAACTGTAAGACTGATATGCACTCACTTTGTATACCTATGTTGCACTATACTTTTGTACTACTATTAGCTGTAATAAAAGTATTTTTAAAATTTAGTCAGACAAATAATACTCAGTAATAATAATACTCAAACATGTGTGAATGAAACAAAACACAACTCTGGGTATGTTTTTGATGAGGTAGCATTATAACATGACTTAAAGATCACAAGAATCCATTTTGTGTAATGTAGGACTATGGCTGTGCAATTAATAACATTTTGAATGCAATTTCGATTAGGTATTTGAGATGATCTCCAAACTCATTTAATCAGGTTGAAATGAAAGCTTAACTGTTTATTTGGGAATTTTAAAAATATAAATAAGTATATTTATTCTAGAAATATGTAGAAAAGCTGGATATATAGTTACATAGGATACATTTATGTTTTTCTATGATTTATTTCATGTTCAAAGTATATTTTATTCATTTTATGCTTTATACATCACAAAACTGCCCTAATTTGTACCCTATATTGCTTTTCCTTTTGGAAATTTTGTGTAAATTTTCAATAATAATAAAATTTTCGATAATTTTTTTTTTTTTTTTTGAGAGAGAGAGAGAAATACTGAATAAATACATTGTGTAACTAAAAAAAAAATAATCGTTTGAATAAGTCATTTCAATATTGACCGAAAATAATCGTGATACGTGATGATTCCCCCCCCTACTCCCCCCTGCTATGTGTATTTCAGCGCATTCCTTAGACTCCAACAATCATTCATTTTTTACCTGAGATGAACTTCCTTCTGTGAGTGTAGGGACTCCCCGAGGACAGTCCCGTTGAGATCCAGTACTGCAGCCCCGGTGTCATCGCAACTCGTCTCGATTCCCAGCACCAGAGAGGAGGCTTTGGCACGGCTCTGTCTGCGCACACAGCCGCGTCCGAACACTCCAGCCCGGCGTAAGATTGACCGAAACATGGCTATAGTTACCTCAGCTTAGCTCTTCAAGGTTAGTTCATGCTTTAAACAAATATTTTGTATCACAATCGCAAGCAAAACTACTTTTCTATAACATTGCATACATCGAAACATTAGCTAAATATGTAAATAAGTGTTTAACATGTGTTTTTCATTGTAAATGGTCAAAAAGTTGCTCAAATAAGTCCATCCATGCTTTCTGTTTTTCGGTGTCACACAAAAATAAACCCGAGTTGAAAGTAATTAATCACATTGGTTCTACAAGCGATCACACAACACACACACACACACACACACACACACACAATAATAATAATAGATCTCATGTAACTTGAATAATTACTTATTTTAAGTATGTGTATTTAAAAAAAGATAATGGCATGTATTTTTTAGTCTGGGGTGTTAAAAATGTTACACTTTTAGACGGACATTTTCCACTGTTGCACCAAAGCGGAAGCAGGGCAATCTCATGGCGTGGAGTTTGGGAAGATTTGCTCTGTTTCGGTTTTGTCATTAAAAAACGTCGAAAGGACAATAGGTAAATGAATATTCTTACTCTATCCATTATTTCCTCATTGTGCGCATTCGTGTCATGCATTTGGATGAATTGATGCTTCCCAAAATGTCTATTTGGTGTGTTAGATTGCCAATGTTATGTCAAAACGTGGTAAAGTATAGACATTCAAAGCTATCTCAAGATAAATTAAATAATGTAATGCATTCGACACCTTCTTGGGTACAATTTTGTCCCGCAATGGGGCTGATGATTTAGTAATTTATTCCACTGAGAGTGATTCACAGTTTTGTAAACTAAGCCTTCCTTCAACTACCTGTTTGGTTCCTGATCTGCTGATACGTTTATTTAGTGAACGTCGCTTAGATGGGGAAAATATTATTGACTCCAAAATTTGTCAAAATTTATTATACATTTATACTTTTATTAGGTTTATTTGTGATATTTTCATTGTCTCTTTCTAAAATGTATCCATTTGAAATTTAAATGTTTAAAAAAAATTTGGACAAGTATTACGATTGTGATTTGATTTTATAGTTTGAAAAGACTGATATTAACAGCAAGTGTTCAATTAATTTCAGAATGCTATGAGAGGTTTAAACTATAGGTACAACAAGATTTCTCTATTAAAGGTCCTAAATTACACAAAATAGACTCTTGTAAGCTTTAACTTAAGACCTGTTAGAATATTGTTACCTCCTCAAAAACATATCTGAAGTTTGAGTAATCCTTTATTATTAGTCTGTCTACATCTCCAAAGCTCTAAATGCTCTGTTCCACCTTATGATGACAAGAAGTGGTAGTTGAAGTGAAGCAGATGAAGTTAACGGCTACTTTTATCTTTTGTCCACTAGAGATTGGCAATTCCAGGTCTTAAATTAAATCCAATTGATTTTAGTGAAGGTGTATTGACTTGAAAAACACAGTGAAGCACTTCCTGATATGACATCACAAGATGGAACAGAGTGTTTTCAATATAAGAAAATAACTCAACTACGCAGGCTTTGTGTGTTAAACATGTGAATGAAACAAAACACAACTTCAGGTCTGTCTGTGATGAGGAAACAATATTTTAACATTGATAAGAAAATAGTGTTATATAGGCCCTTTAAAAGACAGAATAATTAGTTAATTCCAGAGGACATTTTATGATCTAAGTATTTTTTGGACCAAGTGAAATTGCAATTTTAGTTCACTTTTGAGTAATAGTACAACCCCTCAGTTCATTCCTCAGCAGGAAGTGAAGACAAGGAACTCATTTGGCATTTTATCTTCCCAGCGAAGCCATGGACGAGACACCATCTTGTATTTGTGAAGATCTGAAGACGTTTATCGTAACCTCTGCTCCTCCGGTGGTCTATTACATCCCTGATTTCATAACAGAGGAGGAGGAATCGTACCTGCTTCAACAAGTTTACAAATCTCCCAAAACAAAATGGACACAACTTTCGGGCAGACGTCTTCAAAACTGGGGAGGACTTCCGCACCCAAAAGGAATGATCACTGAAAAGATACCGGAATGGCTGCAAACGTACTGTGAAAAAATCTCACATCTTGGTGCATTTAGCGGCAAAACGGCTAACCATATTTTGGTCAACGAGTACAAAGCAGGAGAAGGAATAATGCCACATGAAGACGGACCACTGTACCACCCAACTGTGACGACGATAAGCTTGGGATCGCATACATTACTAGACTTTTACAGTCCGATAAACAGTAGTTTACAAGAGGGGCAACCACCGCAGACAGAAGAAAACCGCTACCTGTTTTCGTTGCTGGTTAAGCCAAGGAGTTTGTTGATTTTGCAAGAGGACATGTACACATCACTGCTACACGGGATACAGGGAAGCGAAGAGGACGTGCTGTCGGAGAAAGTGGTGAATTTGGCTGAAGCTGGAGGAGAAACAGGAGATACCTTGAGCCGAGGGACCAGAGTTTCACTCACAATACGACATGTGCCAAAAGTCATCAAGAACAAGCTTGTGCTGGGAAGAAAGTAAAGTTTAAAAAAGTACAAATGTCTCGTAATATATTTCCTGTGATTAATGATGCTTTGCTGTGCCACTGTCAAAAAAGTTTTAACATAGCCTGAAAGCTTAAGAAAGATACAACATGGATTTAAACAAATATTTGAGCATTCACGGTCCACCTAAACAGGACCATGAACACTCATACTGAGTGTTCATGCTGAGCGTTCATACTGAGTGTTCATGGTCCTGTTTAGGTGAGAGTGGCTGGCTTGAGACTAATGTTAATTTGCACAAATCAGCTCATTTGTTATAATCCCAGTAAATCAGATCTTTATGGTCAGATTATGGTAAAAGTCTTCACTTAAGTATCATAGCTTCAGACAAAGCAGTGCCTACAGTTAGCATCACCCCTAGGGAAGGTTGATGACATCAGCTGCAAAGTATCAGTTGTGAGAAGGAACATTACATTCTCACAACATAAAAACGCGTGAAATCAATTACATTTTTGCATACCTTTATTTGTAATGAGCTCCTTGATAAAAATAAATGTTTTTTTGTTGTTGAGATGGAATCCTGAACCTGAACACAAAAATGTAAAAATGATTGAAAGTGAAATAACTTGAATTTGAAAACTGAAAAATTTTACTTTCAACATTGTTGAGATGTTAAAACTAATGCACTATTAACTCTGTAACAAAATGTTTAAGATCTAAGTGATATTTATACTTGTATAGATGTAGATTGCTGCAGTCTAGATGCCTTTTTTGCATTCCTTAATCCTTTATTGCATCTTCATTACACTACATTACACTGAGCAGTTTATTGTTTGATATACTGTAACTAGAAAGACACAGAAAAAATTGCACTGTAAACCTTTTACCATTTGCATCAGGCTTTGGTATTTCATTATTCTTACTTGTCAGAGGAAATATACCATATGCCATATTCAATAAAGCTTTAAATTTTATGTGTGAGTCTGTGATTTTTTTTTTAGGCACACACAAGTTTGTAAAGGAAATCTCTGGTTTAGAAAAACCTCATAAAAGTCTCTTGAATGAACCAGAGCTAAGTCAAGAGGGCGATATCAGAACCAGATCCTGACGCAAGACTAGATGCCTTCAATGGAGCTAAACAGTCCTGCCCTCTTCATTGTTCACCCTGGTTCCGAAGTAAATTTTGTATACATTTTTCTCATAGATAAGAATTTAAAAATGAATGAGAGATTCACATGTGGAACTACAGGTGGGCTGTTATTGAGCTCCATAGCTGTCCATACTTCTATAACTCTAAAACCCTTTACTACTGGTCCTGTTCATCTGTCAAGTAAAGTCTGACTTTCCAAAATGTACTCAAGACTGAACAATTTAAAGCCACAGTATGTAACTTTTCAGTCAAAAATACATCCATCCACACAAATGTCAGTTTGTGGGGGGTAAAAAATTTAGAAGAAAAGTTCAAAAGTTCTTAAACAGAATCTTTACCCACATCATCAACACTGAAAATTCTCTCAAATTCTGGCACTTTAATTTTTTTTGTTTTAACAAAATAAATCTCTAATGTTTTAGTGTTATCTTTATTAACATCTATCATTATTAGTCTAATCATAACTTTATTTTAGTTATATATTATAAGCTTGGGCCTTATTAACATCATTGCTAAGTAACATGGAGATCAGCAGTGACCGCCAAATCCCTGGTTTTGGAACTAGATTGCTTATTTTCCCCACAGACATTCTGAAAAATGTAAAAAAATATATATAAAATTTGAAAGCTCAGGGCTAATCTCTGTGGTAACTAATGAGCGCAAGACTTGAGATATTATTTAAAATCTGTTTCTGAAATTTTAAAAATTGCTAAGTTATTAAAGCATTTCACTGAATCTTGCATTTTACATGCACATTTTGGACTTGAAACAGCTGTGTTACAAATGTTCTTGAACTTCTTTTTTTTTTTTCGAGGTGGATTTGGAAGCATGGAGCCTGAGAGGAAACGGTTCAAGATCTCACATTGTGACATAGCGTCGTGGGAGGCTGTTCCTGTTCTGTCAGATGAACTTTCCCAAGACATCGAACTCATCGACGCCTTCGCCGCCCCGATTCTGGACAAAAAACAAACTTCAAAACTGGTCCTCGAACTCAACGCCATGCACCCGCTCACCAGCCTCCCTCATCTGAAGCGCGTCCGTCCTTGCAAAAACAAGGACTCCCTACACTCTTTGGAGATTCTAATTTGCCTGGATAACAGCACAAATGAACCGTGTACTTTCGACTATTCCAATTTAGGTCTCGGTGAACCTTTTGCAGTGAAAATTCCTCGTACGGCTCCTTTGACTCGGCCACAGTTTGAACAGGCGAGCAAGCACTGGCCGACATCTTTCCACGAGGACAAACTGGTGACCACAGCTTTGAGGGGCGAACTTTTTAACGCCAAACAAAAAACGAAAATGCAAGATTACATGACGCTAGCAGTCAATTCCGCAAAAGAGGGGAAAAAGCTTGGAATGAATGCTGTCGGAGCAGTCATCGTTGACCCAAATACTGATAAAATTATTGCAATAAGTCACGATTGTAGCAAAGATCACCCGCTTCAACACGCTGTAATGGTTTGTATAGATTTAGTGGCGAAAAGTCAAGGTGGAGGTTGCTGTTCTTATGAGAAATACCCAGGTTGCAAGTTCATTTCCCCAGATTTGGAAAATGGCGCGCCCCAACCGTATATTTGTACAGGGTATGATTTGTATGTGACGAAGGAGCCGTGCGTTCTGTGTGCGATGGCGTTGGTACATTCCAGAATCGGACGGGTTTTCTTCGGGATAAGTTCGGAAGATGGAGCGATGGGGACGAAGTTTAAAATTCACACGCAAAAAGATCTGAATCACAGGTTTGAGGTTTTTAAAGGGGTCTTGGCTCGAATCTGTAAAGAACTAGACTCAATGGACGAGATGAAGTCAATGGAAAACCAGCAGAAGAATCCCGCAATGTAATCTAATGGGTTAGGTTTAAAACTTTTATTTTTGAACAAATGTGTATATGCATGATGGACAGTTGATTCTTTGCAATGACATACTACTGGGGTGTTCTACATGTATATCTATTGGTGGAATGTTTAGCAGTTACTACGGTGACACAATACACATATTAGCAAATGCTGTCAAAAATGTTTTAAAGGCGCATCATGTTATGTTTCATTTGCAGGGTCCTTCAAAAGCTTTTCTCCATGGAGATGTTATTGCTTTGTCTGGAATGTTCCACAGTATGGTATATAAACCTTCTATCTTCATGGAGACTAAACCAGACCAAGTTAGAGGTCAGATCCTCACTCACAGTCAGGATGCCTGTTTATCAAGGTGTTTTTGAGCTCTAAAGCCACCTGTAATTGAATAAATGTAAGATAGAGGTGTTTAATGTCATACTGTGGAACATTCCAGGCAGAGCAATGACATCTCCACAGAAACAAGCAGGTGATGATCCCCCAACCAGAAAAATTACACAATGCATTTTAAGTACTTTACCACTTTTACTAAGTTATGTTCCACCACTGAACTTTATTACTTACAAAAAGATCTTAGTATTTTTTTCATTGAATAAAATCTGACTGGTTGTAAAAATGCACATACCTGCCACCAGGCTAATCAACGACAAGCCCAGGAGAAGGTGGAGCATATTGGAAAGGACCAATCAAATCACAGCTATGAACACGCAAACAAACAATCAAACAAACATCATTGGGGTTGTATTATTTTGAATGGGGCTGCTGATCTTGACAGAAAATAAGTTGTATCTGGATCATAAAGTTGTTTTAAAGCCCCTCAGAGAATCAGTGCAGTGTACACAAGAACATTTTACACAAATGAATCTACTTTATGTCATATTTAAAATTCCATTAACATGAATGGGATTCTTGTTTAACAGGAGCATTTAGAGACAAAAGTGGGGGGACAGTTGCTCATTCTTCAACAGGCTCCTACAGCTCTACTCAAACAGTGAGGGATACAGGACTACATTCACACCATACTTCATACAACCATACAGTGGTGGATGAAAAATGTCTTATGTCTTGTTTTATAAGACACAAGCCAATGCGTTGTTATTATTATCATTATTATTATTATTATTATTATTATAAAAAGTGTGCATGACAAAAACTCTCAAACCTGCAAACTGCCCTAGCAAGACTGCAAATCAAGAAGAAAGTACTGGGAAACTGAGTAAACATTTACTCACAGTGCCCAATTTTATCTCTTTAATCTGCCTTTTTACATATATACATAAAAAAAAAAATCATCTTGAGTTAGATCGCTCACTCATTAAATTCTCCTTTTCTGTTGTACCATATAAATCTTTATAATTGACATAAAATGATTATTCGACTAAGACACCATCAAGTGCTTAATAAAGTGACAGACTAAAGGACTAGAGCCCTACCATGAGCCCTACAGGGGAGAGACTACAGCTGTTCCCTCAATAAAACGTCCCCATAATGTCAGAAAATGCAGCCATACAGAGCGTGACTGCAGGTTAAGCACAGTGGAATATATGATACTGGATTATATAGCCCAGGTCAATATGTGCTGCTCAGATTGTCTGATTACACAGTCAAATTCACATCTGAAAGGCTGTAGTGGACTAAAGAAATGATTCATGTATTCATGATTCACTAAACCCATGTCGACTAAAAATGGGGTGGGAAAAAAGCTTTCAAGACTATTACGTATCTCTATCTGACCGACCCAAACTGCACTCACAAGATACACCTGCACAACTATTTATGGGGGGAAAAGTAGGAATGCAATGTATTTGTATAAAGATGGTTTAAATTTCTGAATCAAGAGTTTAGTCTGCCTGTTCACAGATAAATATTGAGCTGGATCGAGTTGTGTTCAATCCACGCATCAATTTGAATTTACATGTAAATAATCAAATATGTGTTTATTGGTGTAACTGAATGTATGATTCTGTGAGTCTTCTTCATCCTGTCCTCAGGGCTTAATACTTTTGCTTGTTTTGATTAATAAACCACACAAATGAATTTGGGTTTTAAGTCATTTTAGGATTAGTTTAGTTTGATTTTATATAAGATTTTGGTTTTATTCATGTTGCAGGTCTTTCCGAGGGTCCAGGGCTGTGTGAAAAGACAGAACCTGAATATTATCGTCACATATCGTGCACATTTCTGTTTTTTAACAGAAGACGATAAGCAATTAGCAATTAGATGCTGAAATGACACTACCATCCCGACAGCCCATTTACTCCTGTTTTCACTGGGACCAAGTCAAGTAAGTCTCAAGTCTTTAACCTCAAGTCCGACACAAGTCCAAGTCAAGTCAAATACAGGCCTACTAGTACTAGCATATACTGTAAAAAGAAGTCGACTAAGAGAGTGTGATGTCAGTCATAGCATTCAGCACCGTAAAGCAATGAAAAGCATAACTTGCCTCTTTTTTATTAAGTGGTCTATTTTCAGTCGTTATTTTAGATACTACTACCATCACTACTACTAACACACTGTGCTGTGCCAAAGAGTCACTACAATTGTCGAAATGAGAATGCTTTAAAGGAGCTTTCCCTTCACTCTAGTCTAAAACTGACCCCTTTACAAACAAATAGGAAACATTAAATCTTCCTCTATTTGAACACGGACCAAAACTCTCATGAAATCATCCCAGAGCTCTGATTGTGTCAGTAATCTCCATTTGAAAGTGTGAGCTAAACCTGTCTACAGCAGTACCACAGACCACCAGTGGATGGCAGCAACACGCCACCGTGCTCCTAGAGTCTGTGCAGCATGGATCTATTATAAACATTTGATTATTATACTTCTATGGTGTAGAGCATGGATCTATAATAAACATTTGATTATTGTACTTCTGTGGTGTGCAGCATGGATCTATAATAAACATTAGATTATTATACTTCTATGTGCAGCATGGATCTATAATAAACATTTGATTATTATACTTCTATGGTGTAAAGCATGGATCTATAATAAACATTAGATTATTATACTTCTATGTGCAGCATGGATCTATAATAAACATTTGATTATTAGACTTCTATGGTGTGAAGCTTGAGCCTTAAAAACTGTTACACTCTATTTCGGATGTTAATGTGAACATTTTGTTAGTACTGTAACCTGAAGTCTCAGGTTAAAAGATCTAAAAAAGATTAAAAAATAAAAAAATAAAATAAATAAATAAAATAAAATAAATAAAAATAACAAGAATTGAAAGAACAGTCAAAACAACAGTTTGTTTATGTTCAAACAGTTTAGCAATTTAGCAACTCAAATCTGAACTGACGTTCGCTTTTACCAACCGCTAACGCTAGCAGCGCCGCTAACGCTAGCAGCGCCTAACGGTAGAGCAGAGGCGGACACCGGTAAAACAAATATGGCAAATATGTCCGAAGGGTTTAGAGCTTTTGTGGAGGAGAGGCTGGGTGCGGATGCTGAGGGCATATGTGCGCTCTTTCAGAACATAGTAGCGGACTATGAGGAAGAACTGCGCTGCACCCAACTCGAAAACCAGAAGATCCAGCGGCTCCTGGACTCGGCTCTGAGGGCTCTGAGCCCGAGAGTTGTGCTCGTCACAGCCGGTAAGTCTTCTGGATCCTTCTCAATCCTATTATTAGCCCATGGGTGTTAAAAAAAAGTATGAAGAACGCAGAAACCAGCTCGTTAGAAACATGCGCCATGGTTCTAACGGCAGAAGAACCTGTATGACTCCAAATCACTTCAGATACTGACTCAAACGTATTTACAACTTCATGGACAGAAAAGACACCCCATCACCCTTAAAGTAAAAGTAGGGTGACTATTCACCCGGGACAGTCCCAGTTTTGAGCACTTTGTCCCCTGTCCCCTCAGATATATTCAAAAGTACTGATTTGTCCCATTTTTATACAAGAAATCCCTGGTGTCCCTATTTTTGATCAATCTGATCCCTGCCAACAGTAAAGAGAGGCATTGATTGCCATTTGCTTAGATAAAATACAGAAAAGCTGCTTACAAATGACCAAAACACAAAGAAAATCTGACTATACTGACTCGTGTTAGTCATGAATGGGCCGAGTGCAGAACCTTAATTACTCCTTAATTACACACTTATTTCACAATTTTATTGTTACCAACTGTGACCGGAGTGTCTTGCCCTCTCATTTTTATTTCAATGACCCACGGAAGCTGCTGGAGTTTGGTGTGACAGCAGTTTATTCTGCACAGAATATAGAAAACAGTTGTTGTGAATTGATTTGTAGTGGACATTCATCTTGTGTTTCATCTCGTCTCGAGTTCTCCATAGCAATGAGTAGTACATGTAATAATATTCAGGGTATTACAGCATTTAAGTCTTTTACAATATAGTAATAACAAAAATAGAACAGCATTACTCGATACTTTGTAAATAGTTCTTGTGACTGCATAGTGGATTTTCATAAAACAATAATATAAAATAAAATGCATTTTTTCCAATGGGCAATTTATATCTGTACTTTTAATGTAATTAGCCTGTCTGTCATGTTTTTTATATTTTCTATCTGTAAAGTGCAACGCACTTAGAATATAACCAGATATACATTAACATGAAACATTTGTACCTTACGTACCTGCACAGAATATAGAAAACAGTTGTTGTGAACTGATTTGTAGTGGACATTCATCATGTGTTTCATCTGTAGAAAACAAGTCATTTATTAGCCGCTAGCAAAACTAAGAAAAACAGAGTCATATCAAATATAATGTAAACAAACTTCAGCAGATCATGGCCAAACAAACATAAAATAGCTCCAGTACAACACACAACTGTCAGCTTAGCAATAAAATAACTACACATGAGTGAATTAATATTTTTGTCCACACAATTTCCCAGCCACGTTACCTCGTCTCGAGTTCTCCATAGCAATGAGGAGGACTCAGAGTTCGCGTGAGTTTAGTGAGTGCAGATACGGTGGACACCAGGACATGGTGCTAGTTCACAATTCAGAAGGATTTAACAACGTTCATATTAACTATGTTACACAACCACCAATCCCAGTTTTTGAATTTGAAAATCTGGTCACCTTGAGTAAAAGACTACAGACAAGTTCACAGAGTGTTCATATCACAAGACTACACATGTTTGTGTAAATGTGTATTCTCTTGTCTCCTGCAGCTGTTCATCTCCCCTCTCCAAGTCCTGATCTGACTCCACAAATTAAAGAAGAACCCAGCATCAAACAAGAGGACAATCAGCTGCAAGTGTGAGTCTCAAACACTTTCAAACTGCAGTTTCTTTAATTTGTTAATCATTCTTATTCATGTCTATTACAAATATTCAGATTGAAATGTACCTTCAATTTGTATCTTCTATTTTTCAGGTCTGTCCCAGAGTTTAGTGCTGTGAGCGTGAAGACAGAAGAGTCCTCACTGCTTCAACAAAGACAAACTGAGCAGAGAGAGGACATACAGGGAGAGGACATCAGTGCAGAGACACACGTCCACTTAGAGACAGAGGGGGAAACAGGTCACTCTTCTGACACTGACAGTGATGAAGACTGGAGAGCTCCACTCAACTGTTCACCTGCACACATGGACACAGGGGCTGATGAAGACCACCGCAACCAAGACCAGGCCAGAGGCAGAAGCACCACTGCACAAAACCCACGTCTGTCCCCCAAATCCAAGTCTACACCAGAGACCAGAGCCACTGTGGACAATGGAGACATGTCAGGAACTGGCAAAGGAGCTGAGAGTAGGAAACACAAGTGCTCTGTTTGTAAAAAGAGATTTGTCTCTAAATATAAACTGCAAAAACACAGGAGAGTTCATACAGGGGAGAAACCATTCAGCTGCTCAGTCTGTAAGAAAGTGTTTGCTGTAAGCTCTACTCTCAAAACACATATGAGGACACACACAGGGGAGAAACCATTCAGCTGCTCAGTCTGTAAGAAAGAGTTTGCTGTAAGATCTACTCTCAAAAGACACATGAGGACACACACAGGGGAGAAACCATTCAGCTGCTCAGTCTGTAAGAAAGAGTTTGCTGTAAACTCTGCTCTCAAAACACATACGAGGACACACACAGGGGAGAAACCATTCAGCTGCTCAGTCTGTAAGAAAGTGTTTGCTGTAAGCTCTACTCTCAAAACACATATGAGGACACACACAGGGGAGAAACCATTCAGCTGCTCAGTCTGTAAGAAAGAGTTTGCTGTAAGATCTACTCTCAAAAGACACATGAGGACACACACAGGGGAGAAACCATTCAGCTGCTCAGTCTGTAAGAAAGAGTTTGCTGTAAACTCTGCTCTCAAAACACATACGAGGACACACACGGGAGAAACCATTCAGCTGCTCAGTCTGTAAGAAAGAGTTTGCTGTAAGCTCTTATCTCAAAATACACATGAGGACACACACAGGGGAGAGACCATTCAGCTGCTCAGTCTGTAAGAAAGAGTTTGCTGTAAACTCTGCTCTCAAAACACATACGAGGACACACACAGGGGAGAAACCATTCAGCTGCTCAGTCTGTAAGAAAGAGTTTGCTGTAAGCTTTCATCTCAAAAGACACATGAGGACACAGCATAGACTGCATATATAAATTAACATAGCTAATACTCTAGGCGCTGTGTTCCAAATATTTCGGCTCCTACTCACCCTGGCTCCCATTGATTTACACTGGAATATTGGGGCCCCTCTCTCTGTAACTGCTGCTGTGAGCCTCTTCGTTTTGTCCTTAAATGTTTGTATTAATCCATTACATGATTCTGGTGTTTTTTGCACTATTTAGTTTGTTATTTGTTGTTTGTTCAAAATACTTGCTCCTAATTTGTTCTTTGGAGCAGAATTCAGACTGTGAAGGATGACATTTTCATAATTATTTGTGTTAAAGGTACACTATGTAACTTTTCTGGCCAAGATGTTAAAACTTATATCAGGTTATTCATCTTGTTTTCAGATTTATTATCTACTTACCAGTTCTGAAAATACTTAATTCTAGTCTAGAGGTAGTTTATTTTAAGAGAACTTGTCAAGTAAAATTATCGGTCCATGCAGCAAAATAATTTCACCACTTTTAAGTAATTTTCTGATAGATTTAAGTGTTTATATCTTAAGCTTTTTTGCAGTGTGCATGTCTCCTTGTACATACAATTGAAATATTCGACAGTACGGATATGCACTTTTGTATTTGTCACCAAAAAATGAGTAGCTCACAAAATAGATGCATTTAAAGTCCTACTGTGGAACGTTCTAGGCAAAATTCTAACATTAAAATAAAGACAGAAATAGCACATGGTGCACCTTTTATTTAATGTAATATTTAATTCAGCATTTTTGAAGATTCTAGAAGATTTTTATTTCATGATCCAAGTCTGTTTTTGATTCTTTGTTAGACGAATACATTTTTAAACCAAGTGATTTTTCCTGTTTTAATATGAACATTTGAAGTTATAAAATATTTTTCCGCAGTGTCTGCCTTTTGTTTTTGATACAGAAGTTCTGCACTGACAATTTGATTTGAAAAATGCCCCTGAACATTCTGACTGAGAGGCGCTGAGGTACAACTATGGGCTCCACCACAGACTAAATGTGTTTCTTTGATTTGTTTCTCCTTTATTTTTATCCACAAAGCCATTTTCCGCAACACAGACTCAGAAATATGTGATTTAAGGAGAGAAAGGTTCAAAATGGTCTGATCCAAAGTCTCTATCAGTGATAAAAGTGTATGTGTGTGCGGTAGTCCTGTAGTGTAACTGTTCTGATTTTCTTCCGTTTACTTGATTTTCTTGTTTCAGATGTCAGGTGCAAACTAAATATTGTGCAGAGTTGTGGACTTTGATATTGTTTTTTTTAAAACTGGAGCAGCTTTAGATTTTGTGTTTTGAACTTTTATGGGAGAAAATGTCTTTACTCACCACTAACACTCACTGTGATGTCATCTGCATAACCTGTGTTCTGTTAGGATTTATTAAAGCTACCACAGCATTTCTACAAACATGTGCCCACGTTGGCTTTACATTCTTGAAATAGTGTCATTATTTAACACATGACTCGAGCACAAACTGGCCTCAACTATTCTAACACGATTAAGAAAAGTATGAAGAGAGAGGATGAGCTGTGGGCAAAACAAAGCCTGAAATCCAACTGCCTTGAATCACATCCCGGACATCTCACTCACAATATTTGCAATTAAGAAAACTCTACAGATAGAAGTGATTTATTACACTATTTTCTGTTCTATGTTCTAATGTTGTTTCCTCATCACAAACAGACCTGGAGTTGTGTTTCACGAAAAAAATAAATAAATAAAAAAATCACACAAAAACACATTTAAATACAACTATTTTATTCACTTTCATATGAATCAGTTTGTTACCCATTTACAAAACATAAACACTATAGTACCTACACTCTAGGCACCACTGGCACCTAGTTTTAATGGAAAGTAAACATGTTGAAAGTGGAACAACCCAGTACACGTGACCAGTCAAACGTTTGGACACACCTTCTCATTCAGTGTGTTGTTTTTCTTTGCATCTAAAATGTAGAAAGCAGTAAATATAAAACAGAAGGCGTGAAATATATGAAGCAACATACATGGAATTATATAGAGAAGAAAACAAGGTAAATAACTCAACTAGATTTTTTTTTTTAATATTTCATTCAAATCCTCAAAGTATCCAGCCTTTGTTTTGTGGACAGAGCAGTAACCCCTTGAGCTTTTGATGAAGTCTAATGAAATGGTTCACACTTTACATCTGCGTCACGTCAGGGTCAAGAAACGAAAGGCAAATGTGCAAAGTAGTGATTAAAGCAAAGGGTACCTTTTTACAGTTTTTATATCTTTTTGTACAAGTGGACAAGTTTCTTTTTTTGCTGCAGTCCATAGTTTTGTTAGCCTGATTCATCACTTCGTGGAAACCGCAGTGTTAGGATTTGTTCGCTCGATGTTAGGTGGGTACTTTTTTTTTAATTTAACCTCTATCACTGCTATTTGGTTGTGACGTATGTAATGCGCCGCTAACTGGTATATTAAGCTTTTCCCAAATCCCGTTAGGTAGAAGGGCAATAACGTCTTTCAAGTCAATAAAATTCACCAAACATTCTCTTTGTTCCGGCTTTAAATCCTCAATCTTGGGAATCGTTGTCAACAGAATGTATGGCTTTTCGCTGATTGGTTGGCTGGTGCCCGAACTCACACTTCCGGGGCTTTGTGAACCGTCTAGCGTATTCTGATTCCTGACTAGTCGCTGGAGAGAAATGAAATTGAGCAGAGACATTAGGTCAAACATGTCAAACTTAGGCCCAAGTACCAAATTTGGCCCGTGATATAATTAGAGTATTATGTATTAGAGCTGCCCACCGGCTACAGATAGACTATAGAGACATTATTTATCTAAAATGTTATTTTATATTCTGCTTGTTCTGGATTCAATGTTTAAGCAAAAAAAAAACTATTATTAAACATTTATTTTAATAAGAAAAGGTTTAACATTACATATCTCAAAAGAAGAGAAAACATGCAGATGCTGTTCAAATTTTTCAATAAATATTTAGTTTGGCCCACGACTTGGTCCCAGTTTTTAATTTTGGCCTCTGTGAATTTGAATTTGTCCGCCCTGCATTGGGTGGTGCCAGCCTGGCTATAGTTTTGCTGCCTTCAGTGAGAATCTACAGTGGAAATAATAATGGAAATAAAGAAGAAACATACATGAAAAAGTGTGTCCCTTTTGACTGGTCATGTAAATGTGAGGACAAAAATAACACAAAATGCCTTAGACCTGTCCCAGGCCAGCCCGGGACAGCTCGGGCTAAAAGTACATAATTACATTCACATGAGTTCGTAATGCTTATGGCAACCAGTCGTTTGATACTAGATACAGATCCAGACTGAAAGTGCGTATGACAGGTTTTCACATTTATTTCATTAGAACTTGGTTTGGTGGGATTGTACCTGTGGTCATTTTGTGGAATCAAATGGAGGTCAGCAGTGACTGTCCACACCCCGGTTCTGGAAGTAAAATTCCCGTTAATTTTTCCCCACAGACTCTGGGGAAAAAAAACATTAAAAGTTTGAATGATCTGAGGAAACTAATGACCAAAAGTCTCATCATTTCATTTAAAACCCATTTCTGAAACTTGTATTTAGTTATTAAAGCACTGCACATAATCTTGCTTTTTAAATGTGCTGTCTGTCTTTGAGCTCTTAACATTAGAATTTTTCACAAAGCCTGTGGGAAAAATGTACTTTCAGAACCTGAGTGGGTGGTCACTGTTGAGCTCCATAGTTGACAATACAGGAAGCAGCTGTGAAAAACAAAATCCCTGTACCTACATCGTCAGAAAATTCCATCAAAATTTTATGACAATTTACGCGCAAGAAACACATTTTTCTGACAGTTTACACATTCATTTGTCAAAGTAAAAGGTGTTGTAATTTATTTTCAGTCCTCGAATCATAACTATTGTGTAAATTAGAGGAGTTCTAGTCATTGTTTATAGTATTGTAGTGGTTGCTAGGTAACAGCTATGGAGGTAAAATCATAAACCTCACCAAAACTGTCAAATTAGGGAAAACTAAGCAAGATTTTCGGTCAAATCTCAAATATTATGATGTGAATTATATATGAAGAGATTGTGCAGTCTAACCTGTCATAGGCACTTCAACAGGGTAAGATATGAACAAGAGGGGATAGATAAAAATGTCTACAAGATCATTTTGAAATGGTTGTAAAAAAAAAACAAAAAGGTCAAAAAGAAACGTACCGTATTTTCCGCATTATAGGGCACGCTCTTAAGCCTCCAACCCCAAAAAACGACCACGCGCCACAATCCACAGCGCCCTATACACGAATCCACTCAGGTGTCCCAGCACGGCTTCAGTAAACTACAAACACGCATGGAGCAGACACCCGCAGCCACACTCATCACTCCACGCCGACGAGGAACGGAACGCAGGAACGAACCGAAAAAGCGAGTGCGATGTGCCACTTCTAGACACAACTGAACAACTGAGTCACTCCGAACATGCCAACAATCCAGCGGTCCCAGACAGCACCCTCCCTACACGCCACAACTGAACAAAGCCCAGAGTCACCGTGAACACCACAAACAAACAAAGTCCCACTGACCCATCCAACCGTTGTGTTTCGTTTAAAGTCCGGTGCGGTTTATTTGTGAAAAAAGTTCAAAAATAGACCATTCAATGACAGTGCGCTTTATAATCCAGAGTGTCCTATAGTGTGGAAAATACAGTAAACAAATAAGAATAAAGTGAAGTTTCTCCATGTTTGCTGTTAATATTACAAACCATTCACTCTACGCAATATTTAAACCTCAACCGAGACATTTAACATTAGAACATTTCTGATGGATTGCAAAAATACGACAGAAAAGTGAAACGTTATCAGGTTCTGTTAGAAATACCAAAGCAAAAAAGTCATTTAGCAAATTACAACTCTAAAAGGAACCGTCTGCAGTCTACGTTCTGACTTGTAAAACGCATCAATCGTAACTGAACCCGTGTCGCCAGAGCCTTCACCTGCAGACAGAGGACATTTTCATTCTCAGTATACGGACAGGCCGCGGCTCATGTAAAACAAAAAAACTTGGAACTTGGAATAAATTGTTGATGTTGCAAAATACAGAACCAGCTGTACCACAGACTCAAGTTTTAGGTCATATTATTGTCACATTTCAACTCGAAAAATTTATCGTTTGAAAAAGTAAAGGTGTACTATGTCGCTTTTCCGGTAGAGTCTGCCACTATTGGAATGTAGACAAGAAGAGACAAAACTACAGCGAGATTATGTGCACAAACTGAAAATTATCTTGTGGGATTTTTTCCCCCCATGTTTTTATGTTTGGATTGCATAACAAAACGAAGTACTGGTGAGTTAATTTTTTTTTAAGAAGCTGTAGTCCCAAAAAGTGCTGCTACGATGACCTGCACAAAAAGTAAATCAAAAATGGTGAGACCAAAATTGGGGAAATTGATTGCGCAATTCTTGTAAAGAATGTCATGAGCTCGTCTTGTCTTGTTCTCATAGATCTAATCTCATGTTTTGTCTCGCTTTGTGGAAATTGTATCTTGTCGCACCCCTATTGAAATATTATTGCCTAGCCCGGAATGTTCTTGCCTGATTCATCAGCTGGTTTCACTTCGTAGAAACTGTCTGACCTCGCGGCATTAGGATTCATTCACTTGACGGTGGGTGGGTTCTTTTTTTATTAAACCAATCGCTGCTATTTGGTCGTGACGTATGTAATGATGAAACGAAAGACAAAAGTGTAAAGTAGTGATTAAAGCAAAGGGTGACTTTTTACAGTTTTTGTATATTTTTTTACAAGTGGACAAGTTTCTTTTTTGCTGCAGTCCATAGTTTTGCTAGCCTGATTCATCAGCCGGTTTCACTTTTTATCATTTAACCAATCGCTGCTGTTTGGTCGTGATGTATGTAATGCACGGCTAACAGGACTAACTGGTATATTAAGCTTTTCCCAAATCCCGAAGGAAGAAGGACAATAACGTTTTTCCCCTTGATAAAATTCACCAAACATTCTCTTTGTTCTGGCTTTAAATCCTCGATCTCAGGAATTGTTGACAACACTGAATATATGGCTCTTCGCTGATTGGCTGGTGCCTGAACTCGCACTTCCGGGTTTTTTGCAGTCTAGTGTATTCCGATTCCTGACCTAGTCACTGGAGAGAAATTAAATAGAGCGGAGGCACTAGGTGGCGCCAGCCTGGCTACGCATGTTCCACAGTATGGCATTAAAATCATCTGTCACTTTTATGCAATAAAAGCGTTTTTACTTACAGAAAAACGACTTGACCTGGTGGCGTTATCATCTTCGTAGAGATACTGTCCTACTTTGGAACATTCGGGGCAATGAAATAACATCTCCAAGGAGTCGAGCGGGTGGCAGACGCTCCATCAGAAAAGTTACATAGTGTACCTTTAAATATTGCCAAACGATTACACCCCACTCTCTTCATAGCGTAACCTTTACTTCTTCTAAACACCAATAATAATGTATTTACTGTGTATATGCAAGCCTGTCAAGAGGACTACTACTAGTATACTAGTCTATCAGAGGTGGGTAGTACTCAGTTGTATTTACTTGAGTTAATTTTTAAAGAAATTATACTTTTCAGAGTACTTTTCCCGCACGATACTTGAAATGATTTGAACATTTGTGTTTCTTGCAGTGCTTGTGGACTCATTTTTGTGTCTGTCATTTGAAAATACCCAATTTACTCTTCAAGTTACTCTCACTTCCCCTAAATACATTAAGTAATTTCTTGGATCAATACTTTGTACTTCTACTCGAGTAATATTATTTTGAAGTAGCGCTACTCTTACTTGGGTACAGTTTATGGCTCCTCTACCACCTCTGTTGTTTATCGTGTATCGTGACAGGCCGGTGTACATGTATCATACTGGGTTAGCTGGGACTCACACAGGCACAGAATCGACTGGGTCTAATACTTACAGACCAGGACCAAGGTCTGGACTTGGATCTAGACTTGGTCCCAAATTAAGTCTTAATTCTTGGTCTCCATAGAAGATTCCGGACTTTGGGATATGAGAGGATAGATTTAGGAGAGGACTGGTCTGGGTTTAGGATTTGGGATTTGAGATTTAGGATTGGGAGCTAAGGAGTCTGGGGTCTTGGACCAGATCACGGTCTAGAGTCGGACCAGAACTAGTACTCGTTGAAGCCTATGACTCAGTGTGCAGCTGGGGTCTAGACTTTGACTCAGACTTGGTTCAGGTCTAGTTCATGCTGATGCAGAGGATAAGGACTCCATGATCTTGGTCTGGACCAGATCTAGACTAGGACCTAGGACTAGGACTTGGTTTAGGTCTAGTCCTTGTTGATGCTGAGGATGCAGACTCCTTGGTCTGGATCAGGTCTAGACTCGGACTTGATTCAGGTCTAGTTCTTGCTGAAGCTGAGGATCCTGTGGAGTTGGGGTCTTGGTCTGGACCAGGTCTAGACCAGGACTTGGTTAAGTTCTAGTACTTGTTGATGCCGAGGATGCGGACTCCGTGTAGCTGGGGCAGTTTTGGGATGAGCACGCTCAGTAGAGACGCTGTGTTTATGACGAAGTGCGTCGTGTCGTACTTTGTGTAAAAACTCGCCAAGAAATATCTAAAAAAAAACAAAGAAATGAATGTTATAATAAATATAGGGAACTCATAAATTCACAAAAATCAAACCTTCTGAATGATGAATATAACATAAACGGACAGTTAAAAAAAACATTAACATTTAGATTTCCCTTTTTGAAGCATGCAGTCTGCTGAAGAAAATATAGACAATACACAATAATACTGAAAATAATTTATGGCACTGACACAAAAACCCAAGAGCAAAATTAAACCACAAAAACAGTTCTAAAATGTACAATATTGCTAAAAAAAAAAATCATGAGCTGCAACAAATAAACAGCAGAATGAAACACTTCAGTGCTTAGTTTGCATCTGTAATGAGTCATAGAAGTTATGTAGTCAACCATTTATGGCTTAAATCTTAAAGGGACAGTCTGGAATTTTGGACATAGGACCTCATTTCCTAGTGAGTCAGAGTGTTGGAGACGTGTGGAGACACTTTTTAAAATATTCCATCCAGTACTTGTATTTGCAGAGGTCGCTGGTGCTAGGCTAGTGCATGTCAGTGGCCATAGTTAGCCTGCCACTAAAAACAATCTTACCCACTCCACAAAACACCCGAAGCAAATCTGTTATTACTCCAGACTCTCGATGTAAATGTCTGTGTTGATAAAATAACGTGTGAAATAAAACTATGTGAATTGTCACATGCTGAGGGACTATTTTCTCATATATCAGTCAACCGCTGCCAAGCTTTCTATCAGGAAGTACAACTCACTGCTGCTGATCAGACATAAATCCTTCAAATGCAAGGTTGGTTTTACTTCTAAAATTATTCTGTTGACACAGACATTCATCTAGACAGTCTGGTGTAATAAAGATTTGCTTCGGGTGTTTTGTGGAGTGGGTAAGACTGTTTTTAGTGGCAGGCTAACTATGGCCACTGACATGCACTAGCCTAGCACCAGTGACCTCTGCAAATACAAGTACTGGATGGAATATTTTAAAAAGTGTCTCCACACGTCTCCAACACTCTGGCTGACTAGAAAATGAGGTCCTATGTCCAAAATTCCGGACTGTCCCTTTAACATAGTACGGTGGTAGTGCACAGAAAATGTACATAAAGGGTGAGCCCAAAAAACTATGGTTCAGTCGGTCGTGTATTGAATGATAAGTGGGTATAGTAATTATCATGACAAGCCTAGTCTCTGTTTATAAAATGTTCACATGATTATATTTTGCGTTTGCGTTGTGATTATATTGTGACCAGTACAATTGACTGACTAAATGAAGGCTTGTGTCAAGGTTGCCAGGTTTTGAGCGCGCATCCCCAGCCTCACAAGAATAAGACAAAAAGACAAGCTGCTATTTGAATGTAGTGTTTATGCCAAATTAGCTGCACATTTAGTCTTTACTGGATCTATTAATCTGAAGTAGAAATTAAACTGAACTGATCTTTAATCGCTTAAAACAGGGGCTCTGCATTTTGCCGATCAACTGCTCTGCTCTGTACTTACTTCATTCTCCAGTTTTATTTTCTTAATCGGTGATAAACTTAAGATTCAGCAGCGTCAGGTGGTCATTTTGGTATAAATGGAAAAAAAAAAAATCTGCTTCTCGCTAATGTGATATGCAGCTATCCAATAGAGGTGCTGACTGCATGTGGCACTTTGTTATTATGACACCAACTAACATCTGCAGTTTTCTAACATGGAAGTCAGTAGTATTGTTTCTTTAAGTAGTTTTAGAGGAATACTGTGATTTAAAATGCACATGTTAGAGCATAATGATCGACAGGTGACATAAATTATAACTAAATAGTGGACTCATGATATGTTTTTAAGTGTACTTGTCATATCCACTTTAAGGAGGTGATGTAGAGTTAGACATAAGTGTTTCCTCTGGACTCACAGGACGATGGGTGAGATAGTGAAGAACTTCCTGGAGGAGGTGAACTGGATGCCATAGTCGAGCTGCTCCCAGTGGGTCAGGAGTCTGGCCTTTCCCTGGTCAGGAGTCTCAAACGGAGTGCCTTTAACCGCATGCATGAACACGTACATGCCCTGCAGACAAGGAACAGGGAAAAGTATCTACATTAAACTATAACACATAGATATTAAACAAATATTAAACGGTAGAGTTCGCGTTCAGCCTCTTGGCATGTGTTAATACTGCCAGCCTCTTGGTACAGCGCTTCCATGATCTAAATAGTCACAGTATCAGCGAGCAGAGATGCCACACTTTTGCGACAATTTTCTACAATCTAATTTCACGTATCGTGTCTTGTTTTTACAAGTTGAGAAAGCACCATGTGGCTAAAGTGCATACTCTAAAACTACAGCGCAGCAGTTTGCGGGAGAAGCTGTGTAAGATAGTGTTGTTACAAGGATATTAATAGTAGACACAGAGCCACCCCCAATGCTCAACTCAACAGTATGTATGTCAGAAAAAACTGACCTAGTGGTTTTCATTGGACAGCAACGATATGTTGTATAGTTAGTATGTTGTATATAGTTCTTTTTCCAAACTTATACAAGCAGCCTCAAAACTTCCGAATATACTGTATAGTCATTTCATTGTCAATGTTCTTTTTCCAAACTTATGCAAGCAGACAGCTTCTGTATATATTGTATACAGTAGTTATTTCATTGTCAGTGTTCTTTTCAAACTTATACAAGCAGCTTCTGTACTCAAACCTGTATATTGCATCACTGTCTACAGCTCTTATACAAGCAAGCAAATGGTTGGTTACATGTAAATGGATGTTCGCATTGTCCTGCATGTAGTAGGAGTAGTTTATTGTATTGTATTGTTTATTTCAAATGGAAGAATGTGAAAAATGTCATAATATCCATAACATTTTGAATGTGATCCGGCCCCAGGTTAAGCAGAAGAAAATGGATGGATGGACATCCTGAATATAAAAGTAGGCTATGTTAACAAAAATCTCTTCTCTATCACTTTATTGGCGACTCAGTTGTAAATACACGTCTAACATCGGTAAGAGACTAAGAAAATAAAACTTGCCAATTTAAGGTAGGCTACTTTAATTATGCACCAAGATGGCGGCTTTGCTGACGCATTCGTTCCAATAGACGGTGGTAGTCAATGTGAGATCTACCATTCAATATCTATGATTATAACATACAAACATGTCCTGCAGACAACAAACAGGGACAAATCTTAACCTACATTCAACTATAACAAACGCATAAGCCCTTCAGACAAAGACCAGGAAGAAACATCAGTGTACTTTTAAATATAATGAGCCCTGCAGACAAGGAACAAAGAAAAACATTCAACAATAACAAACACATAAACCCTGCAGACAAGGAACAAGGAGAAATACCAAACTACATTTAACATTATTTCCCCCAACGCAATTCTGCCAAGACCCGGTTTGCTAACCTGTCACAACACTCTAACCTTAAACAAATGAACCTAACCCTAATTCTAACCTTAACCTTAACCTGGTCGTGAAGAAATATTGTCAAAAATCTACATTTGCTAGCACAGATACCAGTGGAAAGTGGCAGATGTGTGGCATAACTTGGTAAAAAAAAAAAATACATATATGCCCTGCAGACAAGAAATGGGGAAAAATCTAGATTAAACTATAATATAAAGATAAGAAACTGAGAAAATTATCTGCATTCAACAATAACATGCATAGAAACCCCGCAAATAAGAAACAGGGTTTAAATACTTACATAAAAACTACTAATTAAAAAAAAATATTAAAAGCCTGTGGGGTTCTTTTAATATCCTCCAAGTTGCTATAAACATGTTATCGTCCAGACTGTGCAAGCTAATTATTTTAAAGTCAATGTTTACTTTACACTCATGTTACACTTGTTCTCAAAGTAAACACAAAACTAGCACTCCTACTAGTGTTGTCACGAATCCATACTAACATTTCAAACTCAATTTCAATATTAAGGAATAGACTCAATATGATGATAGAATGTGATTTTCAACATTAAGTAATTGTGCTTTTTGTGTTGCCATGTGTCCTTATTGTATGTGTGTAATCCCTCAGTGGTCCAGGTAGGTTCCATAGTGGTCCGTGCTCTTACACTTATTCTGATACAGCTCAAGATCATTCTAAAAGCTACAAATATTTTTAGCATACAATACTACTCGATTAGGATCTGAACCCTGCTGGTTTTAAAATAACATGACAAATAGGTTTTAGCTGTAGGATCTGGCAACCCAAAGTAAGGAGCTCATTCCATGTCACAAATCATTCACATAAACCATTTTTACATGACGCAAATTTTTTGTTATTCTGAATAAAATCTACTTTACTCTAGGACAGGGATCTCCAACCTTTTGCATCCAGTGAGCGAGCGTTACAAAACGAAAATGCCGGAGAGCTACTAATTTTACCGATGGCAAAAAACTGAGTTGATGTAAGAGGGCAAGGCTTAGATGGTGCACAGTTAGATGCCTTTAAAACATAAAACCATTGTCAATTTATTAGTGTGCAAAGTTCAAAATAACACATTGAAATTTAGGGGTGTGCAAAAATATTGATATATTGTATCGTTTAGTTTGATGATGCAGTATCGATATGGTGAGCTGCTGTATCGATATATCACCAAGAGTAATTTTTGGTATTTTTTATTAAATTATTTAGTGAAAGAACTACAATTGTGTTGACATTTTCACTGTTTTGATGAATAAAATGGGTGTTTTTCATATTAACTTTGCACAAACTTAGTCGACTTAATAGACTTCGTAGCCTTTTAGTATCACCACAAATTTTTCACTGAACCATATCAAATCAATCTGAAATATATCATATTGATTTGTACTGAATTGAAAGTGCACTGTATCAAAAAACTTATCATATTAAGGCCTATGTATCAAGGTATGTATCATATTGGCAACTTCTTAATGATACCCAGCCCTATTTACAATAGTAATTAATCAAATTTGGTCTAGGTTATGTAAGTGTTCGCAATAACTCTCAGGTGGAGTTTGCTGTGTAACTGTCTGATCACAGATTTGCTGACTTGGTTTATGGTTCATATCTCTAATTACTGAGCCTATCCACATGAAACAAAAAAAGGCATAAAGTTCAACATCTGTGTCAGAGTCAGTATAAATAAACAAAAGTTATATAAGACCCTGCCTGCTCTGATGCTTATAGAACAGCTCTATTTTTAACCCAGCGACGGGGTAATTGTGTCATGTTAAAACTATGTGAAGTCCAATTGTTTTGTGCAGCTTAAGGACTTCCTCATAGAGACACATGAGGCTGATTCAGATACTGCCCCAAAATAGATTCTGAACCAGGAACCAAAGTAATGACTAAACCAGGGACTAAACCATAGGATCCTTACGAGGTTGTGAATGACGTTGGTGAGGGTCCACACCACAGGGACACTGAAGAATGGGATACTGAGCAGGACCACGTGCAGAGTGCAGACCCCCAGAGTGTAAGTAAGCCAGATGCCCCGGCTGTTCATGACTCGCGTGTTTGGGTTCACCTCACTGTGTGCCACGCCCACGTTCATCTCCACCTGCACAAAAACAGAGACAGGTTTTAGAGATACTTCCAGAAATGCAGTCTAGTTTATATTTGTTACATACTCACAGTTTTGAAAGAGCTCATATCTTATGGATGGAAAGCAAAAGTGGATTATAAAAATGCTTCTTGAATTAAATGTTTACTTTTAAGAGGGGGTATTATGCAAAATCGATTATATTATAACATGTTTTTTCATCAAAAACATGTCTGAAGAGGTTACCATGGATGTTTGAGTAATTTAGGGTCCTCTCCCGGGTCTTATTCAAACACTTTACAGTTAGCTGTAAGATTCTGTGCAATGCTCCACCCACAAGCCTACGTCAACCATGCTCCCACACAACAGTTCTCCATAAAAACCTCCTTGTCAAAGCCTGATCTAGTCTAATCTTTGAAGCCACAGTGGGCAGCCAGTGGCAAAAACGGTTGTTGTCGTGAGTGTTGGTGGTGGTCAGAAGGGCGACCCTCAATCTGTCCCAGGGCAGCTGTGGCTACATATAGTGGTTTATCACCTCAGAGTGTGGAGTGAATGAAGAATGCATGATATTGTAAAGTGATTTTGAGCAACTGGAAAAGCGCTGTATAGGACTAAAGCATTATTAAAAACATGGCACAAAACTACACAGCAACTTCCCAAACCTGATCCAATGTGCAGTAGTTTCATTAGCGGGATGCACGCTGATTGTGTTATGACAGCGCACTGAAGGGGGAGTGACTTAACATGCAAAGCAAGGAGAGGGGGTGTCAGAGCGACAAAACATGAAACTAAACCTTATTAAACACGTTCATATGTTCTTTTCAAATATAGCCTTTTAAAAAATAAAAATTACATGGTGATCTAAATACGGTGTGTGTTGGCAGAGAAGTTAAAAATGCAAAAGATATAAAAATGTTATCTTTTTGACACATGGTTCAGTCTGGACTTTGTCTGAGAAGCGGTGATAACAAACATCTTATATAATGTGGTTAAACTTTGACCTTTGGCACACTTTCCTCAGCAGAACTAAATAATCTACTGAGTTTAAGTTTCATGAAGTGCTCACTGTAACAGCTCAGTCTGTGCTCAGGGAAGACATTATATAGGTCATGACTGATATGACCCAAGGCATGAGAAATAATCCTGGACAGTTTGCCACTTTTTTTTCTTGTGTCATAAAGATTGATGGCATCCGGCGACTATCACAAATGTGCAAAAACACTTACAAGAATACTGCTGACAGGGTAACGCTTCATGTCCAAAATACCAAAAAGTAACACACAAAAAAATACTCACACAACCACTTGGATAAAAAAAGTGAAATGTTAAAAAGATAACTGGGTGATAGGTGTGAAATAATAACACAATTTAACTCATCTCACTAACAAGTTCTTCTGTTGCGCAACAATAAGCCAGTTACCTCAGCTCAGTATACATTTTAGTTATCTGTACTTAAGTAAATTGTTCTGTGGATACTTTTACTTCACTCCATTTGAGAGAACACATATCTATACTTTCTACACAACATTTTTGAACTGAACTGCAAAGTAAAAGTATTTTTTATTATAGTCTGAGGCCTGCTGAAAACAGTCGTTTCAACAAAATTCAACACAAATCTTTATCAAAAACACAAAATCAATCAAAATCTGCGAGGAGTACTCTTAGTAGTAGTATTATATTTAGGTCACAAACATAAATAAAAATAAAAAATAAAATCTGAGATACAAGAGACATGTCTGTGGAGAGGCAACCCCCAGTCCCAGAAAGAATGCATGTTTTTCCAAGCTTTTTATAAGCCATCGAAACATAAAAAGATGTGTTTAATGCCATACTGTGGAAAATTCCAGTCAAAGCATTAACTTATCTCCATGGAGACAGGCAGCCACCAGAAAAGTAATGCAGTGCAGCTTTAACCTACGACAAAAAGTCTGATCCGGATTTGTAATTAAGGTCATATTATTTCCATTGGAGCTGTAAGTTTTGTAACTCATTTTAAAAGGAAGTCTATTGGAAAGAAGGTTCTGGAAAGGTATCACATTCTGTTCTATAACTGTTGAGACACTTTCAGTTTTTGGAGCAGTCGACAGGAGCAATGACATAAGGCACGTTCTTATGGTCTGAGGTGAAAATGTAACTGAAACGGCAGCTTATAACTAACGTCTTGAATGGAACAAATCATTTTAACTTTTAATATCAAAGTTCAGCACATGTTTGTCCATGAAACTGAACCAGGACTAAAGCAGGACTAAAGCAGGACTAAAGCAGGACTGAACCAGGACTGAACCAGGACTGAACCAGGACTGAACCAGGACTGAACTAACTCTAAAGCAGGACTGAACTAACTCTAAAGCAGGACTAAAGCAAGACTAAAGCAGGACTGAAGCAGGACTAAAGCAAGACTGAAGCAGGACTGAAGCAGGACTAAAGCAAGACTGAAGCAGGACTAAAGCAGGACTAAAGCAGGACTAAAGCAGGACTAAAGCAGGACTAAAGTAGGACTAAACTAACACTGAACTGGGACTCAACCAGGACTAACTGAAATGAACTGAACTAACCCTGAACCAGGCCTGAATCAGGACTGAACCAATACTGAAGCAGGACTGAACTAATCCTGAAGGACTAAAGCAAGACTAAAGCAAGACTAAAACAGGACTGAAGCAGGACTGAAGCAGGACTGAAGCAGGACTGAAGCAGGACTGAAGCAGGACTGAACCAGGACTGAACCAGGACTGAACCAGGACTGAAAAAGAATGGAACAAGACTAAACCAGAACGTAACCAGGACTAAACCAGGACAAAGCCTGGACTAAGTCAGGACAAAGCCTGGACTAAACCAGCCCTGAAATGGGAATGAACCAGGACTAACCTTCCCCTGAACAAGGACTAAAAGAGGACTTTAACCCACTAAACCTGAACCTGAACTGTACCCGGACTAGATCATGAACCCAAGAATATTGCAATCCTCAAAACCTAATTCAATGTTTAGGAAGTTAACAAACTATCCTGGAAAAATCCTACACAGGCAATGTTTTTTGACCTGGTTTCGCCCTGGTTTCAATACAAACCAATTCAGCTCAGTCCTCCTCAAGTCCAATCTCACACCTGGTTTCACACACTACAGTCCTAATTTACACTTGGTCTTGGTTTAGTTCTGGTTTGGTCCCATTTAAGATCTAATGTTGTCCAACTAAAGACCTGGTTTGGTTCTATTACACTCCTGTTTTAATCTTGATGTTATTTGTTACTAGCTAAATTATATTCACAAAGCTTTTAAGAGTTTTTCTGAATTGTTCTCTATGCTATTTCAGTCACTTTTGTTCATTTACATCGACAAGACTATACAGTAAATAAAGAGTTACCAAACAGTGTTATAACAATGATGCGAAGTGGCCTGAGGGAGCGTTTTTAAAAACCAAGTTCACAATGGCCTAATTACGCATAAAAAGCAAACCGGTAGCGTGATCTCTTTTCAAATAAAAGTGGTTTAATTGTTCAGACTTACTGTTAAACGAGTTCAGATGAAGGAGAATGTGAAATAACGCCGCTTAAGACAGAAAAAGCAAGATTTCTTCTCTGAGTTCTGCACAAAAACAGCTCTGAGTCTGCAGGCGAACGGAAATCGACGTGGGACCTTTGACTAAAATAGTTTAACCCCGGAGTTTGTCTCGTCAGGCTAAGCACCGCCCATCAAACTCAAATAGCTTTTACTAAATTAATACAAATATTTGACTGTACAAAGTTATTATATGATTAATTATTATTTATCAGCGTACTTAAAACTAAAAAGCATTTTTACTCAAGAGCTATTTGCCTGTAAGTAGATTTGATTAAGTGTATCATTTCACGGGTGTTTAAAATACAAAACGATTAATACATTATTTAACTTAAATAAATAATAAAGTACAATAACCAAATAATATGTGCAAATAATATGAATTTACGGTGCTAACATTTACAGGGATTTCCTACTGTATAACTATACTATTAACTATATATACTATGAACAAAAACTGACAATAATTAATTATATTCTAATCAAAATTTGAATGTTGAATAGACATTTTATATTTATGTTATTTATTTCTTAATTTAGATATAATTAGATAATCAGAAATTGCAGAGGAGAGGGCCAGATCGAGCAGAGGATGCTAGAGAGGGTCTAACGGAGAAGCGTATGGTAAAATGCTTGTGCCTGTAAGACAAACCCAGGGAAAAACCTATCTCACGTTTGTCTCGCCTCCGGAATGAGCCAATCAGCGCGCAGCAGACGGGGCGGGAGCGTGCTCTACTTCCGCATTGCGCCTCATGGATTTTGTTATGAAAAAGCCACTCTTTAAAAAATCTACGCTTTATTTAATATTCTATTATAATTATTCTATTATATTCTGTCCAGTATCATTGTTAGAGAAAACTAGAGGTAAGTCGCATTTATGTTCATGTTTTCTTCTCCTTGATTGCATATTTTAGTTTAAGTTAAACTGCTGAAATTGTTTTAAGAATGAACCAAAAAATCTAAATCCTGATATGGTGATATTTTGCATGAATTTCCGTTTTTTTATATGGTTAAAGGGATTGTGCACGACTTGCATGGATCGCTAAATTGCGACATTATTGTAAGTAACATATATGGTTATACTTTAATATGAATCCAAATGAATGTTTCTTAAAGTTGGCAAAGACTGGTCGAAATGTAAGATAAAGTAAATAAATACACCACAATCCTCCCTTTAAAAAATGATGTACTATGATATAAATATATTTTAAAAAAGTTAAACAGAATAACTTTTTAAAACCAAAATGATGAGGCTCACAGCAGCAGTTGCAGAGAGAGACATGACATGAGCTATATTTAAATGCATTCAATATTTAAAATGTGACTTGAGTCTAAGTGACAGTTTTGTTGTGTGTAGATTTGTGTGAAGATGCACCAGCTCTCTGCCCACACGGTGCGCCTGCTGTCCAGCTCTCAGGTCATCACGTCGGTGCTGAACGTGGTGAAGGAGCTGACGGAGAACGCCCTGGACGCAGAGGCCACCAGTGTTGATGTCAAACTGGTAAAGCTCAGTCTGTATTCATTATGGTGTTGATAATAGGGCTGCAAATTGAATTGACACAATTGTCTTTTTGTCGTTTCTTCTGGACTCGTTTAAAATCCAAGCTGTAAAAATTTGAATTCTTATTTGATTTAAATCATATCAAGTGATGTGTATTTGTCTAACAAGAGATGGTGTGGCCTAAGGAGATCAGCACCCTATATTGGGCCAAAAAAGAGATTTAACTGACTCTGAAAAGTCAAAAATTACAAAAAGGCTTTCAGAGGGAAATTGAAGTTAAAAAGCTATTGAGGCGTGATCACAGAACCATCAGAAGTTTTGTTGCAAATAGTCAACAGTGTCACATAATTCTGCACATTAATAGTTGTCCAATAATTGTGTACACATACATTTTTTCCTAGGAAAGGCCAAACTTCACGTTTACTTTCTTTGTTATTCAGGTTTTGAGGTTTATTAACATTTTGGATTGAGCAAGAGCACTGTAGTTGTTCAATTATGAAATTAGTCCTCATAAATACAACTTGCCTAATAGGGCTGGGTATCATTAAGAAGTTGCTGATACGAAACATACCTCGATACATAGGCTACGATACATTGCAATATGTATCTCTAAAAGTCTTAAACCACTTCTTGTGCAAAATGCAAAGAAGCACACCCATTTTAATCATCAAAACAGTGAAAATGTCAAATGTGTTGCAGAAAAGAGCTTCTTTCTTCTGAACAATCAAGAAAACTGTAGTGCTGTAACAAAATAATTTAGTAAAATATACCAAAAACTACTCTTGGCGATATATATTGATACATCAGCCCACAAGATTGATCCTGTATCATCACATTAAATGATACAAAATATCAATATTTCAATATTTTTGCATACCCCTCTTTCCTAATAGTTATGCACGCGATGAAATCTTTTTTGTTGAATTTTTTGTATCATAACAACACTAGCTAGTTTAACTGAAGAGCTAAAAAACTGCTTAAATATATACTGCATACTTTATAGAAAATAAGCAGAAGGAGGATGAATTGAGAGCAAGGAAAAAATTTATGGAAATTAAACAACAAATACACAAATAAACAACAAAATTAAATCCTGCCAAACAAAATAAGACAATAATAAAAAGTTAGAATGTACTACAATTACTGCATAGGAACTTACTAATTGTGTGTTAATGGTAAAATAATTGTTTTGGTATTAGTATTCAGCTATTCCGACTGTAGTTGTTGTTGTTATTATTATTAGTATTATTATTATTTTATAATACATGAGTTTTATATAGCTCTTTTCACAGTAACACAAAGACGCTTCACAATAAAGTAACACTAAAAATAGGATAGGACAGACAATAGACAGGACAGACAAAACAATCATGAGGAGAAGGCATGTGAAAAGGTGTGTTTTGAGCAGGTTTTTTTTTAAGGTGTTCAATGAGTTTCTGAAGGGGGAGAGAGTTCCAGAGAGTGGATGCAGCCATGGCAAAGACTCAAGTTCCCCAAAGTCCGAACCAGTAATAAAGACAAAACAAACTGCAGATTAAACAGTACGTGAGATTAAGTTCAGTGTACAAAAGCAAGCCATAGCTGTCAACATCTAGAATGAGAGAGGGGTAGAAGTTTATAAGTTTACACCTCTTCCTACTCGTTTTTGAGTACAACAATATTACATGTTGATGTCACAATGTTTAATGTTGCTCAAATAAAAAGCACTGAGCTGAACTTATTATGCATGTAAAAAGAATCCACTTTCCTAAATGCCTGTATTCTTTTGTGTGTTTGTTTTTCCAGGAGAACTTTGGCCTGGAGCGCATTGAGGTGAGGGATAACGGGACTGGGATCAGAGCCGAAGACGCTCCTGTGATGGGCGTCCGACATTTCACCTCCAAAATCAGTTCTCATGATGACCTGGAGAATCTGCAAACCTATGGTTTCAGAGGAGAGGCTTTGGGCTCTATCTGTGCTGTGGCCGAGGTGAGGATACTAAAACTTGCATTGAATGTAGAGCTGCCAGATTAAAGGGCTGATATTAAGATGTTTTCTAATCTGTTATTGTACTGTTGTTTCCTCATCAAAACATGCCTGGAATTGTGTTTTGTTTCATTCACACATGTTTAACACACACTCCCTGCATAGTTCTCAAACAGCATTCTCTCAAAAGAAAGCACTCCACCTTGTGATGTCATGTGGTAATACAGGAAATGATCCACTGTGTTTTTAAACTCTATACACCTTCACTAAAATCATTTGGATGTTTTTAGCCCTGGAATTATCAGTTTCTATTGAACAAAATATAAAAGGTTGCTGTTAACTTGAAAACTTCCACTACATGACATCACACTGTAGAACAGAGCAGTTAGAGCTTTGGAGATATAGTAGATATAGTATTTAATAATGCGTGAATCATTGCGCTATTTTAACTAACAATTGACAAAACAAAGACAAAAAACAAGACTTAAATTAGGCCTAAAACATGACTAAAATATTCAGTAAACACTGTTGATCTGTCATTTCTATTTTTAGAGACATTCTATTCTGCATTGTACTGAGGGCTCTCACTGCCAGCTCAGTCCTTGTTATCTTAGCTTTCGTCAGCAGAGGTATAATACTCCCTACAACAGAAACATAGCCAGACTGGACTACCGTATACTAGACTAGAATGAGCCATACTATTATAATGTCTTGAGGGTTCATGTCTCTAGTTCGTGCGCTGATGTAAATAAACTTTTCCTATATCTTCATGCCTCTTCTCTAAAACTCTCTGGTGACTACCATTTATTCTACAACAATTATATTATATTATCATGTTCACTGATATCAGGACATGGGTCATTTTGTGAGATGTTGTCCAGCTCAAGTTATAGGACTTTAATGTATGAACTGATTCAAATGTAGACTAAATAAATATATTTCTATATTCAAAACAAATATGGCTGCTTTCTGGCAGATTTCAGTAGAATCAATGAGCAAAGCACATTATTCTTTTAATCTATTAATTATTGTGAATCTGAGAAACACAATTTTCTTTGTACATTATACTGGCCATTGAGCTTCTTCGTTTTACATGTGTCACAACAAATCTGATTGGACTATCATGTTTGGTTCTGGCTCAAGATGTCACAGAGGGAGTGGGGACCAGACTGATATTCCTCTGTATAAAAAATACAGATATATCAGTCTGGATTTTCCAAGACAGTATTCCTTTTTTTTTTTTCATTTCTTGTAGGTGACTGTGACCACAAAGACAAAAGACGATGACGTGAGCACTCAGTACAGTCTGGACTCCAGCGGGAACATCGTCTCTCAAAAGCCCTCTCACCTGGGACAAGGTGAGACACACGCCTTTGGAGAAAAGACTCTGGTTCTGGTAGCTGTTATACTGCTTCTTAAGTCATAGTCAACAGTTACAAAACATGCTGCCCTTTTTTGAACCCTTATCCTTTTCTAGGGAAGAAGCCCAGGTGGTAGAAACATTTTCAGGGTCTAAATGAGTCTAATTTACATTAACAGAGAGAAGGAAGGGTCATTTTTATTGATAGGTCTTATATTTCAAATTATTATAATTTTTTTGTATGTTGTGTTATAATTTGAAATAATGTATAAATATATAGAGAAATAATAAAAAGCCCAGGAAGCAGCTGCTAGTGATCCAAAAAGTGAAGCAGTTTTTAATAGTAGTCAGAACAATTGTGCATGTACATCAAAAACACAGGTGAGCGGAATAATCCTGGAATAGTCAATCAATATGACTTTATTTGTCTGTAAGGGCCAATTAATGTAGCCTGATTCATCAGCTGGTTTCACTGCGTGGAAACTGTCTGACCTCGCAGCATTGGAATTTGTTTGCTCAACAATCGGTGGGTACTTCTTTATTTAACCAATATTAAGCTTTTCCCAAATCCCATAGGAAGAAGGGCAACAACGTCTTTCCCCTTGATAAAAATCACCAAACATTCTCTTTGTTTCGGCTTTAAATCCTCAATCTCGGGAATTGTTGACAACATGACAACACTGAATATATGGCTCTTCGCTGATTGACTAGTGTCCAGACTCGCACTTCCAGGGTTCTTGCAATCTGTCTAGTGTATTCTAATTCCTGACCTAGTAGCTGGAGAGAAAAAACATCTCACAAGATCATTTATTTTTCACTTGTCAATTTTGTCTCATGAGATCTTGTCCCATCCCTAGTAAACACGTCCTCATTCCAGGTACGACAGTGAGCGTGCAGAAGCTGTTTAAAAACCTCCCTGTGCGCAGACAGTTCTACTCCTCCTCAAAGAAATGCAAAGAGGAGCTGAAGAGGATCCAGGACGTGCTCACTGCCTTCGCCATCGTCAAACCAGAGCTCAGGATCACACTGTATCACAACAAGGTAAAATAGTGTATTGTATTTTGTGTCATCACAAATCTGTACTACAATTTCAAACTCAATTTCGATACTAAGGAATAGACTCTATATTTAATACAGACTCACATATCACTATCATAGTAAAAACACTTTATTTATACCAGGGGTGTGAAAACTTTTTGCATCAAGGGCCACATATCTAAACACAGACGTAGCAGGGGGCCGATCGAGGGCCGTAGACTGCTGCTCAATACAGTGAATAACTGAAATATGTGCATGTTTATCACGTTAGAATGATTCATCAGTCTTTATTCATGCTAAGATCCTTTAAACCACACAGTAAATATTAATATTAGCTTTATCAGGGTAGATTTTCAAAAAAATTGCAGCAAAAAGATAGTTTTTAATTGATGCAAGGTAATTTGGGCAAATTCACCTGGAAACCTGAGGGCCAAGAAAAAATTGTCTGAGGGCTACATTTGGAACATGAGCCATAGTTTGGACATTAGACAATAGAAAGCGATTTTCAACATTACCTTGTAGTATTTTCTTTTCTATTCCCATGTATCCTTATATCTGTATAATCCCTCAGTGGTTCATGGGCATATACTAGTCTATGTGCTCTTATACTTGTTCTGATACAGCTCAACATCATTCTAAAGTCATTCAGGAAAGCTCCATTTCTGTCCTGTTGACAGGGCTTTTTTTTAGTACTGATACTTACTTAAATGAGGATGTAGTTTCAATACTAGTTTTATAATCGATTCATATCTGAGATAAGAATTCTATGGTAAAAGTTTGACTTTTGAAAGTGCAGATGTTTTAGGTTGAAACTGGCACAAAGTTCAGCATCTTCTCATTCATCACATGAACGTCAGAGAAAAAAAAAAATCACAAAATCCTCTCAGACTGTGGTGTTATTTTTAAACCCCAGAGACATGGTTTTCTTTTGGGGTCTAATGAAACATCAATCTAATGACAAAATGGATTTAAACAGCACCTTTTCAGGAGCCTATGATCAGTCCAAGTGTTCATGGTCCTGTTTAGGAGTTTGATTTTCAACAATGGTGAGAGTGACTGAAAAACTGTTGGTCGGTGTTTTCTGGTCTGATTGTGTTAAAAACAAAGCTCAGAATAAAGAGTAACAGAGGTTCAGACAGAGCAGTGCCTACAGTTAGCATCACACCTCCAGGGAATATTGATGACATCAGCTTCAACATACCAACAGACCTTTTTCACAGCGGCCGGAAATGCTGCTATGTAGGGTAAACATCACTTACGTTAATGCTTTTCTATGGCAAAATATCTTCATAAATCTGCCCCATCATCAAATCTTCATCCAATAAGGTCGACAAAGGACATATTCTGTCCATGAAGAATATATCCACAACTATTAAGGTAAGAAAGACGAAAGCGTAAAGGCTAACATGACTAGTATTAGTGAACTACTCCTAAATTATAAGTAACTTGTTCATTCAGACTGATTCTAGTATTAAAATTTTAAATCGATTTCATGATGTAGATATTAGCATAGACAAAGAGATTTGTGCAGTTTAAATGTTAGACATGTAATCTGTGAACATCTGTAGCATTTAAACTGCACAAATCTCCGTTTATGATAATATCTACATCATGAAATCAATTTTTAATTTTAATTCTAGAATCAATCTGAGTTAACAAGTTATTTATTAATGAATTACTTATTACTTATGTCTTATTCATGACCATAACGTTAGTTTTGCTCAGGAGTAGTTCACTAATGCTAGTTGTTGTTCATCTTTCTTACCTTAATAGTTGTGGATAAATTCTTCATGGACACAGTATGTTCTTTGTCGACCTTATTGGATGAAGATTTGGTGGTGGTGCAGATTTATGAAGCTGGTGGAAAATACGCAAGACATTTCCACAGATATTTTGCCATAGAAAAGCATTAATGTAAGTGATGTTTACGCTACATCGCTGCACTTGTTGTGAAAAAGGTCTATTATAATGATTCATCAGTCAATTCAATAATGTGCAGTTATTTAAAGTCACCACTAGAGGTCCTCATTTGTCTGTATTAGAACCATACTGGATTTAAGTCTCATCCCTAGAACCTACTGAAGATCACTGAATGTGAACATGGTGTTAATTCATGCAGCCACATTTGGAATATCCCCAGATAAGCTGTTCTAGCTTGAAACATTTCTGAGTTATAAGATATTTTTCCATAAAGATAGAAGAAAATTCTATCAAATAATATCAATCAATAATCAAATCAAATATCAATAATATCAAATAATATATGGGTTTGCAATTATTTATCTTTTTTATACCATAACATTTCGCATGGTTAGGGTTACTTAAATCACAATACAATAGAGGTTATGCAGATGACATCATAACTTTTGGACCTTTTTTAGAGAAAGGCAACAGTATATGAGTGTCAGTGATGAATAATGACATTTTCCTCCGTAAACAACTCAAAACACCTGCTACAGTTTAATAAGAGTTTAATAAGAAATATAAAAGTGTTTAAATCTGCTGAATATTTAGTTTGTACCTGACATTAAAAACAAGAAAATCAAGTCAGCAGACACACACATACACACACATACAGTTGGACTGAGATAGTGGCATTGAATCTAGTGTTATGTTTATTGATATTTCCTATAAAAACAATAGAAATCATATTAGTATCGAGAGCCATGTTTCAGATGAATATCGGATCAAGAGAAAACTGTATTATAGTATGTCTTGTTAGGGTTAGATTTGACAAGTTAATCAATTAATCCCAACTCATCGATTATTGAAATTGTTGTCAGCTATTGCAGTAATGAAATAATCATTAACTGGTTTATACCTGGGTTCCAAAACTTGTGATGAGCTGAGAGAAGAGGGTTTAGGACTTTAGGAATTACAAACAAATGACACAGGTAATATGTAGCTATTGTGCTTTGGATGAAAGCTCTTTTGTCTGTAAATATGTTCCACCAGGAGGTCCTCCATCAACTTCACTTCAGCTTTATCTGCATACAATTCAGGACAATGAAAATACGAATATTCACGGGCATCTTGGGATCTACACAACTAAAGGATTAAGTAAAGTAAGGATAGTTCCAATTGATTAGCCTTAGTTCAGAATCAGAATTTATTTGTCATTTCAGTTTAAATACAGGTTTTTAGCAGCACAAAAACTGCTCTATAAATAGTTCAAAACACTGTATGTCATAATTAGTGCAGTCCATAAACAGCCCTCGCCCACCTCCATGTCATAAAGTGCTTCTGAGCTAGTGCTTTGGGTTAGTGCCAGGGCGGCATGACAGAGATGATCGGAGTTTTCTGCCTGATGGAAGACCTGCAAAAGTCCATGTGCTGGGCGGGTGCTCTAGTCCTCCATGATGCTGTAGGCTTTTTTCCTGCACCTGCTGATGTAGATGTCTTCAGTCCAGGGTATCTATAGCCTCAGCTCTCACTAGCCTCTGCAGGGCCTTCCTCTCCACCACGCAGAGTTACAGTCTACAGTCTCGGCTGCATCTATAAATGGACATGGCTGAGGTGCTGGCTACCTCGTTCCCAACAGGAAGTGAGCATGGGTTGAGAGTGGTTCCTTTAACTCTGGTTGCAGTTGACTTCTATTGAAAAAGCATCACCTCTCTCTCTGTTACTGCTGCTGTCAGGCTTATCATTCTGACCTTAAAGTGTTCATATTAACTCTGTCTATATGATCCCGGGTTTTTTATTTCACTTTTTTGTCCATATGTCAAGATATGAACATTAATAACAGACCAGTGGTGCCCCCTTTCCCCAAGGTTGCTCCCACTAGTGTTATCAACACTGATTGACAGCTAAGCAGGAAAGGAGGTGTTGCCTTCAAAGGCCTTGCTCCTGATTGGCTCTTTGGTTTCCCTCTCAGAGTTCTAAATATGGTTCCTTGTTGCAGATTAGCCACTATAACGCTAGCCTCAATGAGCTTTATTCGGTTGCAACTGAACACTATGGCTGACACCACACTCCCTTAGTCCACTTCTATTACACAGTCTATGGTTGCAGCCCTAGTTAGGATTTATTTCTAAGAAACTGACTACTATATACAGTATATATATATATATTTCACTCCACTACACTGGTCCTATTAGTTCAGGTTTAGTCTTGGTTTAGTCTTGGTTTAGTCTTGGTTTAGTCTTGGTTTAGTCCTGGTTTAGTCCTGGTTTAGTTCTCTCTCGGTTCTCTCTCTCTCTGACGCGGTTTGAACTTTTGGCCCTGGGTCTCATTTCACAACTTCTTCTCGATCAGTTTTACTACAGTTCTCAATTTACATGTGTCAAAATGTGTCTTTAAGAGCTGCTACGTGCCTCGAGCTCATGTGCGTGGAATACAGACTGTCTAAACCTGCCAGATTAACTTCCATTGAGTCTAAATTAGAATTATCATAAATTGCAACCCTCAAAAGCTGCAGTAATTTGGCAACATAATGTCCCCTATGAGAACTAACTGTCCCATTGTTTCTATAAGGTGTTATTCTGTGTAAAAATGTGCTCACCCTGTAGTTTAGACCTCTGCATTCATGTTCTAAAATTCATGTGATAGCTTAGCAGTTCAGTTTCAGTCGTCTTCTCTCTCTTGGATGTGTTGTAAAATTTGCACAGTGAATGTAATTTGAGCTGGGCGCTATGCTGATTTAAAAAAAAAAAATCAAGATCATTATTGAAACATTTGGCTAAATAATTATCAAATGTAGTTGGCTGTCTACATTTATGGAAACTTCTGTCCATATTTCAGTGTGTGTTGTCACGATACAAAAATGTTGAACTTGATTTCGAAACTAAAAAATAGACTCGATACCATGATGATAATAACATATTATTTTATTTAGACAGTAGAATGTAATTTTCAACATCTAAGTCATAATTTAAGACACAACGAAATCAGCTCAAAATCAGTCTAAAGCTATTGAGGAAAGGTTCATTTCTGTCCTATCAATGGGACTTTTTTAGTATCAATACCTGCTCAAATGAGGATCTTGTTTCAGTGCTAGTTTTAGTATTGATTAGTAGCTGATTTTCAGTACTTAAGTTTTGATAATCCTGTAGTTTAATATAATTACAGGTGGTGGTTTGGCAGAAATCCAAAATGGCTGATCTCAGAAGTGCCCTGGTGGCAACTCTGGGTCCGAGTGTTGTGTCCAACCTGCTCCGTGTTTATCATCAGCACCACGAGCCTGAGGTGAGTCTATCTAAATATTACTTGTCTCTGTGTATGTGATCCAGCCTGCACTCACAAGACTACACCTGCAGGGGGACACAACTAGCTATGCAACTATTTATGTAGAAAAACATACTAGAAAACAGTATATTTATCTAAGACAGATTCAACTTGAGAATCATGATTTTATACTTTTGTTATACATGCTGTCCAAAAAAGCTGACATAATTTTGCAGGCCAATAACTTTGACAATTCTTGTATTGTATGTATGTATAGAAACAGATCAAGAATTTTATTTAATGTTTTATTTTTGTTCTGTTATCACACTGAGCCATGCCTTTCACTCCAAAAAAAGAAGTCATTTTGCATTTTGGAATTTGCTTGCATGCAGTCACCCAAGACTTTGCAGCTTCCCTTCAGTGCAAAATTTGAAAAACTTCACCAACTGGCAAACAAATTTGGACTTGGTACCAAAAATTTAAAGAGGAAGGCTACTTATGCAGGGCTAAAGGACCTGGTAGAAGGTCGAACAAGTTCGTGAAAAACTCTTGCGGAGCCCCAAGAAGTCCGTAAGGAGAACAAGTTTGGAAACTCAGATTCCTCGAATGACAGTTTGGCGTACCAGATGGCCTCATCCATGAATGTTTGAGTAATCTAGTGTCTCTCCTGCACCATATTCGAACTAGGGATGCACTGATACAGCTCTTTCAGTTCCAATATCGATACTTGCTATTGGTATCTGCCAATACTCGATGATAAACAATACCAATGTAAGGGCTGAGAAAGAGATTTTTTTCCCATCAAAACACAGTTTGCTTACTACAGAATTTATCCAACTGTGTTATTTATCCAGCTAGTGCTGTTGAACAAAAAGCTGAAACAATATGAAGCATTCTAGAGTAACATTAGCCAGGAACTACAGTAATTACATTCAGTAAAAAGCCCAACCAAGACATCGGCTGAACCAAGATTTAGCTATGGGCATTTATATATACAGTCCATGCTCCCACATCACAATTCTCCATAAATATATTTATGATATTGTGTTGTGATGGCGCTCTGAAGGGGGAGTGACTTGTAGAGAGCAAAGGGAATGAAGACTCAGAGCATTAAAAATGAAAGTGAAACTTTTTAAACATGTTAATAATTTGTTTTGGTTGAATATAACATTTTCAAAATAAAAGGTAACATGGTGATCTAAATACATGTGTGTTAGCAGTTTATACCCCATAGAAGTGTATTACCGCCTCTTTAAACATCTGTAGTGAGTTTTAATGGTGAAACATGTGGCAGAGGAGCTCACCTCTGTGATGTACCCCGAGGCCCGTCCACATTTGTGGCACCTTTATGGGTCTATAATGTTGAGCTGGCTAAAGCCAAACGTGCTCAAGTTTATATGAGGTGGACAGGGGTCAGTGGAGTTTTGCCTCAGGTCCAGTTTGAGACCTGAATGTGGTTCTTGTTACTGGTTAGAAGGTCAACTGGACTCTTCAAGGAACTGTGTGTATCATTTTGATTTTAGATTACATAAACATGACCTAACAGTGCCAGATATGAATTAAAACAGTTCAATTCAAAAACAGCTTTTACTAAGATGTGATTCTTTTATTTGTATGTCAGTTAATATTTCTGTCTTTTTGTCAGTTCTGTTTGAACGGAATCCTACATTATTAAAATATAAATCACAAATCTCTCTGTGGACAATGGAGAATTGTCATGTGGGAACATGGGTGATGTAGACTTGTGGGCAGAGCTTTGTACAGAATCTTACAGTTAACCGTGAGGAGGGTTCTGACATCTAAAACCTATGTATGTAGGAACAACATTATAGCATGGTCGAAAGCAAAAAAAAAAGTGAATTTTGCATCATAACCCCTCTTTAATACACTGAAGTTATACTATAAATTAATACAGATCATGATAAAAGGATTAAATATTTCACCTTGAGGATAAAGTTTTCCTTCACCTGAATAATATTTTTCTTGCTTGATTTTCAGATTGTTTTGGAGGGTTTTTTTCCTAAACCTGGTGCAGATTACAGCTCCACCAGCTCCTCCAGCCCAGACAAGAACTTCATCTACATCAACGACCGTCCTGTGCACAACAAAGACATCAGCAAGGTACATGTAATCAAAACACCTTATGGTAAAAGTTACTGGTCAGATCTGAAGAGAGGCAATCATACTCTTTATTGCTCAAAATGATCATGAAAAAAACACCTGTAATTGAATGTGTGGATTCCAAACATTTGACACTGGGAAACCCCAAAATAAGTATGTAACTAGCTCAGGACTCCCACTGCAAAATGAAAACAATGCCGACATAAATGAACACCGAGATAACATGTTAAATCGGAGTTAATATTGTTTATTTGAATACTTGTGATATTTGTGAGTTCACAAACTCAGGAGAATCCATCTCGAGTCGACTCCATCTGTTTAAATTGGACCTGAGCAGTGGTCGGCCCAATCACAGGGCTTCTGTGGCAGGGAGAGGAGTTTCAGACAACATGACGACAACCCCAAGCTCCAGGTCTACACCACTGACTGTATATATATATTATATATACAGTCTATGGCCTACACTGAGCAGAACAAACATTTTGGAGATAGTGATGGTGTCTTCTAACACCCTTAATGTGCTAATTATTTCAAAAACTGCAGAATTCGTTTATGGATATCTCTCCTTCCCAGCATGACACCTTTGGTTATACCTGGCTCAAGTTGGTTATGTCATTTTGACAGGTTTGCCATGATTGGCTAAAAAGAAATTGGTGAGTGGGCACTTTGGAGTGGTACACTCAATCAGCTTGAGGCATTTTGCTGCAAGTCCATCCTTTTTCTAAACGATTTCAGAGAGAGCCGTTCCTGATGGACAATGTGTAGAACTCAATTCAGAGTGATACACATCAATCTGGTGTGAGCCAGGTTAATTTATTGTGTGATTAGACCCAATTTCACAAAAAAATACAGTTTTTAAATATAAAAATAAAAAAAATACTGTGTCATTGTACTTCTTTTGTTGTTTTGCAGTTCCTCTGGGGATCGAGCCCCAGATGGAGCGACAGTAGTGTAGTTGTTTGAGTGAGTATTTGTCCACTGTTCAAAAGTCCAGATCCACTGACCCAAAGGTTGGTGGTGCTATTCCATTTCCCACAGATGAATGTTGTCATTGTGTCCTTGGGCAAGACACTTAGCCCACATTGCCCCCAGTGTCTGGTGTATGAGTGTGTGTGTGTGTGTGAATGGGCAAGTGGTTCCTTGATGTAAAGTGCTTTCAATGCCTTGAAGGTGGAAACGCGCTATAGAAAAATCTGCCAGTTTACCTTACGTTTTCCCATTTTCAACATAAAACTAAGTAAATCATGTTGTATCTTTGTCCCTCAGCTGATCCGTGAGCGATACTCTGCTCAGTTCTCAGAGGAGGTGAGGAGCAGGTTTCCCACCTTCATGCTCAGAGTTTGTGTTTCTGCAGCAGCAGTTGATGTGAACGTGACTCCAGACAAGACCCAGGTCCTGCTGCACCACAAGGTGAGGGAGAGGAGCTTATGGAATAATCACAAACATAACATCAGTTTATGAACAGCATCAACAACAGAATCCACTTTGCTTGTGAAAACAAAAACTAGACTAAAACGTCAGGTACACCTAAACTGTAACTACACTACCAGTCAACTGCTTGGACACACCATTGCATTCAGTGATTTTTGGTTTACTTTCTACATTTTACACACATTCAGAAGACATCAAATATATGATGCAAGATATTTGGGATTGTGTAGGAAAAGAAAAAATGTATAGTAAGTAATTAAGTCTTTATTTATATAGCGCTTTTCACAGACATATGTCACAAAGACGCTTTACAGAGCATTATTCAGTATTATTCATTCACTCCACACCCAGTGATGGTAAGTTACTATTGTAGCCACAGCTGCCCTGGGGCAAACTGACAGAAGCGCAGCTGCCATGCCAATCGGCGCGATCGGTCCCTCCAACCACCACCATCACTCAAACACACACACCAGTTTTGGGCAATGTGGGTGAAGTGTCTTGCCTAAGGACACAGTGACAGTTTTTGTGACTGGCGCCCCCCTGTGGCACCTGATTTTCACAGTGGTCTCCCATCCCAGTACTAACCCGACCTCTGAGCTTCTGAGATCTGGCAGGATCAGGCTTTGACAGGCCGGTATAGCTAATGACGATTTTTTTATATTGTAAATTCAAATCCTCAAAGTATCCACCCTTTTCTTTGTTGACAGTGCTTCAAACTCTTGGCCCTTGCTCAGTTATGAATAATTGATGAATTCACATGAAATGGTTTTCACTTCACAGCTGTAGGGTCAAGAAATGCCGAAAGTGCAAAGCAGTGATCAAAGCAAAGGGTGGATTTTATTTATTTATTTATTTATTTTTATTTAAAACAGGTTTTGAGTTATTTTGAATATATGAATTGAAGTCTCCTGAAATGGTTTTCACCTCACAGCTGTGCCATGTCAGTCAATGAAATTAGTAATGAAAAGAAAGAAAACGTGTCAACAATTTTTACAGTTTTTTAGTCAATATTTAAACTGTATTACTGAAATTTACAAAAACTGTATTACTGAAATACTGAAAATGCTTTGCCATCTTCAACATTTATTTAAGTAGTTTTAGTTGACATGGGGTTAAGTCCACACAGTAGTACTTTGCTGTTTTTTATTATGGTGTTTTTGTGTTCCAGGAGGCTGTGTTGGCTGCAGTAGAAGATTTACTTGTTTCTCTTTATGGCCCCAAACCTATCACCATTCAAAGGAGGAGCAACCTGGTCCCAAAATGTCCAATAACGCATCGAATTCAACCAGAGATTTAGAACAAGACCCAATAGTGAAGAGTCGAGACATTTCTACAGAATCTTCGACAACTACCAACAAAAATATTCACATTTCTAACAAGGAAATTCCCAATAACAGAAGTAGCGACATCTCGTTACAGAGCCAAACCTCAAACAGTAGCTCCTCCTCCATAGCTGAAGACTGGATCGTTAATCAAATTCCTTCAAACTTTTCCATTTGTGATGATGAAGAATTGTCTCAGAATTGTGCGAAAGAATCAAATTCAACCAGAAATTCTCCAGAAAAACTTGAATTTAACAATAAAGAAACATCTAAGGACAAATTTACGGCAGAAGATTGGAGCAGAGGGAAAGCTTTGAGAGATCCAGAGTCGAATCAGCCATTGCTACCTGTTACCATTCTTCAACCAAATTCAGAAACGTCTAAAAAAGATGCGAATAAGGAAGCTGAAATTTCAAACAAGCTCGTTTCAAATTCTATCATTGAAAAACGTGCCGCGCTAACAGCTTATGATGTTTTGGCGAACCGTGGAGTGAGGGCGCCAGTCTCCCCCGCCGCTCTGTTCGAGAAGGAGACGAGAGCCGAAATCATAACCCAAAACCCCAAAGCGTCTCTTCACGAAATTAACGAATCCGTCCGCGAAAGATGGAAAACCCTGAGCCAGGAGGAGAAGAGGAGGTGAGTTTTCCAAATCGCGCATTTCCGCAGAGCTGTCTGTCAAATGGAGGGCTGGGAGTGGAAGTTTGAGACATTTAACATAATCTGTGGTCCAGGGGAAGTGCCGGGCCAAAACCCAGAGAGGGACACAACTTTCCAGGGAAAATCCGGGTTTCCAATAATTTGATCCGAACTGTAAATCTTAACGGAATCAACCAAAAACTGCGTCATAATTTGAAGGGGAAGCAGGTTAAGAATTATGTTCACTTTACTTGCCCCGGACAAATACTTTCTAAGAAGGAAAAAAAATAATCTGACAATCCCTTTAAGTTTCTATTGAACAATGGGCCAATATGTAACTTTTTAGCCACAAAAAAAAGTCTAAAATAAAACCTGCATGCTTTTTTGAACTGAAAAACTTACTGTGAGCAGGCTTGCAGCTCCACAAACCTGACTCTTATTTGGCATTTGAAGAGAATATTGTGAATGCAACCTGTTCTCAGTTATCTTTATGCCGGTAGCTGCATAAAGATTATACTAAACCTATACTATGTGCCTATTAGAGTTGTCCAAAGTATTGAAAATCCTATACTAATCGATACTAAAACTAGATCCTCATTTGAGCAGATACCGATACTAAAAAAGTCCCATTGACAGGACAGAAATGAAATTCCTGAATAGAATGATCTTGAGCTATATCACAACAAATATAAGAGCATATAGACTAGTATACACCCATGGTCCACTATGGAATTTACCTGGACCCCTGAGGGATTACACAGATATAAGACCACATGGGAATAAAAAAGAAAGTACTACAATTTGATATTGAAAATCACATTCTATCATTTAAGTAAAAAGTGTTTTTTATTATCAACGTGATATTGGAATCAGTATTATCATGTAGGGGTGTAACAATAACCAAAATATCGTGATATTGTATCGTCAGAAGTCTCAATAATATTGTGGACCATCACAATATATTGAATCATGAGGTTTTTTGTTTAAATTCACTGTTATGGTGCAGCAATAGCTAAAAGAAACAGAGGGAACTACATTGACCATGATCCTTTGCTGTGTTTTGGTCCAAACTATATGAAGAAATAACAGTTCGAAGCACTTTTAAATCTTAGTTCTTTGAATTAAATCTTGTCAAGGCATTTTAAGAGGAAAAAGTAGCATATTCACAATTTTGTTAGCCTCCACAAAATTTCGCACTAAATATCATACCCTGAGATCTAGATATCATTACATCCCTATTATCAAGTCTATTCTTTAGTACAGAAATTTGAGTTTGAGTTTCATTAGTGAAAAACTGGCTGTAGTGTATGATTCATTTCAACACTAGAACACTTACTACCATGTACCAACGTTGTTATCTCATCAAAAAACACGGTTTTAGATGTCATCCATGCATGTTTGAGTCATTTAGCAATCTCTCCCAGGTCCTACTCAAACCTAGTCTGATTCATCAGCCGGTTTCACTTCATGGAAACCGGCTGACCTCGCAGCGTTAGGATTCTTTCGCTTGATAGTAGGTGGGTACTTTTTTATTTAACCAATCGCGGTTGTTTGGTCATGATGTATGTAATGCACCAAATCCTGTAGGAAGAAGGGCAATAATGTTTTTCTCTTTGAAAAAAATTACCAAACATACTCTTTGTTCCGGCTTTAAATCCTCTATCTCGGGAATCACTGCCAACACAGAATGTCTGTCTTCATCTACATCCATCTCAACGCTTTGTTTACTGTTGTGCTGTTCCACAAAAGGGACCCAGACAGACGCGATGAGTTTGACGTCATGGCTTCATAGCTCTTTGCTGATTGGCCAGTGCACGGTCAACAACTTCCAGGGTTCTTGCAAACCGCCTAGTGTATTCCAATTCCTGACCTAGTCAGTGGAGAGAAATGAAATTGAGCGGAGGCACTAGGTGGCGTCAACCTGGCTTACTCAAATCCTCCTTCGAACACGTTAGCTGAATGTTTCTGTGTAAAACTCCGTCAACAAGCCTACGTAACCCACACTCCCACACAACAATCCTCCATAAATATACAAAAACATGATACAAAACTGTATCATACTGCAACTTCACAAACCTGATGTCCAGGGTGAGTGACTTAACGCAGAGAGCAAAGGGACAGGGCACTCATAGCATTTTCAGAACAATCAAAGGTAACAACTTGATCTAAATATGTTATGTGTTAGCAGTTAATACCCCATAGACGTGTAATACTCCCTCTTTATAGGAAGTGCTTGCTCAGGGCCCGCTCTTGCTTATATAATGTATGGAAAAAGACATATGGCCTTTTAAAACATGACGTGGCAGAAACTTGGCTTCTCCTAATGCCGGTGTGAACAAGTGGTGCTGCATTTCTAGGAACTACATGCTCCAGAAAATTTGACTTAATCTTTAACACATGAAAACTATGGGACCATCTGTCTCACCTCTCACCTAAATATTACAGAAACTGGCAGAGTGGTTATCCTGTCGTCTCCCGTCAGTAAGGAGGTTACGGGTTAGACTCCTGATCTCTCTGAGTGGAGTGCATATGTCGGCTTGTCTTGATAATACATTTTGAAGCGTGATGTGTTGCTGAAGTAAATACAGATGACTAGAGCAGATTGAAACCACAAAAACGATTCTAAAGCTACAATAAATAAACACTGACCCTCCGCCACAATTGTTCCATTTGTCATGTTTTGAACTAGAGAGGTAATGATATCCAAATCTCTAGGTACGATACTTATTCTGAATTTCAGTTGCTATACTTTTTCAGTATGTTTCAAATAAAAAATAAAAATTTCACCTTTTAAACATTCAGCACATATATTTTCAACAGTCAAAATTCAGAGTGTAAAATTCGCAGTGAAAATTTTCACCAAAAAAATCCAAGATGTCAAGGTAGAAAGAATTGATGCGTGAATAAGTAGGACAGAGGCTGTTTCCTATTTTTTTTTTTTTTTTTTTTTAGCCCCGTGGCTTATAAAATAAATAAAAGAGATGAGGTTTCGATAAGGCTCATTCTGACCAATCAGATCGCTTCACTGCACCATTTTCTGCTTGTTACTAAATTAGATGAGATCAGATCAGATCACTGGATCGATTCCTTAGGCCTTGGCATCTTGGATCTTTGCTTGAAACTTGAGGGATTTAAAATATAGGATGAATATTTTTTTTTTAATTATATTGAATTTTAAACACTTTCATTAACTGACAGAATAAAAAATTATTCAAACATGTTTTGTTAGAGTAAAAAAAATCTGTGTGAGAAATTTAGTGGCATTTAAAATTCAAAATGTGATGACCCAAATTATCTTTCATATATTTCTTCATGTTCTAGTAATTAGCACTGAACCACAGGACCATGGTCTAAGTCAGGGGTCTCCAACCTTTTTCCTCCGGTGAGCTACCTTTACAAAACGAAAATGCCAGAAAGCTACTCATTTTAACAATCGCAGAAAATAAAGTGTACATAAGAACCATGGCAAGACTTAGTTTGGGTACAGTTAGATAAAACATAAACCATTATTTATTTATGAGTGCACAAAGTCAGGGATCAAAATTTTAGTTTGACAATAATAATGGGCAAAAGACATTTAATTCATCAAGTCTGAGTTATTCAGAACAGTACATGTAATTCAGAAATGTTTTGGTGAGCTACTTGAAAGGGGGTGGAGAGCTACTGGTAGCTCCCGAGCTATATATATATATATATATATATATATATATATATATATATATATATTATATATATTTATTTTTTTTTTTTTTTTTACTATAACTATTAATTTAAGTAGAGAGACTTGTAATTTGATATATTATGATGGCCCCGATATTATTGTGAGACTTTTGACGACACGATATTTCGGTCATTGTTACATCTCTGTATTGAACATTATGTCGATACAGTATTTATCGTGACAGGCCTATATGTGTGTTCTTCCTGTGTTACTGCGGCAGATAGTTATCCTGTCTCCTCTGGATATGGAGGTTGTGGGTTAGACTCATTATACTCTGATGGTTTGGCAAGACACGTACAAACAAAGTGTGTATGACTAGTTTAATAGGTGGCCTTCATTTTTTTTTTTATATATATATTTTGATGTCATATTTTCGGATGGAGGGCAGGGGCCTGTATAACTCTATGGGAAATTTATTGTTGAAAGAAACATCCAAGCTCAGTTTCAGCTATAAACATTGCAACTGATAGTTAATCTGTCTCCTGTCTTCTCCCTCAGGTTTGAAGATAAGGCCCAAAAACAGGCAGACCTCCACGAACAGGCCAAATCTGCATCTGCCGAAACCCCCAAACGAGTCAACGCTCAAGGGCAGAAACGTAAGGCGGCCCCCCTGTCCAACCAGCAGCTCCTAGATGAACTATTCTCTGCTCAGCCCCCAAAAAAGATAAAGGTCAAGCCCTCCAAACCCTCTCGCTCGGTCCGCTGTAGCCTGCTCTCTCTCAGGCAGAACCTCCTCCGCCTCTCCCCTTCTCCCCCACCCTCTCCTCCGCAGGGTCTGTCCCCCCTCTGCAAGCTCTCCTCACAGGGATCATGGTTGGTACTTTCTGGGCGTAAACTCCAAGTCTTGAATCCGTTCCGAGTGGAGGAGGCATTGCTGTTTAAGAGGCTGATGGAGAATAACATACTACCTGCTGAAGATCTGAAGGACCCCATACAGTTAACAGAAGAGTATGTGGCAATGAAATGCATTTTACATCTAATTCTATGTAACTTTTCAGGTTGGGGTCAATCATCATAATGCAGGGAGCAAAGGGAGGGGAGACTCAAAGCGAACTGTTTTTAGGGGTGTAACGATATCCAAGTCTCACGATAAGGATATCATCACGGTATGAACCTCACGGTACGATATTTATTGCAATATCGTGGGACAGCTCATGATATGGTGGAGAGGCTCATGATTTGAGATGGAACAATATCCAAATCTCTCAGTATGATATTTTCACGATATACATCTCACGATACAGTATTTATTGCGATTTTTTTGTGGAGGCTAACAAAAAAAGCCTTGACAAGACTTAATCCAAAGAACTAAGACTTAAAAGTGCTTAGAACTGTTATTTCTTCATGTAGTCTACAATGAAATGGAGCAAAGGATCATGGTCTATGTAGTTCCCTCTGTCTTTTTTTTAGCTGTTGCTGCATCATAAGTCTTCATTTAAGCAATGACACTTGTAATTCGATATATTGTGATGGTCCACGATATTATTGTGACAACTTGAATGATACAGTATCACAATATTTCAGTTGTTATTACATCCCTAATGTTTATATGTTGTTTTCAATGAATAGAGCATTTTCAAAACTATAAGGAAACATAGTGATCAAAATATGTTACATTTTAGCACATATTACCCATAGAAATTAAAGACGCCCTCTTTAACATTATCATATTAAGCCACTCTACATGATCCAGGTGTTTTCATTTCACTATTTTCTCCATAAATCAAGATATAAACATTAATAACAGATCAGTTGGGTGCCTTCTTTTCCCAAGGTCAGATGTGATTGACGGCTGTGTGCCTCATTGCTAAAGATAGGGGTGAGATCCTTCAACAACTTTGCTCCTGACTGGCTCTTTAGGTTGCGCACCTGGATTTCCAAATATGGAACTCTGCTCCAGATTAGCCGCTAATCATTACCTGTTTGTTGCCATGGAGAAGTTATCACTTTGTTTGGAAATATTCACAGTATGGCATATCTAAATTGCATTTATTCAGTTACAGTTGTTTTATTGCTTTGAAGAACATACTTACTGTGAGTGGGGTTGCCTTTCCACAGATTTGACCTGTAACTTGACCTTTCTTGTTTCCATGAGAGACGTTCCATGCCATATTTAGGAACATTTGCTTTTCCAGCAAAGCATTAACATCTCCATGGAGACAGGCTGGTGGCAGACCCCTCACCAGAAAAGTGCCATTGTGCACCTTTAAGATTCATGTGCGCAGAATCTGATGTCCCATGTTATTAACAAGATAACTGTTTAACCATACTCCCAGTACTCCCAGTAACCATTATCAGCCTCAGTATCTTGACATAACAAGAGTACATAATGTCAAAAGCAGAATTGAACCACCAACGAGCAGTATAACATTCTGCCATTTTCAAGCAGACTTATTCTACAAAATTAAAGCTTTTAACCAAGTTGTAGTTGTTCCCCCTTCTCCTTTACTCACCAAACATTTTAGAGTGATTTGTGAATGTTTGAGTATTAAAACGTACTCAAACATTGCTTATTTTCATGATGCCATATTGCCATTCAACTACCATTTTCACATATACAACCACTTCTTTGTACTTACTTCTCCAATGTTATTTTTAATCAATAATACACGTAGGATTTGGCACCACCATGTATTAATGGTACAAATGAAAAAAAAAAAGTTTGCTGTTCACTAGTATGATCTGCAGCAGTGCATTGGAGGAGATGATTCTTTGTTGTGATAACGTTTGCGGCAACATCAGCTCCCACTGAACACCACAGTTTTCTAGCTAGTGGATTGTTTTACTAAGTCGTTTTAGACCAATATTGTGATTTAAATTGTCAAAATTATAACAATGATCCACAAGTGTCTATATACATATAAACAACAAATATATATAAACAACTAATGAACTATATAGCAAGCACAATAGGTCTTCTTTAAAGCCCTCTTCTCTCCACAGGATCCTGGGTGGAGCAGAGTTCCTGGAGGCTCTGTGTGGGATGGAGCAGCACAGCCCAGATCTGGACGGAAGCATTCCCTTTTCAGACCTCCGGCTCGTGGCAAACGGGTTCAAAATCAAACTCTACCCAGGTACATGTGGTCTCGGCTATTTTTTATTTATGGAATACAGAATTAGCCAATCAATGATTAGCCAGTCAGGGACAAAGATGGTCTGTGCATGTTGGAACAAATATGGCTGCTAATACGGAAAAAAGAAAGGACAAAGTATCATTGCCAAGCACCTAAGCAGGAAGGGGACGTTGCCTTCAACACCCTTGCTCCTGATTGGCTCTTTGGTTGCGGTGATACACATACTCTGGTTGAGGAGTTTGGGGTAGGTCTTGGCTCCAAATTGTCTTCTATAACTGCTAGCCTCAATTGGCTTCATTTGGCTGGAGCCAAATGGTATGGATGAGATCACACTCCCTCAGCCCACTTCTTTATACAGTCTATGGTTGCAATATTTATTAATGCGTCAGCCAAGATTACAATACTTTGGAGATATATTGTGCAGCCTTAGTTGTGGTGGTTGACCCCAGCTGACCGTGTCGTGTTGCCCGCGTGCACTGCCTCTCGGTGGGGTACAGAGGACCAGAGCCACTGCCCTCTCAGAAATGTGGAGAATTTGGCTCCGAGCGAGAGGGGCTGTAACGGCACACTTCAGGAGCAAAACACTGGACATTATGCAACTTCTATTTGGCTCAAAACAATCAGGGACTCGAGGAAAAACTCTGGCCTTAAGTTACAAGGCGGATCAAGTCATTGAAATGTCTGCCCACTCTGTCCACTTGCATGTTGCCATGGAAATGTCTTCGCTTTGCTGAGAATGTTCCATAATTTGGCATTATGGGCTAAGCAGAGATAAGGAGGTGCTGAAAAGTTACGTAGTGCACCTTTAAAAAAGCCTGCATAAGTTTTTCTTTAATACAGAGAACAAAAACTTGAAGGTAAATCTTTCTGCACTTTTGTGTTAAATTTTAAAGGCCCTTAATTTTTTTGTACAATTCTGAAACCTCAACAGGTTCTATTTTGATTAATTCAGTTGTTTGAATAATCCTGTACTGTCCTGCTTGAGTGCGTTTACATGTTTGAGTAACCCTTTATTATCAGTCTATCTACATCTCCAAGGCTCAAAACACTCTGTTCTACCTTGTTATGGCATGTTATGCTGGAGTTTTCAAGTTAACAGGTCCTTTTACCTTTTTATCTTTACAGTTCCAGAGCTGAAATTACGCAAATTATTCAAATAAAGATGTATGGAGTTTAAAAACACTTCCTGTATTACCACATGATATCACAAGGTAGAACAGGATGCTTTCTATTTGAGAAAAGAACTCAGTCTAAATACGCAAGGATTTGTGTGTGAATGAAACAAAACACAACTCCAGGTCTGTTTGTGATGAAGAAACAACATTATAAAATGATCAGAAAAGAAGGTAATATAAACTCTGTGCACGGCCCCTTTTAAAATAAACTAAATAAACTCGAGTAATTATCATGACAGGCTTACTTAGATAAGATATGCCTTTATTAGTCCCACAGTGGGGAAATTCCAGTGTTGCAACGCACAATTTCAGAACAGCAGGAAAAGGTAACACAGATAATAAATAATAGCTTAAAATAATTAAAAAATAGACTTAAAAATAATTGCACATGGTTATGAGATGGATCTTGGTGTGAAAGGTTTGAGAGCCTCTGCCTTACACCGGCCTAGTCCGCCTCTGCCTGTCATAACTCATGTGTTTGGCTCTCACTGCTGCCGCCGGGGCCCCTCTCAGTAAAGTAACACTCCATTTGGCCCCGCTCGTGTTTACCTTGGTCTCCGTCTCGGCCGTGAACAACAACATTTATTTATTATTCTTTCCTGGAGATCGGCGGGGTCTGGAGGGTGCATTAACAGAGCCACGTGCTTGTTTTGGCCGACAGGTGCGGGACAGGTGCAGGTGGTTGCCGCAGCGACGTGCGTGCCGTTCGTGGGCGTCTCGGACCTCAGGGAGATCCTCGTCGCCGTGGTGCAGAAGAGGAGCAGAGCCGTGTCCCAATGCAGGCCGCTCAAAGTCCACAACTACCTCAAAGTAAATCAATGTTTTACTGTGTTAGCCTTGGAAGAGCATTTGACAGATTCATATATTTTTCAGAGTATTACTTGGTTTGGTGGGATAGTACCGGTGGTAAATATTCATCATCATTTTACATCAGTTAAGTGTCCGTTTGCAAAGAAAAGTAGAAAACAAAATGTTGAAAAATACAGGAAGTAGCAGTGAGTTCTAAAAATCCCGCAGCTGTCATCAATTCCATCCAAAATGAAGAGACAATTTACACACAAGGAAGACATTTTTCTCACAATTTAAACATTGATTTGACAAAATAAAAGTGGTGTCATAAATTTTTATTGGTAACATAATTTAGTCAAGTTGTGGTCCTTCTTAACATTGTGGTTGCTAGGTAACATGCCTCTATTTATGCTGTATCTTTTGCATGTGTCCAACCAAGAGGATGAATTAAAAAAGCAGAAAAAATAGACTGTGTTGACTGTTACACAGGCTTTATACATGTACCGTATTTTTCGCACTATTAGGCGCTCTGGATTATAAGGCGCACTGTCATTAAATGGTCTATTTTCGAACTTTTTTCACAAATAAACCGCACTGGTTTGCAGTGACTCAGTTGGTCAGTTGTGGCTAGAAGTGGCACATTGCACTCGATTTTCGGTTCGTTCCTCCATTTCATTCCTCGTCTGCGTGGAGTGACGAGTGTGGCTGCGGGTGTTTTTCACTGCGCAGTCGCTGTCTGCTCCATGCGTGTTTGTGTGCGCTGCGGTTGGTGCGGCTATGTAGTTTACTGAAGTCGTGCTGGGACACCCGAGTGGATTTGTGTATAGGGCGCTCTGGATTGCAGGGTGTGCAGTCGTTTTTTTGATAGGGTTGGAGGCTTAAGAGCAATGCACCTACTCTTGTTATGACTTGGCTCACCTCACCCCAGATCTGACCTGTATTTTGGTCTAGTGATGAAAAAGATTAATGCCTTACTATTAGGGAAGTAACAATAACTGAAATACTGTGATATTGTATCGTCAAAAGTCTCACGATAATATCATGGGCTGTCACAACATTGAATTACAAGTTCCTTTGCTTAAATACATGGTTTTATAGTAGCAACAGCTTATGAACATAGGGAACTACATATCCCATGATTCATTTCACTGCAAACAACATGAAGAAAAATGTTTTTTACTTGAATTCTTGCTATTATGACAGAAATAATTCATACCAAAAACTTGTCAAGGCATTTTAAAAGTAAATACGTTTCCTATCTACAATTCTATTAGCCTCTCCAAAATACCGCAATAAATATCTTACCGTGAGATGCATATCGTGATATCGTACCAAGATATTTGGATATCGATAGATCCCTACTTACTACTGATACTATATTTTTTGTCTTCTATAGTTAAGGCTATTATTTTATTGATACTTTGCAGCAGATGTTATTAACTTTTCCTTGGAGGTGGAGCTAACTAGAGGCACTGCTCTGTCTGAAGCTCTGTTACACAAATTAGACTTTACAATCTGACCAAAAAGAATTGATTTACTTAGAACTACAACAGGTGATTTGTGCTGTTAAACAAGTCTCTCACACATTCGTCAAATCGTTTTTCAGTGTTTTCAGTGACAAACCCCCAGCGTGATATCACTGCAAATTATTATTGTTTAAGCATATTTCCCACTGCTACTATATCGATTATTTTCTGTAATGTTTTTGTCACCAGAGTAGCTGCAGGGTCTTAAAAATCTTAAAAAGGTCTTAAATTTCTTAAATTATGTTGTCCAAATCTTATTTTTTTGATAAAGGTCTTGGTCTTGGTTGGTTGGTCATTAATAGAATTGAATCTGATGTTTTTCGCCTGCATAATGGGTGCGATGTTGATCTTAATTTTCTTTTAAGTGGTCTTAAAAAGGTCTTGAAAAAGTCTTAAATTTGGGGTAGTTAAACCTGGAGATACCCTGGTCACATTCTGCACTGTTCTCCTCCTCAGGGTGAAGCTGTGCGACTGGTGCGTCAGATGCCCTCCCATTTCTCCAGAGCCGAGGTGACAGAGACTCTGCAGAGGATGCACACTGAGCTGGAGCAGAGCCACAGGACCTGTCTCCACGGGCGACCTTTCCTGCTCCCCCTGGTGGACCTGCCCTGCACTGACCACGAGGCCCTCGCCCTGGCTGCACCTGCCGCTCTCTGACCAGGTGGGACATCTCCATCCTGTCAGAATAAAGACATTACGGGATATTTGTGCGAACCAGCAACATGGACTGTCAGCTGGTAAAGCAAAGAAGCCTGTCTTATGTGAATTGTAAATATGAATTTCATAGGCCTCTATTCGACTAAAGAAATTCTTGGTTTAAAGACACGTGCCGCAGATCGATTAGTCAACTAAAAAGGAGGCGAGGCAAAAGTTCTCAAATCTATATAAAAAGTATATTTGTCTATCTCACTCAAAGTGCACTCACAACACTACACCTGCAGGGAGAGGTCACACAAAAACTACTATTTATGCAGAGAAAAGTACTAGGAAAAAGTGAATTTATGTTAAGACAGATAAAATTAATAAATCATGAATTTAATCTGACTTTTTACAGAGATTTCTCATTCTCTCACTTACTTTCTGTTGTTGTATAATCAAATAATTAATCAAATGACTAAAGGACTACAGCCATAATTTACATAATAGGATATTACACTATTTCCGAATCCATGTTATAATGTTGTTTGCTCGTTTCATTCACACATGTTTAAAACACAAATCCTGCATATGTTGGCTGAGTTCTTCTCTCAAACTGCAAACACTCCTTTCCACCTTGTGACGTCATGTGGTAATGCAGGAAGTGCCCCACTTTGTTTTAAAAATCCATAAATCTTCACTAGAATTATCTGGATCATTTCAACCCTGGAATTGCTGATCTCTACTGAACCAAAGGTAAAAAGAGCTGCTAATAATAACAGACTCATAATATAAAGAGTTACTCAAACACATGTGAATGAAACAAAACACAACTCCAGGTCTGTTTTTGAGGAGGGAACAGCATTCTAACATGGCTTAAAGCTCACAAGAGTCAATTTTACGTAATATAGGAACTTTAAAGGCACATTAAGCAACTTTTCTGCTGTGGTGAGCTCCATTGAGATGTAACTGCTTTCACATCAGACCAAGTTACAGGTCAGAGCTCACGAAAGAAAGCATGTTTGTCAGTGTGTTTTTGTTTTTGTTTTTACTATAAAAGCAGGTAGCAGATCCTTTACCAGAAAAGTTGCACAGTGTGTTTTTCAGACCAAATGCACCTGGTTTCTATGTTTTGAACTTGATGAGTTGTTGTGAGTGTCTAGAGTTACGTTCATTGAGTGGTAAGAGAAGCCTGCGTATAATATGTACACTGGTGCTGCTGTTTGTCACGCTCACCTCTATGATTTTATGATACCCATTTCACACATTTACCACTCAAGCTACCATAAAGAAATATAACGCTAAACAAACCAAGTCTTCATCACTTTATTTTAACACATTTAGACTATTCTCTGCAGTGCGAACCCTGGGAATAAACATATGTTTAAACTTCAAGGTTTTTGTCTGTGTCTTGCCTCAGTACAGATATATTTTATAAGCAGCTCTTGAGGTTCATGTACAGTATTTTTGGACTAGAAGTCCCTCCGGAGTATAAGTCGCACCAGTCCAAAAATGCGTAATGAAGAAGAAAAAAACATATATAAGTTGCACCGGACTTTAAGTCGCACTTTTTGGGGGAAATTTATTTTATAAAATCAGAGACCAGGAACCGATATTTCATGTTGAAAGTCAAGTTCTAGTAATAACAATAGAAGAGAGAACAACAGACTGTTAACGTCGCATATGAACAGTTCTTCAGATAAACTATAACATAAACAACAGAACAGAACAAGTTTACCAAACTCTCCATCTCACTCCAAATCACTAAATCCATTGAATTCTTCATCCTCGGTGTCACTTCTGAACAACTCCTCGACCTCCGGAGGTAAACAGAGCACCTCTTCCTCTTCTGTGTAGCTGTCCTCAGACTCAACATCAGTTCCAGTTAGAATTATTCAGGCCTTTCTGAATCCCCACACTGAAGTGAAATGTTACATTTTCAGTGGTACAGAAGTAATGGTGCATGACATGATACAGACAGGACAGAGGCTCTTTCTGCAGGAGACATGAGCAGTAGAGCCAAGTGACAGTGGTACAGGTATAGGAGTAGCAGATACTGACACTCAAGCTTAGAGCGCCCTCTCGCAGCTGTCAGGGTGAAAATTTTAATATATAAGTTGCACGGGAGTATAAGCCGCAGGAAACACCCAGAGCATGAAAAAAGTGCAACTTGGTCCCAAAAATACGGTAAGTCTGTCTGCACTGTCTGCTAATTACAAAGACTTTTATTGTCCGATAATCAGGAAGTACGTGGTAGCATGCTAGTTGTTAGATTTACTGTCAAGGCAAAACTCCTCTCTGGCCTCCAAAAGTTGTGAAAAGCTTTTTAGGAATAACTTTTGGATGACTGCAGACTGTTGTGGTTGGTAGGTAACAGCGCCTCACACTTCACAATAGATTATGACAACAACAGAACAGAAAACATATATACGTTCTAAATAATTAGCAGAAATACCTTATGTTAACTGTGTTAGAGTGAAATGAGAAGTCTAACCTGTCATATGCACTTTAAATAGTTTTGGGGGCCAGAGAATGTTAACAGCCTGAAATGTATCATGCTCCAGTCCCATTAGAGACTCTGAGGCTGCACTGACAGATCCAGCGGCCCTGGAGACTTTGCACCGTCATTTAAACACAAGATGAGCCAAACTCCACACTCCAATAACTCTTATCTATCTCATCCCTCTCTCTTTCCTCTCTTCCTCCTCTTCTCTCTCTCTCTCTGTAGACCCTCTTATTTCTGTTGCTCTCTACCTGTCTTTCTTTCTTTCTCTCCCTTTCCTCTCCTTCTCTTGCTTTTCTCTCATAATCTCTTGCCTCTCTGTCTCTCTCTTGCTCTTCCCCCTTTCTTTTCTTCCTTGCTCTCTCACTCTCTGTCACTCTTTCTCTCTCTCCTCTTCCTCCCTCTCTTCTCCCTCTCTCTGTCCCCCTCCCTGCGCTGTGCACAGACATGGACCCTCCTCCTCTGTCACTGGACACTTGTCTTATGATAATATTATAGTTAGGCCGTGAAAGGTCAGGTTTAGCGCGTCTTGTTTTACGTGCTGCGCTCAGAGGCCACAGATGGCTTTAGCATTGGGCTAATGCTCCGCTAATCACCTCGTGGAAAGTTCAGCTCCTCCGTCGCCTGCTCCTCTGTGTAAAAGCTCTCACATGTGCATCGCTGTCCGGGAAAACGGCTTCCGCAGCAGAACGCTCCAATACAGATACAGACACCTGGGGCCTCTCACGGACGCCCTGCAGGACACACTGCAAAAAAAGACACTTCCTAAAACTCTCTATGGAACTTTTCTGGTGGAGTGACCACCACCTGCTGTATCCATGGAGACGTTATTGCTTAGGCTAGAATGTTCCACAGTATGTAAAAGTGAAAAGTGCAGTGCCCAATGGGAGCTGACGGCATCACAACAAAGCGACGCTCCATAGACCTAACTTCTTAACTTGACATCACTTCTTCCTTTCGAGATTTCTTCATTTTGGTGCTGCAAGGACACATTTGTCCTGCACTGTCTGTCTTCACCTGAGCAACAGTGTGAAAGAGTCTTTGGTGTAAAGAGCTCTGAGCGTCCAATAGAAAAGCTCCATGTAATTTAAGATGATTTAATCATTATAATAGTAATATTACTCCAGAGAAACTCATTACACATTTGTGCATGATTCAGTCACTCTTTATTGTTGGCAGCACTTGTAGCTGTGTACTTCTACAGCTCAGAGTCAGGTCTACAGGGTGCAAATGGGTGTCTCTTTTATAATTTGTGGCCTCATATTTGAGACAGGTTTTATTTACCTTATTTGAATGCATGGCCTTATTTTTATTTGATCGTAGTTTATATTCACTGATAATGGCAAAAACACATTCTGATTCTGATGATGAAACTGAATGAATCAGAATTAAACTTCATTAAACTGTAAGAGTTCCATTTTAAAACTCTGACTCATTTGCAGACCAGCCAGTGGACTAGCCTCAGCTGCCCTGTGGCAGACTGACGTAAGTGAGGCTGCCGGTGTGCACCATCAGCGCCTCTAACCACCAACGTCACTCACGCACACCACATTCATTGTGTGGCTATGTGGCTGTGGCTATGTGGGCAAAGTGTCTTGCCCAAGGACACTTCTCCAAAAGGCACTGGTTCAAGCGGGGTTCAAACTGTCAATCTCACTTGACATATCTATCCAAAAAACAAAACAAACTGAAACTGCCTACATGTGAATTTTCTGATAAGCATTTCATTTGCGAGTATATTTGCAGTTTCTGTTTTAATAACAGGATTCTGTTCCAAGTTTTGACAAAAAGAACTGACAAAAAGACAGTTATGAACTAACAAACAAACCCAAGAATCACATTTCAGAACATGTTTGTACAGATCTAAACTACAGGGTTCACAGTTTTTATGCAGAATAAGAACAAAAAGAGATTTGTTTGTGGAGGAAGTTTTCGTACTTAACAAATTGCAAAAATTTAATCTTTTGCAATTTGCTAATTGCATCTGCTAGGGCTGGAAAAAAATGTATTCATTCAAATAATTTGTTTTGACAGTTTTCTGTAGTTTGCAGAACATTTTTAGTTCAGAGATAGAACATCCAATTTTTTGAGAAAAATTTACAATTTTATTTGTTCATTCAGTCCTAGCATTCACTCAGACTCGGATTTTGACCCAATTGTGACACATCTTGCAGCTCAAACTGAAACTAATCTGAACCACTTAAAACTAAATAAACATTGTGATCCCATGTTTGTCCTGGTCTGAAATGTGCCCTGATTTGAAATGTCGTCATACTGTGGTTTTTGCAGTGTCGGCGTGCAGCTCTCTGTTTCATCCCCTGACACCTGAAGTTGAAATCAATCCTGCCTAAAGCCGCTCTCTCTCAGGTGGGAATATGGGCGCCCAACTTGACTCTGGAATTATCCACCCAGGCCGCGTCATTCACATGTTTCAGTTTGAAATTACAGCTCGAATGTAGCAGTTAAAGAGCTGGACTTTAACAGCGTCATCAAATCAAATCCAAAATAACACGACGTGACTAAATTTAAACCCTCCTCTCTCTATTTTTGTCCCATTTAAGAGCAGAGGCGGTTCCTACTCAACGAGGACACCTGCTCGCATTTGAAAAGCACTCACGCAAACATAAAAACAAGAGTGGGAAGTAGGGCAGGCATTCTGTACTTGACCTGTATGCGAATCACAAGCCAATCCTTTCTTAGCATTTTGTGTGTAGCTTTGATTCGGTGCAATAACTGGTTTTCATGTTTTTCTAATTCTGACTTTGTACCTGGGATCAATATTTGTCATAGTTTTGTAGAAATTAGGTTGCAGTTTTTGGAAACAAGTTGAGAAGACAGGTAAAAAATACAAGAAGTGGTGCCGAGTTCTAAAAGAGAATCTCTCACTCTATGTCATCAACAATTATATCAGAGATATAATTTACAGATATAATTTACATGCAATAAAGCCAATTTTCTTTGAGTTGACTTAATATGAAGTATGAAATAAATCTCAGATGACAATAGTTAAGAAGAATCAGATTTGTGTGTTCTATCATCAGGTCCCTCCACCTGTACACTTCAGCTTTATGCTCCTGCTCCTGTGGAACCTCTGCAGCCTGAAGTGATACATTATATTAGTTTGTTTAAAAGTGACATAACAAAGGGCTGCTTTACTCAACCACCTCAACTGTTCACAAAAAGATTCGAGCTGTGTCCTTCAGAGATGAGGCTGGTCCACATTTTGCACTTTGGTATAAAGCAGGGCGTGCGACGGCTCTGGTGGAGCACTCATCCACCATCCTGAAGGTCGTGGGGTCGATTCCCACTTGAACAGGATTATAGTAGTATTAGCTTCTTACCACTACATGTAGAGTGAATGAGTAACACAAGGTAAATCCTCTTTGAGTGTCTAAAAAACAGCTGCGAATCAAATGCATCAGTATTAAAAATTACAACCTTTTGTGACCTCATCATTCATCGACAGGAGCAATGTTTCACATTTATGTCAACACTGGTGATGATGCCAGCAATATGTTTTTGTGATCTTGTTTTTTCCGTTCTGTGTAAAGTCTAGACAGTATCTGCATTTTATGGACCAAGTTCTAATCATCAACATTATAAATGTCACTCAGCGAGTGTCCAGCTCTTTTTTCACCATGATAATCTGTAAAATCCTGTGTTATTTGTGAGATGTAAAAATGCACTAGGGAGGACACTGGTACGTGTCTGCATCCATGTGCCTAACAAACAGTCCATAAACAAACCTGGACTGGAGCGATCCGTCCCTCTATAAATCAGAGACTATCCCAAAGGCGAGGGATCGGAAGAGGCCGTGGTCCCTGAGCGGAAAAGCACGCGCCGAGCAGACGGAAAGGATAAATCAGTTTGGAGGTGCAGACAGCAGCAGGAG